ATCGTTAGTCCAGCGGCTGATCTATTCAAAGTTTAGACTAGAATTTAGAATTATTTAGTTATATCAATTTTAAAATAGTAAACTTCATTTGCTTTATATGGACGACGTAATATGATTATTATTTTTATTTAATACCAGCTGAATATATAATAACCAGCTTTGGAACGGAAGGTGAATTTAAATGTTATACTAGCCTTGGCTTGCACTCAAAAGTATAAAGAATGATGACGTTTTACTTTTAACATTCTTATATTATATTATAAAGATTATCCTGTTTTATTATATAAATAATATTATGAAATTTCACTCCTGTGTGATTGCTATTTGATTATCCTATTCAAACTGACATATAATTGAACATAGTATATTGTTTATGTATACGAAAATAGAGATTCCCTGATTCAGAGGAAATTGGTTCGTTGTATAGACGAGTGAGCTGTTTGTATTCGTCATAGAAAATTGTTTGACATAAAACACACATACGTTCTATTATAACACCAGCCATCGCACTATATTGGTAGATTTTGACAAATATATTTCAAAATAGTAGGTACCAATTATCACAAAGCATAAAGGATCAATTAAAAAATACTGTGCATTTTTATCTCTTAAAAGCTTATTCATTTCCACCTATTTGAAGAGGACAATCTAAAATTTTGTTTATTTTAAACAAATCTTAATTTAACTTGAAATATATATACGTAGTGAAATTATTAGTATATCTACTGTTAGTGTACATGCAATATATAAATATTTGCGTTGAAACGCATGACCGCAGCCGTAGCAATGCGAGGGAAATGAGACTAAGTCATGGACAAATATAGTTGATTTATTGAACAAATATCGACATAATGGTAACGATTTGTACATCATAACGGGAAATTCGAATGTTTACATCACCTCAACAGATATTGTGCATAGAATCAGTTGGATTTCTATGCACTGTAGTTTTCAATGTGTAGTTTGTTTTGCTATAGCTGCGTTAGTTTTAGATTTATTTAGTTAGTTAGCTTTATATTCTGCTGCTGCTTATTCATGGTTAGAGTTCTATCGTTTGGTTCAGAGATATAGTCACCATTATTCTATCTAAAAATCGTACGTATTTTGCTTAAATTGTTCTTTTATCATGGTTGAAATTGAGTCTTTTTTTTTGCTGAATCAAGTGCAGCTCTCTTATAAGAATAATTTTTGCCACATTAAAATTAATGTATTTCGGGCCAAATCTCAATGTTCTAGAGATAAGCCAAACAAACAGTCGGACCTAATACATTTCGAAATTCAATACATCCAGTAGATCAATGATGAACATGCTTTTATAGATAATTGTATCTATAAACAGAATCTAATCGAAACCCGTCAGAGACATTAAATTTTGCATTCCACATTAGTCTACTATATTGAGAGATAAAATATATCTTTTATATACATATATTATTACTGTATTAATTAATTTCAAGTATTAAATTATAACAAATTAAGTTATTCATTAGCTTGTCCTATCTATTTATGTCTATACTACACCTATCATACAACATTCCGCTGTGAGCTCTGACGTAAATGTATCATATTAAATGTGTTGTATCAGAAGTTGTTAACTTAAATCAATGAAGTGGTTTACAAAGCCGTGTGTTGTCACGTATTGTGATATTCGACCCAGCCATTCCATATTGTCCGTAACTCATTGCGCATTTTAAACGACCTCTTGTCGCCGTGCCACCGTACGTGAAGGTATTCAAACGTTATTTTTATACATATCGATTTTAGAGTTTAGAGTATTTTTAAATAAAATTGCTTTAATATTATAATGTATTGTGTATGTAAGTGAGTAGCAAGTGATCTGTAATCGGAGACAGCGGGTTCAGGTCCCACGCTCTCTTCAGTACGTGATCACAGCACTTCTAACGGTCGCCTCATTGTTACCGCGGACCACGTGTGAGAATCAAGAACAAAGGTACACTGTGAAACGGAAATATCAACAAAAAATAAACAACCGATCCATCATTCTATTGTACCTAAATTTTCGAAAATAATAAGTGAAACAAGCTATTTTTATAAATTTATCGGTACCGAAATAGATAATCTATTTTCTCGTGTTTACTTTGTATCCACATAAGTAAGGTTTCAATTGTATTAGGCTTGTCAAAGTCGTTATTTCGTAGTGTGCGCTAACTCAAAGAGATGTGATTCTAGTCCCACTATGTCAGCGTAAAACATTATACGTATCTACTTCCTACGTCTCTCTGTATCTACTTACGTATTAAATATTCAAAACATATTTTATTAACTGTCTACAATTTCTGTCTAAAAGACAGATTTATTTTTATGTATTTTTGTAATAATATGTAAATAAATATATGTTAGTAGGCCAGTGCAGAAGCCTTTAAAATTAATGAAAATTGAAAATAAATTATAATAGAATGAAAGTCATTAGAAAAGGAGGGGAATATTATAAAAATAAAAGGAAAAATAGTTTACGGGCGATCTGAGGTCGGGAAGGTTATGGGGATGGGTATTTAAGGGTAAAAAATGGATTTTCTCGATTTCCGGCAAAACTAAAAGTCCTACGGGAAAATGTTATATGGCAAAGTTGTAGGTACTGAAAAGATCTAAAACTTTTGCACTAACATTTTTTCACATAACCTCAAATTTTATATGAAAAATTCGAAAAACAAAGTTTTTGGTTTTTTATTTTTATCTCTTACAAAAAATAATATTTTGTCACGAAATTTAGTCAAAACTTACCTTTTGATGTTCCAAGTAATTTATTTAATTATAAATATTTATTTTTTCAGCTTATTTTGAATAAATATCTAAAAATCAGCCTCATTTTCAATCGAAAAATCACCCGCCAAAATATCAGGTATTTTCAAAAATTTGGTATGCTTTCAATTTGTTGAAATCTCTATTTTCCGATGGTGAAAAAAAATATAAGTTTCTTCCTTACAGTACCATTTTTGGATAAAATAATCATGTCTCTTTTAATGAAATGACACTCGATATTGTTCGAAAAATGCTATTACAATTTATTTTTAATAGTTTTAGCAGCTTTATGTCAATTTTCTGTAAATTACCTAAAAGAAGGACCATCTGGAGAACTTCTAGAGTACACAACTATGTACAAATTGTACAAAAGATTTAGGTCTTTTTATTACCTACAATTTTACTATATAACATTTTCCCGTAAGACTTTTAGTTTTGTCGGAAATCGAGAAAACCCATTTTTTACCCTTAAATACCCATCCCCATACCCTTCCCGACCTCAGATCGCCCGTATATTATTTTTCCTATTATTTTTTAAATATTCCCCTCCTTTTCTAATGACTTCATTCTACTATAATTAAATTATGTTTTAAAAGCTATCGGCACTGGTCTATAGTGTCTAGATTATACAATTGATTAAAATTTTTGTGATAAAATATTTTTAGAAAATTTAGAGAAGACGCCTTTATGTTACTGTTTCATGGGTTTGTATCTCAATCAATCAATGGATCTCTATATGATCACTTTTGTTAAGCATGCGTATGTCTGTCAAAAAGTTTTAAAAACACTCGGAATAGACTACCTGTTAGTGTAATGATAAATTTAGTAGTGAATGCAATGTGCTGATAAGGCGTGTTATACATAATTTATTACGCTTCTTATTCATTTCCATAAGGGAATCGAAACCCTATTGAAAGGGGGCTTGAGTTTGACATAGAATTATAGATTTTCCCTTGTCAATGTCATATAATACGTGGGTTAATAATAAATAAATTAGGCTAGTCTAGTATCAAAACAAAAAATAACTTCTTTGTATTTTGTCAAGCCAACATAACTTATACCGGGGCCAACACATTTTACTTTTTGTTACACTGAATTTTCAGTATATTTTATTGCTTTCACGATAATTTATTGCTCGTATTACTTCAATTAAATGTACATTCAAATTGTTTTTCGATATGTAATTCTTATTTTATAAATAAAAGCCGTTTTATTTTATAAATAAAACGGCTAGCTGTATTTACTTCGTTTTGCTTTCCATAAAATTTCGTTATGAAACTATAATACAAGTTTCATTGAGTTGAGATGAAGGTCTAAGACGTGACAGAACATCTCATCTACCACATGAACTAAACTAAACGTCTTTATCTAAGTTCTGGCATATGAGGGGCCATCCATGAAGTACGTCACACGTTTTAAGGATGGGAGGGGGAGGGTATCACCGAAGTGTGACAATCATTTCACAAGGGGAATAGGAGAGTCAAAAGTTTTATGACGTCACATATTAAAATTTAAAAAACTAAAACATAAAAATTGAAAATAAAAAAAAATTGCGAACTCGATTTATATTTATAAACTAGAAGACCTGGCGAACTTCGTATCGCCCTATAATCAAGAAATATCTATTACGTTTTTTAATTTATATTTTTGGCGTTTACCTGTAAGCCATAAATCTCCATGTTTTGAAGTGCGACAGAATGATTGACATATTAGTTAGTTGTCAAATCTAATGTCAAAAAAAACGTTTGTATGGGAAATATAAAAGGGCTGTTTTTATGGATTTCCCAGTAATGAATCAATTTTTTTCAGCTTTTATACCTTCCCTGAACCTCCACGAACATTTCAAGACTAAGATAAGATAAATCCGTTCAGTTGTTCTCGAGTTTTAGCGAGACTAAGGAACAGCAATCCATTTTTATATATATAGAAGATAACTAGCTTTTCGCCCGCAGCTTCGCCCGCGTAGAGTTCGGTTATGTCGCGTTTCGAAGAGAATCTTTCAAAAGTCTGGAATAAAAACTATCCTATGTTCTTTCTCAAGGTCAACTCTGTCTCTGTACCAAATTTCATTAAAATCAGTTCAGTGGTTTAGCCGTGAAAGCGTAACAGACAGACAGACAGACATACAGAATTACTTATAATATTAATAGGGGTATTTTAAAATTCTCACTATGATATAATATCTCATGCAACGTAATTTAACTTGTAGAGCCGTTGTTATGCAAGTGACACAAAAAATCATGAATGGTAAGAATTTATTTATTTATGTACCCAACCGGTTTAAGGAATTTGTAGCGAATCTAATGTAAAAATGAATTCCCAGCTGTGACCTTGAAATTAGGCTCAAGTTATGTTATCCTAAGGAATTTAAAAGTTCACCGTTTAGTTACTTAGACATTAAATTTAAAAAATCACATATTTTATCTCCTTATACAAGAGCTCTTATGACGGACAAAAGGAAGTACAAAGTTCAAATAGCTGTTTTTTCTCGATTATATTTAAATCCATATAAATACTTTACAATTACTTATATAAATCCATATAAATACTTTAAATATAATAATTTAGATCAAGCTATCTTAAAGAGTACTCACGTCGCTACGGGCTTCGAGAAGCGTCTGTCAAAATCAGCTGATCGCGTTTGCTTACAAGATTGCTAAATTCAATTGAAATTAAGTATACCTATATAAATATATGTGTGACGTCATATCTGGAAAGTTCCAGAAGGTTACAAAAATGTGACCAGGCCAAGGGGAGGGGTTCAAAAGTCCTAAAATTCGTATGACATACTCTATGGATAATAATGTCGATAATTATGTATAATTATAGGCGTGCACAGAGATTTGATATAGCGTAGCCAGAATATATGATTGAAAAAAAGTTACCAAATTATTGTTAACCTACAAGTGGTAATATATCGATAAAACCTTAAAATGTTACTATTCCTATTAACTTTCCTACTAATTCTTATTCCTTTTCCTATTAATTAATATAACTGAAACTGTTTAATTTATGAGATATCCAGTGGAAATCCTTACATTCTTACTATTACTATTTGAAAATAACCTAAAAGGAATATGAAATACTAATATCATAGTACTTTTTAGTAAAAAGGAACGATTAACATTACCGTTTTTTAGGTTAAGTCTAAATTTAGAACTTACCCTTAAATTTTATACCAAATCAAAAGACACCATTGAAAGCGCACTCTTTATTTACTAATCTAAACATCCACCATCGGCACAGAGCTCACAGAGTTATAATTTTCCATAATTCTTTAATCAATTCACTTAGTAACTTATCAAATATCATACACTTGCACTGATAAAGACAATATGGTCAAAATGGCCAGTAACGATATATGCGGACAAATTAAAAAGTCCCTTTTCAGTTAAAAATCACTCAGCTTTACTGTGACTTTAAATGAGCAAGGTAAAGACTGGTTTTCATTGCATTCTCCACGATTTTTGTAAATCGTCCTTATTAATATATGAATATGGAATATGCACACAATGGTGCGCTTACGGCTTTTTGGACTGCGAAGCTGCGCCAGTTTCTGCTCGAAATTATTGCATTTTATTTCGGTAGATGGCAGTTTAAAAAAAATATCGAAATCATGAATCTATGATAACTAATATTAAAACTCTGTAAATATTAATAGTGCGTATTGTATGATTATTGTATGTAAGTAATAATTAAACAATGTAAATTAAGTTATTCCAAGCACTTCACTGTCTCTACATTAATTTACATTAAGTATTAAGTTGTAATAACTTACAAATTAACTTCATTAATTGAAATAAAATTAATGGCCATTTGAAGATTATACTGGAACGGGTAAAACGCTCAATGAAGTTACATGTCGTATTTCAAAGTGTTGATAAAACTTTTCGGTCTATTTTAATGACTGACAACCACGGCGAGGAAATTAGACTTCATCAAAAGCGTACCTGTATTTTACAAAAGACCTATATTTTATCGTCGGATTTTAAAACGTCCAGGATCCATGGCTGCTTTTTGCATTTGATAACTATAAGCTAATTTTCCGTGAGTAGCTTCGTTTCATTGAGACATCCAACATTTTGATTTGCGATATTTCTTGATTGTGGTAGCTAACTTAGCCAGCAGAGATAAAATATGTTGATTTGATAATTTTCCAAAATTTATTACTAACTGGATTTATTTATGTTAAATCTTATGATAATTACCGAAATAATTCGAAAAAAAAATTTTCCTACAAAATGTGTGGTTTGATCAAAGAATCCCTCTCCTTTCAACATGTAAAGATAAGGAGGTCATCGCAAGTGATTACTAACCAGCAATTTTTTTTGTAATTTACTTTGTTAATATTTATATAATTTAACAGTAACATTGTCCTACAAGTTGCTGGGTACGTTATTCCAGTCCTACGCTTAACAGTGGTTGATGCCACAAGACCATTTTTCTCATTACTAAATTATAAAAATAAATGAAGATTAGTCTTCGTTTAATAAAATATTAATTAGGCAATAATTAATAAACCGTCACTCAAGATGATAGAACGAATAATGAAAGGGGTTCTTAAGACAAATGAAATTTGTAATTTAATTAATTATATATACCTGCGAGTAATTAATTTAGTTTGATTTTATTTAATAGTATAATTGATTTAGTTTAATTTGTAATTTAATTAATTATACCTCGTATATTACAAATTCCTATAGGTATCTCTATGAGTGAGTTTGCTTCAACAATCTTTCTAAGAATTATTAAATATAATGAGCATTTAAATTTCCTTATCTAATAATGTTTTTTTCTCTGATATACTCTCTCGATACGGTCTGTCGTAACGCTATTGAATACTAAGAAAAAACCGATAAAATAATCACTGAACTGTTCATTTGTAAGTTACGAGACAGTAAAATATATTTAAATAAACCATTGATGAACAAATTTTAGAAACTCTAAACTAGTGGAATACAACAGTAAACATTCAAACTTTATATCGCATACAAGGTGAATAGAATATGCATGAACCTCGTATAACTACTGAGAGATTACAAAATCAAAGCCAACAATGATCAAGGCTTTAGAGTTAAAAGCGTATAAGGTGGGGAGGGGATAGCCATTTAAGATTCCAAGCTTCTAGGTTACTTTACTAGGACATTATGCTGTTTGAGTAGTCGCTTTTTGTGTTGTATTAACGGTGTAAGACGTTTGAAATGTGTCATGATGATAAAAAGGCATGTCGTCCGCAGTCCACGGGCTGGCTGCGCGTGCGACGACTCACTAACTCGACCCCAAGGGTCATTGAACCCGACTCTATTCGACTATATACGTTCTAAGTTCTAAACGTTCTACTCGACTAGCGCCGCTTAGATATTATACTAAAATGCTGCTGACCTTGATACAGTACTGACGTATTACTTTTAATGAAGACACTATGTACTGCTCATATGTATGTCTCCTAGCTTCTATGAGCGATTTTGTTTACCACGATATCCTTTATTGATTCAAAAATTATATTCTTTTCAATTTTTTTTTGTCTTAACTTGATGCTTTCTCTTATTACATAAGTATTGATTAGTTCCGTCTATACCCGTGACTATTTAGGTATACTTTTATATTTACAAGATTATGAGCAAATTTTATTTAATGGCACTTAATAAAATTAAGATACCAAAAATGTCCTTAGCCACTTATATGGAAACAGATTTCAAACGGGCGTTCCTAATACTTCAACCAATATTCACATTGTCTGTGACATTTATATATTTTTTCATAGAATAAACTGTTATTTCTTTAAAAGTATAATTTATTAATATAAATATATTTATTCCTCCAGTGACGATCCTGTGTGAGGATGAGCAGCACGACTCTAGAGAGGGTGACGATGTATCGATGCAGTGTCGTTTCGACTTGGAGCCAGTGGCTGGAGAGTCACTCACTTACTACTGGGTCAGGAGTACATCCAGCGGTCATGACAATGTAGCCATCGGTAACATACCCCTGGAGACGAACTACCAGTGAGTAGAACTAAGATAGCATGTAAAACATACGACAATCTCAATCACCACTCCTTGATTCTATACTAGTTTTTGCCCGCGACTTCGTCCGCGTTAGTTTGGTCAAGAGTAATATATGTATAGCTGACTGACTCTATTCCGTCTTAGAGGCCATAAATAATCAGGTTTTTCCTGTTTCAATCAAACACAATGATTGACATATTAGTTAGTTGTCAAATCTAATGTCAAAAAAAACGTTTGTATGGGAAATAGAAAAGGGCTGTTTTTAGGGTTTTCCCGACAATTCTTCCAATTTTTCTCACCTTTTAAACCTTCCCTGGACTTCCAGAAGTATTTCAAGACTAAAATTAGCCAAATCGGTTCAGCCGTTCTCGAGTTTTAGCGAGACTAAGGAACAGCAATCCATTTTTATATATATATAGAAGACTAGCTCTCCGTTCACAGCTTCGCCCGCGTGGAGTTCGGTTATATCGCGTCCCCAAGAGAACCTTTCAAAAGTCTGGGATAAAAACTATCCTATGTTCTTTCTCAAGGTCAACTCTATCTCTGTACCAAATTTCAATAAAATCAATTCAGTGGCTTAGGCGTGAAAGCGTAAAAGACAGACAAACAGAGTTACGCATTTATAATTTTAGTAGGGATAAATATGAAATATTATACATTACATCAGTTGTAACTTAATTTTTTCCATAAAAAACAACATTTGGTCTGTTTTTCATACAATTTTTTTAAAATAATATTGTCATTAATGTAAATAATTTATAGTTTATATTGTTTTAACATATGTATTATGTTATTCCAACCTAATACCAACGATAGTCGTCTCACATAGTAATGTTACTAATTAAAGACTCAAGTTATGTAGCACATGTAATTACAATTGTTAAACCTTAACCTTTGGCTATATATATAAAACTATAAATATATCTACTAACAACGACTTCGGTATGATTGTTCTAATATTATAAACATAATAGTTATAAAGTATTTGTGTCTTTACAAATTAAAGTCGCCATATATTTGCGTGGAAACTGACACTCAATAGGTCAGATAAATTCATTTTGCAGCAGTAGCTACTTAATTTTATCCCTAAATCAATAACGAAATTCCTGAAATTATCTAAGCCAGGTTTATAAATACTTTAAAATTCGTAGGATAAATTACGCTCCATCGGAAGGTAAGTTCGACTTGCTGGTGTCGAATGTGACATATGAGCGTGACAATGGTCGCTTCGAGTGTCGCGTTAAGGCTGGCGGGTCCGGACGGACTTTGCACTCCCAAGGACACAGCCTGGTTGTCCTCACACAGCCCCAGCCTCCAATCCTTAGCCCTGGAGCTCAGGCCCAAGCGCAAGAAGGAAGGCAACTCAACCTTACTTGTTCAAGCACCGGGGGATCGCCTAGCCCATACATAAAGTGAGTTTAATTAAATATTCATGTTAAAATTATTCGTGCTATATTTACAATAGAAAACCAGACCGTAATTCAGTTGATAAATTTATTATGTACAGAATGTTACATGAGTTTTCAGTAGGATATATACATTATGTTCATTTTAAAGAGAGTATGTAATCAATGAACACTGGTGATATTTTAACTTAAATCCTTTTTCAAATAGTCCCCTTTGTTTTTGGACTTAACCGGAATGAAATGAAACTTATCGAAAATATATGTGTTATATGAAACATTTTTAAGTTACTTTATAAATTGAAAATCCGAACAGAAAATTGATTAAAAATCTTTGTTTCTTGTTTTGTTGTTGTATTCACTTTTATAAGCGTTGACTATAGATATATTGTATAAAATTTAATTATATATGAGGTATATTTTCCATAACGAAAATTTGCTATTATTATGAGGGATATGAATTTATTGTTCAATATTTTAATAATATTAACATCGTACGGGCATACATTTTTTAAAATGTATGAAATTTTTTCATATTAAAACGTGTTAATCATTGCAAAATTTCGTATTAAAAGTTCATTAAATAATTCATTACAATAATTCTTGAAGACATTATAGAAGGAAGCACGATGTATAAAGACATTACACATACTAGAGTCTAGATCCCTTTGTGTTAAAGCAGTCTTGGTATGAGCCAATTATAAGAGGATTATACATATATTTCACTAAAGCAGAAATACATATATATAAAAGTACTTTTCATATAACATCTTGTATATTACTATGATTAGCATTTATTAATGTTTGTATCGGAATGTAGGCTTAAGAAAATATCCTTGGAAATATATATTTATACTTTGAATAGAGTATTCGTTTTGAAATTCATTGATTGTATATACAATGCCGGTTGTATTTCTTAAAACAAATCATATGTACTACTTAAAAATTGCTCCTCACAGTACCATATTAAATATACATAGCGGAGGTTGACTTTCAACGCTCCAGTGCAAGTTTCCTTGTGCTATTTACTATTAACAAGCTCACCTGGACAACGTTTTAAGCAGCAATTGTTACTAAAATAGAATCAGTGATTTTAGTTTGAATTTTCATACTAAAACAAACAGTTAATTGCTTTGCATCGAAATAATAATTATTATACCTTAGTATGACAATTTCAGTAATAGGAAACGCGTAACTATCTATATTTAGTCATATGATTCAATTTTGTGGTATGAGTATTGGATAGAAGTGTAATTGCGATGCCTTGCCGATCTATATCTTCAACCTGGCAATTTCCCAGTTATAACCAGGGTCTGCCAGGCCTTGCCGCTCTATATCAGTATGTTTCTTCCAGGTGGTATCGAGATGGTTCAATCCATCCGTTAGACGCTGAGCTCATAGCTGGTAAGACTCGCTTCGAGCCGACGTTGTCAATATTAACGTTGGAACCAAATAGAGATGATAATGGAGCGACATTCCGCTGTGTCGTGAGGAACCGAGCTATGAAGGAAGGGAACCAGCTCGAGGCTACTGTGGAACTTAGCGTTAACTGTGAGTACATATATGTTAGAGATTTAGATTATATCCAGTACATTTGAAAGAAAGAAAAGAAAGAAAGAAAGTTTTTATTTGAGACACGTATAAAACTTATGACTAATTTACACCAAAACATGAGAAAAAATATAAAAGTAGGATATAAAAAAAAATCAAAACAAAAAAAATAATAAATAATAATAATAAACATTAAAATATATAACGCGTGTCCCAAAAAGGTATACCATTCAGCTTATGCTGGTTTTCAATGGTACCCTTTAATTTGTAGGGGAAGTTGCAATTATATCACAGAGGAAACTAACTAGCTGAGACCAACTCCGTCAGCCCCGAATAATTATTTAGTTCTTAACTATACATCATTTTTCCCAAAATAAATTAAACCTTATTTAGTACGCATTAAATGTGAAAATCCCGTTGCAATGAGTATCTCTGTTTCAGAGATTAGTCGGAACAATTAAATGATGAAAACGTTATTTTGGAAGTTATGCATTCAGTGAGAAGCTGATATTATAATAATGCAAACAAACATACACTTATTATTTCGTTAATCATAATGTTAGAGAAAATAATAAAGGAAAACTTTCTCTCTCTCTCTCACTCTCGCCCCTTACTCTCTCTTTGTATATAAATATGAATCAAAATATATTTTTTCATCTCATTTCGGAACACTCAAAGATATATTGCATATTTATTCATTGTTATCCACCGTTGTACTGCCTGATGAAGTCGACACAGATTTTTAATAATGATATCGAAATCCTGATTAATAAATGTAAAAGAAACCGCTCTCTTATTAAACAGAGCTCATATAGGTTGAATTCCATTGGCCAGAGCCAGATTGCAAATGAAAATTCCCGTAGCGTAGAATTATAAATACGTATGTATTTCCAACAATTCTTTAACCATATTATAATGTGAGTTATTTTTTTTTTTGGCCACTCATTCAAACCTCATTGACGTACTGTGCGTGAATAAATTCGAATAGTTTGTACCACTTTATTAAATTTTGGTAAAATAATGAATTGTTTATAAAATACAATATATTTAATACCAGCTGTTGCCTGCGGCTTTGCGTGCATATTAAATTAACGTTGAGATAACTAAGCGTTTTCATCTTTATAACGTTTCGCTACATTTCTTCAAGATTTTCAATTTTTAACTAGATCCGTACTTGGTGACAAAAAAATAGCCTAAGTTACTCTGTATGACCTTGTTTGGCAGTGAAATTCTTAATAAAATCGGTCTAAGCATTCTACAGATTAGAGGGAACAAAAGATAGGCAGACAAAGAAATATTTTTTTATATAGCTGTCGCGTATACTGTTTTATTATTTTAGTGAGAAGCTGTTAATTTGGAATTACAAACAGAAATTTCAATTTAATTTAGTAGTAATAATTAGTATATAAATAAATTTAGATTATTTTCATTTTATTGATTACATTTTTATTGTATCAGAAATTAACGTTGAAATCAATATTCCTGTTAATATGATAAAAAAATATCCTTTCGCTGGTATACGTTCTTATAACATTTATCTAACTTTTATACAAACAACTTATTAAAATCTCAAGTTATTTTTTAAGTTATTTTTTCTACATCCTTGTGCTGTAAGCGAATTCAACTTTACTTAGCGAAAAAAACAAAACTATTTTCAAAAGAAAAGTTTTGAAGATGAAATGAATATGTAGAATAAAAATATAACAAAAGACTGCACAAATACATAGTATTATATACATATGTATGTAAATAGAATGAAATAATAAAAACCCGGGCAGAGAGGAAAAAGCGTAAAGCATTTTTTTCGGTAGGATTAAAAAAAATGTTATGTCACTGGAAACAAGAGATGAGTGATCATGAAAAAACAATTCACTGAATACACGTACCTATGAAATACAAGTTTGAGAGTTTGTTAGGGGAAAAAGTGTATTCTTTTAAGAGAAATTTCTTAACAAGAACAATGGAAGTGTTTAATCAACCGGAGAGTGTGAATGAGTCACTTCCAGATAATCCACTGCCCACTCGATCGTGTTCATTTAACGATTAATATGAAAGCTATACAGGGTGACTGGTGAATTACTATCGATACCTGAGGACGTGATATTTGACGATCATATATGACAAAATAAAAATTAATATAACATAAATATTAATAAACTTCTAAGTAAAGTTAACCAAAAGTTATGTAATTAATTACGCATCGTGTGAACACCCTACAGATTAGGTACACACACACACACGCGCATGCGGTGGCGTGGTGTTGTATCAGCACGCCGCCGCGCGCGTCCACACTTGGAACACTTGGAACGTGTCCACACTTTATTTATTTATACGGAAATTTGGTCAAAAATTAAGTACCTATTTTTTTACATAATTCGAATGAGAATCATGTACTGAGTATGCTCCTTAAATATTGATAGTAATTCACCAGTCACCCTGTATATAAATCCAGTTTTCTTGAGAACATTCAGTAACTTAATACGCTATAATAATTATCGTCGTTCCTCGATCAGTTTTTATGCTGAAAATGCAAACCCGTCCCAGACAATTGGCATATTGTATTGCACACTCAACTGCGATGTTTTTTTGTGCCCCCACTGTCCCTATCTCTTTCTATTGTTGCAATGACAATATTTTTGTTTGACTCTTATATGTGCTTCGGTCTTTGTATCCACAAGGAGAGGACAAATATCGAAGGATTCGAAGGGACTATTCTATAAATATTGTTGTAGGTTGGATCAAGTTACTAGACTTGATGACGGGGAATACGCTCATGTACCAAGAATGTTAAGTCTTTCTTAAGAAGTAAAAATATATGTACTAATACCCTTTATAATATTATTTACATACATAGGTATACATATTTAATGTTCTATCTAGTTGTTAAAATTATCGCCAAATAAATTTATTCTTCATATGAAATAATAAAATCGTGATTCATATTAATATTCGTATCCTTTAAATAATTTAACAGAAATGACCTGTAAATGAATTAATTTATTTATCTTATTAAAACTAAATGCTCATTAAAACGATACGTGTCCTTCCCACACTGAAACATATTGACATTGCCAATATTGATATAACTTTAAATAACGGACGCATAATAAATACCCAAGTTTCATTTTACCACAATATCAGATTCCTTTCGGAAATCGGAATATTAAATTCTCAATTTCACATCAAACAAACATTATCTCTATTGTAATGTATGAAAATTCATATTAACATGTACGTTATGCTGATTAAAATGTTCATTTTTCAATGTGGAAGCTTACATCGGTTTCATCGGATGTTAAAACATCAGCTAATTGAAGATGGCGAGCGTAATAAAAACAATATTTTCCTAGTACACTCTAATGGAATGCTTTAATTATACAATGTTTAGTCAATATTGTTCCGCGATTGTTTGCTCTTTCTAATTCATTCTACATCATTTTATTTTATACTCGTCCTAATTAAGCACAAAGACTGCGATGCGGCTCACGAGCTATTTTATAATGTGAATTAATTTACAGAACTACATTGAAACTGTCGAAGTCTTTTTGTACGGAATGTTTCGTTTACATTTCGCTTCAGGAATGCGCCGTCTTACAAGCTTATTCTCTATTATCACGATATTTTCCTCGAACATATATTGCAACAAATTATGGCTTAATTATACAAAGTTAATAACATATAGAATATATTTCCCTTTGTCCGAGACTAAAACAAATGTGAATTTCGAAATAATATAAAAGTTACCTGATTATATCAAAGTATGGAAGCTAGCTGGTTTAAATAACGTGTACATTGTAAGCAGAATTACAAGTTAGAAATCTGCTGGGTTTGAAATGAGAGGTTTTGTTCGTGCTCTATTTGATGCGAGGAAAGCAAATACCTTGTAAAAGAACTCCGGGAGTGTCGCAGTTCTACACTGAACGCTTACCTTACAACTTCTAAGTTTGTTCATCACGTAACAATATGGACCTGGAGATTTAAGGATGCAAAAAATATATTATTTTCTAATTTTGGTTTAGAGTAAGTGGTGTTATGTAATACACATATTTTGAGTATAATCCTTAGCTTTTAGTCCTTGCATAACGTTTGTTTGGTGAGTATCTCTTGGTATGATTGTGTATCCATTTGAAACGCCCTGTCAGCTAGTGTGCCGGAGGCGATGATATTAAAGATCAAGTATTAATACAGACACAACACATAGCCTATTATCATGTAAAGCTTTGTCGTACTATATGAGGTTTCATTTACATCAAGTTAAATCTGAATATGAACCACATTATTATACAGATTTATAGCATATAACATTTTGCTGCGACTCTGTCTTGGGATTTAGGCATTACTCTCAGAGTATTTATGTTTTAAAACACTAGATTATGTTAACCTACCCTCTGCGAAATCTTTAGTCTGTGTCACGTGACTTCATGCTCCGTAGAGTTATTATGACGTGACCCTCGGGAATTAAACGGCATAAAGGGATAATTCATTGCTATGTTTTATTTTGATGTCAAGATTACTGTAAGTCTCATCAGTTAAGCAGTTTTAAAAATAAAATTATTATTACAAAGACTACTTTAATGCACTGTTTTGTATATAGATAAATAACTGTAATTTATTAAGCAAAAGTTGAAATTAACAAACGACCGCGAGCGTTCCAAAACAATCGTTGATTTATAACTACATCTGACTAATTATTAGGAAACCAAAGTTACTGTTACCTATAATATGGATCATAAGTTATCTGTGGACGGAGAATGCAAGACCATTTTGGTTATGGTATTTGTTTTGTTCTAAGTTTAACTCCAGACAGCCTCATGAGACGACTTGCAAATGGAACGAAACTTCTTATAGCTTATCTGCTAAAATATTTTAGGAACATTTTTACGAAATATGTATTTTTTTTTTAATTTTAATTTCTGTTTTCTAACAAGGGATTAAAATTGTATTGAATAAAAAAAATTGATAAACGAACATATGTAGCCCAAACATAATTTACATCATTTTGGAACTTCTAACACTCTTATACTGTAATACTAATTTTAACTAAAAATAGCTAAGAACAACCGCAAGCAAATTGACTTTCAATTTAAAATAATTAACGTCATCGTTTTAAAAAATATAAGTTAATAATCAATGAGTACGTTCAATGATATCAAAATATATACTGAATAAAATATAACTAACATGAAGCATCGCAGTCAAATGGATACGAAATATTTACGAGAATCCGAATGCATTCGGCATGCAGTCAAGTGTGAGGAGTGAGCGAGGGTGGTGAGTGGCCTCGCTGAGACTACAGGTGCAACGACGACTTGTAACAAAAAAAAAACAAATTTAAACTTAAACCGCTGTAGCGGAACGAACATGCAAGCCATCATTAAACTAAGTGCCAGTTATAGACCAGTAAGTTAAAAGTAAAATGAAACGTTTCATAATACGGTACATCTAAAATTGATACAAATATTTATCTTACGCAATCCCTGCTTCCCGTCCTATCATCGGCGGTGAAAGCCAGATGCTGGTAATATTTGTAATTGGGTGACCTGAATGAGAAACATGAACATTTAAGAATACTGCCGGTTCTAATTCGGACACGTTCTGTAAACAGTATACAGGCTACAAAACTAGCTGCGTCCGTTTCCTTCGGGAGATGTTTGTACGGCGGATGAATGTTTGCCATAAACTAATTTACAATCCAATTCTGTAATAACGTTTGAGCATGTACAATGTATACGCTCTTAAGATATTTTGTTTATATTGCGTGGATTAGGTTTTGAGTCTACAATAATGGCTAGCTTAGGAATGTATGTCAAAGCGGACTGATGTAACCTTTAATTGAAATAGACTCTGGAAATAACATAGCTTATTACTTGACAATATTCAATGTATTTTTTTCCAACAGATTTCCCCCGCGTTGAAGTCGGACCCGAAAATCCTTTGCGAGTCGAGATCGACGGGAACGCTAACATGGTGTGCAAAGTTGACGCTAAACCTAAAGTGAACACGGTCAGGTGGACGCGAGATGGGAAATATATATCAAACTCATTCACACATCTGATACAAGGAGTGACTGTACAGGACGCGGGCAAATATATCTGCAGCGCTGACAACGGGCTCGGCCAGCCCGGAGAAAATGAAATATACTTGGACGTCCTGTATCCACCCAGCGTCACAGTCGATTCGAAAACATACGAAGCCGAAGAAGGTGGCAACGTTGAAATAAGATGCGAAGTCTCCTCCAACCCCGACCCTATATCCATAGAATGGACCAAGGAAGGACGAACTGATTTCAGACAGAAAGGGAATACATTGGTACTGACCCGAGTTGACGCGGACATGGCCGGGACTTACGTGTGTCGGGCTGTGAATATCATCGCTACCAGTAGTGGTAATAAAGTGGAAAAAGCCGGTATGGCGTCTGTGGCGGTGCTCGTGAGACATAAGCCTGGACGAGCTTACATAAGTCCCGATCATCCGATAGCCCAAGAAGGTACCGGGGTCACATTGACCTGCAGCGCCAAGCCTCCCGGCTGGCCTGTACCGCAATATCGTTGGTTCCGTGAAATAGAAACGGTTGATATTAAACCTACGGTATTAGCGACGGGGAACAAATATACAATACCCAGCGCTCATCTGGGCAGCGAAGGCGTGTATCATTGTCAAGCCACAAACGAACTCGGTCATAGTGAGCTAGCCACGGTCAACTTGGAAGTGTACCAGCCGCCTAGATTCCAGTCAAAACTTCAACCTCACATGATAAAAAACTCAGGCGAGAGGAACTTCTCCCTCACATGCGTCGCTTTAGGCAAACCTCTCCCTAACGTCAAATGGTACAAGGACAACTCGGAAATCCGACCCGACGCCAACATGTACGAAGTGAAGACGGAAATTAATAAAAGCAGCAACGCCGTCTACAATATACAGAGTGTTCTCAGATTTCACGGCAGGGCGAGGCCCAGCGGCGACGACCTGCTGCCTGCTGATAGAGGCGTTTATTCTTGCTCCTTTGAAAACGAAGTCAAGAAAGTGGAATCGTCGATGCAACTCCGTATTGAACGTAAGTTATACTGCCGTTCACGTAACGTAACTTGTTTTGTCTGTTATTAGCCGGACTAATATTGCTTTAATTACACCCTGGCTGGTGCTAGCGACTTCCTCCGCGTTATTTGATATGTTAACAAAGTTTTCGCACAACAACAAACACGCATCACTGAACACGTTATACTTATAAAAATCGTTGTACCGTAAAACTTTAATAACTTCATATTACCTTAAAATCACATTGTATTATTTTTGGGGATATGAAATATAATTTTAATTGTATACATAATTCAAATACCATTTGTGTAGTTTGTTAGAAAAATTGACCTTCCAATTATTGTAATTATATTTCTAGTCCATTATAAAACTGATAAGTCAACTTCTCAAGATACTTAATTAAAATTTTAGTTCACTTTAATCATCATTGGGAATCAGTCGGAGTAGTTTTTTTGCCATTAGTTCGATACTAATGAATAATCAATTTGACTTTTATACATTCGATGTAGTGCGCTTATAAAGCTTTAATTAACTCGGCATTAATTGATTCAGAGCGGGTCACGTCGACGCTATGTGTATTGTGTGCATACATTAAATAACATAAAAATTATATCGACAAATATTGCAGATGAGCCGTTATCGATCAAACAACAGCGGAAGGTGGCCTACGATTTGATGGAGAACGCGGAAATATCGTGTCGAGTGTTGGCCTACCCTAAGCCAGAGTTCCAATGGTACTACAGCATGAATCCATCCCCGCTACAGATGTCCTCGGACGGCCATTACGAGATTATTACCACGACCGACGAAAACGACGCGTACTTGAGCGTGCTCGTCATAAGAAATATAAAGTCGCAGGACTACGGCGACTATTACTGCAATGTTAAGAACACACTGGGCAGCATTCGGCCGCAGATTAGGTTGCAGCCTAAGGGCGCGCCTGAACCTCCCAAGAACCTTTCTAGTCAGAAAGTTGACGCGACGTATGTGACCTTGAAGTGGGAGGAAGGCTTCAACGGCGGGTTATCAAGTACGAAATACTTCGTACTATATCGACGAGTCAGATCCATCAGTGGCGAGCCGTGTACTGTGCAAGGAACCGACGAATTCGACTGGAAGGAGTACGACTGCGGCCGAGCAAACCCATGCAACGTCACTAGGCTGGAGCAACACAACTCATACTACTTTAAGGTATTACTATATATTACACTTAGGCTGCCTACAAACTATCCGTTCATAGGCAGTTCTGGTTCAATAAATAGAATGGCTGTGGTTAAATAGTTTGTATCCATGGTATGCTAAATTGCTTGATATAAGTCTTACTACCAGCATTTGATGGCTCTGTTACGACATTAGTTATATAACATCATCACCATCCTCTTCACGAACGCTATCCATTTCCTTCATAATTCATTAGAACCAACCAACAAGTTTATAGTCCAGTGGACAAGATTACTATTACATTTTTGTATAGACCTAATGTTTCCTTGTTTCACTCACATTGGTCCCTTATCAAATATCCAAGGAAGTACCATCTCATTGTCTATGTTTTAATAAAGCATGTCCAGACAACTTCCAATACAGTTTCCTACTTCTATTTCGTTTCATAATAATCACGTGACCGAGTATCTTATTACATTATATATAATCTAAATCATTTTTATCATTAACGCTACCAGCGAGTGACGTATGCATTCAAGGTAAATTTTCGCTAGAATGTGTTTGATGTGATGTTATCATAATTATAATGTGTGGATGTTTCATAGGTGAAGGCGGTCAATACTAAAGGTCAGAGTAACTATTCCAATGAGATTTCGGTGACAACGAGGGTTGATAAGATATTACCGCCGGAACAGGTCTCCTATGACCCTAGGTCTAGTGTCGTGGGCTTCAGAGTGGGGCCCACCTGCCTTCCGCTTATGGGAGTCATCGAAAATTTGGTTGCCGATGGATGGAAGGTAATATTATTATATATAACTATATTTAAGCTTAATCTAAATTTTCTAAAGGCTAAAAGTGCAATAATATATTTTATACTTTGTCCTATTAATGTCCTAATTTTCAATTTAAAATATATGAGAATTTTTAAAAATTTGAATTTTTCTAGCTTGACATTTATTCTATCAATTATTATTTCATAATAAAATTGGCGAACTTATCAAAAATTTAAATTCACAAATCTTAACCTTTACGATCACTTGAAATTGTATTCGATTACACGTATTAATTCCTTTACAGGTGATAGAAACGATGCCTCTCCGTCTGTCGGGAGTGGTTTCATCGGAACAAGATACCACTTTGGATCAAGTGACCGTCGGCGGGCGAGCTGAGAGAAACATTTACGACCCCAACATACGACTTAGACTGAAACTGTGCTTACAGAACAACCAGAACGTGTGCAGCGAATATATTGAAGCTAAGAGTGAGTGTTATATAACAACCAACATTTTTCCCGCGGATTTCCGGGATGTAATGCACCCTATGTGTTATTCCTGGACGTCAGCTTCCTGTTTACAAAATTTTATCAAAATCGCTTCAGCCGTTTGAGCGTGAAGAAGTAACAAACATACACACACAAACTTTCGCAATTATAATATTAGTAGTATTTATTTTTCCCATTAAGATACTATTATGTATTACATGAGATTTACACTTATAAGAAAATAACAAATTAAAGTTCCATGTTGAATATATAATGTTATCTTGTTTTCTTTGTTTCAGTCGGTCCATCCATCACAAAGGAAGCGGTGGCCCTCACCACCGGCACTATGATAGCGCTGATCATATCCTGCGTGCTCATCGTGATGGGTTTCATACTATTCGGCCTGTACTGCCGCTGTAAATGTAAGGAGAAGAACAAGGGCTCGTCCAAGAACTACGTCGTAGAGGCGAAACGATCGCCCGTCGACTCGCCTAGGAATCATCCTCCCCCTCCCTATTACCCCACCACTGGAATGGAGAATAAGGCTCTAGAAAGTTCCATGGACGTGCCCTCAATCATGGAAGACTCCAAGTATTCCTCGCAGCCCTACGGCTACCACATGCCCGCGCAGGACATACCGCCCACCGACTGTAAGCACACACACATATACACGCTTATACATCATAACATTGCTAAATCATCAATCTACTCGCAGGTTAAAAATCAATTTAAAAATAATGATTTTTCCATTCACGCACTCAAAGGACTAGACGGTAAAGAGTTTCACGAATAAATGTTCTAAGTCCTCGCACCAGATCGTAATTATGTATATAATGTTAATTATTAATACTACTTTGTCAACAGGGAACATTCAGTATTTAGAGAATAATTACGCGAACAGCAACAACGGTGGTAGCGTCAACTCTCAAGACTCGCTGTGGCAGCTGAAAATGGTCGCCGCTAACAATTCGTCGGGCATGTGTCACCCCATCATGACATCCGACAGACAGAGCAACTACGGGTCAGTATATTGAAATACACACATACAAACTCAAACTCAAATAACTTTATTCAATATAGAAGCATTACACTTCCTTATTGATGGTCACTTGATACACTACCACCGGTTCGGAAAAGAAACTACCCTGACCTGAGAACAACCGGCGAAAGAAACTCAGCGGGATTTTTTATTTTTTTATATTTGTCTCATATATTATATAAAAAAACATACTCGCAAAGGATTTATTAATAGATGACACTGTTGTTAGTTGTATATCAAATTAGACATGCCTCAAAAGGTTTTCCCTCTATGATTTTTTGATTTTCTTATATTAAAAAGTGTTAAAGTAACATTAAATAATTCTATATATCCAGTTGGTCATGTCAAAAAGTCGTCTCAATAAGAATTATGTTGTCCCAGTTAATTTTTAATCGATTATAAATATATATCATATTCAGATACGACCCCATCAGACACGGCGGCTACGGCACTATCGATGACTACGCGCCCTATCCGCCACTACCGCTGGCACCGCACGGACAACACGGCCAGCTCGGCCAGCATGGCCAACATGGCCAACATGGCCAGATGGCATCTCACGGCCAACACGCGCCACTAGCACCGCATTCGTCCCACGGCCCGGGTTCAGACTACGCTCGCAACTCCCAAAACCCTTCACGGCAAGACTACTGCTCGGATCCGTACGCCTCCGTTCATAAACCCAAGAAACGAATGGACCAACATATCGGTGAGTTATATAAAGTACATGAGGATAATAAATAGTAGGAGTCCATACAATTGCATGAGATTACATTGATTATTTATCATCATCATCAGCCTATCAGACGCCCACTGCTGAGCAAAGGCCTCTTTCTCACATAAAGAAGGTTTTGATTGTTATTGTCATTGAATTTAAATAAGTCAAAGTAGCTTAAGGGTGTATACTGAAATGTACGAGGCAGAGATATTATTTAATGATGAAATTTAAGAACATATTGATCACTATTACTTTTATTAGACTAAATATTGTATTCGAAATCTTGACATATTTTGAAATTGTATCAGTTATGGTTGAATTCTTAGTTTGTGACTAATGTTCCATAGTTTATAATTTCTTGCAATTATTGTTCATAAATTATTTTAAATTTTGTTCAAGACGTCTGTATGTTATAAACATCTCTCTCTCTCTCTCTCTTCGTTTACTGACACGCAAAGTTTCCTCGTTAAATTTAGTTCAAAATTTATAGATAATTGTTTGTGACACCCAGAAGCTATCGGTAACAGTTCTCAAAGCCACAGTTGATGAGACTTTCATCTCGTGTCCATTGACTTTACCACAAATATGGTCGATAAATGTCGTAGGGGCGTTATATAACTCTGTTACACTAAGAGAAGCGAGCGTTTTGTTTATAAAATATGTATTAAAGTCCAAATTTTTTACACACTATGCTTTCTCCGTACTATGAACACAGGTTCTATAAGCTATGCCTGTTTCAGAACATAGTGTATTACTTGATATCTGTCTTATTTCTCTCTGTGAGGCTACATATACAAAACCCGACCCTCGTACCATGAAACACTTTATCCGTCGCAGTATGTAAAGTCTGTTGTAAATATGTTCCAGAGTCCCCGTACCACGAGGTGAGCGGCCTGCCAGAGTTCCCCGACGCTGCGGACGACAAGCCGGCGTTGTCCCTTAGCTACGACGAGTCGCTAGAATCCGGCTACTCCACCCCCAACTCGCGCGCGCGACGCGTTATCAGAGAGATCATCGTGTAAACGCCGCTTTATATGCCAGCGTCATGTAAACCCGCCCCTACACGTGTCTAAACATATTCGCACGTTATTATATATAATGGTAGTATTAGTCGCGACTAACGATCTTTCCGATCTCTATTTACTTAAAATTGATTGTTAATTGTAAATTTATCGGCATATCCAATAAAATAACCACCGACAAAAAATATGTATGAAGATGAAATTATTTATACAATATTAGTATGTACGCGTATTATTATTATTATATACATTTTGCTTTGCATTGGAGTTCAGGAAATCTAATTGATTTATTCAGAATTAGTGTTCGTTTGTCCCGTCTCGGGTGTAATCAACGTAATCTTCTTAATTACTTGAAAAACTCTCAATTAAAACATATCTCAATCTGTCTAAGCAATCTATTACTATGTATGTCACTGACATGAGCAGTGATTATTTTATAAATTCCTAACTCAATGCAATATAAAAAATATGTATAGTGAAATGTTATATCTATTATGAATGTATGAAGGTGTATTTTATCTTTTACAATGTATATACACGAGCTGGTCTAATGATCGATACTATGAACAGTTGACTTTGTAAGTGAATGAATCTCTTATAAAGTTGGCTAAAAGTTATAATATTGAATCGTAATATTTATATTAATTGAACTGATTTTTAATAGGTTAGGATTCTATTTTATATTTTGATGATAATAATTTGAATTTTTTCTTGTATAAGATCATTTTGCTTGTATGGATGTAATAATTTTTGTTTCTATTGACTATAATGTCTGAATACCAGACGCTGTCTGTTTCAATTAATTTACAATTTCAAAATCATTTTCATGAGAATGTATTCAATGTTCAATTCATGCATTCAATGTATGTTATATACGAGTTTATTTTTTTTTTATACATCTATGAATAAGAAATTCATCACAATTTGAATTACATAATTTTCTTCTTTAATCATAGCTTTTTATCAAAAGCTTCTATAAGAACGTCACTTTAAAACTCAATAATTACAATATTGTTATCCAAATGTCTGAAACGAATGTTATATGTAACGGAGTATATGTTTAAATGTAATATCTTCAATAATCTAATATTCCTTATGTACTTGTAATCAATCTATAACTATATAAGCGCTATCCACATATCCAATGCTATTTAATGTCGTTAAAGTTACGGTGTGTTGAACTAAGGCGAGCTTATTACGATACAAGACTGTTAATACGTGTCGCAGTGAGAATAATATGTGTGGTCAATATACATTCACACCGTTTAGTCTTAAATATTTTCTTTACATTAAAACCACTAACAAATCTCAGCTATTGGACTTACGTTCTCTCCACTCGTGCCATCGTTTGATTCGATATGTTATTTTGATGCGATTAAGTCGGTTTAGAAAATTATTTAAAAGGTATTTTATTATAAATTCCTTTAAGTTGTATTGTTTACTCTGTGTATGTTAATTGTCCTCGTGCAGAGTTCTGGGGAGCAGTCATGTATTGCATGTATGAATTATTAATAATATGAATTGTTCTAGACGTTTCTCATGAACTCTTAAGTCTCGTAAAGTGTAATGTATTCTTTGTATCGGACGGTGGTTGTTAGTGTGTTGGTTTCATCGCAGATTTCGAAAAATATGTTTTTAAGAAACTGTCGCAAACAGAACACGCTAGCTCAGGTTCAATTATGAGACGTCCTAAAATTTACGCGACAAGCATACTTAGTACCTATTTATTTACAAACATTCAGGGCGAAGTTGCTTACTGCATGTTGGTAAATAATATTCAATAGAGTGAGAGCTCTCATTTTCTTATATGAAAGATAAATTGTCAATATTTTTTTAAGACACTTTATGTATGAGTGCTGCGAGGTTTAATACAGCGTTACATTTGCTTTATGTTTGTTTGAACCTGTGACGCAATATATCCTTAACAAAAATGTGTTCAAGCAAAAGAAAAGTCGCCTTCTGTGTGACTGCATACATACTTCTGTGTGACTGCATACATATATCTATAGATAGCGTTAATAGCTAAATCTTGCGTAAATTTTAGGACAAGTTTATAACGAATTTAATTAATTATTAGCTGTAAGGAAATTATGTAAATAATTAATGCAAAAAATGTTCATGCATGACTCATTTGAAAATGCATCGCCATAAATAATTGATAATTTAGATGTGACTTAATCAAGGGACTTAATAAGTTATGCTGATAAAATGTTCTTAGATAAAATTATTGAGTTGACGATTTTTTAATGTGACATATTTTTAACACATTAACAGTGTACATAATTATATGTGGGGTGCTTTAATTTTACTTGTGTAATGATCAGTAACTGTTAGCACCTCATTAAGAATACACGTGTATGTAAATCATGATAATTTTAATTTGCTTCATAATTACACGATTACTTTAAGATGTTTCTTATCAATTATGTTTTAAGTTACTAGGATAAGTTTTTAGACTGTCTGAACTGTTAGGGAATTGTTAGTGAAGCGGAGTTATATCAAGTCGAACTCAAATCACAATTCTGGTTATATTATGAAGTAATGCATTATGACATATGTGTTTATATAATATGTTACGTGTAATGTTTTTACACATTTCTATATCTTGTATACAGGGATTGCAATTCAACAAAATTTAGTTAAAGATTGATGATTATGATACTGTTACTTTGTCTGAGGAGTGTTCACTCCCGTCCGTTCGACTTTTTTTATTTCAAACTTGATAGTGTTAGAGGGAGAAGAAAGATACAAGGGAAAGGGCAGCCGTCTCTCTCACTCATCGGATGAAAGGCAGCCATAAATGACTACTTCACGCCGATCTTCTGTGAGAGGATGGTACTTCCCCGGTCGAGCCAGCCCATGTTCGAGCTGTAGACTCTATGACCTACTAAATGTTATTTTTCTAGGTAGAGCCTTCATTGTCATAAACATTTTGTATAGTGAAATCCGAATATATATATTACATACAAATAACATTGCACATTAATGTTTATTGAAGTGAATTGTAATAATGAATATCACATAAGCTGCTAGATGTTTAGTACATGCCACACTTCAACAAGACGGGAGTGCCAAATATTGATGTTTAACAGTCATAACCACTGTATGTGGTAATATTTACTAAATAATACTTTTGACTGTGTCCACTTAATTCCAGTTAAATAAATAAAAATAAAATGTGACAGTTGTTTCTAATGTACTTAATTTTTTTTTACTTTTTTTATTTACATCTTATAGCTTAATTTTTATTTTATATTAAACCTTAATTGATCTACTTATATGAATAAATTGTTGTGTTTTCTCCATACATACTTATGAATCATTTATTGTTTTCTGGCATTTCTAAAATTATTCCTCTCTTTTTTGTTGAAAATGAGTTCGAAAAGTGTAATGAATATTATGGAAATCATTGTAGGGATACAAACTAGTTTCAATTAAAAATATTTAATAAGTGTAAGACTGTAAAACATAATTATTGTAAGAATCTTTGATAGAATTAAGTAAATGGCGCTAAAGCTTTCATAAGTCTTTTTTTGCATTTCACCTTATTTGTTTATATTTTGCTACTTTAAATTATTATTTATTGATTAATGCCCACTGGGCACTGCTATTACAGCGTTGCATACTGTTCTAATTCAATTTCTATTTTAAAAAGAAATTGTTTTGTTGAAAACTTCTAGATCCGCCGATTTGAACATTTTGTAATAATATATTCTTCTTAAGAACATATCTCCCCTTTACTTTAAATGACATTGATCTTTCTCCTTTATCAACACATGAGTTTTCCTTTACTCTTGTATTTATTATTGTAATTTATTTGACTACTTATATGAAATAGCATTTATTCACTGTATTTCAAAACTCAAGCAACTACAATATATATACTATATAATTTCTGATAAACTAATTTGCAGTACAAGTTAAAAATAACAAAACTGCCCTATCGTGGTATGAAACGCTACCATATTTCTATTTCTGAAACCAATAAATCGATAATTTGGGTAAAATTTTGTGAGAAAATCACTAGATACTTGTGTTATTGAAATAATAAGAATATTTTATCGCAATCAATTTATACTTCATACATCTGTATTGTATGTAGTCACGTGACAGACTACAGATGGCGCTGCAGGTGTATATAAATTTTTTTAACTTTCACAAAACCAAAACAGCGGGAGAAGTATGAATTCACAATTTTAACCTAATCATCAAGTTTAAAACTATAATTATGAGGAAAATAAAAATGTTTAAGTTAAACACAAACCAATATATTGAAAATTTACAAAGCCATTCGCATATTTTCAGTTTACTCAACCAGTCAGAAAACATTTACCTACTAATACTTCTGGTATGCTGAACTATCGATATAATTTATTGTTGTGATAAATAATGAAATTTAAAGTAAAAGAGTTTGCTAATTACTTAATAGTGGATAAATTTCACGACTGCCTTATATATTATATCCCTTAAGTCTGTTATGTTTAACTTATAGAATTTAAAATTTTTGTTCAATTGTCTTTAAAACCTATCTGGTAAAAACGCCATCTCTTGGAATCTTGTAGAACATACGTCAATGACATATTTCATTCGAATATATTTTGTAAAAGAAATACAATTTCAGTTATTTAATTTACTTTTGATTAATTAACATTTGCAAATATTCAATAAAGATACATTTTGTCGTGAAACCGACTTAAATTATTGATTTTAGAAACGACCTTTAATGCGCAGAATCGCGTTTTTTGACTAGATGTATCTACAGAGGATTAGAACGCTGTGTGATATAGATTAATTGAAGATGAAGCATCACTAGAATTAATCGTTGATATATACAAAAAGTACAATAACATTTTTATATAATCAATTTCAAATTACAATACAAAAATGGGTAATACACAGACAGGTGAAAAACATCATAAAACCGGAAAGTCACCAGCCAAAGGTAAACATTTTATAAAAAATTTAAACAGAAAAAGTTCCGGTAAAGAAACTAAGAAAAATGCTCGTAAAAAGAGCATCGGGCGGCGAGAAACTCCAGATAAAGAGTTCGATAAAACATCAGAATCCGATAACAATGAAACTATTGAGGCATCTGATAAGGACACGGTCGAGTGCGTGTTCAAAACATCGGCTGGGGAGGGGGGCGCGGGGACGAGTGTGCAGTCGGAGGTAACGGTGACCAGGTGCGAGTACTCCGGCCGGTCACCGACCCGCGACCACTCGCACGCCGAGAAGTCTTCCTCGGACTCAGTATTCACGGACCCTTTGACGCCGCTCGCCGTAGAAGTCAACCAGTGTTATTACTCCGCGGAGAGCGACAGCGCTCCCGAAGAGCCGCTCGTCACGAACCTCGCTCCATGCATCGATGCGCAACAGGTGACCTTGGCAGTCGAAGCCGGATTGACAACTATGCCTCACGATGATACTGCCAGCCCGCTGTCATTTCATGACAGTGTAGAAAAAGAAGAAAAACTTGACGTTTCCGATGAGATTAGTGATAGAGATAATAATGAAACTGTTATGGGTGGGATTTTATCGAAGTCTAAGGAGGAAACACTACCTCATAAGGATCATGAGTGTAATCATGAATTTCTGGAGAACCGGTTGAAAGCTTGTCCGGGACAAACCTCATTTACTATATCCAGGCACAGGAAAGTTGAACTTCCACCGGTCGCAGACACCTCTCTTAATATTCTGGACGATGGTACGCAATTAAGTAATTTATTATTAAAATACGTGCAATTATAATATCATTACCAGGAAGCGTTCACTTAACTAATTATAGAATCGCTTTTATTCTTCATTTTGCTAGGCGATCAATATACGTTATATATTATTATAAACATTTTAGTAAAATATCTTTCTTTACAGTTATAACACAATTTTTAACCCAGATTATCATATTTTACTGTTAACATTAAATAGAATTTATTATTAAAATTCAGTAGCCTTAATAAATTTATATTATTGTAAATGTGTATATTTACTTTTATTTTAAATATACTGTTACTAATAGGACCCGTTTCGTTGCGTCCAAAAAACTGTAATTTTAATATTCCACTTATATGGTGTGAAAGTAAGTACTAGATGCTTATGTCTTCAAGATTGTAAACATTACATATTTACTTACTCTTATCGTCGTCTAATTAACATTTATTAAAAATAATAATTTTCGCTTTCTAGATAAAGAAAAGCGCCATTCCAGTGTCAGTGATGGAGCGATTCCCGATTCAAATGTTTTACGTAAAGTTGCATCTCTCACCCTCGATAAACACACAGAGTCGAGGGTCGTACGACCTAAGTTCGTGCCGGAGAAACTTGATTTCCAACTGTACCAAAAGTTTGAAGGTTTGTTTTTATCCTCTTTAAAAATTTTAAGATATCATAGCCAGTAAATTTTAATAACGTAGGTACTTATATTAAATTTAAAACTCTGTATGATGATGATTTTTTTAAATTAGGTACTCGAAACGGCTTCTCAATACGCTTGTTGATACAATTTTTTCTAAACCTTATCATAAACCTTTTATTTTTATAAAAAAATACATGACAATATTCATTATTCAGTTAGTGTTAGGTATATGTAAATTTGGCTCTTGGGCTGAAGAAACAATTTTTCTACTTCGGTTTATTAATTATCTTCATTTTATGTTAAAAAATAATTTAAAAAAAACTAAGCGAAAGAAATTCCTAATGAGACAAAAGCAAGGAAAAATAATTGAAGAATGAATCATTTTATACCTAACGTTTCATATCAAAACTTTTAATTTAATTACGTTAAAGAATGTCTAGTATTTTCTTAACTCTCTTTTAACAAAATATTGCCAAATGTCTTTCAAAATTCATTTGTGAGCTCAATACTATTAGCATGTGTGGAAACAATTTTTCCAATGAGCGTAACCGCCGATAAAATATATGTAGTTGAAATATGTGGATCACTATACCAAACATAAAAAAAAATATACAAAAACATCTGATTTGTAGAATTATTGTATACTTAATAGAAATGAATAATTATCAATAAATTTAGAAGTAGAGTATTTGACGAGCCTCTTCAGTAGACTTAAAGTGAATAAACAAAGTGATAGCTTATCTTTGATGACTTTATATCAAAGCAGGTAATGTTAATAGCTCTCATTATCTGAATCAAGTAAATTTGCATCACTACATACTGATAAGACTCTACAGCAATTTAGTCTGCGACCTGAAGTGATCGTTTCCTGTCTTAATAATATAATACAATGCAGTTGTCAAGTAATAGAGTAAATTTTTCAAATTCAGCGACACATTTTAATTACGTGCAATTATTAAGCAAGGACCGACCTGCAAAGAAACGTATACAAGACATTGTTACTTTGTTAGGATTGCATAGTGATCATGTAGCCATTTTCAGTGCAGTTGATTCACCTCTTGATAAAGCCCGAGATAAATTTAAAAGAATATCAAGTGCTAAAAGTGCTTTAGTGTTACATGTGACCAAAAACTTGCGGATATTTTTCTTGAAACCAGTGTGGTGGCTAAAACTTTCGTTTGAGTTATATGGAAAATATACTGATATGGCTATTGAATGGGATTTAGAAAGCAGAACCGTAACAGTATTATCGTCTTGTCGAGGAAGGAGAAGATATTTATGGATAATAAATATATCAAGTCCTTGTTATTTAAAGTTTACTAAAAATCATTGCAGTAAGTTGATACATTTGCTATCTATATTCAGACAATTTATTATATTAACAATATATTTTCAAGTAAAAAAGCAGCAAAAGAATCCGTTTTAATTAAAAATATGATTTGTTTCTTACCAATGTCTTGACGTCCTAACCTCTTTAAATCTATCATTTGTATGAACAAAGAACTAGAACGGCATTTGGGTCCTATAAACAACAAAATTATCCTATAAATATCAAAAACCTGTAAGATGCAAGAAAAATTTTTATATGTAATTTTCCTTTATAATAATTAATACTGTAAATGTATTAGATACATCATATTTATTGATTGAATTACTTGGAAATATTATTAATTTTCTATACAAATGTTTTTCTTCATTCGTGTTACATAAACTTTTTTTATAGCATAATTTTCCGCATTAAATCAGTTTTCTTAACTAAATATATTATAATAAATAATGATCAGAATGATAGTAATACATGAATAAAAAATATTCAACTTTTATTTTAATATTTGATTATGTCAAATAACAAAATTGTGTAGTCGAATAAATAAATACATAAGTGTAAAAATATCACAGAAATGTAATATTCTAGCAAGATCCATTCTGACAATGACGTATAAACAAAATATTTTCCGTCACATTGACAAATTGAAACAACAGTGGTTTAAGCATAATTAAATTTCAGCAACAAGTTAATTAAAATTAGGAATCAGAATTATCAAGTGTGAGAATAAACAATATTCATTGATATAAAAGATTATATTCTATCAACGACTCGCAACTTTTCAGCAATTAATAGTATTTGTCCTTTTTATGTTTTTTGCTTGTTTGCAGTTATATTTGCTAGCGTTAGGTTTAGGTAAGAAATGTGTACGTTGTATTATTATTAATTAAATATATTAAAAATATAATTTTTAGGGCAAATGCTTCTGAATTGGTTCGCATCATCAACATCTGAAGATAATCATTTGCGGAACATTCTCAATACTCAGGATCTGAAAACACTTGGGATACAATACTGTACGCACTTGCTGGCGGCCGGTGTCTTGAGACAGATACCTGACAAGGATGCTCCAACTGAGAAAATATTTAAGGTTCCTTACACTATATTACTTGTTTTCAAATACATACATTATTAAGTATAGCAAACTTACAACTACATATTTCTATTTAGGAAAAAAACTATATAAAAACTAAATAATTATTCTTGTTTAATTGTGAGTGTAAGTGCTTATGAATGAATTCTTTTTAATGTAAATAATATATTTGTTATGTTACTTTCAGCCTAATCTAATGTATTATTGGTCACACATGGAGATGCCAGCATCTCAACCAGTTACGCCGGGAAGATTAGACATGTCCTCATGGCCGCCCGAACGTGATACACTTATAAAAACACAAACACAAATCACCAACTACTGCACTATGGAGAACCAATATAATAAACAGCACAGTGAAGATGTTAATGACATAGCCGAAGCTAAGTTTGTTATATCACAGTTGAAAAGGAAACTCCAAGAACTAGAATACCAGTTGGAAAATTACAAAATTGGTCCACAAATTGGGTTAATCAATAAGAAGATTAATAATACATTTATGTCAACTCCAGAAAATTTATCAAACAAGAACAAAATTGATTTAGTTAGTAGAGAAGTTCAAACAATAAATGATAGTGAAGTTATTAGATTGTCGGACAAACCTGTGATAAACTATAAAGATGCAAGTACAGGTGTAAATGAAGATTGCAATTTAGAATTAAGTAGATTAGGTAAAAACAATGAATTGTATAATAATGATTTACTAGGTAAATCAGAAACGAGATCTGAAAAAATAGAAAATTATTGTAAATTAAATAAAAGTCGAGATACTAATAACGCTTATTGGAATGAAGAAATAACGAATATAAGTGGTAACGGTAACAGAAAACTTAGTAATAAAGAAAGAGATTTACTAATCACGAATATTACAAATCAGTTGTATAATATAGATGATAATAATGTTAGTAACACGTGTGAAAGCTCCTCGGATGCTTCATTCTTAAGTACAACAACTGAACTATTAAGTAACAGTAGTAACAGATTCTTAGATGTCAATCAGGATAATTTATCTAACTCATCTACAGAATTTCTTTGTAGAAATGATGACAAGAGAATTGATTACAATATGCAATCATCAGATTTGAAAAATAACTTTATCCCAATACAAGCTACAGAAGCGAGGGATGTTACATTATCAAATATGAACCTGTCATTGAAAAGTTCTGATAAAAGTAATGATTATCAATCTGCTGCTACACCACCGCCTCCGTATCCTGGGATGCTGCCATCTCCCCCACCCGCGCCAGGGACAAATCAAGATCAGTCACTTTGCAAGGAATCAAAATCACCCGACATAGAAAAACAATCATCATCACCAACAAATCAACACAAAACCGACTTACTTGATGACAGTAAAGCTTCCCCAACACAGGATATTGTTAAAAGTTCCAGTATTGATGAATCTCCAAAATCAAACAGAAATCTTGACTGCATCAGAGAAATCGAAAATAATGACTTGAAAGCTACAAACTTAAATTCAGTGTCATCAAACCAAAATGATGTAAGACAAAGAAATAGTATAAATTCCTCCCTACTTCTTTCCAGTGATATCGTATTACCACCGCCACAATCACAGGAGTCCACAGTATTGTACCCTCAAGATATTAAAGTAGACGATACTAAAACGCCAGATATTCCTGATCCAGAAACGCTTTCTTTAAAGTTGGAGTTACCAAGTACAGAAACACCAATCACAGCCATAAATCAGTCTTTACCAGCGACAGTTGTGGGTCCTCCACCTCCACCTATGCCTGGAACTGAGGAACTCACTCCATTAATGCCTAGTATGGGACCACCTCCACCGCCAATGCCTGGAATGGGGCCCCCTCCCCCACCCATGCCTGGAATGGGGCCTCCTCCCCCACCTATGCCTGGAATGGGCCCTCCGCCACCGCCAATGCCTGGAATGGGCCCTCCACCTCCGCCAATGCCTGGAATGGGCCCCCCTCCCCCACCGATGCCCGGTATGGGCCCCCCTCCTCCTCCTCTGCCCGGTATGGGCCCTCCACCACCTCCCATGACTGGTTTAGGACCACCATCGCCAGTAACAGCTGGAATGCCTCCGCCGCCTCCATTAAATGCTGGACCTGTGCCATTCCCAGCGCCACCCGTGGGTGGATGGAATATGCAAAGAGCAAGTTAGTAATTTTTTTATATAATACGAATTGTTATTATTAAAGTGAATCATTATGAACACAATAATTTTAGCGAAGTTTTTACCTTACGTCCAGTTGAGGTATCAAAATGTTCTGCTTTATAGAGATTCATAAATAGTTTTTTATCAGAGATGCGAAATTACCGCTGACATTTCTCATTTAACATTTTTTTGCTTGGTTTTATTAACTGTAAATAACTTAACTAAATAAATAAAAAACAAAAATAACTTTGGTTTAACCGTACATAATACGATCACTAGAAAATGCTCGTTAATAGAATATTTATATTTTATTTCTGGTTTTATTAAAAACACCATTATAAACTTTCAGCTCTGAGGAAAACTCCCATAAAGCCTGCGGCTCCTATGAAGCCCTTATATTGGACGAGGATTTTAGCACCACCGATACCCCCATCCTGTCAAGGCGATCCGGAAACATCGGGATTCAAACCGCTTTGGTTAGAAATAGAAGAAGCTAAATTGGACAATATAGACGAATTCGCTAATCTATTTTCACGTCAAGTCGTAAAAGCTCCCGTTAAGAAAAAGGTTGAAGTGAAAAGTAAAATACAACCGATCAAGATTTTGGACAGTAAACGTTCGCAGAACGTCGGGATTCTAGCGCAGAGTCTCCACGTTGAGTTCTCGGAAATCGAAAACGCTATTTACAATTTTGATACTTCGGTCGTCAGTTTGGAAGCTTTGCAGCAGATTTATGAATTGGTAAGATGAATACATGTACATTAAATATATTTATGTGACGACCACTCATTATTATATGTCATTAACAGAGAGCCAAAGATGAAGAACTAATGATGATCAAGGAACATTTGAAAACCAAACCTGGTGTGCCACTGGATAAGCCGGAGGCGTTCCTACATGACTTATCTGGAATCCACAATTTCGCGGAAAGAATATCCTGTTTTACATTCCAAGCTGAATTTGATGATGCAGCAAACACGATAATGCACAAATTAGATAATCTAAAGCACACTTGCGAGGTATTGTACATATATTATTAACGCAACTTATCATAATTGGTGAAAGAATTAACAAGAATTTTACCTTCTAGTTTCTTGTGACGAACGAATCTCTTAAGCAGTTGTTTGCTATCATACTAGCTCTCGGCAATTACATGAATGGTGGAAATGGTCAAAGAGGACAGGCTGATGGATTCGGTCTAGAAATACTTTCCAAATTGAAAGACGTTAAGGTAATTGCCTAAGTTCACAAAATTATAATAAAAGGCCCCCAAAAAAAATTACTTATGGTTTGCCATTAAGGACGAACTACAATCTACTTAAATGTTATTATCCCTACTAATATTATAAATGCGAAAATAACTCTGTCTGTCTGTTACGCTTTCACGCCTAAACCACTGAACTGATTTTAATGAAATTTGGTACAGAGATAGAATTGACCTTGGGAAAGAACATAGGATAGTTTTTATCCCAGACTTTTGAAAGGTTCCCTTGGAAACGAGATATAACCGAACTCCTGCGGGCGAAGCTAGTTACAAATATTTCCTTAATAATTTTTGACTTTTAATATATTCATACATATTCTGTATTGAAAATGTATCCTCAGTCGAAGCAGTCCCATATAACGCTACTACACTTCATAGTACGTACGTACATGCGTGTTTCGTCACTGGGAGCCCTACCGGTGCCGGAGCCCGGGGACGTGGCTCGCGCCGCCGCCCTCGACTTCGCAGAGGTCGCCACTAGTCTGAACACACTTCGCACTAACCTTGACGGTAACAGTATTCTCTTACATACTTTAAGTAACCCTGTTCCGTATGAAATTGCTCTTGTAGATACTTGTGTGTACTTTACTTATTCAGCATCTAATATTAATCCATAAGGTTTTTGCTGAGCAATTTTATCGATGTAAAATTTTTCAATTTTTGTTTATATGTAACAGAGTGCCGAGAAAAGGTTGAAAAAGTTATCGAGACGGATGCACAGATACAAAAGATGGAAGACGAAAACGCTAGTTGTGAAAGTAAAAAAAGACTGGAAGTGTTCAAAGACAAGATGACGGCGTTCCTGAATGCTGCGGGAGAAAAACTTAAGACGGAGAACGATAACTTGACGGAGTGTAAAAATAAGTTTATAGCTACAGTGAAATTCTATCAATATTCTCCAAAATGTGGCAAAGTTGAAGATTGTGAACCGAAGGAGTTTTTTTCCCTTTGGACGTCGTTTTGCAGTGACTTTAAAGACATTTATAAAAAAGAAGAACAAATAGCAATTAAAGAAAAGTGAGTTTTCATATAAAATAAGTATTTAATTTTTTTTTTACTTTCATCCATATATTATCACCACGACGTAGGACGTTTCACTAGGAAAATATTAAGTTTGTTTGTATAAAATATTCTTAAGATCTCTTTCTGTTTTTAAATTTAAATCGTCTCTGAGATATAAATGTTATAATTTTTCGTTTGCAGATTAAAAGAAACTAAAAAGCTACAGTGCGAAAGAAAAGCGAATACTCAGCCCAAAAAAGAGGGTGGATTAAAAGCCCGTCTTCAGAAGTTGTCTAGCACAAAGAAATGAATATAGGAAATAACTCAGTCATAACTTTATTCACTACATGTTTTAAACATGAACGTTAAAACACAAATAATAAACCATCACTGCATCAGTGTATGAAATCACAAAAATAAGAATAACTATAAAGATCAAATGTTTACAACGAATTTGGAATGTTACTTATAATTTGTATAATTATAAAACTTTTGTTTCCTTAAGAGTATATAACAACATAACATTTGTAATTTTCAAGTTTCAATAGCAGAAACTAGTTTTTTAACACAATATTGCTTTTGGCTTAAATAATTTACATGTAACCTCTTAATTCCATAATGAATAATATATAAGAAATTTTAATGTTTAATATGCGAAAAATAACAAATAAGTGCATTTAATGTTTCTCATATCTAATATAAATAAGATTTGGTTCAAAAAGTTCCAAAATGTGTATGTATCAAATTGTATGGCTGTGGTCTTAAGATTTACGAGAATCTACTCACAAGCTATATTGTTGTGATTTCTACTAGCATTTTGAGTATCGTTTTTACTTAAGTAAATGATGACAGCAGTCACAAAATCAATTGTAAACAAAAAATAAGAGTACTTTAGAATTTACTACTGAATAATGTTTTATTGAATATTAAAATGCATAGTATTATGTACATTCCATTAATGAATGAATCATGTTACCGCCATTGGTCTTATACTCTTTAACAATACACAGTATAATGTGTAATAACTCTTTAATAATGTACCTGATATTATTTAACAGCAGCTACTTACCTGCTATATATTGTTTACAATTTTACCTACATACATGGTGCTTTATTGGTGTAACTAAGTTTTGTAAAGTACAGTAGATAGTGAAATAATACATTTTTTTTTCTATTTAATAGTTTTTTATTTATTTATAGTCCAAACATTTCTTTTGCCATATTTTTTTTGTTTTTCTCTCAAGTTTATCAGACATAATAAGAGGATTATCTAAATTCAAAAGAGCAGTTTTCAAAGCCTGCCATTGCATAAAACTTAAGTGTGTAGTAAGAGATTTTTCATCAGAATTATTTCTGAATTCTTCTTCAGCCTTTATAAAGGCCTGTAGACTGTTTCTATCTACAATATTGTCAATATCATGATTAATTATTTTCTTCTCCTTTTGAACAGGATTTGTCTCGGTAGTGTTTTTCTTGTAGAGTTTATTAAACATTTCTCTTGATATAACTTCGCCCTGGTCATTATTGACCTTTTGAGTGTTCTTCATAGGTTGTCTAATATTTTCTACTACTTTGTCTTCAACGGGAAGTGTCATTTGTAAGTCTGGTTTTTCTGATTTAGCGGTTTTACTAGATGTTTTATTTATATTATTGACATATTTCAATATGCTCTCACACAGTTCACCTTCGTCATCTTCAACTAAAATAGAGTCTACATCTAAACTTAATTTCTGTGTCCATTCAAATCTGCCTTCTTTATTTATGTTTTTCATATTAACCAATGTATCCAAGTTATCTGGTAACTCATAATCATGTGCAAAAATACTAACACCTTTATCGGGTAGTTGATTTAAATATTGATGTAATCTACTATACCACTTACTAGAATGTTGAAGCAATACTAAACTGAGAGACCACACACGGCTCAATAGGGCATAAGGCATGAGACACATCCAGTGACTTTCCCCCCTTTTGATTCTATTTAAATAAAATATAGAAGCTTTTTTTGAGCAGACTGTTATTCTAAACATTATTTTTGAGAAGGCAATTAGACGTACTAATACATATTCTAACATTTGTTTTGTAGGAAAATATGGTGAAGCTTCTTCTTCAGATGGTAAAACGTTAAAAAAACTTTGAACATCTTTCAGAAAACCCACAACTAAATATCGGCGTAGCGCAGTATTCACTTTCTTAAAGTTTTTGTAACCAATGTCATTTCGAAATTTCTTATCAAACTTATACACAAATCTTGAGAAAATTGCACTTTCCTTGTGCAAAGGAGACTGCTTCGATAAAATATGAATAATAGAAGTACAAGCGTGTTTAAGGCCAACTAAATCTGAAAAAAAAAACCTTTATGAGGTATTGAAGAAAACAATATTATATTACTAAATAAGGTGCTTACCAATATCGTAGTTACATTTAGATGTGTTAATTGGGGGTGGTAAAATAGATCGATCGTTCCAAGGCTCTAACATTGTTTTCAAAACAATATACGTACTGGTAAAGAGATAGAGTTTACTTTTGATATAACCTCAATACAAAAGATATTTTTTCATTAATACGTTGCTGTTTTGCCTTCAGTGTATTTAAATCTTGATTGAGCAATGTTAGCGGTATTAAAATAATCATTTTGGGATACTATATTCTTTTTAGATTTTTATTTATATATCTATTAATGACATTCGGAAACTACACTACATTGATTACAGATAAATAAAGATTATAGAGTAATACTTCAACTAAATCTATGTAAATGGATTAAATTAATTAAATATACAATTTTTTTTAACATTCTGGGCTAAATTCTTTTTGTGAAATCTAAAAGTTAATTAAAATACATAGGTAATTTCTGAAAAAATTTAGTGATAATTTTTGGTACGAAATATATTTTCCGGGTTAGAGCAATAACCAATTAAATAAATGAAATATATTCGATGAATGATATATATGAGTAATATTCATTATGATTTTATTTTTTCTTTTATGTCAATTTTTTCTATTCTTGATTAAAATCACCATATGGAAAAAAAAAGTTATTTTTTGCATTGGTCTTTATTTATTTATTACAAAATGTAACTTGCTTAATTATGATATTCGGTCATGAACTTTCACATGGGTACTTCAAAAAGATTTTATTTATTCCATTCCATCCACATCTTCTCTTATTAAACCTCCAAAAGGTGAATCTGGTGGAAGCCATTCACAGCTGGTGTCTTCTGATGAACATACCTGAAAAGTGAAATAAAAACGTTAAGTCCAGTTTTTTTATGAAGCACAGCGATATTAAATAAAATGTGGATAGTACTTAAGTTCATATAAAATTAATAATTAATTTTCCAATACCTGACATTTGCAATTAACTGCTTCAACGTAGTGGTATAATTCAGTACCGGGTTCCACACCAGCATCGCAATGCCGTAGTTTTACAGAGGCATGTTTCCTCTCACCGTGAACACATACAGGGTGATGAGATTCCTTGTAGGGAAATTGCCAATGCGCGATCTGGTTTTTAATAAAAAATCAAATGACGAATTGTTAACAGCACATAGATATGTTTATACATATATTTTACTAGAAAAGTTAGTTGAAATCTAAAGCTCTTCTATGCTTAGATTAGAATCAGACCTACAGCTGTTATATAAGATAATTTGGTTTCCTAACCCTTAATGGATAAGGAATTAAATAATGTGCATCATATAATACAATGTGTGTTTAGTTTAGTAGTATATAAACTAAGAATAAACATATAGATACCTCATAAGACAAACAGAATCCCCAGCATGAGAGAATCTTTACATCGTCCCAACACCGAAGACCATTAAAATCCGTTTGTACAGCCTTATGTGTATATCGCTTCAGTTTACAGCGGTTATTGAGTGATGAACTTGCGCCTTCTGACACGCACCATATTGTCATCATCAGTAGTACTATTTTAAAACACCTTGTAGAATCGAACATTTTGTTTTAATTTTTAAGTTCCTTCTGAGCTGAAGCTCTTCCTTGAACTGTTTGAGTTCGGATCCTCTACAATTCGTTTTTATAGGGATACTGAGACTACGTCAAGACATTATTTCCATGTCAGTTCACATCAAAACAGCGCTCAAACCATTACTTTTGTAATTTAAATGATGGAAATTTAAGAACAGTCGCAAGAATACATTAGAATCAGTAATTATTGTGCCTTGAATAATCAAGCCAAATATGTACATAGTTTCAAATATAAAAGCTAAACTGTATTAATGGAACAGAATAAAAGCTTTACAATACATATTGTACCTACATTGAAACTATTTGTTTAAACAACGTTAAGATTTAATATTGTGTGGACCTTTCCCATTAATACTATATATGACAATAAGGTTCTTGGTTCTCTTCTGGTTCTAATTTTATACTTTTTTTCACATTTTATATTATTTATACAACTACAAATTCGCATTAAGTTGAAAGTAAGCTTCTCAATTCTCATTGTTATGGGTTTATAAATGTTGTGGGTTTTAATAAGAATATTATATTAGGAAAAGTATAATAAAACTTTTTATTATATTTAATGTAGATTTTAATATAATATACTATAACAAAAATTCATAGTATTTTAATATACGTATTACACAATCCAATTTTTTTATTATAGATTAAGAACTAAAAATAATATGTTAAATTTAAGAACTGGCCGAAAGGTGTTTCTTTTTTATTTGATAGATGAAGTGTTTACTTAAATAATGTAATTTTTATTATTTTCATGACTTTTCTTTAACTTTGATGTATAGAGGATAATTGAATTTAACAGTTCCACAATAATATGTACTGATAAAAAAATATATAAAAAATCCTTAATAGTAAGAACAATGTTTTATTAACGGTATGTATACTAATAGTTTTGGCATTAAGTATTTTAGTTATAATACTTAAAATACCATTAAGAATAATTATGTTGCAGAACAAAAATGAATACCACTAATAAAAATATGTATTATCCCTCAAGTCCTAAATCTGTTAATAGTTTTAGAGGTGAGTATTATTATTACTTTTGTAAATATGACAGTGTTATTATCAATCACGTTATATTTTAAAACTCATTTATATTTTAAAGTACGTATTATACTTAAGCCTCTTTAACATCGATAGAGGGCAACAAAATTATCTGTTATCCTTTTCAAGACTGATGCTCTCCTCCAAGTTAAAGGAAATTGGTTTTGAAGGTAGCCAGGATCTCTGATTAGTAGATGTTCAAACCATTCGTTAAAGTTAAACCTAGGAAACTCGGGTTTTTAGAACGATGTATTCCTTTTTACAAATTCATTTTTTTTACAAAATGTAATGAAATAATATATTTAACATTATTATCGGTGACATATTATTTTTAAAACTCATGTGACAAACAGGATTTATTGAATTGAATTACCAGCATTTTATATTGTAGGGTTTGTTATTAATATAGAAGTGTAAAATCCTAAAATATTGCTTATCAGCAGAATTTAAGCTTAGAAATTGTTACTAACTTATAGCTATCAGTTTTGTCCATTCAGCTTAAATCTGCTATTGTAATAACTAATTCATAGTTAAGTGATAGCAATCTTTAGGAAAAGTCATTTTCTAATATGACTTTGACACTTCTATGTTTACAGCAAATTGTAACTGAAGTCTGTAGCTACCTATTCAATTATCTTTAAATTATACAAGGTTTATATTTTGCCATGATCCATCTGATCCTATACCGTAAATCGTATTCGTAAATTCTTTAACAAGTAATATGTCACGTCGTACACCTACAAAATCTCGAGTAAAAATTTGTAACAAATCTGTATTTCATCTCCAAGATAAAAAAGCAGACGAAAATGAACTATCTATTGGTTTAATAAAATCTGCGAAGCGAACAGGACAACTCAGTTTATGTAACAGAGGCCTGGGTACAGGTGAGATTGAAACTGTCCTTTACTTTTTATATATCACCAGTTATTTTGCATTAAAATTTGAATACTCTTAAATATGAACATATATATGTATTTCAGTACCTGAAAATGTTTGGAAAATTAATGATTTGGTCTTGGATGATACTAAAGATGTCGATTTTTCAAGATCTCCTAGAGATAACTGGTGGAATGCAGAGCCATTGAAAATGCTTGATCTTAGTTCTAATGTTATTAAGATCATTTCACCCAATATAAAGTTTTTATCAGAACTTATAACATTAAAGGTAAGATAAAATATAATTTTTGTATTAATATTAAGTGTAACAGTTCCTTGGCAATTTTCTAAATATTTTCAGCTCCATGATAATGCCATTGAAAGTATTCCTCCTGAAATTGGTGAATTAAACAATTTGTCCAATTTAAGTTTAGACCATAACAAATTGGAATGTTTGCCAAAGGAGTTCTATAAATTGACTGAAATGAGATGGCTGAGTATTTCTCATAATTCAATAAAAAATATTGAACCAGATTTTGGGGACCTTGTAATGTTAACTTTTCTGGTAAGTTTTAGATAATATTTAGTGTTTTGTCCATTGAAGTGTTATATAGTTTCAATTCAAGTAATTTAAACTTGAGTTATTAAATTATTGGCTGCTGAGAATATCTATTGCTAGTTTTATACTTAGTACATCAGAATATATATTTTCTTCAGACTATACAGAAAAAAAATCTTCTTAAAATATATTTTAAATATATCTATTAATTAACAAAATTATTCATCACTACCTATTTTATTTTCAATCAAAATTAATTAAGAATAAAATAATATATGTATCTCATAGTTAACAAAAACCATTAAAATAATCTGCTTTTCATTAATATGATATGTATAATATTTTTTTTAATTTAAGAAAGTTATTAACAATTATACATGTATTTATATATGCAGGATTTATCTCATAATAAACTGACTTCTTTGCCGCCTGGAATGGGTTATTTAGTTCGCTTGGTGGATTTAAACCTGTCTTTTAATGAGCTTACGGAACTTCCACCGGATATTGTTAATCTTAGAGGTAGAATCTTATTTTATAATGACATGTTCATATATTCATTGGTAGTTTTTAATAAACTCGGGAGTAAATTGAAATCAGTTATGATTTAAATATGCCATCAGAAAGTTTATAAGTTTAATTTACAAATAAGTTATCACAATAATTGTAATTGCATATTTTCAATTTCTTCCTGAAAGAAAAACAATTGTGAATGAAACTTATATAATATATAATATTAGAATAGATAAGATATATTAATTTATTTTCTATTTAAGATTTGAAGAAATTTAATGTGAGTAATAATGAGTTAAAGAAGTTACCAGCCCTCGGTGAATTGAGAAAGATGGAAACCTTAGATGCCAACCATAATTCAATTGAAGAATTGCCTGATTTCTATGGCTGTGTGGCCTTGAAGGAAATCTATATCGCTAATAATTTCATAAAGGTATTATATACAAGCTATATAGAATAACCTTAGTTATACTGTATATTACAGCATTAATTGGGCCATTGGCCTTATAAATATCTCTATTAGTTATTTGTGATATGTTATAGCTAAACAGAAAGCAAATAGTTTTGTATTGTATTGACTAAGTATATCGTGCTTAGAAAATTTATCAGTATATCATAAATATTTGTGTTTAATTTTGTTTTTACAGTATTAAAATGTGTCTTTAATGTTTTTTCTTTGTTAGGAAATCACGGAGGAATTTTGTGATCAGATGCAGCATTTAAATGTTTTGAATATCAGAGACAATAAACTAGAAGTCCTTCCAGAGAACATATCACTGCTTCAGAATCTTAAGAGATTTGATTTATCTAATAACAACTTAAACAAGTAAGACCTATATGAGAATAATTTTAATAGTTTTGATTTTTAAGTTATACTAATGTTTAAATAATAAATGTGCCCTATTATGATATTCTATACATAAAGAATAATGAATAACAAGAATATTATTTTTTTAATACATTATTGCAATATTTAATAAATTTTGTGTACAATAAATGTTAAAAATAGCATTATAGATAGTGATACTAAATTCTGAAGTATAGTAATGATAAAGTTGATAAGCAAATATGAATTATAAGAATAAAAACAGTACGTTATACCGTATATTAATTAAGAGTTCATAAATTTCTAGATTGCCGAAGAATTTGGGTCTCCTATCACAATTGCAGAGTATCAGTATGGAGGGAAACAAGTTGTCGTTTGTAAGGCAGGATGTTATCCGAGGGGGTACCGACAGGATGATGAAGTATCTGAGAGACAGAATGGCTGAGGAAGTGGTTGGGGAAGCAAGACTCACTGAGAACAACTGGCCAGATAAGTATGTTCATGGATTAGCGACCACTGTAACGATAGACTTGAGACAATATAATAAACAAGTTCTGCTTAAGTCTAGTTGCAATAGGCGTTATAGAGAACACTATACTTGAGACTATTTAATTATCAAATTCTGTTTAAGTCTTTAGTTTCAGTAGGTGTTATGGAGAACCAATTTCTACTATGTTTAAGTTTATGAGAATTAATTAATAATTTTTATTTTCCGTTAGATATACATTGAAGAAAAGTCAAGCTTTGATTGTACCAGCTAAGGAATTGACTTGTGTGCCTGAAGATGTCTTCGTAAACGCGGCGCAGGCGGAAGTACATGTGATTGATCTATCGAGAAACAAGTTCACAGGGCTGCCAGCGGGGTTAGAAATATTTTTTAAATGTTAAAACTTAATATATTAGGTTATAATATAGAAGTTATGAAAGGAACTCCTGAAAGTGGTAACCCTATATGAATGTTTGAATGTTTATTTTCATTAGAACTATAAGCAAACTGAATTCCGAAACCATTGTTCATATTGTTGATTTATTTGTATTATGAATATGGACTCAATACAGAGATATCGATTCATAATAATATAACGTGATTTCAATATGCTGGCGTAGTTTTAACACCTGTAATAAAATTTTCAAAGCCGTTATAAAAAAAAAAGAAAATTGATGTCCTATGAAATCAGTATGAAAACGGTAAAAATTACCATCAACTTACAAAACGATAGATTAATAATCTTTGAAACTCGTTTAATCATGTAAATTTTATGATTATCATATCACTGTGACGTCATATGGGTACCCTGTATCACAAAAAACTTATATTTGTTCAGATTCCACCTGGTCCGGGATACATTGACACAGTTGTTGCTATCATCTAACAGTATAGAGGTGGTACCTCCAGAGATCAGTACTTGCAAACACTTGCAGTACATTGACCTCGGGAAGAACTGCCTCACTGACCTACCTATGGAGATGAGCGATTTGAAGAATTTGAGGGAATTGGTGATATCTAATAACAGGTGAATTTCTATTAGAATGAAACAAGAAATGACATTGTATATAAAAATAATTGTCTTGTAATAATATTAGTTAACTTTTCGGATTTACGAAATAACTTGTTGGCCGTAAATTTTATCAATTTTATTTTATTACAAATACTCTTTTTTGGTAGGTTTACAAAGATACCTCGCTGTGTCTACGATTTGGAAAATTTGGAGATTTTATTAGCTGCTGAGAACCAAATAACAGAGATCAATGTATCTTCGGACGCTTTGGCCAAGTTGAAGAAACTGGCGGTGTTAGACCTCACTAACAACAGTATTATTACCGTGCCGCCTGAACTGGGGAACTTTACGCATTTAAGGTAAACAAACAAGGATTCTTTTAAAGTAAATCAATTAATTATTTTTAACTTAGGGAGAAATATTAAAGAGAATATGAATGAAAGGTAGAAAGAAGATTTCCAAATCATTATAAGAATTAAAATAATCAGGTACTTTTTTGAGAGTATAAGGAATGTGATTACAATAGAGATTTGTAAAATTGTAAAAATTATATATATTTTTTGGTAGAAAACTACGGCAAAGGAATTATTTTATATTTTACCGGGCATACAGTTCGAAAAGATGGCGATTTAAGCGTCCAAAAATGCTCGTTGAATTTTTTTGTATATAGTTATTTTCCTGTTTTGCCTTCTGCAATCTTAATTTCTGTTTTGTTTCTGTTTTTTCCGAGTCTTGCGTCCATTTCCATTCCATTTATATTCCGAGAAAGATAAACTGCTCCTAAGAGGCGCCCGCGAAACAGATATATCGCTGTATTTTTTTGTAACCCGTGCGAGTTTACTCTTGTGTTTTCGAACCAATTCAGTCATCGGTCAATACGCCCGAGGGACAACCGCATCTGTCTGGTAAGTTCTTTGGTTTCGTCGCTATGACATTGTTGCGCTCGAGAGGCGTATATATATATATATATATATATATATATGTGTGTCTTCTGTGTAACTTCTGTACATATTTAATTGATTTTGTTTTTTTAATTTTTGCCTACTTTGACGTGTTTATGGTGAATATAAAGATATTAATTTAAATCGTTTTTAGGGACGTTTTAACATCATGCCGTACAGAAAACGATTGGAAGAAAGCGAAATTGCTTCTTTTTGATCGAGGAAGTTGAATAAATCTAGGATGGCAATAATAGCGAGATGGACGACTATATAAGTAAAGACAACGTTCAGAGTGATTCCTAAGACGAAAACATAGACAAAGTTATCGAAGAAAGCCGAATGATACCTCAATAATTTCTGAAAATCTAAGACATGACCACTGTAATGCCGCCTCAAAGAGTGATCAGAAGTAAGAACAGGCATATTTGAATTACTTCTAAAGAGCAAAGTAGTGGCAGAACAGCTGCGATCAATATAATTCGCTCTAATAGAGGTCCTAGTCGTATGTATTGAAACCACTGTTTTTGAACCACTTGGATGCTTCCAATAATTTATTACGGAAGAAATCAATCCAGAAATTGTTCAATTGACCAATGTAGAGATAAAGAAAAAACGTTCTGATACTATGACTAGTTTGACATTTGAAGACACGAATGCCACTGAAATCGAAGTTTTCATAGGACTGCTGACCCTTAGTGCTGCGATGAAAGATAATCATTTATCAACAGTTGAACTGTTTGTCAGTTCATTTACGGGCTCAAGATATGTGGCAGTAATGAGTAAAGATACTCGTAGCTTTGACTTTACTGTCCGGTGTCTCAGAATGGATGACAAAACTCTACGTCCTAATCTTCGCCACCAAGATCCATTTATTCCAATGAGAAAGGTCTGGGATATGTTTATAGCTCAATGCAAAATGAATTATTTACCCAAGAAGTTTTGTGATAATTGATGAACATTTACTTGGATTTCGTCGTAGATGAATGCCCATGTAGAATGTACATACCAAACAAACCAAATACATTGGAAAAGCTACAAATACAAATGGTTTGCCACAAGGAGAATGTTACTTGAAGCTGTGTCTCAGCCAATTTATGGTTCCAACCGCAATATTACATGTGACAATTGATTCACATCTATACCTGCTTCGACATCATTACTTCTGGAACCGTATAAATTGACGGTAGTAGGTACTGTTCGCTCAAATAAACGGGAAAATCCTGAAGAATTGAAAAACAGTCGTTCTCGACCTGTTTTGACGGACCTTTGACCCTAGCATCATGTAAGCCGAAGCCTTCAAAGATGATTTATATGTTGTCATCGTGTGATGCTGCAATAAATACAACATATGGCAAACATCTTTATGCTTTACAACCACACTAAACGCAGCGTCGATACATTTGACCAAATGTGTTCTTCTATGTCTTGTTCTAGGAAAACTAACAGATGGCCAATGATAATCTTTTATGGCATGTCAAATATGGCTTTTGTCAATTTTTTTTCTAATTCACACTCATAATATTTTGTCAAAACAACAAAAACCAATAAACCTTAGAGAGTACATGAAACAATTGTCGTTTGAACTATATACACCGTGGTTGAAATCAAGATTGCGTATTTCTACTTTGCAAAGAAATTTGAGAGAAAATATAGAGGAGTTCCTACGAAAAGGCTAATCTAGAACTTCGGCAATAGCTGATGAAGAACCTCCAACAATTGTGCGGCGTTATTGAAGCAGTTCTAAAAAAAGAAAATGTCTTAAATGTCTTGTAAGAAATGTAAAAAAACATTTGTAACAAGTGTTTATAACTCAAAATTCTTTCAGTATTTTTTGTGATTTGAGACTTATTAGATAGTAAAATTAAATTTTATAAAAAAATACCTATTCTTTAAAAAAATACTAAAAATGATTAGTTCTATAAAAAAATTCAAATTTTTCTTACTTTTTTGAAAATTCTTCATGATTCAATAAAATAAACAAATAATAATAGATATTCATGTTTTATTTATTTTATAATAATGTAAAATTTAATTGATATACAAAAAAATAAGTGTTTTTTTTAATATGAAAATAAATCGATATTTAAAATGTTGCGCCTCTGAGGTGCTTGTTTATTTTTCTGTACAAAGAAATAAGCTTATCTTTGTAGGGTTAATATCACTCTAATCATTATTACCATTTAATGCTTCCAATGTTTTGCCAGGTCTGCGCCAATCGCCAAAAATCCCATTATATTTTATGTCATCACCTTCGAAAAATATTTTCTTTCACAACCGCTGAGATTTTTGTGAAATTACGATCAGCTTACCCTATTATTACCCTAACATTGAAAAGGAATTCTTGTTGTTCTTCATCACTTACAATATAATTTTTGTTTATTAATTTAAATTTAAAGAAATTTAATCTTGCCTCTCTCCTTTTCCCGTCCTTTCCTCGGCCTCGAACACTATCAAGGTCGGCAAAGCATCCTCAACATCCCTTTATTGTAGACGTCTATAGACGACGCGTTGACTACCTTCCATGCTTGTTATCTGCTCGTTTACCATTATGACAAAGAAATATCATCTTTTATAAAAATCTTAGTAACACAATTCGTAATTTTACTAATTTCTATGGTAACCCGAGTTATACTTACGTTTGTCCGTTGTATTTTGGACTTAATCGGATGATTTACAAATATTTTCTTTGTAAGCTTGTTTGCACTTTTAACCAGTAGTCAGACACTTTTTAATCATTTTACGGTTCAAACTCTAACTGAACAAAATCTGTGTATCTTCTGTTAGGAAACTTTTAGTGAAAATGTTTATTTATTTTTTTGAAACTTCTTTGATCATAATTCTAATATACTGTAAAGTGTAAACGATATTGACATGACTCCTTTTATAATTGTGTGTTACAATTAAATTTCGATCTTTTATATTTTCTGCAAAATATTTGTCCGTAACAGTAAATTCATTCAAGACAAAAATTCTACACGAAACAATATTGACATTTTCTTGTTTATCCATAGCAAAATTATTATATTTTTTTATCAAGGCTGTTTTATGGTGTCTTCAATATTTTAAAAGTAAACTTTGTGTTGTGCGTTTTAAATGTGTTGTGTTAGCTCTGCTAGCAGTGAATGTCCGAAACCAATTTTCATTACAAAACTCGGATCGGCACAGTTTTTGATTTTTGCCCCCATTTTCCTTGTTTTTTCTTATATATATGAAGAGAATGTATTTTGTTTATAGACCAAGTCTCTTTAGAAGTAAAAATCGCACAGTAATTTAGTAAATTATTTTTCTTTTGATATAATCTAAGTAAAAATAATCTGTTAGGTTACGAAATCGTTTCTCGCATCATAATTGATTTTTAATGACGTTTTATCTTAATGATAGTTTAATTTATATATAATAAAATAACGACGGATTTGTTTCTACGACTCTTAATTTTATGTCAATCATCTTTGATTTTTTTTCTTTTAGCTTCGGATGTGTATTAACATTGAATTTACACCAAAAGGCCTCTTTTGTTGTTTAATCAAAACAAATTTTTACTAACAAATTAATCACTTTTCAGAAAGTCAGGCATGAAGCATACAATAATAATATTAAGGTATTTTTTTTAAATTAAGCATAGCGATAACAGAAAAATTTATTCTTTTTTACGCAGATTTTAGATTTCTGGCAACAACAGAAAATAATTTTAATAAATAAGGAAATTTGAATATATTATGTATTTTTAATTATAAATTTGTTTCAGATCTTTGGAACTCATGGGTAATTGCTTCCGCCAGCCGCGGCACGCCGTCCTTGCAAAAGGCACGGCTTCCATATTGTCATATCTTAGAGATAGAATACCTACATAACTCATATATACTACGCCTTATGTATCTGCACCCTCAACCCGCACAGCTAAAAAAGATTCAGTGTTTGTGACAGTGACAGTTGATTGTCAAAAGTGACGTTGACATTGACAGTTGTTTGACGTCTAATGTCATTTTTTCTATAGCCTACATAGCACATTTTTACTGTTTATTTTTTTATAATACGTTCTTTACTTCCTGAAAATAAAGATACATAGAAAATTATTATTGTTCACTAGCTTTCCGCCCGCAGCTTCGCCGCGTGGAGTTCGGTTATATCGCGTTTCCAAGAGAACCTTTCAAAAGTCTGGGATAAAAACTATCCTATGTTCTTTCTCAAGGTCAACTCTATCTCTGTACCGAATTTCATTAAAATCAGTTCAGTGGTTTAGGCGTGAAAGCGTAGCAGACAGACAGACAGACAGACAGAGTTACTTTCGCATTTATAATATTAGTAGGGATTATAGAACGACTTGTCTATTGCTTAGAAATGTTCATACGTGATTATATCGATGATTTCTCAACAAAATACCTTGAAAGTTAAGTGGTCAAGTTGACGACGTCTGATTTTAGTACTTGATTTGATGTTGTTTTTTTAACCGGTGTGATATTCATTGATTAATTTTTTTTAATATCCGATATAAATGTGACAAAATTCCTTTACTCATATATTTACATATATAATTCTTTAGTGATTTTTCCGTATGTAATTATTGGAGTATGTATTAGCTTTCTTAGGTTTAAAGAAATATTTTCTTTCTTAAAACCTTAAAGTTATGTGAAGAAAAAAAATCAGTTATGTTTTTTTCTAGAAAGTAAAAATTGTACAATATCTAAAAAGCTTTATGGAAGCTCAACTTTTTGTAATGAATTTTCATCGTGGATGCATGATATCTATTTAAGGCTGCGTTTACATGAGACATATTCGAAGTAGTAAAAAGTATTATGTAACTGTAAATTTTTCTATATGAATAACATAAATTTTCTGGCAGTAAATTATTATCTTACAATTATAAGTAAATTTGGGATACCAGCACGTCTTGTGCTAATATAGTTAATTAACAAAGTATTAAGTCTACTTTCGGATATTTAAAATTAATATTAAAATATCTTCGATGTGATATAATAATTATATCTTTAATGAAAACTCTCTCTCTCTCTCTCTACTGTAAACGCATCCTTAGTGTTGCCATTAAAAGCTTGCCAAGTCAAAAGCCAAAGTAGCCAAATTTATAAAGGTACCTGATGACCACCGCTGTTATTTTTGTTTTTATTGCTTGTTATTTAAAAAAAAGTTATTTATTGATTTAGATGTTTATTTATTTTAAATTGTTTTTGTTATTTTAAGATTTCTCGTGATATTAAATGAGCGTATTAGAAGTTTTGAAGATAATATCATATAGCTGTTTGCCAAATGCGTTTTTGGAATATTAACACACGCTATTTTTGATATATTTTTACTAATATACAATCATGAATTATTATATTTAAATATGTCAAGCGGCAGTTTGTAATAATGCTACTGCTTGCTAACTAACAAAAAAAAAATTAATAACGCTCATATTACAGTATTAACTTGTATGACTAGACAGAGTTTTCTTGAGAACTATAATGCTGTTTAATATATAAGAATTTTAATATCATAAAAAATACATATTCAATATATTTTTTAAATTATAAGTCGCGGTAAGATTGGTGAGGGGACGCGTGATATAATAATAAAATCATTTCTAATAATCGTCATAATAACATTACTTTTTATTGAGCTTTGTTTTAGTTGCACTATAAATTAGTTTTTTTAATATAAAGCCTCCTTAGATTTAAACCTCTTTGGCATTTTTCTTTAGCCTTATAATGAAAAAAAATGTAAATGTCAAAAGGTTTTGACGTGTCCGCTTCAAGTAATATATACAAATATTAATCCTTTCAAAATAATTGAGAGTCTAATGTATTAAAGCCATATATAAAAAATGTTACCTAAAATTTTAGTCATTTCTATGTGCCTATATTATTAAGAAAAAAATTAATAAAAAATGTTACAGATCGAGAGTAAAATAAAGCATATGAGAATAGTTTGAGATTTCAAAAAATTGCTAAATAAGGTTAATCGCTAGATGTTTTTATATATGTAGCTAGCTGAATCACATATACATATAGTTATTGTTATATTTTTCTGTCCAGTTGTTTATATATTTATTCGCCATACAGTTTTTAATAGATGCCATTTTCCGTATTTTATCGTGAAGAATGACAATACATGAATTATAGACATTTGAAAAGTTTATAAGCTTCTGACTCATAAAACGTACAACGAAGTTATTTCGTGTAAAATAATATCAGACTATTACTATGAGTTTTCGTTTATACTAAATACGTAATGTCACCAGTTTTTCACTCATAAATGACCCGATATTAATGTTTACGAGAACCAAACTGCAAACTACCTTCATGTTTAGTATGAAGACGAAATCTCGTAGTAAAGATGGTTTATGCATAATATGTTTTAGGTGATCATATCAATTAATAGACTGATTCTTTTTATTACAACAATCGATATATATTCAGCGTTTCTTGATGGCGTTTTCCCACTCTTTTTTGTGGTAAAATACTTTCAAAACAATGGTAACTGTGGTTTAGTTTATCAAAACGATTGTTAGGCTTTTCACTTTTATATTTCGATATCTCCCACAGGTGTTATATCTCCAAAACTGTAAATTTACAGTAGAGCGTTTCAAAGATTCAAATTAAACCAAAATCTGCACAAAATTGAAAATTACACCATTAGGTATGATTCTGACAAATCCTTTAAAAGTAGTGTTTTTTTTTACTTTGAATGGATATAATCATCCATAATAGGATATTTTTTAGAAAAAAAGCAAAATAGCATTTTTGTGGCATACAACAACTTACGTGGGAGGTATCGTGTTATTTCAAAGCTAAGTGCGAGTGCTACCTATCTTCATATTAGCTATTAGCTACTATTAAAACGTCGCATAGTTTATTTACAATCTAAAACTCTCCAAACGGAATTTGTTTTTAGAGGAGTTGAATAATGTACTCATGAATTATTTTATTTTTCTCTCTCTCTAACAATATATTTTGTTTGTAATATTTCGCAATTCTACACCGCTGTTTAAACTTTTGTATGACGCCTCAATTGAAAATCATATGCGCACAATAAATAAATAAAAGTAAAATGAATTTGTTTTATTTATCACTCATGAATTCATTAAAGTATATGATAATAAAGAAATTTGTTTTTAAAAGTCTACTTTAATAAATTTTAATACCTTTTTAAAAACCATTTTAAATTCGCTACTTAAACATTTAGAAAGTACAACCAAGACTCATGATCAAATTGAAAAGGAACAGGAAATGTCAATAAATGGAAAAAAGTATTAAAAGTAATATACAGGGTGACTGGTGAATTACTATCAATATTTAAAGAGAATACTCGGTACATGATTCTCATTCGAATTATGTCAAAAAAATAGGCACTTAATTTTTGACCAAATTTCATTAAAGTGTGGACACGTTCCAAGTGTTCCAAGTGTGGACGCGTGCGGCGGCGTGCCGATACAACACCACGCCGCCAAACGCGTGTGTGTGTATGTGTGTGTGTATACCTAATCTGTAGGGTGTTAACACGATGCGTAATTAATTACATAACTTTTGGTTAACTTTACTTAGAAGTTTATTAATATTTATGTTATATTAATTTTTATTTTGTCATATATGATCGTCAAATATCACGTCCTCAAATATCGATAGTAATTCACCAGTCACCCTGTATAAATTAAGATAAATAAGCTCTTTTAAATAAAATAGTTTTAAATAAAATAGTTCAGCCTACAAAATCTGTTAAAAAGACTCGTAAATTAATTAATGAAATGTCTATATGGTTTGTATTCTAAGTTCTAACATTGTATCACTTGCCAAGTAACGTTCTTCCACTCGACTTACATTACGATCGTGATAAACTGGGCAGTCGAGTTTTTTGGTCCGTCTGTTCACGCAAGGCGAGGTATTCTTCTTTGTATTTACATAACAATGACCAATGTAATCGAATTAACATAACAGATCGTTTTGTAGGTCACTATATAATAGACAGGACGAACACTTGATAAATAAACATAATTTTATGGTCTCCAATAAATATAGAAACGCTTCCAGACAATGGAGTACAGGTTCTTAAGTATCCAGATATTCATCATTATATTAGACGCGAACACAGAGAGTACAACTTCTTCTACTTCTTCTACCTGGCAATTTCCCAGCTATAGCCAGGGTCTGCCTTACATGTTATGAATAGTTTTGGCTATTTATTTTTACGACCGGCCGCCTGCCTGACAGCAGTCCTCTTTTGGGAATCAGCATTAATCAGTGATGTCTTAATACTCTTAGAAAGTACATATGACTCGGAAAAATCACATTGGTACTTGCCCGGGCCAGGATCGAACCCGCGCCCTCGGCAACGAGAGGCGGGCCTTCAACCACTAAGCCACCACTGACTTACAGAGAGTACAACTATTCATCTATATTTATATTCATTCGTTTGATGAAAGCTCACTTTTTTAAAAACATTATTTTCAAAACCTACTTAAATTATTAAGCTTTGCTTTTTAATAAGCAATATTGTTAGACACATAAATATTATACTAACAACGTTTTATATTTTATAGGATAATTCCCTTTTTTTGTACTGTTATTAATAAGTAATATAGATATACGAAGTTGTCATTTGGCCTTTTATTAACTTAGTTGTAAATAACTTTTGGTAGTAATTATCGAAATATCGAAATTGTTTTTATATTTTATATTAATGATTGTTTAAATTTTATAAACTAATATTTACTAAATCGAGCAAAACTGCATCGCATATCTTACGATGACAAAATTAACCTGTACCTAATTACAAAATGCATGCAGTTGTAAAGTATTTACGTATAAAAATACGTATTATATATATGTATTACGTATAAATATACACATTATGTAATGTTGTGTTACTATGACCAGGTTTTTTCAATGGCGGTCTCGTTTATTTCAACTAAAATGTAAACGTTTACCCGATTGTTTCACTGATTTGCAGTTTATGATTTTCGGAAGTGAGATTATATCGCTTGCTTAAACAGTGGACTAACACATTGCCGAAATTTTACGCGATTACAAATAATACTATCAACGATCTCTGTATATGAATAAAGTGTTTGTTAAAAAAACACACAAATATATTGTAATTACTGCATACGTATAAAAAATCATAAGCATATTTGTGATAGTTTTGTAACTCTTCAATGTCAATAAAAAAGGATATGGACGTGCCTATCAAATGTAGGTATAAGTAAGAATATATTATTAAACCTAATAATAAGAAAAATAATTAATACTACATTTAGGAGACGGATATTCGAGTTCCTTTTCAAATTATTCAAATTACACGTCACATGCAACTAGCAATAGTAAAGGATGCTTTTGCAATACAGTGAAAATTACCCACCAGTACAAGCATCCCCCGGCATTTTTAACGCATTACTTGGACCCGCATATTACGAAATGCAGGGCGTAGATGGTCCATTATCATTCGGTTTCGCTATCGTTTGTCGTGAACTCGTCACACTATTGTAAATTGTCTGTAAAACCATAATAAACTGCAAGGTCGCGCTATGTAGTGGGGGCACATAGTCACACTACGATTTACGATTGCACTACCTTTTCAGTTGACTGAGGAGTGCAGGGCTCGTCTAGTTAATAGCCTCTTAAGATAAGAAAAACAGTACATATTATTGTTGTCAGCAGCAACAAAAATAATATCACAGAAAGTTTTAGTGATGTAACAGTTTTACTCTATGCCAGTCGAATGTTTATTCAGCTGATGCATTATAACTGTTTGTTATTTGAATTTCTATGAGTGTACATTTTTTAAATTAAATAAATCTTACAAGAGTTCAGACGTCTTATAAATGAAAGACATTTAAATCTTCGAGTTATAAAGATTATTATTATATAAGTGTAACGATAATTTTGTGTTTGAAAATGTGACAACGATTCGACCTTGTATTAATGTGTTAATGAATAAAAAAATAATAATAAAATTATTATGATGCAACGGAGAATTTTAGTGATCTTGTCTATATTTACATTTATTACAAGTAAGTATCAAACCAATATATAAAATATATAATTATTTTTATATACGTGAATATAAGTTTTATTACATAATTCATTTGTATATATGACGTGACTATTATATTTAATGTGTATTTAACAGCTGATAATACATCAAACGTTTGACACTTACCAAAGAGTTCTATTATAATTTAAAAAATATATATATCACCAAAAATATTTACGATACTCAAATAATTAATTAGGAAAATATTTTTTCCATTTAACGTTTCACTCATATTATTTTGAATGCAATATTCCTCAATCAAGAAAGAGTTACAAATTATAATGAAAACTCGTCAAAGCAATTAAAATATGTTCTATTGTTTTACTTTTTATATCGTGTTCTAGGTCGAGGGAAATAAAATATAAATTCCAATGTCACTTGTGGTATTTAAAATATATGTACATTAATACTATCGAATTGGTCAAATTTAAATTATTACAAAATAATTTAACATACTTTATGTGTTGACTGATAGCTAGTTAACCTTTCGGAAGCCAGAAAGCAAAATGAAATAACCATAAACAAGCGTGAGAGAAGGCACTAGGGCTATAAAATCAAAAGTCAAGCCTTTCTCAATCCTTAAAGAGGCTCCAAAGTTGACTATAATGATGAATATGTACGTATAAAATGCCAGAGGACACTTGTGGGTCGGCATCCAGACCAGACCAGACATATTTACGTATTCGCGAATTTTAAAGAGCGTTGTAATAATAGAACTTACGGTTCCTTGGGAAACAAATATCTCTAAAGACCATGCAATCAAGGTTAATAAGTATAACGGGCTCACTAACGAACTCACACAAAATAGGTTCGTCGTAAATTTGTACACAGTAGGAGTGGGAGCGAGAAATATAACATCTAAATCTCTCTACAAGATACTAAAAGTCTTGTTGCTGTCCGGGACTAACATCCATTCTTTCTTAGAATGTACTTCGTACGGAGCCCAAGTAGATTCATTTCAAATTATAAGAGGAGCTTGGGCGGTAGAGCTGAGCATTTAACGCTCTTTTGATAGGGGTCCCTTAAACCTACAAGTGGGTCGCAAGTCGCAGGCACTGTTACAAGCTCCTCTCCCCGTAACGCGTTGGACCTTGTACCCACACAGTGAATATAATATAATATGATCATTTTGAAAAAATAAATAATGTTTTTTTATATTGATATTGGTAGACATACATTCAATAAAAATACGAAATATTTGCTTGTGTTTTTATTTTAAATTCTGAAAGGTTATCATTTTATGAAAACATTAAAAAAATAAGTTTTCCTCTAGCATACAATGTGAAAACAAAATATTTATCATATTTTACGTATAAAGTGGTGAAATTACATTTTCGTTTGCTTCATGCTACTTTACAACAGATGGCGCCTCACTCACAATCACCGGTAGCGCATATTAATATGTAAATTCAACTCAAGAAGATATAGCTCTTTAAATAGGTTAAGAGGATATGTACTCGCTTTAAAGAGTCGTTATATGCCGAAAACACCACATCCTCATTAAATAAAAAGTAGTCTTAAAGCCAACGCATATATGTATGTAGATTATTCGTACAGTTATATGTTTTAAACAGATATAATTAAATACATGAAATCTTCAAAGAGATTGTTTCAATTTTTCTTATCATCTTTCAGTAGACAGACTGTTACATCTCCCAATACCGTTGGTTTTTGTCCATTGGGGCATTTTGTGCTCGTCAGCACGCCCTTAGAATTGGCTTGAGTGAGGATAAGAAAGCAGGCTAGTATGAGCCCTATCAACCATGTTCGTAGAAAAATCATCTGAAAAAAAAAATCTTCATAAGATCTTACATAGATAATGTCATAGAAAAAAATCTGTTGCAAGTCGAAGATGTGTACATATATAAGAGAAGTTTCAAAAAGATATCACGTGTAACATAATTATAATTCTAAATTAATTCTGGTTTCTGGATATTCGATAAACAATTTTTATATCTTCTAGTCAAATCATTAACACTTTATGATCATTTCTTCTTCGCGAACCAAGTAGATTATAAATCTAAATAATGTTATTTTGTCATCTGCCAATCTACGAAGATAGTATCGTATTTTTTTTGCGAAATAAAAATAATGAACAGAGAATCACATTATTATAGCTATGACCATATTGTCATATCTCTGACGTGAATGTGGAAAATAAAAGATAATGGAATGGAAAAATAGCACGACACTAGTCTAGTGAAACACATTTTATGTGTGAGATCAGTTTATTTACTGATGTCTATAAAAATTAATGTCCGTCTGAGTTAAATTTATGTGTCTCTATTTCAAAATAACTGTTCTTCATGTTATTTATATGTACTAAGACAAATTAATCTTTTATAGTTTGTTTGTTTACACGTTAGTTTCTTTGGTCGAACAATAGTTCAAATAATTACTAATTTAGTCTCTCTGATAGATAAAATATAGTCTGTAAGATAGATTTGTGATATTTAATAAATAAAAGATTTCTTTCATATAGTTATCTGTATTAAATACAGTTACAAGATGTTTCATTATTTTCAATCTGAGGCACTAATTTAGAAATTTATGAGTATTTGTGTAAAAAATCAATGTACTATATAATTATCTTCTTCTTCTTCTTCTACCTGGCAATTTCCCAGCTATAGCCAGGGTCTGCCTTTCATGTTGTGAATAGTTTTTGGCTATTTGTTTTTACGACCGGCCGCCTGCCTGACATCAAACTTCTTTTGGGAATCAACATTAATCAGTGATGTCTAAATACTCTTAGAAAGTACATATGATTTTGAAAAATCACATTGGTACTTGCCCGGGCCAGGATCGAACCCGCGCCCTCGGTGACGAGAGGCGGGCCCTCTAACCACTGAGCCACCACTGACTTGAATGTACTATATAATTATATGAAACCTTTTACTTACAGAAGCTTGTTGATAAAAATATATTCAAATAAAAAGAATACATTTGCAATGTTTACTCTTAAATTATTTGTTTACGGAAACTTTATTAAACAATAAATTCGAAATGTCGTTAACACGAAGCGTACGTTCGATGATAATTGGATTTCAAAACTGTAAAAAATGTACTGCGCGTAAATTAAATTCAATACTTAACATTCTTTGTTCGTATTTTATTGTCCCTTCTTGTAAATTACTGACACAATAATATATTTTGTATACATATTATAAAAACCTATTATAAAGCCATTAACTAATTGAAAATTATCGAATTTAAAATTGTTTCGACCTAAATCGAGAACATAATATTATATATGTACATTAATATGTGCAAGTCAATATTTGACAGTTCATTGGACTATTTTTTCGTCCACTCTCATTTCTTATTAATAAACGATGATAGAGATGTTAATAAAATTATTGATATAAATCTTTTACCTACACAGAACACATAAATAGTATATTATATTTTATGTTATACATTGTTTTTTAAATTTTCTGCAACAAAACTTTCTAACTTACAAGTTAGGACTTTCTAAATGATCGAACAATTGTCCTTATATTAACGAAATAATATATTTAAAATATCACATCACTGATCACATATAATTTTCTACATATATTTTTTAAAAATAAAGTCTATATATTTACATTATTATATATAAGATCTAATTAACACTTACCTTTGTCAAACGATGTATTCAAATAGTATTAAATTATTAGTAATAATCTTGTTCGCACTGCGCAGATCAGCGTGGAACTGGTTTCAATACAAGCGAGCTTCGTGTGCTGACCCCAACATATATATGACTATATAACACATAAATATTTACATAATTATACATGACTACAATCTCTTCTTGAGAAATAAAGTAAATAGATGTAAAGCTATATATAAAGAACTGGAGTTCTAAAACTACATTGTAGTATGAATATTCACAGATATTAAATATTAAGAATTTTCTTTAAGTTGATGAAAATAATTAATTACAGTATAATTTTATGGATGTATACGACAGACAGATTTTCTTTATATGACGATATTTAATACATTAAGGCTTTCGATTATCTTCGCTTTTTATTAACTATTTCCGTGTACCTCAAAAATAATGAATGAATATTATAGCAGTAAAACAAAAAATCTTTTATTTCTTTCTCGATATTTTAAGACATGTTTAACTTTGTTGTTAATAGTGCAGTCGACGTCAGTATTGAAATGTTTATGACATTAAATAAGCTGCAATCAAGGGGACCATATTTTTTTCTTTTGTTAAGTTCGTTCAAAGCCCATACAGCAATGTATTATGTATGAAAGGACCATAAAAAATAACACTTGATTATTTTTAATTTACAGGTAGCAAATCACAATGTCGTCTGCCAGAAACAGAGTCATTTGTGAGATGGTCAGGTATGACTCCCGATCAGGCTACACCTGTATTTATGTACTCCGCTAGTGGTGAAGAGGAATCTTTAACAGGAGCTTGCTTGAGCCGATGCCGCGAGCTACCAGATTGTGCCGCTGTCATTATTGTTTATACTAAAGGGAACTGTCAAGGCATCTCTAGTTCAAGAACAAATCAACTTCGACCGGATAATGATGTCGCTTATTTTAACAAAGTATGCTTAAAATGTGAGTATTATTACGAAGTCTATTACTTGCATGATTCATTCATGACTTTTTATCAATTTTATGGCTGTATCTTTATCTTTATATATATAATTCTTCTGTGAGAGTATATGTCACTGAACTTCTCTCAAACGACTGGACCGGATTTGATGAAATTTTTTGGGTGTGTTCAAGGGGATTTGGGAATGGTTTAGATTCACAATTTTGTCTGCTGGACAGTGTTTTTTTAATTAATTTTTAATTTATTAGTAGTTGTTGATACAAACGTTTTTTTTGACATTAGATTTGACAACTAATATGTCAATCATTCTGTCGCACTTCAAAACACGGAGATTTATGGCTTTGATAGGTAAACTCCAAAAATATAAATAAAAAAACGTAACTGATATTTCTTGATTTTAGGGCGATACGAAGTTCGCCGGGTCTTCTAGTATGTTTATAAATAATTGACTATAGTATTAAAGATGAGTATATTTCAGTGCCAGACAATTGTAAGCAGCGTTGGTGGGCGCTAGAGAGTACTCCAGGTTATTATTTGAATTCTGATGGACCTGATGTCAAGGTCATTGTGAATTCAACAGTTCAGGGTTGCTATAACGCGATGTTTTCTACAAACGAGAAACGATACCGGTAATTTTAAAACATCATATCTAATAATAAATTAGTCAGTGGCCTAGTGGTTAAAAGGCTCGCCTCTCATGCACGAGGGCGCGGTTTCGATCCTGGCCCTGACAAGAAAGAACGTGATTTTTCCGAGTCATATGTAATCTCTAAGAGTATTTAGACATCACTGAGTAATGTAATCCCAAAGAGGGTTTATGTCAGGCCGGCGGCTGGTCGTAAAAACAATTAGCCAAAACTATTTACAACATTTAAGGCAGACCCTGGCTAAAGCTGGGAAATTGCCAGGTAGAAGATATCTAATAATAAAGTGTTATTTATATTTAATATTATGTGCACTTTATAAAGATATCGAAGAATATTCTGGCGCCACATTAATTAATTCTATATTTTAGCGAACTTAATATTTCTCTCAAACTTTTCCCTAGTCCGGTTTATAAAAAGGAATTAACATTCAATCAAATAAAATAATGAGTTCAGAAAAACAACAATTAAACAAATAATTTATGTCGTTGTAGATCGGCGCAATGGATTGATCCTAGCAGTCCGTTAGACAGTTATTTTGTAGTACAAAAAGAAATAGGGAATTGTATATTAAATGGAGAAAATAAGTTTACTGAGCCGGAGTCCTACCGAGTTTCAAACTCGTATACCTTCTACATAGAGAATCAGTGCACCCATGATTGTAAGTACTACGTCAATAATTTATGCCATAGACAATTATGTGGAAATATTTTTTTAATTATATAAGAACTATTTAGTTTACTCTGCTAATTGAATTATTTGCTTTACTTTTGCAGATTTATTATATTTTGTATTTTGTAGTATCTTTTTGTTCTCTTATTTCAGATCCGAAAAAAATTGACAGATGTTCCTATGAAGAATATTACAATCAAACGGTCAAGCACGTGGATTTGACTGCGAACAATTTCAGCAGAGAAGAGGCAAGTCGCCATATTTATTCGAATGAATATTAAAATACCAGCAGCGTTTATTGATCTTGCTACAGAATAATAAACTCGTAAATTTGTGTTTGTACTTAAATGTCGGTTTTTAAATTCAGTATTTCAAATTCATTAATTCGTTTATATTTCGAAAAAATTTACATTTGTTACTGTTATAAATTAATGTATGACGAAATACATGAAAATCTTTTTATAATGACATCTTGATGGCAATTAAAAACAGATTGTAGCACTCTTAGTAAAATGAGGTCTTAATAATTTCAAAGTACGGTGTGTAATATTTATATTAACGTATTTTTTTACTCAATGTATCCAACTCTTAATATTAATTCAAACCAGAAAATAATAAAATGCTTAACATCGGTATGGAATTTGCATTCAAATTACATTTACTAGTGATTTAATATTTATTATTTCCAGTGTAAAACAGCGTGTGAGCAGGAAAATCGTTTCGTCTGCAGGGGATTCACTTGGATAGCGTCTTCATCTCGCGGTATATGTGACCTCCACAGTGAAGACCTGGTCACAGCTGGCTCCTGGCTCCTCAGACGAGTCTCCGGGGCTACGTATTATCGACGTGTTATATGTCTTAACAGTAAGTATTGTTTTATATTTATTATATTTATATTTATACGACAATATTTTAGCCACATTAATAATCATTATTTCACAACCATATTTTATCCCTCCAATGCTGTTTCTCATCGTTTTCTCTATAGGTAGTGGATATAATACTAAGCGATAATCATATCTTATTTTTTACGGTGTAACCTTAATTATTTTTGACATCAAATGTCCCTTATATATTTAACGCATATTTTGATTGTACGTATTTAAAATAGATATTTCCCACTGTATTACTGTTTATCTGATTTTATCAAACCGTATGAATTGATTTCAATCTCATTTTTTTATAGTCATAGACTATTTGCTACTACCCACATTTACGTAAGGTTATTCTATGTTGAGTCTTATCCTAAGTATGATCTTCTAATCCTCAGTCAGCGTGGAATGTTCATCATCTCAATTGGTGGTGACGTACCGACCTCACGGTATGTTCCGTGGCCGGGTGTACGTGCCAGGGAAGGGAGAGCGTTGTAGTTCAAGATCTTTAACACCCGCCTCACACGTCCGCCTCGCGTTGCCCCTACACGGCGATTGTGATGTCAACTTCGCATTCGCCATATCAAAAACACCAGCAGGCATCGTTAATAGGTACGCTTTGGTAATGGAATTTCTTAATCCAAGCAAAACTTTGAAGTGAAACTTCTTATGACTGTCAACAAGGTTGCGTTAAACGTTTTACGCTCCTGGGGAGGGAATATAAGTTATACTACTTCCGCGCGTATTGAATTCAATTTAATAGGTTTAAACACAATTTTTCTTTATAATTACAATGTTCTCACATCTCGTCTGCCCGTGATCACGGTTGCTGTAAAGTAGCCGAAACGTCGGGTGTATGTAGTTTACTCAAAAATAAAAACGAGTTGTAAATCCGAAAATAATAGTTTCATTTATTACGATAGTTGTTTTTTTTTGTTTCTAATGGAAATTCATTGGTTGTCATTCCACTCGTGACACGATGGAAATGAAGATATAAATGATGAAAGCAGTATTGCACTATCTCAGTAACAGAATATTCATCGGAACCTTATTACAACGCTTTGATTATATCCAACATTTGTAGGTTAAAAACTAAATGATAATTAATTCTAGTTACAGTTAATTTAATAATGACAACTAAAAATCTTTTATTTAACGTTTCTAAGAGAATAAAGTATATATAAGACTTCATTATAGTGAAAGAATCTAATATTACAGAACTATGGCGTATGTGATGCTCATGATCCAGAACAATCCGATCATACAGACGGCGGGAGATCGGTGGGTGAGGGTCGGCTGTTCACCGGGAGACAGACAAGGATATACTAAGGTGGACGCCACAGTCGCTGTTCAGGAGTCAGGGTAATAAAACTTTGTATAACTATGAAATAATAAATAGATAAAAATTAATTGTATTAAATGGTATTTGTTTATAGACTATTAATATCTAAATAAAAAAGATGAGAATTTATACATAAAAGAATGAGTTCTAAGACTTTCGCGAATATACATTTAAAGGATACTAATGTTTTTCGGATTAACTACTAAGAGTATTTTATTATTTTAAAAACTGCAAAGTAACCGAAACGTCGGGATTTTGTAGTTTTTCAAATAATAACATACGAGTAGTAATCCGAAAAAAATAATATTAATTTCATTTGCATCAAAGAAAATAAATTTCATGGATTACTTAGTACAACCATTATTTAGTTAGTTCTAAACATATAGCTAAGTATTTAAAATTACGTGAAAATGGGAAGTGTTCTTTAATATAGAATTAGAATCGAACAAAATCAATTATATAAATATGTCGGCACTAGCGCGCCAACTAAACATAACTATAACCAACACGTGCACCGATCACGCCACCGAGCGCGTGATTCGATGCCCCACTCTCCCCACTACTAGCTGTATAAAAGACGTTCACGATTATTCGACGGGAGTCTTGGCTCTGACGTGGCGCGGTGCACTAGTTGTACTTAGCCTGTTAACCTTGACTCTTTGGATAATTAATTTGTGAAAACGAATTAATTATTATCATGGTGTTGTAATTTGGTCCTTGGACTAATTATATCCGATTTCAACTATTATTCAGTTTAAAAGAACTTCATGCCTTGAATTATGGCCCATCCATCTATCCATTTTTATCTTGTTTTCCTACATCAGAAGTGGGATAGCGATCCACCTCCATCTCATAATCAAACCAATTGCATTGAAAAGCAAAAAAATAAGCCTCTTTTTGGAATGGAAGCAATTTTATTAAAATTATCAAATAGTTTAAACCAGCATCCCGTGAATCCACCACTTGTGATTTAGGCCTGTAGGTCGGTTACTGTCCACTTTTCGTATCACTAGCGGACGTTTAAGACTATCCGCTGTTCTGTGTGATAAATGACCAATCAACGCCAGTATTCTCTGCAAATAGATATTAGATAAGCGCTAACCATCTTGTCTTTTGAGTTCTTTGATTATAGTGACGTTCGTACGACGGACCGTCCAAGGTATGCGTAACAGCGTATTTGGCCAGCACCACATTCCTAAGGCATCAATTCTTTGCCTGTCAAGGGCTTCCAGAATCCACGTCCGGACTACGCTTTGATCAGTTAGTGAAGATGAACGGTCTAGCTTATTAGAGTCTATGTCCGGGTCATCGTTCACTTACGTGAGTATGGCTAGTGGAGATGAACGGGCTAGCTCATTGGAGTGTATGTCCGGATCATCGTTCACTGATTTTCTAATAAAAAAAAAAGAGCGGAAAGAGCCAAAAAAAAAAGAGCAATAAAAGCCAAAAAAAAAGAGTAAAGAAAAGAGTAAAAAAAAAAGTAAAAAAAAAGTAAAAAAGCTAAGAAAAAAGCTAAAAAAGAAAAAAAAAGAAAAAAAAAAGAAAAAAAAACCTAAAAAAAAAAGAAATAAAAAGTAAAAAAAAAAGTTTAAAAAAAAGAGTAAAAAAAAAAGTTAAAAAAAAAGAAAGTGTAAAAAAAAAGAATAAAAAAAAAGAAGGCAGAGAGTTGAAGGGCTTACGCCGGTCCAACCGTGTGGCTGTAGGGAATCATAATTCCGGTCCAGCATGAAGGCTATAGGGAATAGTAATTCCGGTCTAGCAAAAGCTATAGGGAATACTAGTTCCGGTCTAGCAAAGAAAAAAAAAATGTGGCTGAAGGGAATTATAATTCCGGTCCAGCATGAATGCTACAGGGAATAGTGATTCCGGTCTAGCAAAGTCTATAAGGAATAGTGATTCCGGTCTAGCAAAGGCTATAGGGAATACTAGTTCCGGTCTAAGGCTATAGGGAATACTAGTTCCGGTCTAGCAAAGGTTACAGGGAATAATTAATCCGGCCTAAGCTCTCTAGAGAAATTACTAATGAAATCTTTTGCAGGACCTCAGGACGGATCAGAACTAACTACCATACCTCTGAAGGGTCAGTGTGGACCGAACCAGACACTATAATATTGTCAGGATAGTCGAACGATATTTGAGGCGCGTGCGAGGGCGCACGCATGTCAGCATGGCCGTGTCGGCACTAGCGCGCCAACTAAACATAACTATAACCAACACGTGCACCGATCACGCCACCGAGCGCGTGATTCGATGCCCCACTCTCCCCACTACTAGCTGTATAAAAGACGTTCACGATTATTCGACGGGAGTGGAAGCGAGCAGCCGTAGCCGTCACCAGCCAGCGTCGGTCGAGGAACGTTCTCCCACCTGGCCATTGACGACACGCCCGGATCCACTTCCAGCTCCCTGTTGGCAAAGCCACAGCACCCACCACTTTCCGCTGCTGCAGATTTGTGCAACGGATATGTAGTGCGGAACGGTCGAGCCCCTCTCCGTCGTGAGACCACCGACGCCGCCGCGAACCAATCACGGCGCTCGGTTAGGATCGCGTGTTCGGCTGTGTTAAGTGAAAGGACAGAGACCTAAATAGTGACAGTGACACTCCTAGATTAAGTGATTTCAAGGCATGGACCTAACTTTAACCAAATTGTGTTTGTGTTAGTGCTAGTGTAGTGATGGCCCCACCATCGCCACCTCGGCCCGCGGCTGCGTCTCAAAGGAAGAGAACAGTGCGCGCGGCCCAGGTTTGGCACGGTGCAGCCAGACGTCGCACGGATGCCGCGGCCGCAATGTTGCAGCGGATTGGAGGACAGTTGACCCACGTGTCTGGGTCCCGATCCGATGTGCAGACACCACCATCGCCGTCACCACGTCCCACCACACCGGCTGGGACAGGAGACGCCTTCTTTGACAGCCCGGAGTTGGCCGCCTCACCGGCAATCTCTCCGCCCCGTGATCCCCGGAGACGACCAGCATCGCCCAAGGAGCAGAGGCAGCGCCAGGACACGCGCCTCAATCAAGCCACCTGGGCTCCGGCTAAAGGTAGGCCCGCCCCGCGCCTAGCGGCGCCGCCCCCCTACCCCGCTGAACGATTTATATCGCCCCCCAAGCCGCCCCCCCCCTCGCCCGCCGGCCTTTACGTCTCCATGCAAGATTTCGCCATGCATAGAGATGGAGGTCTCATACGCAGTCATGGCTGCGTCACCGCCTACGAGACCTAAACCCATCCCGGCCACCTGCTCACCGACAGCAAACGCGGATGCGCCGACTCCACGGCCCCGCACCACACCGCCGTCAGTGAGCCCTCCAGCCTCCAGTGTTGCCGGTGCCACCGACGGTACCACCGCCACGGCCGCCGACACCAACAAGCCTGCATCCAGGGCCAGGTATCCGCCCTTAGTGGTTGAATCGCTCCCAGAGTGGTCGCGCCATATGCGCGAACTAAAAAGGCGACTCGGATTCGCTCCGAACGCCCGCCCCTTTGGGAAAGGCATTAGATTCCTTCCGAAATCAGACCGGGAGTTCCGCGAGGTACAATCATACCTCGCCAAAGTAGAAAGAGATGAGAACGTGGCGTGGTTCTCATACTCGCTCCCGGCAGATCGCCCACTAAAAATCGCCATCCGAGGCCTGCCAGTGAACGCAGACCCGGCGGCCATAGTCGATGAGCTCCGGGAGTTGGGTTTCTCTCCCGAGTTCGTTCGCCCAATCATGGCTCGCCAGGGAAGACCCGGCTGCGTTTACTTCGCACAGCTGAGCAGGACGCCCTCTACAATCCCGGCCATCTACGAGGTTACCGAGCTTCAGTGCATGGCCGGTATTAAGATAGAAGCGTGGAGAGGACGCCAAGGGCCAGCCCAGTGCCACCGCTGCCAGCAGTTCCGGCACTCCTCACACAACTGCCATCGGGAGCAGGTGTGTGTGCGATGCGGGGGACACCACGCAGCCAAGGAATGCCCACGTTCGAGGGAAGAGCCGGCCTCCTGTGCCAACTGCGCAGGAGACCACCCAGCTAATGCTTCATGCTGCCCGGTCTACATCAAGGAGGCCAGGAACAAGAAGGCGGGCGCAGTAGCGCGAACTACCGCGGCTCCCCTTCCCAGAGCGGTCCAAATGGAAAGCGAAACCAATGCAACCGGTTCACTAATGGCGGCCGCAAACGATCCGGCCGCACCCAGAGCGACCCGGAACAAGAAGCGCCGGCAGCGAAGGCGTAGGCAGGTGAGGTCTGATGTCAATCCAGACCTCCCTCCTCCCGCATCTACCATCGAAACAGCGCCCTCCACCTCAGTGACTGCCCCGATTATACCAGCGCGTCAAGAGACAAAGAGAGCCCCCCTGTCCGCTACGGGCAGTAAAGTCAAACCCCCAGCGTCCGAGCAAGCTACTGCGTACGCAGTACCCATAGCGGAGGTCGTACAGATCCTGCAGGAGATCTTAGCGGCCGTCCAGGAAGGCCGAGTCAAAGAGATCATCCCGACCATCCTCAGAGCCCTGACCAAGCTCTTAGTTCGATAGAACACTGAGGATGGTCCACTGGAACGCCAACGGCCTAACTGGACCAAAACAAAAGCTGCTACGGGTACTGCTCTCAGAGAATAGAATAGACGTAGCTCTTGTCTCAGAGACGCACCTCAGACCAACGGACACTATTACCATGCCGGGATACGTGGTCTACAGAAGTGACCAGGTATCCCCCGCCGGGGTAGCCTATAGGGGATTGGCTGCCCTGGTCAAAAGGCAGGTTATTCATCAACCGCTACCAGCAGTTTCCCTCCGCTCAGCCTACGCTCTTGGCGTAGAGGTGTGCCTTGATCGACGTCCTGTCCGAGTGTTTGCCTTTTATAGGCCGCCGGGTGGCCGCCTGGAGGAGAGTGACATCCACGCACTCCTAGACCAGGCAACCCCCACCATCATCGCAGGCGACTTTAATTGCAAGCACACGGCATGGAACTCGACACACGACGACGCCAACGGGCAAAAGCTTCTAAACGACGCGGAGAGGGAAGGGTATGCAGTAATGGGCCCAGAGGTCCCAACGCACTACCCCTACCAACATACCGCCGCGCCTGACGTCATCGACCTCACTCTAGTGCAGGGCCTGAACACAGACCCATCGATCGACGTACTAGATGACCACGTGATGTCGGATCACCAACCGGTCCTGGTCACTATCGATCTGGCGCCGATCCGGAGGGAAATCCCGCCCCCGCGTCACAGACAGGACTGGCGCATCTTCGCAGACCACCTGTCGAAGAACTTGCGGTCGTTTCGAGTGGACAGCCCCGACGATGTGGACCGCCTTGCCCTCGAGCTCACCGAGTCTATCACCCGGGCACTCGAGGCCTCGCGGCTAAGCACCACATCGCACCGGAAACGACCGCAGTTGCCTGCCGGGATACGTGACATGATAGAGGACAAAAGGAGGCTGCGTAGATTATACCAGCGCACCCGATGCCCGACCATCAAGTCCCAGCTCAATGCTCTGGCGGAGAGAGTCTCAGCGGTGTTGGAGGACCACGCTGTAGACTCCTGGTACAAGACCATCGAGCGAGCTGGAGAGGACTGGTCGGGTATCCACCGCCTATGCCGCCAAGTCTCCAGGAAGTCAGAACCGATCCGGCCCCTGCTAGCGAGTGACGGCACCCCGCGTTACCGCGCAGCGGACCGAGCCGAGATCTTCGCTGACTACCTGGAGACACAGTTCCAGCCTAATCCAACCAAGGACACCCTACACGCAGAAGAAGTTGAACGGAGAGTAGACGAGTACCTCGGGCAAGCGATAGCCCCCACGGAAGACCCCATTGTAATCACCCCCGGCCAAGTGCAGCGTATGATTCGCCGCACCAAGCTCCGGAAGGCCCCCGGTCCCGATGGAATAACAAATGAAGCCCTCCGTCACCTCCCCGCTCGCGGTATAGCGGCGGTGACGAGGCTGTACAACGGAGTCCTCAGGACCGGCCACTTCCCTACCCAGTGGAAGCTCGGCCGAGTCATAATGCTACCGAAGCCGGGGAAGAACATCCTAAGACCTGGGAGCTATCGCCCTATCACGCTGCTACCCACCGTCTCAAAAGTGTTCGAGAAACTTCTTCTGCGTCATATGACGCCTCACATCACTCCACGAGTCGAGCAGTTCGGCTTCAGAGCGGAGCACTCTACCACGCTCCAGCTCGCGAGGGTCCTGCACGTCCTCTCGGTAGCTCTTAACAAAAAAGAGTCGGCCGTTGCAGTGATGCTCGACATGGAGAAGGCGTTCGACCGCGTATGGCACCCCGGTCTACTGTACAAGCTGGCCACATCCACTACTCCTCGCCGAATAGTTAGGATTGTGGCCACCTTTTTACAAGGCAGGCGGTTCCAGGTGTCGGTGGAAGACACCCTGTCTACGCCTCGCCTAGTCAGAGCCGGTGTGCCTCAGGGGAGTTGCCTGTCTCCGGTGTGCTACGCCAGGTACACGGACGACATTCCGGTGGCGGAGGGCGCGATCCTGGCGCTGTACGCCGACGATGCTGCCTTCATTACCACCTCGCTATCACCCACTCACGCGGCGACGAAGATGCAGCGGCAGCTGGATCAACTCCCCCCGTGGTTGGACAAGTGGCGCCTCTCTGTCAATATAACGAAGACCCAGGCGATATCTATGGGGATGCGGCCATTACCGCAGCCCCTTACCATGATGGGACAGCCTCTTACTTGGGCGGCGACGATCAAGTACCTAGGTGTGACTATCGATCGCCGCCTGTCAATGCAGCCCCACGTGAAGGAAGTCGTCAACAAGACGAGGGCCGCACGTGCTCTCCTGCGTCCTGTCCTGCGATCTAATCTCCCACTGCGAGCCAAGTTGGCCGTCTACAAGTCGTATATCAGAACGCGCTTGACGTACGCCGCGCCCGCCTGGTACTCCTTAGTCAAGGAAACCGGGCGTGGTCGCCTGCGCGTCCAGCAGTCGCTGGCACTGAGAACACTTGTAGGCGCGCCTCGGTTCGTACGGAACTCGACAATCACCAGGGACCTCCGCATGGAGAGCCTTGACGACTTCATAATCCGCCTGAGTCGGGCCATGTTCCGGCGGTCAGAGGCATCGAGCTTCCCGCACGTAAGGGAACTGGCCCCGTACCACAGACGCCCCCCGGATAAATACGCCCTGCCGCGAGACCTCCTTCCCGCGAAGAGGAGTAGAAGCTAGACTCGACAACTGTCGGATATCGGCTGGAGGATCGACTCGCCATATCCGACAAACATCTAAACTGACGGCCGCAGGCTGATGGCAGCCTACCTGAGATAACTCTCAGGACGGCGCCTCGCCGCGGCAATTATCACCAAACGAGACACCAGGGCTGCAAACGCCCACCACAACGACCCGCCTGTTTTTTACAGGCGGAGTGGAGGCCAGCTTAGGGGGCCGTTGCCCCGACAAGCTCACCTCGACCCTCCCTACAGGGGGGCCTGAGATGACCCGATGCCGATGCCTCGACGGGAGTCTTGGCTCTGACGTGGCGCGGTGCACTAGTTGTACTTAGCCTGTTAACCTTGACTCTTTGGATAATTAATTTGTGAAAACGAATTAATTATTATCATGGTGTTGTAATTTGGTCCTTGGACTAATTATATCCGATTTCAACTATTATTCAGTTTAAAAGAACTTCATGCCTTGAATTATGGCCCATCCATCTATCCATTTTTATCTTGTTTTCCTACAAATACATATCATAATTTTTTTTATAATTATTAATAAACATCTATATAGGCGTCCGTCTGTAGCGAGTGAATCTGGCGAGGTGTCTGATAAACTGGGCGCTAGCGCCATCCTCGGTACTACCCCACCTCTCACTATGTACGTAGTGAGAGGAACCGAAGACCAAGGAACTGGAGCCATCGCCCTGGGAGATCTGCTTGAACTAAGGATAGAAACTACTGGTGAGTAGTGACGGTTTAAAGAAGAGAATTTAGAATTACTTCTCACTTAGCACTCGATTTGGGAAGCCATTAGATTTGTTGTTTAAAGATGTCCAAAGATTTTATTCATATTTTCAGCTGATTCTGAAATTGAGGCGTACCATCTAGTAGCTTCTTCAAGACTTGGAGACAGTTCAGTGTTATTGTTAGACAATAACGGATGCCCCACCGGACAGGTGATGATATTTACATTATTTTTAAAATTTACTATAATTATTTAGAAACTATTTCTTAACTAATTATGTTAAATCCATGAACGTATCGTATTTGTGAAATTATATGTAAGTTTTGTTCCATTTTCATTGTTAATTTGATAGATAAGTATAATACTACATTTCAATATATTCCGATAAAAGATTTTTGAATTAGGTACAATAAGATATTTACAATCTTAGTGAATGACCATATAATTAAGTATAATATATATTTTATACGGAAATAATATTCATATTTATAGCATAAAGTGTGTTGGAATTTTTGTATAAAAATAATACTTAATATCATTTCAAAACAAAATTATTAGATATCTTTTTCAAAAATTTAAATTTATTTTATTTATTTTTGCTAAAAATATACATTACATATATTATACAGTTATACAGAAGAAGAAAAAAATCAAATTTGTAGCAAGGGGGTCCATCTCAGTATAAGCTGTGCTAATGCACAGCACTGATTTTCAGATGGCCCCTGAATAAATGCAATGCCGAATTCTGTGATTTGACGCGGTAGTTCAAATAGAAAAGAGATTATAACGTCATATGCCGTACGTCGCAGGTTGTAATCCTATCTCAAATCTAACACTGTATTATTTTAATTGTTTTCTTTTCAGGTCGACTTCCCTTCATTCACTCGTTCTCGTTCAGGAGTCACTCAGCGTCTCTACTCTCGGTTCAAGGCGTTCCGTTTCCCTACGTCTCACGTGGTCCGCTTCGCTGTGGTTGTACGATTCTGTCAAGATAAATGTGCTCCGGTAATAAGCTACATATATCATGAAATTGAACTCATTTTACACTTACATCCTTAGACCCAGTTTCACCAATCAATGTTAAATAAGTAACATCGTGTTAAGGCGTTTGATGCTCTGTTAGATGTATCGAGCGTCCCACCACGCACAAATGTCCGTTTAAACGTCTTAACCAGCCACTAATTGACTAATATTAATTCCTGCTCTAGAGCTCCGTCTAATGACTAACAGAATACTATAGTTTCAATTTGGTCGTCTTATAACAAGAACGAATAATTCAGGGAAACTGGGTCTTATTATTTTAAATTAATTACGTTTAAAAGATATAGATTTTCATACCTATTTGATTTCTTCTGTATTTTGTCTTCTTACATTATCCTATAATATTTTCAGGTCAACTGTGAAATGATAGATAAACTAAGAGATGCAAGAGGCGCTAACGAGTCTTATACAAATGATTCAGAAGTAGCGGCGAGCGTTAAGGAAGAGGTAGATATATTAAATGTCATTTAAATGAAACTAATATTTTTCGGATATACTACGCGTGCTTTAAGTCAGTGGATAAAAGGCCCAACTCTCATGCATGAGGGCGCGGGTTCGATCCTGGCAAGTACCAATGTGATTTTTCCAAGTCATATGTACTTTCTGAGAGTATTTAGACACCACTGACAGACGGTGAAGGAAAACATCGTGAGGAAACCTGGATTTAAGTATAATTCCACAATTATAAGTTTACATTCCCAAAGGGGTTTGATGTCAGGCAGACGGCCGGTCGTAAAAGCAATTAGCCAAAACTATTCACAACATGTAAGGCAGAACTTGGCTAAAGCTGGGAAATTGCCAGGTAAAAGAAGTTCTACGCGTGCTTTATTTATGTAAAAAAACTACATACTTCCGTCGTTCCCGAAGTAGTCGAAAAGTACGTAGTTTTTTACAAAAATAAAGCACGCGTAGTATATCCGAAAAATATTACTTTCATTTAAATGAATAAAACACTCCAAAGCCTTAGATGTCAATGTATCAAATGATTGTTAAATATATTGAATGTTCCTTTTATAATACGCATCATTTAATACGTTCTTCGGGTTTAAGAACTTTATTTAAAAGAATTTATATTCACTTAAAACATTAATACAATTATAAAAATTCTGTTTTGTAGTTCGACAATTCGTACGGTACACTCTATGCATAGAAACAAAGAACTTTCGCAACTGGAAGTGTTAACATACCGAAGATTAGAAGTTTTATATAATGTTAAAAAATATATGATATGCAATGTATTATACAGTAATTTAACATAGGTTCTGTAGATATCTATATTAGTTTAAGGTTCCTAATTAATATATTATTTATTTAGACCTCATGGCCGGTAGTCGCGCAGGGAGGGCCGGTGAGATGTATAGGGGAAGGTCAGGGTGAAGTTATGGGGATGGAGAAAAGAGTACCCTTGGAACTGGAATTAGTGGTCGGGGCGAGAGATGTACTGTCAGCGGACACACTCGTGCGAGCCGACCATAGAAGTTCTTTACGTATGTACATTTAATCTATGCTGAATTAATATTCGTACAAAATTTATCTAAGACTAGTTTTTGCCCGCGACTTCGTCCGCGTTAGTTTGGTCAAGAGTTATATATGTAGGTGTAGCTGATCAGTTGAACTCTATTCCGTCTTACAGGCCATAAATAATCAGGTTTTTCCTGTTTCAATCAAACAGAATTGACATATTTGTTAGTTGTCAAACCTAATGTCAAAGAAAACTTTTGTATGAGAAATAGAAAAGGGCTGTTTTTATGGTTTTCCCAGTAATGAATAAATTTTTCTCACCTGTTAAACCTTCCCTGGACTTCCAGGAGTATTTCAAGACTAAAATTAGCCAAATCGGTTCAGCCATTCTCGAGTTTTAGCGAGACTAAGGAACAGCAATCCATTTTTATATATATAGAAGATTATGTATTAAACCTTAGTTGTCATCGTTACACTATATACGGAGTGTTACGATTTGTTTATAAAATATCACATAAGTATGTGTTAACTCAGGTATGAGAAACGGTAAAGTTTTCGTATGTAGTATGACGATGTAAGCGTGTACTTAACAAAGATTTCAAGCAAATAGTATGGAATTACCATCCTCTAAACAGCAGTTGCTAACAGTTTTCTTTCAGTAATTTCTACATAGTTTAGGTGAAATCAATAAAATGGAGGCAACATAACTCTATATATAATCTTTAATAATAACTCAAGTGAATAATTCATATTTATGTCTATTAGCGGAGGAAGACGTCAGCAGTCCCCTGGTGTGTGTCCATGAGTTAGTGTTGGTGTCGCTGATGCTGGCGTGGCTCGCGGTACAAATACTGCTGCTTCTGGGATGCTGCGTCCTTGTTAAACGGTAACTTTGAATTCATATGAATTAAAGGTTTTAGGTTTAGACTTTATAAGGCGGTAGAGCCTAGCTGTGGTCAAGTAACTACAGCTCGAACGTGGGCTGGCTTGACCGAGGAAGTACCACCCTCTCATAAATCGGCGTGAAGTAGTCTTTAATGGCTCCGTTTCATCCGATGAGTGAGAGAGACAGTTGCTATTTACTTTTTCCCACCCTTTCCTCTTCCCCCATCGAAAGTGTTAACGCATCCATCATACTATGTTGCCGATATCCATTGCATTCTCTATAATAACTATTTTCACTGTAGTGTCAATGTTCATGAACTAAAAATTATATTCTTAATAGAACGTAATTTTGGTTTAATTGTTTCAAATAATTTCATATTTCAAGTTTTGTTTGTGTTTATTTATCTTAAACGTTGTACTTGTTTACACTCCGTAAGTTTAAGTTCCTATACTTTCTTATGACACCTCAATTAGCTCGGTAAAGAATCTATGTTAACAATGAGATCTATTTTAACGCATAATTATTTTTAAATGGTCAATTAAGTAATTAAATATAAATATCCATATACGTTATTATTTACATTTACGATATGGCAACATATAACACTATGCAAGTGTGCTCCCGTACTGTATGCATAATACAATTTTGTTATTGTAACACTAAATAGGAATCGTAGCCCTTCTCTCATTCAATAACGAACACGCTAATGTACATCAAGATGTACCAAGACACATTAAATTGTGCCTTGATGTATAAATAAAAACTATTAACCGCAGTATGTAGAACGATGATTCCAGTATAGATCAGGCGTCCAACTTTCCGAAAATTGAATGCGGGACTTAACCTTTCGTAAATGGCAGGGAGGGGGGGGTTGTGTTAGGGATTGGGAATGTCGTAAAAATCTTCGCAACTGCCCATATTAAATTTAAGTACTCTCTTACGCGTCATGAGTTCAGAAGAAAGAAAGAAAACGAGATTATCGCGGGCGCGATACGCTTGTCCCTATTATAGGTAATCTGTGTTCCTGCACTGTTGCCCGTGGTATGGGTGTTGTGTAGAAGTGTGGTAGAAAAATAGGGATGCGGGACATGCGGGACGCATACAACGTTTTGCGGGACTATTTTACTAATATTTTCAAAGCGGGATTTCGTCTAGAATTGCGGGACGGTCCCGCAGAATGCGGGACGGTTGGCCGCCTTAAGTATAGACTAAAACTTAGTTAGACTTGCCATAATTAAAAAACGTAAATGTATTATACTCTAATATAAAGTATTAATTTCCAGGTACAGAAACCTAGCAGAAATGAATATGCAAAAGGACTACCATTCGTTTGACAACATTGGTTTTGACAACGTGTCAACACACAGACGGGTTCATTGGCCGGATCAAAACATAGATATAATACATACAAATTAATACGTAATATACATTTAAGAATTAATTTTAATATTTCATTAGTTGCATGTGATCAATTTCGATGTATATAAAATTAGAGTGTCGCTTTTATTACTTTTTTTTTAATAGTATCGTTGAAACTATAAGTCTCAAGTCAAGAAAGTTGCTTCTTATTAAAAGCTGTTAGCTGTCGACTGTCTTATAATTGAAAAGTATAGCTGATTAAAAATTTCGTTTATTCATATGGTTGTTGTAAGTTGAAAATAAGCTCCGGTAGGGTCGCGAAGAAAGCACTCGAAATACCGTGGCCCTGCCTAGGTGGCGTGGAAGACGAACACCCAGGGGTTTTAGTGGGTCTAAACCCCACATAACCCGGTCAAGTCCCCGCTCGGCCGGGTAGATTTCCCCTGGGAAAAAAAAAGTTGAAACTAAGCTGTAAGCTGTTAGAAATTGAAGTGAATACTTCAATGTCTATAATAAAGAATTTGTTTATTAAAAGAACATACAGTACATAAACATATATATAGTTATATAACAAAACATATAAGTGCCTTCAATAATATTTGCTACTTTAATTTTTTATTTAGATACTCATTGTTCGGTAAAAATAAAACTTTAAACCTTGTAACATTTTTAATTATCATAAATGGAACGAAAAGAATAAAAAAAGAATGTAATAAATATAATATTTCATAAATATAAGTTTTTTCTTACTGTAAAACAATATTTCTATTGCGTACATAATACTTCGAGGTGAATATTAATCAAATCACACATTTATTGAAGAACAACATTTGTATTGTGTTGTCTTCACAGCCACGTAAAACACATGACTGTGATCATTTTTAAATATATGAGTCGTAATTTATTTATTGTTTTAGTCGGACCTATTACTACCGTCATTAAATCTCACAAACTATACATATTTCGATTTAAAATACGATAAGATTTCTTAGATTTGTTTCGTTCTTTTTTCTCTATGGCCGAAATTCAAAACAAAAGATTCTAAAGACTTGTGTTGTGCTTAACAAATACATCATTTAATACGGTTTAATTAAAAACCCTAAAATTTTTATCTTAAAACCATATGTATCATTGGTTGGCGGATATTTTTTTTTTGTGCGCACTGGGAAAAAATGCTTTACTCATCCCCTCTCCGTCGGGAGACGGGGAGGGGTATGTGGGACTCCCCGGGAAAAGGATTCCCGGTATACTCACTAAAACAACCCAGTGGCGCTCCGACCTCGCCTGACTGACAGGGGGCTGGGAATCCGGTTGCATCCAGCCCCCCGCCTGCGATTGCCCGCCTTGTATTGGTTGGCGGCCAGAATAACTTCTTCTTAATTTTCTTCCTACTTAAATAAAACTATTACAAAATCTCTCCTATATAATATTTCAGTAGTTAGTTTGATTAAGGCATTTTTACAGAAATATCACTTCTCACAATTTTGTGGTCAAAGATACTGAACCAAAGTGTTATTTGGCCTTTCGGTATGTATCATCTACTCAATATGATCTTATTGACTAAAAGCACTTATTTTCATAATAAAAAAAAGTTGCTCCAATTTTAGAAGTCTACTGGCAAAAGGATAATGTTAATATCGATAATTATAAAGGGTATGTTTTGAAACTTAGGAAATAAGTCAACACTTCACATAATAAGAAAACTATAAAATATTATAAAGACACATTTAATTCAAGAGTTTGTTTGGCAACAAAATATTAAATTTAACTTCAACACATACTTATCTATTAGTTATGAAACTAATCGTTTTAATTTTATGGATACACATCTTTTTGACATAGTCTTCATTGCCGTTCATGGTGATTTAGATATATGTATGTCTAAAGAATATTGTTTCAGCCTGATACAAAGCAAGGCTATTTTGATTAGAAGATATTAAAAAAAAAACCTGCATTAAAATATATTTTCATCAATTCTAATCTAATTTATTAAAAAAGGGAGTATGGCTACGACCAAAAATATTTTTAGATAAAGTATTAAATGCTATGGAACCGGATCCTGGTAGGGGCATGCAGTAGATATACCCCTTAAGATTTTATTAATTGCTAAATTTTATTAGGACCATTTTGTCTCGTGTATCTTGGTAGTAGAAACAGAGTTACTATGTGTAAAAATAAAATTTAACAAATATAATTTTAAAAAGAAACCATTCAATATGATATATGATAATGAAAAACATAAATTAAAAACCTACACATGAGATAATTTTTTTACAGAAATCCTAAAACGTGCACTCGGTAGTTTACATATTTAATTTAATTCTTTATTAGTATTCAATGTCCATCATCTGTGAATGTGGACCGCATTATGCTCTCCAGCTGATTTATGTAATGACAACTGACATTGACATAAGTCATAAAGTTTCAGATAAATATCGTAAAGCCGTGGTTGTTGCATGGTTAACTAAAATATTAAGTAATAAGTGAAAATAGTGGTGACTTAATAAAGAGATAATTTAAAACGTTTTAAAAATTTGAGGCTGTCTGTATATAAAATGAACTCTCTATTAAGAAATACATCTCGGCCATTAATGCGGTGTTTCTCTACTTCACCTGTGAAACTTAACGCTCAGCCGCCTAAGTTAAAGCCGAAGAAGTTTATGGGTCCTGTCACATGGAAGTCCATGACTGTGACAGCACTTGTAGGAGGAGGGCTTACAGCATTTATGTTATATGTAAGAAAAGAGAAACAAGATGCTTTGGACCGGGATAGAAAGAGGCAGTTGGGCAAAGCTAAGATAGGTGGAACATTTGAATTGGTTGATTCTGAGGTACGTAATAATGTCATTAATGGCGGGATAGAATCAAAAAACTTATATGTTGTGTATTCATATTAAATTTCAGGGAAAAATTGTAAAGAGCACTGATTTTCTTGGTAAATGGCTGTTAATATATTTTGGTTTCACACACTGTCCTGACATTTGCCCAGATGAATTAGAAAAATTGGCTCAGGTTGTTGATACTCATGGTAAGAATATTTTTCTACTTGAACCATAATTCTTTCAGTTTCTATTAAGTTAACAATTACTTTTAATTATGACTTCTATGAAAAAATGTGTAATATACTGAAACAACATTTTTAGATAAAACACCATCAGCCCCACCACTGCAGCCGCTGTTCATTTCAGTTGACCCTCAAAGAGACACACCCGAGATTGTCGGAAAGTATGTTGAATATATTCTTTTCAAATTTGGTTAGGTAGAGAGAGGAGCTTGGGCAAAGGAGGTGAGCATTTAACGCGCGTTAGATAGAGGTCTTTTAAATCTACACCTGGATCGCAAGTCCCAGACACTGTTGAAGCTCCTCTCCCTGCAACGCGATGGACGTGGCACCCACATGGTGAATCCATGGAATGCTGAGAAGTTTCGTCTCTTAATTCAATAACCAATATCTGAGACCATATTATATAATCTATATCTACTGTGATATCATATTTAATATGTTTCATACATTCAATGATTAAAAATTATATTTTTCCAGATACTGCAAAGAGTTTACACCAAGATTGCTAGGACTGACGGGTACTAAGGAACAGGTTCACCAAGCCTGCAAGTCATACAGAGTGTACTTCAGTGCCGGCCCACAAGACGTTGACAATGACTATATTGTAAGCTAAAATACTAGTTGTTTTTAATATTTCATGTTATTGAACTGGTATTCAAATAATAGACCGTTTTTCATATATATTTTACATGTTCATACTTGATTAACATGATGTAATTATGATTGAATACCTGCATAAAAATTGTTGAATAATAATTAATTCTAAACTAATTTTTTTTTCTCATATGTCATTATGTAAAAATAAAAAATTCACATTGTTTTCAGGTGGATCACACAATTATTATATACCTTGTGGATCCCGATGGTGAGTTTGTGGATTATTATGGACAAAACAGAAATGCTAAGGAAATTCATGAGTCAATTCTTGTAAATATAAAGAAATACGAGGATGGGAAGAAATCATCTTGGTTCTGATCAGATAAATAAAGTGATATAGAAATTACATTAAATGAAAAATAAATTATTTATAAAAGTTAATCATTTTTTATTAGAAATTGAAATAAATAAAATGAAATCCAACGTTATTAAATTTATAAAAACTTTTTGTTTATAAAATTTATTTTTGGCAAATAAGTATTTAATTCTGTCAGTATGTACAAGTGTAATTTTTAAATTAATTATCTCCATAGTAAAACCTTTTTAAAAGTTAGCTGTCATTTTCCTTATAGTAAGTTGACCGGTGGATGTTTGTATTTGTACTAAGCTTTGGTCCAATTTGTACAGTTTCATGGTAGTTTCCTCGGCAGGTGATTCTGATGAAGGTACATCATCATTGACTGGAACTAAACTGACATCATTCACATAGTTGACGTTCCCATCAAGACATATATCATTGGTATAATTCATACTGTTCTGCATGTTGTCTACTACAACCAGTTCTGTCTTCTCCTCACCATTTTCATGTAAAATAAGTTCTCCGGAAACTCCTATTGGAATTTCTTCGGACACTTCCAAAGTTATATTTTTATTTCTTATAGTATTAACTTCATTACCAGGGTCCTCGTTATATATTACGTCATCTTCCACAACAAATGGCACTTCTTGAAGAATAACTATTTCCTGATTTTTCACCGTATCTTTATTTACTTTATTTTTGTGCGTCCTGAGATGCTTCACCAAGTAATTTTTCCGACCGAACTTTTCCGAACAAATAGCACATTCAAAGGGCTTCTCTCCTGAAAACAAGATATCAATTAATATAGTATAACGCAAACAGATTATAAGTAGCCGACATTGTTCTGTTCATTGTAAAGTATTGAGTTTCTATATAGGTACTTTTTTTCTATTTATTTTTATACGTTTAATTTATATGTTTGATTACTTATCGAATAAGTTCTAAAGTGTGTACATACAATTCACAAGTATTACTACAAAATGAATCTCTTCTAAAAAGAGGGCATATAATTCTTGTTCTTAACTGTGTATATATAGTAAAGAGACCAATCTTTTGTACAAATCTTATTTACAAATGTTAATTTATACATATGTACTCATTGAATGTGAACATTGTACATGTGTACATTATACATGTGTAAATTGTACATTACCTGTGTGTACAAGACAATGGTCTTTCAGCCTCGCAGCGCTAATAAAGGCTCTTGGACACGCGCAACAAGTGAAGGGTCGCTCGCCAGAGTGAGACCGCAGATGAGTAGATATGTGAGTGCGAGCAAACCTTCAAACAAAAGTGTTGTATTCATTTAATTCTATTATAAGTGACAATAATTTTAACGCCAAGTTTTTTGGTGTGTCGTACACCACATACACATGTAAGAGTTTTTAACCCTATTTTTAACTTTAATTATATAAAAAGTATCTAAAAATTTAATTATGTATACACCTTATGCTATTCATGCGATGTCGTAATGAGTTTAAGCTTGTAACAGACATTTTTTTATTAAATTACTATGATAATTAATATTATATGATAATTAATAATATTATATGACTACTCTCAAATTATATTTCAAGTTAAAAAAATAACGCCCAATAGTGCTGTTTGGATACTTTTCAAAACAAATTTATATTTTAAACTAAGAAAGAACCCTAACATGAAAGCAATAAGGTATATAATCGTTTGATGACAGTTCATACACCGCTAATATTACCTCTTCCCACAAACAGGACATTCATATGGCTTCTCTCCCGTGTGTATCCGTCTGTGACACGTTAGAGACGAGCTGGATGTGAACTTGCTGCCGCAGTCGGTGCAAGTGTAAGGTCTCTCACCTGCATAAACACAAGTTAACAACAATCTGTTTAATTCGTTATATTATAACGAACTCAAACTTATATGTAATATCATAGGTAGAGCCTAGCTGTGGTTATGTTATTGTATAACTCGACTTCGGAAGTACCACCCTCTCACAGAAGATCGATATAAAGTAGTCTTTAATGGCTGTGTTACGCCCGATCAATGAGAGACGGTTGCCCTTTCCAACCTGTAGAACCCCTGGTCCTATTAAGAATAACTAGTCACTGGCTCACGACACTACTACCCCGGCTAGAGCGCATGCGCACGTCCCCGTTCTGCTCCGCGCTAGTCGTTAGACTGCCGAGCGCATGCCGCCTCTCCAGTGGGGTACGTGAGACAGCGTATTATATCTATCAATTGTATAGATCAGTTTACTACACCACCCTTCCCTCTCCCTCTAACATAATCAAGGTCGGCAACGCATCCGCAAAACTGTGTACCTATGTCCTTTGTCATAAAAAATGTAAGTTACCCGTGTGAGTCCTCATATGCAGTTTGAGATTCGAGTTCTGTATGAATGTTTTTCCGCATATTGAACATACGTAGGGCTTTTCACCGGTGTGCGTGCGGTGGTGTGTGTTCCTGGTGGACTCGTGCCTGAATCTGAAAATTCATTACTGCTATATATTGGAGATAATAATATAATAAAACGTGTCTAATATTTAATTTATACACACAAGCACAAACACTCCATTTCTCTATTGTATTTCATAGAATCTTTAAGAACCACAACTTTGAAAATCACATTAAATTTAAAATATCTAAGTTTGCCGCTTTGACACTAAAATTGTAGAATGAGTTTAGAATAATGTCATTGAAATGGTATTTTGTAATAAAAATATATCTTTCCCTTTCACTCTTTCCCACACCCATAGAATAAATATTGTTTTCCAAAAATCGATGTACAGATAATATTTATCTCTTCCACTCTTACCCAAGCAAATATGATAAAATCTATATTTCTTTCTCTTTCTTTCTTTTACAAACATGATACAAAAATTTGTTCCAATATGGTTTTACGTAGAATCTTCTGTCTCTTTCTCTATCTGTTTCTCGTACCGTTTGTCACAGTAGAGACAGGCGTAGGGCTTCAAGTCCGAGTGTACACGGGCGTGCGAGGCGAGCAGTCTCTGAGATGGAAACGCCTTGCCGCAGACAGAACACGAACAGGGCATGAGGCCGCTGTGACGAGTGGAGTGGGTCGCTAGCTGGGTGCGGTCACTGAAACTAATTATATACAAGGAAACCTTAGTTTATTTCAATCATATACATATATTTTAAAGTCAAACTGTGTATATGAATTCAATACATTTTGTGCTTGCATTTGGTACAAAAGGAATGATTGAAATTATAGTATAAGAAATAATTTTTCCATTACAGATATAGAAATTATGATGTCATCTGGACATAAGACTTGGTCCAGTGCAAATTACAGATTTTCTACAGAAATCTGGATTATGGACTATATTGTTATTTGTAAACTTAACAAAAGCAATTAATTATTATAGGTGAAGAAATTTAAAGGCAGAGACCATTTTTTTTGTTAGGACCTGCAAGAATATGAAGAAAATGCGAATTGACATGCAAAATACAAGCCATGAAATCTTTAAACAAAGAATATAACTCATACCGTTTGTCACATATGTCACAGCGTAGCGTCTTTTCCTTCCTCTCGCCGGTATGAACACGCGCATGTCTTCGTAACGCGCACGGCTCAGCGAAGGTCTTGCCGCACGCGTCACAGGCCAGCCTCCAGCACGCCATGTGACGACGGATGTGACGTCGGAAACGGTTCCTCTCTGAAACATACATACTGACAGATCTTAATCTTCCTCTATGAGATGCATTACTCTGTACAGCAATAACTGCCTCTGATCTAACAAATCTTGGTACTGTCTGTGACAGGCATTAGTCTGTAGTGCCCCTGAACTATGTTATGGTACACAATATTAAAATGTAGGTTTAACTTGTAAACTAATTATATGTGCAACCAAAAATATATTATTAGCCTTATATAATAATAATATTTTACATCTCAAAAATTTTAAGGACTTATATGTTGTAGTACTTCCTAATCTTGTTTGTTTTAGATTGCTTAAATTTTAAGACCATACTCATTTATATATATATCTCACCTGTAAACTCTTTCTGACATTCATTACAAGTCCACTTATTTCCTTTTGTATGTAATGCTGAATGTATACGCAGGTCTTGTTCCTGGCTGAACGTCTCCTTACATTTTCCACAAGGATAAGAATTTTTCGCTTCTGTTTTTCTACACTTCTTCATATGAGCTCTTAATGTTTTTATTTTACGGAAATTCTGAAACAAAATCAATATATCCCTTTAATAAATATAGAAGTAAAATATTTTTAAATTTAAATTATAATTACCTTGGAACATATTTTACAAAATAGAAGTTTAGTTTTCTCCTTTACCGGTTTTTCAGATTTAATTTCTATCAATGTTTTCATATCTGAAATATTTAAATAAGATAACAATAAATGACAAATAAAAAAAATTAATAAATTAATTAAAAAAAGGAATATACTTCATTATTTAGATATATTATACTGACCATTTTGTTCTGTTTCTCTGCTTACACTGATAAAAAAATATATATTAGTAACAAATTTCATAATTTTTAAACATAATAATGACAATTCATTACCTATTGATATCTTTTGAGACAATTTCATTTGATTCAAAGAAATCATCGTCCAAATATTCAACCTCTGTAAATATGTAACATATTAACAAACATATAACTATATTCTTTAATTATTTTTCTTATATACTACCATGACCATCTTCATACTCTGTTTTTAAATCTTCATCCTTAAAATTTATATCTTTTGGAACATTTTCTTCACATAATTTAATGAAATCATTATAATCAGTCTGTATTCCTTTTTCCTTTGTCTTTATTGTCACACTGAAATATTAACAATAATTTTGGTTGCTATTATCTAGGACATATATAGTTTTTTACAATTAAACTCTTTAAAATATTTTTCCAAAACTATCTAAGACATTTACTAAATATATTATAAAGGCAAGGAATGTAGCCTTAAGCAATAATGCCAATATTATTTTAAGAATTAAATGTACTTAAAAAATCAAACAGAAAATATACAATGAATTAATTATTATTAAGCTTTATATCTTGGTAAATATTCCATACCTCACCGTTTAGTTTCCCTCCTGTTTCAATTAGTTTTTCATTATATATTTTCTATTTAAACTTCAACTTCAACAATATAACTGTATAAATTAAAATTAATATATTAAGAATCACCTTATATTATCAGAACAGCATCTGGAATCTAATTTCAATACTTTTCTGAGTGTTTGTTCTGATTTCAATGACTTTTTTCTAAGTTTATAACATTGTAATAAATCATCATAACATGTATCACAAATTTGTTGAGGAAATTCTGCCTCCAACTGTGTCTGTAATATAACAAAATAAATTATGAGAGTTGTATGATTTGGAATAAGTTATAAAATTAAATAACAGGGCAAAATGTATTTGAAACTTTACTGACAAAGTATAAACATTTCTGGGGGTCTTTTAAACATATTTACAGCTAAAGTTGACATTGCATTTATAATAATAATACACAGTTACAATAACATTTTAAAATTAAAGATTTATTTGTGTCTTCTGAAATTAGAAGGGTACCTACTTTTATGGATGTAACATAGGAGAATATATCCACCAGCAATTCTGAATCAATAGTAGACATTAAAGAGATCATATTATCTTCATTTGTAAGACATATACGGCAAAGGTATCTTATATCATCAATAGTGTTTACTGCTATCAATTTCATATCGTTTTCTATCAAAACATTCTCAAATTTATGATGCGCAGAACTAGTTGGTTTTATATTTACGATTGCATTCAGAGGTATTTTATTCTCATAGTCATTTTCATTGGTCGAGTTTTCCATATCTTTTAATAAAATTCTCTACGATACAATAGCTCAGAGATTGCCTTTTTGACAGATCGTATTCGAATGGCCGACGTAGCTTTGAACTGGCGTACAATATACTGGAGAATTTTATTTACCTAATGAATTAGAAATAATAAAGAATATTTAATAAATCTGTTAACTTATAATAAATGTATTAACTTTGGTAAATAAATATAAAATTATTAAACAACTATGATAACAATATATTTTAAGTAAAATAAACGATTTAAAGATATCTACATTATTTGTTTTGTAGAAATTAAAAACAAAGAGGACATGATTAAATATCTTTGTTAGCAAAATGGAAAATAAAAGTTTTAATTTTGCAACGAACACAAAAAAACCTTATGATAACGTATTTTACAAAAAAATATTAATTTATAATATTTTTCAATTATAACTTTCTAATTATATAATGAATCAGCCAAACAACTTGGGATAAGTAGGGTTTATAAATATTACTAAAGTCGTTTATTGTACTTCTATAGTCATATCGAATTGACAGGTGTCAGAAAGGTGACTACAGACTATATAATATATTAAATTCCAATCATTATATCGTCTGGGATAATATAAATAAGCGAAAATAGAATTTTGTAATTCCGGATATCTGCAATAGAAGTATTTTCCCAGAATAACGTAAAAATTTAACCATTCTCTAAATTTATTGACTCCTATAAGGTCACTTTTTCAAAGTGACTGGTTATGTGTTCAATTTATTACTCAATATGAAAAAAGGTGAAAAAGACCAATCCGGCTTATTATAGTTTTTTGTCGATTGTCAATTTTTTTTGTAATATATATTTTCCAAAAAGGCAAATTAACAGACAGCCTATTTGATTGACAAGGACATCTATATTAAAAGGAATGTTGCGGATGCGTTGCCGAAACCTGATTGTGAAAACGGGAAATGAAAATGTGCGAAAAGGGAAAGGACATCCGGTGCTTTCACTCATTGGACGCAACGCCGCCATTAAAGACTACTTCATGCCGTAATTCTGTGTGAGGGTGGTGATTCCCCAGTCGAGCCAAAACATGATCGAGCTGTAGTAACTTGACTACTTTAGTAATTTTAGAAAAGTCAATGAATGAACAGAATAGATAATTGACAAGACATACAAAAAAGTCAACAAAGTAAAATGTAAAATATTATATGAATGCTCTTTAACATTTTTGGGAATATAAAAAAACTAGAATATTAGTACGGTGTCCAGTTTTAATATTACTTATCAATGACACGAAACTTCTCATCATTCCATGGATTCACAGTGCGGGTGCCGGGTCCATCGCGTTGCAGGGAGAGGAGCTTCAAGAGTGCCTGGTACTTGGGACCCAAGTATAGGTTTAAGGGGCCCCTTAACTAACGCGCGTTATACGCTCACCTCCACTGTCCAAGCTCCTCTCCCTACCTAACCAAATTTGAAAAGAACCTACTAGGGCTGCCTTCAATGTACGTTCCAAGAATGCATTAATGTGAGTTCTTTACAAGCCCAAGTCTTTTAGTAGGTTGTAGAGAGATTTCGCTGTTATACCTCTCGCTCCCACCTCTACTGCGTACAAATCTACTACGAACCTATTTCGAGTGAGTTCGTTTGTGAGCTCGTAATATTTGTTGACCTTGATGGTATGGTCTTTGGGGATGTTGGTTTCCCAAGGAACGTGAAATAAGCGAAAACAAAAATATATCCCGTCTGGCGGCCGACGCACAAATATCCTATGGGATTTTATATTGTTTTTCATACGTGTCCATCATTATAGTCCAATCCGACGCCGCTTTAAGGATGGAGTAAGGCTTGACATTTGATTTTATAGCCCTCGTGCCCTCTATTTAAACGAAAACTTATGGAAAACGAAAAATAATAATTTAATCTTACACAATAAAAAATGAGAAGTTATTCTTATAGACTTATTTTTATGATAGTTAACAATTAGCATTCCTTGTTACCTTCTATTTTAAGAAACTATTCATGTAGGTATACTTACCAATTAAAACCTTTACAGCATTTGACGTTTTTCATTTCCGAGGCAGCCAAAAACTGCTTTCTATTTTCTATTCTTCAGCATGTTATAAGAAATTACGAGTTTGATATTCATATTGGTTCTTTTAGCAAATAATTATGATAATTTCAATTTGAAAACCTTACAGATTTAGATGCCTATATTAATTCTGAACTTGGAGTGGAAACAAAATTACTTGATGGAAGATCAAGAGAGTAAAACTACTCAAAGTCAATTGGGTTTTTGAATTATTTTTTTTTTTTGTGATAAATGGAAAGATCATATATAAGTTTAATAACAAAACTATTTTTATTTTATTTTTTTTTGCAATATTTAAAAAGTTATTTCAAAATAAAAATTAAATTTTAAATTCAGTACCGAAGACAAGCCGACAGCTCGTGAATAAACCCGAGCGCGTGTGACGTCACAATGTTAGTTTTTGCTCATTGTAGCATACAGAGATATAATAATTAGTACAGTGTTTTGAGTTTTTATCTAGTAAATTCTGTTGGCATTGTTAAATAATCAAAAGTTTTGTACCATTATGTACAAAGACTACAAAAACAACTCCTGAAAAAATGTTTTTAAATGTTCCACAAGACGAAAAACGTCGAAAGAAATGGTTTCAAGCAGTGCATCGAGATTATTCAAAAACAAAATCATTTTTTTTTGTTGTGAAGATCATTTCGTTGTAAGTTTTCATAATAGTATTGTTATTAATTATTATTTATCTAAGTGTATAAATCGAATAAGTATAGTTCAATAATTAATTTTTTTACCTGGGCTCCAAATCATAACCTTTAGAATCGTAGCATTAAAAAATTTTAATTGATAATTCAAAGCGATTAAATAGTAAATCTATATATATGTTTGTCTAATAATTGGACTTCAATTAATAGATATTTTCATAATTTTATAACATTCTAGGTTCTGTATCAGACTACATTTAAATTTTTAAAGTACATATATGTTATTTTGGTTTTTTTATAATGTTATAATAACATTTTATTAATAATGATTTAATGAAATAATTATTAATTATATTTAATAGAGAATAAATACTAATTTTCATTTAGAATAGTATTTTTTGACAGACTTACCTTGATGTCTTAGCACCTCGAACTTCAGCAAAATTAAACCGCACTTTTTAAAAAATTAGTTATCATAAAAATATATTAACATCAGGAATATTATCCGATTTTGCTTTTATAAATCCTTTATCACACATAGTCGAAATAAACTTTTCAAATCGTTTTTCACTAATAAATTTGAGATATTTTTATCAAGTTAAAGATAATAGCCATAAACACTGTACTATTATGAAATTGCTTTAACATTATGACGTCACAAGTATGCTGACCAATCATGGCGCGTTTACAGTCACGTGATATATTTTTGAATTTTATCAATTTTTAATTGTTTATAATTAATTTAAAAAATATATTTCAAGTTTTTTGCATTAAAAATCCAATATAATTAATAATAAAGTTTTAAAATACATAAAAAAAATCAATACTTTTTTTTTTTCAATAACCCAATTGTAGTTCAGAATTTCCAATGCCGGCGTTAGAGGAACTGACACCCTGGGCAAGAATATTTTGGCGCCCACTTGAAGAAATCAAAATCGAGTATTAATTTTTTTCTGAACCAATGTGGATACTGAACGTGTATTAAGAATTCTATATTCCATCTACCATCTTCGCCCCATAATCACCCCCCCCAAATTTGGCGCCCTGGGCCGTCGCCCCATCGCCCCCCCCCCCCCCTAACGCCGGCACTGACTGAATTCCCATTTAATTTTTCATGTTATAGCCATCTCGGTAGTACAGCGCTAACAGCTGATGGAATTATAACCAACATAAATAGTTACATTGAATATGCTTTAATTACTATTTTTGGTGACTACAACCCACAAAGTAATTATAGCAGTTATAATTCCCTAAGAAGAAGAGAAATACAAAAAGGGAAAAATATAGAAACACTGAAATAATATAACATTAAATTTCAAAGATAAACAAAAGAATGGAAAAGTTTATGTGAGAAACAATTTGTCATTATGATAAAGTAATCGGATGTATACTTATTACGAATGACGTCGAACGAATTGTATGTTTTAGCGAAAAATGCCTGACGAAGCTGGTGATGGTGGGTGGTAAAATTTTAAACAGCGTTCACATCAACATTTACGAAGCTTACTATTTTCTAATTTATATAAAGATAAGCTTATACACTTAATAAAGCTTATACACTTAAATACATACTGGAACAGCCAAACTACAATAATGCCAAGCTACAGCAGCAGTAACCAAAGGCTTTTAGAAGTTTCGATCGACATCAGGTTATAGTTTACCAACATAAGTAAAAATTAATCATTAAAAGAAACTTGCAGCTAAGTCTCTTTTGGCTAAATCTTATAAAATACTAAATTTTGTCTCATTATATGTTAAAAACAGAAATAGTTTTGGAGATTTTGTTTAGTTTGGAATAATTAAATCGAAGTAATCAATTGTTTTTGCAAGCTTGTTGTAAGACTTTATAGCCTTATTCACTAAATATTTAAAAGCCAATAGGCTTCACACAATCACAATAGTGACTTTATAAAAATACATGCTGATGATTTTTACGTTAAATACAAGCTAATAAATAAGGAACTTTCATAAGAATAACTTTACAAAATGATTCAAGTAATGTGAAATACATTAAGAGTAATGCTATTTGAAAAGTTTTATTGAGAATGTAGTGTTTTAAAGATGTTCGCTAATATAGGTTCTATGGTTTTCTCGAAGCTATAATAAATATACGAAATTTTTCTTAACATCGCCTTGACGCATTTAGTATACAGACGAAATGGTGACGCCATTAATATAAAGATAAATAAAAATGTTTGACTTTAGGAAAATTGTGATATAACTAAGATAAGGTAATGAGGTAATTTATAAGGTGTATTTTTTATATTTATTTTAGAGTAAAATATATTAAATATATAAAAAGTTAATAACTCTTTATTTTTACGTAAAACTTCCATTTCTTTTCATATATTTCAATATCTAGGTCTCGCAATCAAAAGTAATCAAAGTCCTTGAAATTATAATATTAATTTTGCTCTCAATAACAGAATGCAGTGGAAAAATATTGATATTTTCTTTTAGAGAACCATATTGTTTACCAAGAATAGCAGTTACTTAAAGTAGTATTGTGGCCCCGTGATAACGATGACCCCAGTGATAACAGCCTAAAGGGTGCAGCGGGTCGCTCGAACGAACGATCTCGATTACAACGGACGGTGACCGACCGCTAGGAGATCTTCATTTTCTCACAAACCATTAAGAAGGCATCTTCACAACACCAACATCACACTGTACCACCAATATGTTCATTGGTATAACTTCTGCTGGTGGAAACGTAAATTCGCATTACGATTACTTGATTTGAACGAAAAAAGGTAAGATTTGCTTTGTCTTATCGAGGGTCACAACCGCCATATTCCCAATAAAAGTTTATAAATAATAATTTTGCAAAAGATAGCATTTTTATTTCACTGATTCTTAGGTTCAAAGTGATGACGGGCGGCGGCGCACCTCAGAAAAGAAATAAATCCGTTTAATTTTTTTAAAATGTCTGCTTTATAGACTTCAAAAGTTAGTAAATAGTGTTAAAAATAGTGTATTGTGTTGTGTTTTACTAATATCACAAAATATTTCTGTTACAGATTATCGGTTACTTAGAGTATTTTCTTTAAACATCAAAAATGGCCTTGGATTTTATTGCCGGATGTATCGGGGGTAAGTTTTGTAAATATTATTTGGGTTTTTTAGACATTAATGTATATGTTGATGAAATATCTTTTTTTAAACTTATACTTTACAAACTTTTTATATTAATGCGTAATTAAAATTATTTTGAATTTCCCCATTTTATGGAATCTAAGTTAAAATTTTTCAATATCTTATTGCAGGTTGTGTAGGAATAATAGCCGGTCATCCCCTGGATACTCTAAAGGTACACATACAATCAGGGAGGGGAAGCGCACTAGAATGTACTAAAGCTCTGTTAAAAGGAGGAACATTATCTACTGCATATCGAGGTGTAGGAGCGCCTTTAGGTGGAATCGCTGTCATAAATAGTTTAGTATTTGGAGTATACGGAAACACAAGAAGATCTCTACCGTATCCGGATTCTCTATTGTCACATGGTGTTGCTGGTGGTATTTCTGGCTTCGTTCAAAGTTTCGTTTGCTCGCCGGTCGAGCTTGTCAAAACACGACAACAACTTGTTCGGCCAGGTGAGAAGATGCCGACTGGTGCTTGGTCTGGAGCTCGATATATATTAAGAACAGGAGGATATAGAGCATTATTTAAGGGCTTAGGAATTACCATAGCCCGTGACAGCCCAGCCCTCGCAATCTACTTTGTCTCATATGAAGCCATGATAAGAGGAGATAGTTCAGTCATGACTGTGTTCACTGCCGGTGGTGTAGCTGGTGCTTTATCGTGGGTCCTTCTATACCCAATAGACGTAGTGAAATCAAGATTACAAGGTGATGTCGATGGAAAATACAAAGGGGCCTGGGACTGTTTTTGTAAATCAGTGCAAACGGATGGGTGGAAGTGTATGAGGCGAGGAATTGGCGCTGTGACCATACGAGCCTTTATTAGCAACGGAGCCTGCTTCACGGCTGTGGCGTGGACAGAGAGAGCTTGGCAGCGTATCTTACATTTCAATTCCGCACAAGCTGCAAAAATCGGAGATGCTGTGCGGTGTGAAACACCAGAATATTACGAATTATAGAAGATTTATATCGGATATAAGTGAACAAGTTATAAACAACACTTCATGAAATATTTTTGTATTTATAGAGTTATTTGGTTGTAAGTTCCTAAGCTTTCTGTAAACAGAATAACTGTGCCAGTGATTTTTATATTTATTTTTACAAAATAAATTAAAAAAGATAGAAGTTTCCTTTCTCAAAATATCCTATTATTATATATTTAATATTTTACCAAAATCTTACATATATAGTAAAAAAATTTCAATAATAAAAATACATATATGCATAATTCTTAATAAATAAAAACAACTTTATTTAAACGTATAACACTAAAATGAAAAGAAAATATTTGGTTCTTAATATCGTATAATTCTCCGAAAAATTTATTATACAATTTTCAAAAAAACTATTCCAAAAATACAGGTATGATTCACATTATGAAATATCACCACATTAAAAAAATGCCAAAAGTTCTAAAATATATGTATATATTTTAAAAATAAAAGGTCGGTTACGTTTTAATTTGACATAGCATTACTTGACTATACTGATATACTGATTCCTAAGACATTTATTAAATTTCTTACGTAGGCTATAAAAATTACAGTATTGAACGATACGAAGTTGTTAAATACCTGAAACATATAAAATTAAGGTTACAGTTAGAAGAGAACAATATAACACAAGTAACATACTAAACTGACTAACCATCAATGAATTTAAGGTCGAAATAGAAAAGACAATTTTTGTCATTTCAATTTATTATTTTCTATTAGCAACTAACGAGGTTAAGTTAAGGTTAAGAACTCTATGATACTGTTTAATGAAACAGCATTTTGTAAAGATTGAGTTGGGTAAGAAACAAATATTGGCCTTATCAATGTCCATTAAAAATTTTGGATTTTCCAAGTGTTACTTAAAATTTATTGGATTTTTGAAATGGAGAAAAGTTGTGAAGGGAAAACAAACAGACTTTCTTTCGTATTTATTGAGATAGATAGTACCAGAAGTTATGGTTTTATACAAGCCTTTGTACTAATTAGTTAATATGCTATGCACCACAAAAATTGTGCTTCGATAATATTCGAAGAGACTGTCAAAGTTTGAAAATTCAAAGATATCTCTTGTAAAAAATCTTTCCCTTTTTAGCATTTCATCTCTTTTGACAGAGGTCATATAATAATCAAACAAAAACTTTTAGACTTTGATTCGCATAAAGTGATTTAATTCGCTGTCCTATAGCTTAGCAAAAACCTCAAACAGTATGCTAATAATATCGATATTGTTACCGGGTTATTTAATTCCTATCCTGCTCCATCGGCTGTGGCGGCGGTGGCGGAGGAGGCGGCACGGGCACGTCATTATCCATCACTCCCAGTTGTTCCAACATATCATCATTATCTTCCATCAGATGCACCTGAACAAACATATATTCCAAACAATAAATTAAGACACATTTTAACACTATATTAAAAGAATTTCTATTCTATAAATGCTGTCTATTCAATCTGTATACAAGTCGATAAAAACTAATGCGATTTCTAATGTTTTATTCACAATTTTCTTAGCAATATTTTAAATTAACATTTTTTAAACAGTAAGGCTTCGCTCACGCAAGTAAGTAACCAAATAAAGTGTACCTGTCGTCTACTCCAAAAATGGCGGGTTTGATTCCACCTCCTCGCGAATATTTGTACCGGCCTGGGCACATTATGCTGGTATCGCGAGTCACCCCTGGGACCCTAACATTAAGTTATCGTCATTTATTTAATCACATACTTAGCGTTTATTGCTTTTATATGATGGGGTATTAATATTTAATACTTTCTTATCTATTGAACTTGAGAAATCATTTAATGTTATTTGACGAAGTTATATTTATTAATCAAATATCTTATACAGTTACAATTATTTGACTATTCAAAATTACTGTCAGGAAATCTTTAGCTAGAGAAAATTTTGGAAACAAGCGATAATATACGTAGAAATACTGGTTACGGCCAGTTATTGAATTGACCTTTCGGCGGGAATTTATCTTATTTTGTGTTACTATATAACATATTAATGTTTTTAAACTACTATCATAGTGATAGCAAACGTTCAGTATTATATTATGCAATTTTTTATATAGTTACGTAAAATATAGCTAACTTACTATGTTTTTTTAATGAAATAGAAACAGATTATTTTTAACTTTAGTTTTCATTTTGGTACATGTGAGCGAAGCCGTACATATATAAAAACTTCCCCATAACGTAAAGAGAAAATTTGTCAGAGGCCCTTGTAACTTTTTCAAAATCAAAAAGTTTACATTATCATTCTCTTATTATGATAAACATATTTATTTCAGCTATGCGGTGGTCATAAAACAAAAACCTAGTCTCGTGAATTTAGCACCTTAAACTATAATAAGTTAAATTAGGTCTTCATTAATTTTCTCTCGAGGAAAATCTACACTCTGCCTACCTAAGAATGACAATATGATTAACATTTTACAAAATTTGCTAACATTTTGCTAAGTTTTGCAAAATTTTGTCAACATTTGCTTTGAGCTTTTGCAACTACGGACCTCAAGTCGTTAATAAGAGTAAAATAAAGGTAGCTCCTGATGGGTTTATTACAATGTTTTATAAATATCTAATAGTAGACTTGTTAAACATAAGATACAAACATCAGGTAGAGCAGTGCGGTGTTGTCCGTGTCTAGCTGTCTCTGAGAGAAGAATCTTCTGCCTTTTCTCCTCCATGAGCCGCTCGCGATGTTTATGAATGTAGTCGTATACATTTGGAAGACCCATGATGACGCACGCTGAGAGAGCTGAACGGTAGATGTTCATATCTGTCGCCTCATACCTAGGTCAATATTGTGATATTCATTAAGATTTAGCCTTTGACCGTAGCTCTGAACATAATTATATTAATAACATAAAGATAAAGAAGCTTTTCTTCATATTCAAGACTCTATCTATCTCCGTATATAACTTGACTCAAATTATTCAACTGTCCAACTATGAATGCACAGATGCTTAAGTTACAATATTAATTTAAGAAGTCCTAAGGTTTTTTAATACAACTTCACTGTCATAAAATATAATAGCTTGGATATACATATGATTCGGTATATTCTAAAATAAAATATAAATTAATGATTGAAGAATTAAGTGACAACACTATTTCTAACGGAAATCCCATTAAATTTAATTCTTTTCTAATTATTAATAATAATATAGGGTATTTAATACAAATATAACCATTCGTTAGTCCGCTCGTCATAGCATTCGACGTGATAGATGGTGGTGACTCCGTTGAAGCCTCCGATAGCGAAGATCATGTCATCAATGACCTCGATGGCAAAATTGCTCCGAGGGTTGTACATGTCCGGCACCGGGGACCACGTGTTGGTGTTTGGATCGAATACCTCCCCGCTACACATTCTTGATATGCCGTTGAATCCTCCTATCACGTAGATCTAATAAACGAGTGTGATGATTACAATATAGCCCTCATTGAACTAATTAGTAGAAGCAATCAACTTAATACAAAGATTATTTTCTTATGAATTAATTGTAACACTAACAAAATTTTAATGAAATAATAGTAATATTCAATTTATATTACAAAATGGAAAATGTCAGGTTAACTAAGAAACGACAAAATGGATAGATATGGGTCAACTTGGCTTAAATGTTGAAAACATAAGATACAAGATCTTCATTAACGTATTCTGTATCAAAATATTGCTACATTTTGAATTCCGTAAAAATAAGAACTCCTAAAAAAAAAGTTAACAAGTTTGTCAGAAAAATTATACCTGGAGCAGTTTAGATTCACAAACAAACCTTATTGTGATACGCAATACATGACACCCCAGAGCGACGCGAACGCATCGGCGCCAGATTAGTCCACTGGTTAGTATCAGGATCGTATACTTCCACACTGTTCATGCACTCCTGGCCGTTAAATCCGCCGGTGATGTAAATTTTATCTGCAAAAATTACTTCGTAAACAAACTGAATGTATATATCCAATAATGGTATATTTCATGGCTCCAAATTGATATTTTACTGTCTAAAGCCGCAGCGCTTGCATCTGATCTTTGAGCATTCATGGGAGCGACGAGCGACCACTGGTTGGTGCGGTGATTGAACCTCTCGGCTGTATTCTGACGGTGATGACCATCGTAACCACCCATGGCGTATATAGTCTCTCCTAACACAGCCACTGACACATAACAACGACGTGCGTTCATTGGTGCTACCTGGAACGTTAAACTCAACTCTTATTCATCATAACTGTTATAGAGAGTTAGAAGTAATGTTTTTTTTTATTTTTTTATTACTTCTACTTCATTGTATTAAAGTTATATGAGATACTTAAAATATCTAGCTACCAACCTCCCTCCAAACTTTGGCAACGGCGTCAAAACAGCGACATGAATTGAAATAGTCCATTCCATCAAATCCGCCAATCACGTAAATACAATAGCCCAAAACAGCAGTTCCATGGTAAGCTCTCGGTCCTGCTGGATCAACTTCTTCCACCTCCAAGAATTATAAAAAGAAAAATCTATAGTTTCACCTCATAACATAATTGACCTTGAGGTAATGAAACGCTTATATATAAATAATATTATAACGTAGTACATAAATACGAAGAAATAAATAGTAATGTTTATTATGTAATTTATTTATATAACTTTATTATTACTTTGTCACAATTGGCACTGCGCAATTCATTGATACGATCTAAATTAAGATCATCGACTTCTTTTTTGCAAAACATATAACAAAATTGAATGACTATCTATTAGATACATATGTAGATTATTTACAAATGTTTCGAGAGTTCATATTTCAGATAATTAACAAATAATTAACAAATTGAACGTCATATAATCTAGGTTATCAACATTTGACGTAGACACCACACCTACCATGTAAAAGTCTATCATTGGATAGTGCAGGTGATTCCTAAATCCACCTCTTTCGTTGAAAAAAAAAACAATTATATGAAATAAAATATTTCAAACTGGCTCCATAAAGTGAGCACGAACCTTAATCCAACGATCAGCTCTCGTGTCATAGGTTTCAATAAATGCTGTCGGAGAACCACCGCTCCATCCACCGATGGCAAAAAGCACCTAAAATAATACATTTACATAAATACAATTCTTTGAAAATATACTTATTTTAGAAAAATACAACAAATATGTTCTTATAGTGATACATTGTTATCATTAACATTTAACCTCGTGTGGAACACGTGGTCGTGCTATCTCTGGAGTCGCCACTTCACCATCCCGCTGTGCAATCATTTCTAAATCGTATAGGAATTTAAGCGTCTCAATGATGATAGGGCGCGAACCTTCGTTGCCAGTAACATATGGATGATCTTTGACGTTTTCCAAGAAGAACTGTTAATAATAGAAAAAATGGAATATTCTTAAAATCTGACAAGTTTCCATGTACTAAGCTACGTTAGACCTGTTACCTACTTGCGTATCCAATAAACCGAGACGTATGCTGCCCATGAGTTTCACAGTGTGATGCCAACGCACATCCGGATCGTAGTTAACCCAACGCAGAACGGCTTCCCATACAACCTCTTCGCTCTTCACATTCAATTCATCCTCGAGTATAATGCTATTTAACTCATCAATCGGCAAGTGAAGAAACTCGTCGCTCTGCGTTGCTACAGTCACAAAATACCTTAACAAATATCTGCGGGAATCTGCTTCCAATTTATAGCAAAATACTCGTCTGAAATAAATAAAATATTATTTATCAATGTTGAACATGCGATATAAATGCCAAAAAATTAGGAAATTAATGGTTACCTAGCAAACATCATGATGCCGAGGCAGTTTTTTGGATTCAAAGCAGCCTTTAGGTGGTCAGAACATAATTGCAAGACGCCAAGGAAAGCAAGATAGTCAGCGGTCATAAGGAGTTCGTGAACATTAGTATCAGTGACTTCAATCCGACGAAGGTATGCATATTCGATCAAGAGGAGTAGGATCTCTGAGCGCACGCCCGATATTAACACATCGCTCTGCTCCCGAGAGTGTAAAGTTGTTGTAAATAGTGCCCTATATCAGTTTACTCATAAATTTTTAAGTCAACTTGTAGTATAACAAACATGGAGACGTTAGGTTAATGTAAAGTCCTTCGAAATCCTTCTTTTATCTCGAGCAAATTCTTGTGTGCATTCTGAGGACTTGTACATTTATTAAAAAATATTATTAAGGCTTCCAATCTAAATATTCTAAATATTGGATTTGCAGAGATTGTCAATCACTCTGCGCCTATTGTACTGGTTCACACACTCCGTTTCCTCCGCTGGCTAGAGAAATTATTATTATACGCTTCTACTTTACGAATAAATATTAAAGTTCGTCGTACATAGACGACGACAGTAAATAATTTGAGCCTCTATGCCAAACGTTGGTATAACATGTATAACGTTGGTATAACATGTATAAAAAATATATTTTTCGGATTTACTGTTTATTTGTGGTATATCCGAAAAATTTTGGTTTTATTTCAATGACTACTCGAGACACTCTGAGATCTCATTATGTATAAGGGTGATATAAGTGTGTTTTTACAGTATTACTTATGTTTCTAAAGTGTTCTCTAAAAGAACAAATTATATTTTTTTCATTTTTTGAAAAAAAAAAACAACAAATAAACCGATTTTAATGAAACTTCATAGTAAAAATTCTAGTATCTAAAACTAATCAGTATAACAAACATATGCGTTACAAATTAGATTCCCTATGTGGGTTAAGTGTCCATGATTACGAAAAGGTTCGTCATGAGATCCGAAAAAGTTGTGGGTTTTAGATAACTTTGAATCAATTTCCCTCCAAATCACGGAGACGTGATCTATGCTACGATGTAATACAAAGTATTGAATGTAAATACAGGAAGTATGGACTGCAAGCCGAGAGTATAGCGCGGTGGACGGGGAAGGCGGCGCCGTCGTCGGCGCGCACGATCGCGTCGCAGAGCAGACGACACTCCCTAAGACGGTGCAGCGCCTGCATCGCAGCCACCGACATGCATCGCCCAGTCTCGCGACCCGCCGTCTGGGGACAAAACGTTACATCACTACAAGTTGCGTTACGTTACGTTACGTTACGTTACATTAGTACAACTGTACATCTAGAAATTAAAACACGGACATTATCCACTTCTTTACTAGCATTAATGTTGATTGTGGGCTTTTAAATGTGACCTAAGTAAGAACTTAGGACTTTATTTTTTACAGCTGAAAAACCAAAGGCGATTTCCGATAAAAATATGCTTTTTGGATTCATGAGATCTAATCATTAGAACGGATTATTTTTAGATATAATAGACAATTATTCGGTAATAAGAGTGCACATCTAGACGTATCTATATATATAGAAATATGTTAAGGCAAAATTATTTATACAAAAGTCAAATTTCTTGAGTACCTATACCCATTAAACCGCCAAGTATATCCTGTTGTCTATTTTTTTTTCGACGGAACCAAAAGAGGCGGAAGTTTTATATTTTTACTCCAGCAGTCTTTATCGGATTTATATAAGGAAAATAATGAAAAAAAAACATAGCGAAATAAAATATTTGATAATAACTAAGATTAATAATATTATACATTAATAGACTGTGTACTGCGTCGGTATTTACTCTATTTGTTTAGAATCTCCGATGACCCGAAAGGTGAATTAAAAAAAAAGAATTTTTATCTAACTTTACATAGCAAAAATTTAATGTTATAAATTTCTAAATATTTAAAAAACACATTATTATCTATGCTTAATATTTTGTTTCATTTTATCATAAATTATCTTTTAAAGGGCAACGACATTTTATTTCTTAGAAAGCATCATAATATCTGGAAACTAAATCTCTAATACATGGAACAGGAAAAACCATCACTTAAAATTCTATATTATATTCTATTAAACTCTATATTACGTATGCTACAAGTTTCCATGATCACACGGCATAAGAAACAGTGCAGTTTTTATTAATAATACTCGCAAATTATATTCTTAACAAAGATAATATTGAAAACAGACAGCAAAGGTTTTTACCTTGTGTGACAATGCAAACGTGCAGTCAGATATGCAAAAGACGTTTTATTTTTTGTAATATTACTTTCGCAACCACCTTTCGAAAATCAACAGTTACATTTACACTATTATGTGTATGTATGTATGTATTTGTGATATGATTACACATGTTGCGTGTTTGAAAAAGACAGAATACATACGAAGAGTTTTCCCTTCTTATTTAATAACTTACATTGATAATATAATGTGCGAAGATTTATGAATGAAAAACTGTTAACACTCCTTACGTAATGTGGCGATATTAAGTACAACTAAACGTACTGAAGAAAGATATTTTGGAATATAATACGATAATAGGTCTCAAATTACGGTACGAAAAACTATAGAATTGGTGAGCAAGTATGCTTCAATAAAAGAAAAGGCTATGGTAAGAAACGATTGAGTTCAATATATAACATATACAATGATAAACAAGGAAATATATCTGTCTTGCTTGTCTGTTGTTGGACTTTTTCTAGCTCGATTTGTACATTTCGTACATGCTCCACATCTTATTTATTTCTTTAATATCTGATTTTTTATTGACATTATAGGTATGAAAAAAAATTAAGCTATGATTTAAACCTAATATTATATTGTGGAATTGGGTACTAGTAAAGAATACGGATACGGAACGTATCGGAAGAGAAAAAAATATTTTTGAATATCAGTCATATAATCCGATTAAAATTAAATTATGCGTAGAGTTATTTAAAAACAATTATTTATTTACTTAAGTGGAGCATATTCACAATAAACACGTCATATCATATTTAACATATAACGTTGCATAAGAAAATGATTTGTCCGTATATTGATAAAATTAATTAAAAATTATGACGATAAAACAGGAACAATTGATATTGTTTTAATTTTAAGGCAAGAATCAAATAATTTTTACCTTCTGACTGATCTATCTATGATTTCATGTCTGCTGCTATTCATCTGTGAAACTACTGAACACAATTTCTATCTGAAATAAATAATCACGCGGACAAAGTCACGAGCAATAGCTATATATAATAATATTATTTGTTTATATATTCATTCATAATAACAAACTAATCATATCTAATTGTAAGATATCTGTTCAGCATTCCATCTATTTATTATATTACATTAAAATATATTAACAGGGTTCATTTCTTCGAGATCTACATTTTTTATTGTTTTAGTTAAATCAATAGCTTAAAAGATTAATAATCAAAATGTTCTTATTCAAAAGAATTAAGAAAATTCTAGTTGTTATGAAGTATATCAATCCTATTACGTAAACACAGCTAGACTTAAATAAACAATTATTTACTAGCCTTTTCTGTACATTAAGAATCTTCTATCAAAGTTTATAAGTAATGTTAGTCCTAGAGAACTTCTCAAACAGTGATGTTTTGTTTGGCGTTTTGTACTTACTGTGTTATTCGGGCCGTTTTCCATTTTATTATGACTTCAACGCATAGTCATTATTTAAAAATTGTCACACATTAAAGAAAGCTAAATAATAATCGGATCGTATCACGGCACAAGCGAGATTTAGGTCAAGAAAATTTATAAAATTAACCGTAAAAAAATAAGCAAATGTAGCAAAATCAAGTCATTTGATAAAACATTTTAGGTTAGCAAAAAAATGATACATGAATGACATTCATGTCAAACCTTTTTCTTCCAGATGACATTACTGGATAACAGTATTTTCATTTCAACGGTCGCCTTGTTAAAAATGTTTTGTTATATATTTTTTTATAATTAAAGGCTGTTGTAAGCCTCGTGGTTTAATGTAAGGCCTTAACCTTTTCGGTATGTCTCAATTATTGTCAATATGAAGTTAATTGTCGCCTTATTTTCAAAGATTTGGTAAATATAGACATTTTTTGAAGGCCAGAGGTAATATTAATATAAACGAATTAATTCAGAAAGTTCATTACCTGCTTGAATGACGATAATTGGTGTATCAGAACGGTGTATATTAAATTGACTGATGGTTCACATAAAACAATATATTTTAAGAATTAAATAGCAACTACTTGGAAAACAAAAACAAAATTACAAAATCGTAAATTTTATTTCATATATTTACATCAATGAGTACTTACTTAATATCAGTTCTTCATGCATAAATAAAATGATTTAATTAATCACAAAAACGTAATGTAATAATGTTAGATTATTCCTAGAACGCTTATTATCAATTAAGAGGTCTTATGACTTCCTTAGCAGTGATTCCCTCGGCGCGTAATCTCGACAATAGAGATTTGTAGACGACCGGGGCGAAGGGTAGCACTACACCACGCTGTTGAATCTCACCTAAAATATCAAAGAAACATTGCGTCATATTCAAAGTTGTAAATTTCAAAAGATCTTAAATGCTAGATAATTATTAAATTCGTTATTTTGAATCTTAACACAAGTTTCAACGTCAAAATGAAAACGGCGTGGTTTCCGTTTAGATTTGTAAAACTTCCGACATGACAGTATCAACGTAAACAGGAAAATGTCTGTTAATAGTTTAAGAAACTTAGTGTAGAGATACAGTATCCTATTTGACTACTGAAACATTTTTTTTAAATATTAACACTTAATCAAGTAACTTAAAAATAAAACCAGTGGGAATGTTATGCACACAATTTGCCCACCAACCCGATACATTATAATTAACTAAGTTAACTGAAATACTCATGCAACATAACTTAAAAAATTAACATATTATGAGAAAGATAATTAATTATAAACTAACAACTTTAATCTAAAAACTAAATGTGTAATCGTAATTTTATATAGAAAAATTATATAACACAATATTTGTATTTAAATAGTAATGGAAGTGGTCGATTACATTTAATATACATATATGTGTGTGTGTGTGTGTGTGTGTGTGTGTGTGTGTGTGTGTGTATGTGTCTTACCATCAAGTACCATCTTGGCGGCTATAGCAGTAGGCAGGCCGACAGTCCTCGCCATAGCGGTGTGTTGAGAAACGTCTCCCCTCACTGCCATAGTGACCTCTCGACGCTCCCGACGTCCGTCACTCCACGTCACACCGACCTCATGACGCAGCACCACGAAATCCGTTTCATCCTTCTCTGGTTTTGTTTAATAAAGCGATATCTTCAGATATGACTTAAGATGTAGTTACAGTTTATAATTTTATCCTACGGTTCGTTAACGTTCAGGTATCTTGATTATTATGAGAAGTTTATCTGAACGTGTCTTTTTTGTTTTATTTATGACATTTTTTAAGTAAATAAAAATAAATAGTTCTGAATATTCGTGGTTTGTCAATTATAATTCCAATGTTGTTAACCTCAACGTCTCTGATTCTCCTTTTAATATAACATTTAAAAACAATAGATAAGGCTACAACGATCTTGTTTGTGTGAACTTTTTATAGATTTGATTATATTCTAAGATAAATCAAAATAACAAACAAGTCAATCAACAACATTGAAGATAATGGTGACTGTATGATCTCGTCTGCAAAGTAACCGACACTTCGGGAGTATGTAGTCAAAATAATTAGTTTTATTTCAAAGGATATTCAAGAAAGTCTTCGAACTCATTAATTATGCAATGATATGTATTTATTTCTATGTTAGGTAGAGAGAGGAGCTTGGACGGTGGAGGTGAGCGTTTAAAGCGCGTTAGATAAAAACCTACACCTGAGTCGCAAGTCCCAGGCACTGTTGAAGCTCCTTTGTATACAACGCAATGGACACCGCACCCGCACGGTGAATACACTAAGAGGTTTCGTCTTTCTCTCTATCTTACCAAGTTGTAGTCTCTTGCTGAGGTAGAGACTGAGTGTGTCTAGTGGTGTGCCGCACTTCACAATGAGATCGTCGCTGAGGAGACCAAGCGATTCTAACGCCGACGCCCCGACGCTTCCAAGACGCTCCGACAGACGAGTCTTCAGATTCTCATAGAATATCGACTGGTCCACTAGACCGAGAAGCTCACACGCGAACTGACGCTGTAGACACATCATGAGATCAGATAACAATCACGATTTATTTAATATGAGTTTACATAGTCTTTTCTATATCGTCTCATAATTCAAATCTTAAAAGATAAAAACAGATCGGTCTTGAAGACAGTGTTAAGTTTAATTTAGGCTTACAAAAAGAGGCGCTCAAAGTAATTACAAAATAATTATTTGTTAAGTTGATTGAGTTGTAAGGTACAATGACTCATTACTCCCTACATCAAAACGACTTTCTGGATGGGTCCAGTTATAAAATCGTCGTACTATAAGTTTTATATGGTTTCTAATTAACATGAAGGGTTTCTAGTTGGAAAATAATATTGTCTATAAAAAATAAGTGGAACCTATTGCACAGTTAAAACTGTTTGATTTAAAATGATCAAACTAAATTGTTGATCATACCCAAGTAATTTGTGGTCCTTCAGGGTGTAAGGATGGATGAGGGTTCGGATCTACGAAGCCGAAGAGTTGCATTGCCTTCATAGTTTCAGCAAAACCTGCGAATATAAAATAATATATATTCATTGTATCTATTACTAGGTATATGTACTTAGATTTTTTTATAAAACACGACCTTATATTACCTTTGTATCTCAGAGTTCCCCTGAACATAGTATGTGCGTCGTCTATTCCATACAATGATGAATATTTCGTGCTATCCCTATTAGGGAAACCTTCGAACGCAAATCCGGGCAGAAAGTCTAAGTCCCTTGCAACCGACATCAATTCTCCACCACTCAATACTTCAACGACCTAATCATTGACATTTCAAACACATTATAGAAAAATTACATTTATAAAAATATAAAAATATTTCATATTATGATATCTGTTTAAGAACCTGTCCTCGACTAAGATATTTGGCAGCTGATATAGTGTTCAATAAAACGCCTCTCGGGTTCCAGGAGAATTTGTATCGAAGTGCATTATCACTGAATTCAGGGGCTGGGAGACCTTAAATATCGAAATATTATGCTAAAATTTGAACATAATTTTTAATTATTATATGTAATAAGCTCTTTTAAACGCATACCTCCACAATATGACACGAAAGAGTCGATTCTTCCTCCATGGTTTTGAACGTCGTGTATACATTCTAACGCCAATAAGTGATCAATACCAGGGTCAAGTCCCACCTCGTTTAATATTGTTATACCAGCATCTTTAGCACTACAAACGTAAAGCATTCCCAATAACAATTGCAGAGTAAATTACTAATTATTAAGCTCAAAAACAAATAAAACCTTTTTTTTTACGAGGGTTCTAAAAGACTTCGAAGATTATTTCTACATTCAAATAAAAAAACAACAAAAGAATATACTTATAAAAAAAATTGTTTCAAGTAGAATATTTCACTGCTTCTTCGTTGAGAATATTTTTTTGCTATAAAGTAACAAAACTATATAATAAAGAAAGTAACTATTAACCTCATCACTTGAATACGTGACAAACAATCAAACAAAATGTCTATTACATTAATATTGTAGTTATAATAAAATACTCTTACGCTTCATCCACTTCTTGCACCTCAGGTCGTACATACGAGGCCGTGACCATGTGTGTGCGTGAACTCACACACGCACGCGCCACCGCTCCATGCAGCTCATAAGGCAATAACGATATCACCAGCCTATTACTTGACGCTATCTTCTTCAAGGCCTGATCATCACTCGCGTCTAAATACTCCGAACTAACGCCATAACGCTGTGCTAACGCATCCGCCTCCTCTTTCACTTGCGATGCTATAATACCACGTAGTTTTAACTCAACAACAAAATAGGAATATTAGTACTGTAGTATTAATAGTACTGACCGACAGTTACTGCAAATTTGCTATCCCTAGCGAGATACTCGACTACTGGCGCGGATACTGATCCACTGCCCAGAATCACGACTGGTGTTTGTTCGTCATCACGTTCCACCTTATGACGGGAACGGCTAAAACATATTACCGTAACACATGACATAAGTATATAGATAAACTCCTTATACATTATGTGTTTATACACAGACCAAATATTTTTCAATCTTTAAACCTTTGACTAATCATTGTGAATGTAAATTAATATCTACTTACATATTCGACATTCTCAATTCGTTGATGTATTCGTATGATGGGGTCAGCTTTCCGTTGCTCGTTATTATAGCCTAAAATGTTTTCATAAGTTCATCAATAGTACGTTAATTAAATCGCAAGAGTACAGAAACTTCCTGTAACGATTACAAATTTAGGTAATAAGTCTTACTCCTTGTACGACGGATGAGAATTTGTGTTCTTCAAGAGGTCTTGATGCATCGGAACTCATGATATCTTCGGCGTATGGATAGAGGAGATCACCGAAGAAATCTGTTGATTCTCTGGGCAACTGTGTCGGCATGTTGTCGATAGAACACACCAATACACCCGGACCTTTGAAACTATAAAAAGATACTGCATAAGTCTAAACCTACTTACGTTTTTTATATTTTAATAATATTTGAATACACCACAATTTAAGCAGACGAGAAGAAAATAACTGTAAAGTAATCGAATTGTAAAATAGAATGAAAAAATAAGGTAGGTAATCCGAAAATCATTTTGACACGTTGCTTGTCCATGCATTATATATAGCTAACGTATTTTTGTTTCCGCTGTGACGTCCGTACATTACATATAATGCACCAGTCTATACTTTTCAAATGGGGTTTTATAAATTGGGCGAAAGAGCTACATCTTTAATATTTTGCAGACGTATGAGCAATGAATTGGGAATAATAAAACACCAATATCCCGTGAATTTTTTTTTGTTATCTGGTAACATGAACCAGGTGTACCTGTGAACCTGTGTATTAAATAACATTATTATTTTAATAAAATCTACTTGCAACTAGGGAGATTCGTTATAACTTTTTAATATATTTTTTAACGGAAGCGAAGTCACAGTACGAGCTATTTAATAATATTATAATGTTGGTATTGTATTTTATTGTTACCTCTTCGTGTCCTTGTTTCTGTCAGCGTCGTAGAGACAGAACGGTGTGTCAATGGTCGTACAATCTGTCATGAACTCGATAGAACCGCCTGGATCCGCTGATATGTCGCAAATGGCCAGCATTCTATGACAGAAAAGAATGTTAACTACACAAAGCCTACATATGAATTTATACCCATTGCAGAACAACATGTTTATAAAATATAAATAGAAGTTAGATATGTAATTGCGATTTTGTCAATAGGTATATATGCAAAGTGCAAACATAGCTGATAGTTTCGGGAATTAGCTTCAAAATAAATAATGCAGGAAAAGAAGTTGATATACGTAAACGAACATCGATTTTCATCAAATACCTATAAATCTTAAAATGAAAGTCAAATATGATCCTGGATCCTGGAAGTGGAAGACATATTTACCAACATTAGAAAAACAATTTAAAAAAATCGATACTTGATCGATACTTGATCAATTACTTTGTCAGTTTGCGTTTGACATCTGATTGAATGTTTTAAATTTAATCACATACAAACAGAAACTTAATATATTGTTCAAATATTTATTTAAAACAATTGAAAGTATTACCGGAGTAAGGTCCATCCATCTATGATTACTACAATATATATATAATGGAACATTATATAACTTATAAGGACTCTTTAATTATGTATATCAATTTTTTTAATACATTTCTGCGTTAAAGCAAGTTGAAGTTCGTTAACCTTACTACGAGACACTTTGGTAATATCTGGATACGTTCCATTTAAACTTTGACTATTCAAACCTGTGGCTATATTAACAATATATTAAACCTACCGATGTGGTAATGCTGGCGCCCCAACGCTCTTCGGGAGCCAGGGTGTATGTGACGGCATCAGAAGATGCTTGGCATCAGGAATAGTGAGGAGTTTAGGACTGTCCACCGCCCAGTAGATACCATTCACCAAAACTGATGTATATGGAGCTATCTAATAAACAGATATACTATTATACTGAAACTAATATCTCCGAATTACTACCCGTTATTTTAGTATTTATAAAAGTACGTACTACCGACGATTCAATGTCATTCATTCATGGTTGCCATGTAATATAAAAGTCGGGAGTATGTAGTTTTAAAAATAATAAAATACGCATGTGTAGTAAATCCGAAAATATTAGTTTAGTTTAAATGAATACTCGCAAAAATCTTACAATTTACATTTAACAATTATATTGGATTGGATAGATACATATATTAATAAAATAGAGAATTATTTCGATATCTGATATCTAATACAATAGAAATTATAATCTTATAAAAAAATATATTATCTTTATTTTCCGATAAATTGTAATTTTCCGTAACTTTGCAGACGCTATGAATAGATATTAGATAATAGCGAATAAAAATATTCTTATTAACTTATATAGCTTAATATAGGTTTGTTTTAAGAGAAGTAATAATTTCCTTAAGTCTTAATATACGTAATACTTGGATTACTGCCTTCATTAAATAAAAATGTCCACAGATTATCCAGGCAAAGTTGTGAAATTGACTCAATTAAATTTTAATACAAATAAATATTTATAATAGTAATAACTTAACAGTAAAATTAAATTAGAGTTATAAAATAGTACCTTTTGTGCAAAAACCGATATATATCTTTCAGGGTGTTCTTCATATTCTTCATGGTCGTAACCACCGCCGTTCTTCCTTACCAGATGATGACGTCTCCTCACCTCACAACCGTATATTTTATTTGGGCCTGACCAAAAATAATACCTATTATTGTAGTGGAACAACACGAAATATTGATTTTAAAACCGTAACTTGAAGTCAGTATAAAAAGAGTAATTCACATTTATACGTTGATAAAAGATAATACAAGTATAAGTCCAAATTCAGTTTGTGTACTTTAAGATTACAGTCACACTGCCAAGGAAAGTTAATAGTTTCCACTCATAAATCATCACACATTTTAGTTTTAACGCAGTGTATTTAAAGAAAAACGGAAAACTCTTTGTATACTTACACTCCAATTTAATATTATATTTTTTTAAACTATCAATGAATACTATAAGTTACTGCTAAGTTCCAAAAAGAAATATTTAACTTATTCAAATAACTTTGAAATTGCTTGTTAGATTTTTTTCTTATTTATAAAAAAATAATTCGTAGCTATGAAAGGCAAACATAAAATAAAACTACTGTGTGAATGTGTTTCAAAATAGTAGAACATGTAGCACTTCAATTCTTATTTTGTTTACAATCGGCTTTCAAAAATCAATTTCTCTTCATTTACTCTCATAAGAAACAACGTTTAAAGAAGTTAACTAATGATAAATATGGAATTGACGTCTAACTGATTTTTCGAAAAATATTGTTTAAAAATATATATATTTCAAGAACAACAACTATAGAGACATAAATATTCAAACAAACATTTTTTATCATACGCTATCAATTAGTACGTAGCGATATTATAAATGTGGTCAGATTAAACATATTACGATACTTCAAAACGTATTGCGACGAACGATTAACGATGTATTGCACTTACTGCCGTGTTCAGCGACCTTCCTCAACATTTCTGGAGGTACATACTCGTGAGGCAACTCCTGAAATATCTCTTGACTCCCCTACAAATAAAACAAAGAAATGAATGCTAAATATTACTTACAACCACAAAGATGTACATTAATCCTATCTTATCATTACCATATATTAAAACGCTTACGATCAAGAAAAATTCCATTTCCTAGACTGGGTCATTGATATGTACTAAATGTATTATGGATATGACTTAAACATAGAATTATCCTTAATAGATAGTACACGTAAATCAAATGAAACATAATACACAACCAATAAATAGTCTTGTCTAGAAAAATAATTAAGAGTAGAGTATAATCATGTGTCTCTTAGAAGTTATTTGTCGAAGCCTACGTCCTATATCAATGGTCAAATACAGAACCATCTTCTTCGGAATCAGTTTTAATTTTAAGTAAAATTTAATACCTGTGAAACATTTCCCGACCCAGTGAAAACGAAGGTGAGTGGTCCTAATGATTTGGGCATCATTCCGAGAGCAACCTCATAACCGGCATCTCTTATAGCCTGGCGAGCCATCATTGAGTTACGGTAATTGTGGGCTGGTCCGATGTGCTAAAGAAACATAAAAAAACATATACCTACACTTTAATGACACAGATAAGTTAATAAACAATGCTAATCATTAATAAGAGATAGCAATTTCCTTAGCACAAATTTACATCGTCACAAATAAAAAATAAATACTGGCCCGGGCATGTACCAATGTCATATTTCCGAGTCATATGTACTTTCTAAGAATATTTAGACATCACTGATTATATAATTATATTAATGCTAATTCCCAAAGAGGGTTGATGTAAGGCAGTCGGCCGATCGTAAAAACAAATAGCCAAAACTATTCACAACATTTAAAGCAGACCCTAGCTATAGCTGGGAAATTGTCAGGAAAGAAGAAGAAATACAGAGCGTTTCCCATTTTACATTGAATAATCTATGTTAATACTACTATATAATATGCGAATATTTATAAATGAAAATTCAAAACCACTCTATACAGGGTGACTGGTGAATTACTATCGATACTTGAGGACGTGATATTTGACGATCATATATGACAGAATAAAAATTAATATAACATAAATATTAATAAACTTCTAAGTAAAGTTAACAAAAAGTTATGTAATTAATTACGCATCGTGTGAACACCCTACAGATTAGGTATACACACACACTCACACATACGCGGCGGGGGCGTGGTTTTGTATCAGCACGCCGCCGCACGCGTCCACACTTGGAACACTTGGAACGTGTCAACACTTTATTTATTTATACGGAAATTTTGTCAAAAATTAAGTACCTATTTTTTTTACATAATTCGAATGAGAATCATGTACCGAGTATTCTCCTAAAATATTGATAGTAATTCACCAGTCACCCTGTATATATTGACGATGCAAAGTTTCCAATAATATCACTATATTTTTCTGACTGTTATACCATGAACGGCGTATGATGTCCTAAAGCCAGCAGTCGTAGTCCAAGGCCATGTAGAATGTTGATCATTCCCGCTACACCGGCGTATTTACCGAACGCTACGACCCTGTTACCAGCATCGTCCATCAGTTTCTCGTAATCTATAAGACGGATGTTCTGAAATATAAAAAATATCCTTTAACTATATTTCTAACAATTAATGAGGCACTACCATCTCGTCTGCCCGTGCTTATATGCCCGGGAATATGTAGTTATAAAAACTTATTGTCATTTCAATGAGTAAGCAAGAAAATTTTATATATTATTATCGTAGAGAAATACATGAAATAGTATGAAATGAAATTTTTTTATACATTGGCAGATTACGAATTTGCCACTTTTGAAACTGTGCCAGGTATTTTTTCTTGATTAATTATTTAAAATTTAACTCATTAATTATGGTTTACCTTCCTTTTTAAAGGTTTTTATTCTTTTGGATTATGAGGTCTGTATTTTTTTTAATGTTGTGTATATAAATATAAATATAACTGCGTGGTATTCATTGAATAAAACATTAATTATGTCTAAATATACGATAAATGATAATACAATATCGTTTTGTTATTGCGATTCATTTGAGTGAAGGATTTGTTGCGACTTATTTATATCTACTGAGCTAAATTTACTGTTTTATAAATAACATTGTATTAAATTTATGTGATAATTATAATAGACCTAAAGGCTAAAAGTTTGTTTTCATTTATTGTTGTTGTATGAATGTTGAATGTCGTAATTTGATTATAAATTTAAAACAATACAATCACTGTACCGTTGAAGTATTATTGTTGAATTACCTTAGCTAATATAGCGTCCAACATGGGCATGTTTGCTTCTTGTGCCTTGATTGTGTGAGAGAAGAAGCAATATGTCTTGTTTGGTATCAAGAGATCTACAGGTGTTTGTTTGACGCCAAATATGACGCTCGCCTCACTGATATCCTCTTGAATAATTGCTCCCGCGTTTATGTAAGACTGTATAAAATTTAAATCAAATACATTAATTTTATTGTTTATGTATTTACAGAATATATAATGGGTAATGGCCATTTTTTTCTTTAAGGCAAAAATATATATTTTAAATACATTTAATACACATATGTATATTTAGTACCTGCATAGGATAAGCTCGACGATTGGATGGCTGTACAATAACTTTGACGCCATTTCGAACAAGTCTGTTGACGTTGGTAGGTGAGAAGGGGGCTCGTCTCTCCCATACTGATTGATCTTCCCTTCTAATAGCGATAACCCGACGATGCTATGAAAATACTTTTAAATTAGGGAATTAGGAATGGAAAAATAAGGCTTTGCGCTGAGGCTACCTTTTTAAAAAAGCTTTCCTCTTCATTTGAAATCTAATTTCATACTTATTTAAGAGGTTGTTACAATTATAACTAATCCATAACTTAATCTTTAGCTGTCATTAAAATTAAATGTGTATAAAAAATTTAATTCTAGTTTCCAAAAAGTAACTCCATTAAAATTGAAAAATCAAAATAAATAATGTACTACTTAAATAATTTCCCCCGTTATAAGTTTTTATTATTTCTAGATCGACATAAATTAAGTCAAAGCAATTGATGCAACTGGATCAATATTTGCCCAAGAATAATTTACTTACACGTACACTTTAGCGATTAAAAAAACAATACACACGATAAAATAGTTTCCATAGTAGCAGGGCTTAAATTTCAGTTATTTTGATTGATTACTAACCACGAAATATCTTTAACAAACAATTTAATACTAATTAAATTGTTATCATATTATGTGATATTTAAATACGAACGATTTTTATTATAATAATAATATGGATAATTTTATGTATCATAATTAATACAACACTTTTTTTCATCTCACTCTTAAAACGTTTTTTTATAAGGAAAACTTAGTCAAAATTGAATTCCCGCATCTGTTACTTAAAATATATCTTGAAGCTGTTTAAGTTTGTTCAGAAACTCATTATTCAAATATAATTAATATTATATACATATATTTTTTGCACTGTCTTATCATCAGTTCGTGACCCACTTTCACAAAGATTAGCAAATAATATTTTCTTAATTAAATGCATATTAAAATGACACGTTTATACTTAAATGAGGAAAAATATTTTTATATATATCTATAATAAATAATGTCAAGCTTTTAGAATAATAAAAAAATATATATTTTGTAAATAATATTAATATAAAATTAATAATTAATCTCACTTACCTTTGACGTTGAATAATACACTATATTTTTTATGACTTGATTCTTGCAACGTATTGCTGCTGTTCTATGAAACATTCTAATTATGTTTTATTTATTACAATATATATTCTTATATTGACGCTTCTCATACAAAACAGATAAGCGTAAGAGACAGCCGATGCGTTCGTTATAAAGTATATTAATAATATGTTTATGTTGTATCATTCAGGTTTTCTTTCAGATGATTTAATCACTGTGACGTATTATCAGTGAGTGATTAGCGTGGGCATGGCGATTGATTGGCCCCTAACAGATTACACCTCCAATATTCGTAACGATAACTAATCATATGATTGTCATACAAATTTTAATGTGATCATAAAGTTGACTCCTATCTAATACATCAGACTTGGATTTAAATTATCTTTGTAAATGAATAGAATTTAGATCGGTGACTTTATTTTTTAAATATATATAATTGTGAAGATCTTATAAAAGTTGACATACTATTAAAGGATGTAATTCTAGCAAATAGTTCGTTTTTAAATAAAAATATAGAATTGGATCTTGATTGATAGAGGTGGAGGTAAAAAAAAAGATGAAAATGCAAAGTAAGAATGTTTATATATATATATATATATATATAAACATATACATATATAAACATTCTTACTTTGCATTTTCATCTTTTGATACTTGAGGACGTGATATTTGACGATCATATATGACAAAATAAAAATTAATATAACATAAATATTAACAAACTTCTAAGTAAAGTTAACCAAAAGTTATGTAATTAATTACGCATCGTGTGAACACCCTACAGATTAGGTATACACACACACTCAGACACTCGCGCGCTTCGGCGTGGTGTTGTATCAGCACGCCGCCGCACGCGTCCACACTTGGAACACTTGGAACGTGTCCACACTTTATTTATTTATACAGAAATTTGGTCAAAAATTAAGTACAGTAGGACCCCGATTATCCGGACTGCCAATCGCGACGAGTTTATTCTAACATTAACACGTCAGAACTTGCATAACGCCACGCCACTCGTGGTTTATTTGTATTTCTTCTTCTTCTTCCTGGCAATTTCCCAGCTATAGCCAGGGTCTGCCTTACATGATGTGAATAGTTTTGGCTATTTGTTTTTACGACCGGCCGCCTACCTGACATCAACCCTCTTTTTGGGAATCAACTTTAATCAGTGATGTCTACTCTTAGAAAGTACATATCATTCGGAAAAATCACATTGGTACTTGCCCGGGCCAGGATCGAATCCGCGCCCTCGGCAACGAGAGGCCGGCCTTTAATCACTGGGCCACCACTGACTATTGTATGGTGGTTTATTTGTATTTCATGATTACATAATGCAAATTACCAAATACATACATAATTATTGTAAGCAAATTATAACTACATTATGTACAATTTCTTAATAAACGTTGATTTTCGCTCATATGTATTTGTTGTTTTAAATAAACACCTAACATTACATATGTGTGGTACAGACTACATATTATGTACATATGCAAAAAGCCCGTTTTTCTTCATATATCGGATTATCCGGATTTTCAATTATCCGGATGCCTACCGACAACAATTAGTCCGGATAATCGAGGTCCTACTGTACCTATTTTTTACATAATTCGAATGAGAATCATGTACCGAGTATGCTCCTTAAATATTGATAGTAATTCACCAGTCACCCTGTATATATATATATTTATAGAACTTGTGTTCTTGCATGCTACCTGAAATAAATTAATTGTAAAGTAAAAATTACTATATTATAAAGTTATAATAATATTGCAATATTTTATCTAAGTTTTTACCTCTGCACTTCTTTTTTAATTCAACCTCAAAAGTGATATTTAAAATTATGCGTTATACTATTAATTCTTGAATATGTAGTTAATTTCTATATAATAACATACCATTTTATCTAATTCAATGAATTTTGCGATTTTTTCAAGCTCTTTTTTTATTTGAACAAAATTTTAAAATAATATACTTGAATATTGATATATTCTTAAAATGTTAATCAAATAAATTAAGCTATAATTTAGCTTTCTCAGCTTCAAGCCCAACAATATGTAAAGTTAACTGACTAAGCTAAGCTATATTAATTGTTTGAGATGTTATAAGGTTTTCCGGTCCATGAACAAGATTTAATAAGTAGAAAAATTAACCTACATTTTTCGTTTAACTTACAAAAATAGTAGTATAGTTAACAATAAAATTCTACATATTACAATACATTTGTATAAAAATATATATGTATCTCAAATGGAATGTCTACACACTTGTCGCTATGCACCAACATCGTCACACTTGTAAACATTACATTGGCATACAAACAAACGAAGAGTCTCAACATGACCTACATTCATTATCAGGAATCACGGAAATTTCTGATGTGATTGTAGAAAAAAATCCATCAATAGCACAATGCACGGTCATAAGTCAAGAACGTAATTATTGTTAAATATTTATCTTAAAATACAAATACTTCGATAAAAATAGATTTCGTTTTTTTTTTCATTCGTTTAACCTACTTTTGAAGTCATTAATTTTAATTTACCCGCCCATTCGCAGTCTTTATTTAAGTCACACTGTATTTAATTTAACAGCTTTAGACTTGTTATTGCGGTAAAGTACTTTAGAAACAGCATTTCGTGCTGAAAAGCGTCGTTAAAAACATAATTTTCCTCTTTCAAGTTTCATGTGTTAAAATGATTGACTTCTCAACGTATATTACGGTGAATGTATCATGTCTTTTCGCTGTTATAATAAATTATATTTCTTTTTAATCCTATTATTAAAATCGATAAACCTATGACAGAATTTTAAAGTTTCATATTTTATCTGGTATTAGTATAAATGTTATCTATTTTGGTATTTGTAATTAGATACTTATGCTTTGAATTTTTGTATTTACCGAAACAAAACACTCAATATAACTGTATCTATGTCTATAGGTATACGATATTTTATAATTACCTATTATAATATCTAATATTGATAACTTTACCTACATATGTATAAGTTTCAGACGAAATAAATTAGAGCCAGCCAGCAAAAGAAATTCGACGTACATGTGTGTATGAACAAAGAAATGTACAAAAAAAAATGTTTTTTAGAGAACAGCCTGGCAAATTAATGCCGCAAATATTATTAATCTTTTTAATTCGAGTCTTCCTGTTTGAATCGCGCGGGATTTGTTTCTGTATATATTTTAATTCTAGATAACTACATTTATATTGCAGCAAAATAAATTTTATAGCCCTTAATAACAATTTATTACCTACCAAAATGACAGAATACTAAAAATTTTTAATATTTTTCTTAGTCTTTTAGAAAACTTTTTTACTTTAAAAGTAAAGCTTTAAAGAGGCGGGTGACGAGCCGCTTATTTATTTTATAGTCTTTTGAAAAACATTGTGTTTAAAAAATAATAAAGTGCTAGGAAATTATTAGGTCATAAAACGCTAAAATAAATTATAATATACTTAACTAGGGAAAAAACTATTACTTTTATTAATTTACAAACTTATATATTACTTGAATATATCTAAAATAATTAATTCATTAGTCATTTTGAAATATGTCGGATCTACATCTATGAAATCATAGTCTATATTATGTTAAACTAAAAAAAAATGTAGCTACTTTTTTAAACTGAAATTTGATGTGAACTCATGATCAACCTACTAATTTAGATGATGTTTGATTGATGTGATCATATCTATACGTAATGAGTATTTTGAACTTTTGTGCTCATTGTTGACGTGAAGATATGACTGGACTTAAGTTTAAATGTATATAATTGATCTAAACTTTTAATCGGATTACGGATCTTAAAATTTTAATCTATCTGCAATTCTATCGGTTTTTTATTCTTTGAATTAATATTCCTATGAAATATTTCAATACAGAGGGTATTAGTAATTTTGCGTTACCTGTGCGATAAACGTGTCATGCTCTTTTTTCTGTCAATTAAATATATATTTTTATAGTCACAGTAACTTTAAGTATGTATATCTTGCCGTACTTTCATTATGTATTTCCCGGTTTTAATAATAACTTTATTAATACAGTATCTCAAGTTGATCCCACATAGCTCTCCTTGCGGTTTGTCGCGGGTTTATATATTCCTAAGAACTTGAAATAATCTTTATACTAAAAACTATTTTGTTCAAAGAAAATTAAGAATTTTTTACCATTTAAGAGACAATTAACTGCTCTAAATCTTAGAGGTACTTAGGAGACCAGCAGAAAAAGGAAAATGACGAATCCTCAAATATTTAATCGCCATTTTGCCTTTTCAATTTCAGTTTTAAATTCCATTTAATATATTATTATGGTTGGTTGATTGTTTCTAAAATGGCCTCATCGAATTCAATATATTATATTGAATAAATTTTGCTTACTACAAAGATGTCATTCAAAACATCAAGGCTCAAAAGGACTCGTATCCAGAACCGTAAAAACATTTACAAAAAAAATACAATTCAAAACATCAATGACAAAATTTGTCAATGTCAGTTGTCAGATTTGAACATCATAAACTGAATTAATAGTGTCAAAATCCTTAGTTGCTGAAGCAGTGTTATGCGTTATAGATCGTTCTCAAAATTAAAATTTTATTCAATAACGTATATTACTAGGAGATTATTGTAAAGATAATCAGTGAACAATTTGTGATTCTTCTGATACTGTTAATATAATTTTAATAGCATTATGTCTCGTTTCCTGTCAAAAGACAAGCTAGAAGGGTTCGAAAAATATAAGGTAATTGAGAAGTATATAATACGAAAGGGCTTAAGAAAGAAAATATATATAAAGTACAAAACTAAAATTTTAATAACTATAACATTGCATTAAAAAATGTGTATTTGATGATTTTATTTTATTTTTTTCGCAAGTCCTACACCGGCTTCTATGTTACCGGCTAATTTGGAGATCATCAAGATTTTGTTTAAGTTTTTAATGAAAAATTATATCAATATTATATTATATGTATAAATTGTTATTTTTGTTTCAGTATAACTCCATAGACACTAGTATACTGAGTACCTATGTTATGCATCCATTCTGGAACTGGTGTGTTCAGGTATGATTTTGTTACAATATAAATTAAAATACATTACATATCCAACATTTCTTATATATAATCTATATACATTCCACTAACATTTTGTACAACTATAACAATTTAAAACTTACATACAATAAACTTATTTAATCCTCTGCCTTTATACTTAAATAAATAAAAAAAAAACTATTTTTACAAATTTACAAACACGTAATTGCAATACAATTTCACAATTAAATGCTTCTAATATAATAACCATTAGTTTATATATATTATATATTAATTGTAGAATAAATTGCACTAACAAGTACCTATTAACATTTTGCAGTTTTGTCCGATATGGGTGGCACCCAACCTGCTAACATTTTCTGGTTTTCTGCTGACGGTCATTAACTTTCTGTTATTCTCCTATTATGATTATGGATTCCATGCGCTATCGAAGGAGAATGTCACAAACGATAGCATTCCCAACTGGGTGTGGGCTGTTACCGCTGTCAATTTATTTGTGGCTTACACACTCGGTGAGCATCATATTAAAATAATCATCGCAGCACTAACATCATCCCATATACAGTAGCATAGAAATGTAGTTCATTAATTAGTAACATTATAAATAATTTTGACTTAATATAACAATTTAATTTTTATTACCATTATATATTTGTATAAATAAATATTATAGTCGTAAAATATTTGTCACTTTAAGCACTTTTCATTTATATAAAGTTCTTTATAATGTAGATGAATAATATTATCATTTTGTATTCAAAAAACAGTTAATGTATATACATAAGTAATTTCCTAAGAAGTCCGAAGGTTAAGTTACTTTTACAAATGATTTTAAGTTTTTTACATATTTACCATAATATGTAAAAACATTTATTATATTAATACTTTTGTCAATTGAAAATTTTATACAACAATTCAAATATAGCAGTGTCAAATACTTATTAAATTTATTGAAACAAAAGTCTTGATGCATGTCTGTCTGTTGTGAGAAAAATACTGAACTGATTTTGATAATCCTGTTGATTTCCCTATACATAATAATAAGGAAAATAAGAAATGATTCGTTTTCAATATATCACAGTACAGCTGCCCATATTTTGTCTGCTCACAAGATATGGGGAGCATCTTTACAATATATTTTTATCAGTCTTCTCAAATGCCCTTTACTATCAGCGACCATTTGATAAGTAAAAAGTTTTACATCCTTGTTAAATCATTGTTTATTTGTTTATCATATCTCAAATATGCCTTACAAAGCATTAAATTTAGACGTTGTTATAAAATGACGTTCTATTTTAATATAAAATATAAATCTGCGTATATTTCGTAAAACTTGACCTTGTACGTTAATTGTTATAGCTCGACCTTTTTGTGTATGTCATATAATTATCTGAGATATTTTACATATTATGTAATTTGTAAATATTGATTATCTAAATACGATTCTAATAGTTATTAATATTTTGAGCTCATTTTTCTTTGGAGAAAGATTTTTTTATTTCTATTTAAAATCATATACGGTCTAATTTTGAAATGAATATCGGAATCAGAGTTAAAAAAGCAGAGGTATATTTCACTCAGCCGTGAAACGCGTTCGTTAATAGTATTAATTACATTTCGACGCTAATTTACGTTATCTCATAAACATGGAATCAACTGCGTCTGTACAAATAAATTTTGAAATATTACTTCGTATAAACAATAATTAATTACTATTTTTAATCACGAGTAAATAATATAATATTAACGATTAGAATTTCCGTTTTATTACTAAATATGCTGTCTTTAAATCATTTGTCCAGAATATTCTAAATTCTTGCCACAAATTTTACATCGTCACAATTCATACGTGATTTGAGTTTTTCATTGATAAGTTCCTCACAAATGCTAGTAATAACGCAGGTTCTTGAGTAAGAAACGTGAAATGCTTCGTATGTAGTGACGATCCAAACTTGTGTTAAGCATACACATGTTAATATTATAAGTGTAATATGTTGAAAGCAAATATTTGAGAAATAAAACTTAGCTATTTGTCGTTATATTGACGTAACTATTTTTAACAAAGTTTGTTCCGTTTCTATACAAATGTACTCGTATTTAATCGAATTCTTACATGAGAGATGTTTTAAAAATAATATTCTTATTGGTACATCCGTTTGTTTACACATGTTGTTCGTTAAATAAAAACAGATGGCTCTGATACAGTTTTAAGGAATGAATTGTAATTTAAATGTTTGTTTATTTCATCGTTTTTCTATAGAGCTCTTGTATTTATTATAGGTACCTAATATATTATTTCTTCTTGTATATAATTATTACATTGAAACAGATGTTCCAGATGTATGAAAACACAAAATTTTTTCATTTGTTTTGTTTCATATTTAACTTGATAATACAAAAATAAAAATTTGGCCAATATGTATAGTCTTAGATTTATCTGCGTGATGCCAGATTCTAATTGTAATCGATAAATAAATTTCCAATTTTGATTACCTAATAATAATTTAATTCCCATATTAAATTTTACTTTACCCTTAAAACATCATTATCTGTATAAACGTGGATAAAATTTTTATAGCGAACTCGTCAATTAGTGCGATATTTTGTAGACTAGATTTAAGTCAAATGCTTTGAATTTTTTTATAACAATAAAAATATGAAGAAAAGTTAATTAAAATATATAATATAATAGTTTATATACTTTTAACGTACTACTACAGGATTATTATGACTCATCTAGACTATTTCTAGACTAGTATGTATGTTTTATTAAGGTCTAGACTCAGCCAGCCTTTGCTTCGTCTTATGTAATCATACAAATCGAAAGAAGCCATGACATTCATTATATGATTTACAAACGATTTGATATTTATCTTTAATGCGAGGTGAAATCGCTGTAACTTTCCTGAAATTGATCATAATGGCGTCCTTAAGTCTTGAATAAATCATTTTACATGCGATACTACTTATTAACTTAGTACTAGTTTGCATCGTCATAATAAAAACGTAAAGTGTACAGTTTGTAATTCGTAAATCGCATGATTGTGTCCAATTAGATAGTCACTTAGGGAAAATTCTGGAAACGTTCTGTTTTTTTTCTAATTTGACGAACAAAATTTAAAAAAAGGATAAAAAGTTGGAACACTACATATTATTTTGATTTTTAATAAAAAATAGAGCTCTCGAATGTTTATGGAATAACTATTTTATAATCACTGCTTATAAATAACTTCTCTTACTAAAACGTAGACTTTGCTATTATAATCAAACAACGCGGACGAAGTCGCGAGCATCATATAGTATAAATCGTATCCAAGGTATTATCGAATACGTCATAGGTCAAATGTTATAAATTATAACTATCTATTGTCTTAGCTTTACTATTTTGCTTTTATACATATATATGGTGTAGCTGTACATGTGTGCGTTGGTGGGTATGAGTATGTGTGCGTGTGTGTGTGTGTAATAATTAATTAAAATGGCAGCCGTTTTTCGCAGACGGTATTGACGGTAAGCAAGCAAGAAGAACAGGTAGCAGTGGTCCATTGGGTGAACTCTTTGATCACGGTCTGGATTCATACTCCACCGTGCTCATACCAACATGTTTATACAGCATATTTGGAAGGTAAGCTACTACTTTAGCTAGAACCGATAGCTCAAATGGAAAAGACTCTGAACGGGATGTTCCGTATGAAACAGGTTCGAATCCCACTTGAGTAAGGAAATGATTTTATGTTTTTTTTTTTGTTTAGTCGTTTGCTGAAGGTAGGGTTCTTAAAAGTACACTTTGTTCTTAGACAGACCGCGCCCAGACGTTAACAATAATAAATGTTATTTATTGAATTAGTCGAAATTTAATTTATTGAATTAGTATTATTCTGTAACGAAAAAAAATTAATTATTTTGTAAACATTATTACCAAACCAACCAATTACCAATTTTTATTATACAAATCTGATAATTGTTCTGGAGACGTACAAAAACTTTAGTTTTAACAAAAGAAATATTATTTTCAGAAAAGAATTTTATTCAATCACGTATATTTAAAAAAAATATATATATACCCTGTTGCGGTTGGGATGTCCGAATATCGAGTTCGGAATCGTTCGCCGCTTGAGGGGTGGATCGGATCGGATGATAATTCCTCCAATAGCAGGCGGCCGGTGATCCGATCCTCGGGATCCGTGTTCGTGGCGGGTCGTATCGTCGTTTTAGAATGAAACCACAACTTGTTAGGTAATGGCGGCAGAATCACTTGGTTTGTATGACCACGTGGTCCCTAGTCACTATCTTGAAAGCGCGGTTCTTCTTTGTTCGGGTTCTTCACTGTTCACTGTTCACTGTTCTTCAAAGCGTATGAGATGTCTTCACGAGATCTGGCTGGTGACTACTGATGATGACTACTGACGACTGGTGATGACGACTGATGATGACAACTGACGACTGATGACGACTGACTGACTACTGACGACTGGTGATGACGACTGACTGACTACTGACGACTGGTGATGACGACTGACTGACTACTGACGCCTGGTGATGACGACTGACTGATGACAACTGACTGATGACTACTGTAATGTGGTGCCCTGAGAGAGGAATGAAAGCCGAGACTGTTGAATAGATACTGTCTTTATTTCTAATCGATCGTACATTAAATAGGTACAAAATTAGCTTACGTAGTATATAATGGTTAATAAGTATGTTTAGTTACTATAATCTATTCACTACATCTCATCTCCACCGCAATAAAAAAAGTAAAATAAACAATACAATTTATTTTATTTTAGCTTATATTACGAATGTTAATATAGTATAATGTCATATTATAATTACTATCTCTACAAAGTTTTGAAGTATTTAGTACATAAACTTTTAACAAAATTGTTAGGTAATTGGTTCAAAATACATTTTTGTTCTGTTTTTGTGAATAACATAGTTTTTATTATCCTTAATTATTTCTACATTGGGTGAACATTCCCTTATTACTTTATATGGACCTGAATATATGTTTTGGAACTTACTGCCGGTTTCATTTTTTATTAAAATCAAATCATTCTGTTTATAAGTTATAGGTTTTATATTACGATCATACTTATTTTTCCTTTTTAATTTACTGGCTATTAAATTTTCTCTAGCCTCTTTTTGTGACGTTTGTAATCTAAATTTGAGTTCTAAAGGATAATTATCAAAATTGTACAAAGGATCAACTTGTGCTGATTGCAAATTAGATGGTAAAATACATTTCTTACCGAACACCAACTCATAGGGAGTGAACTTAGTCTCCGTATGTACTGCAGTGTTATAGGAAAAACACCAAAATGGAAGCCACATGCTCCAAGCTTCTGAGTGATTGCCTGTCTGTATTCGCAAATAGTTACCTAGATGTTTGTGAGAATTCTCCAAGGCACCGATGCTTTGATGATGATAAGCGGTAGACTGCAGCTTGTTAATATGCAAAAGTTTACAAACCTCTTTCATTGTGTCCGATAAAAACTCCGTTCCCCTGTCTGTTGCTATCTCCTTCGGGATACCATACCTGAGAATAAAATTGTTTACGAAGTTCCTGGCTACCTCATCCTGTTCCTGTTCCCCTTAAAATACATATACGTGGTCCGGACCAATTACTTATTTTATTTACTTCATTTACTAACTTTTCCACAAATTTATTATTTTTCTCAGTCTTAATAAAGTATACTTCTTTAATATTTATTTTCCCACAAAATATATCCAGCTCTCTCACAAATTCGCCTGGCGATAGTTGCGATCGAGAAGCTAAATTAATAAAAATAGTATTCATTGAGGGTACGTAACTCAAACATCCCTTCTCATACGTTATCTCTTTCAATTTACGATATCGATTTAATTCATAAGCGCTTATGAAACGTAATTCCGTGAAATATTTCGGTTTGCTATGTATTTCTACAACTTTTGGTTGATCAGTCCAATCGTTTTTAGAAATAAAAGCATCCCGTTGTTTCTTAGCCATCTGGCCACGCGTCATTACATTCATCACCGTTTGATTCATCTCTTTCAAATTCTCAGAAGTCAAATGCAAACGTGAAAGTGCGTCAGCGACAGAATTATTCTTCCCTTTTAAATATTCAAGTACAAAATCATATTCTTCTAACGCTAACCTAAATTTAATTAAACGGCTAGATGGATCCCGCATTCCAAATAAATAGATAAGTGGCTTATGATCAGTCTGAATTTTGAATGTTCTACCATACAAATATGGACGAAAATGCTTCACGGCCCATACAATCGCAAGCAGTTCCTTTTCAATCGTTGGGTACCTTTTTTCTGCTTTGTTAAGACTACGACTGGCAAAGGCTACAGGCCTGCCGTCGCTGTTGCACAAAACTGCACCTACCCCATGTCCTGATGCATCTGTTTGTAAAATAAATTGATTAGACTCCGAAAAATCAGGGTATTGCAATACGGGATGGGATATTAAATTTTGTTTTAATAGTTCAAATGATTTTTGGCATTCCTCATCCCATTTAAAAATAACATTTTTTCGACACAAATTATTTAATGGATGTGCTTTTGTTGCAAAATTGGGAATAAATTTCCTGTAATAATTTACAAACGCAACGAATCTTTTGACTTCGTCAACTTTAGTAGGAACTGGGTAATCTTTAACGACTTCTATTTTATCAGAATCTGGTATAACACCCTCTGCTGACACAGTATGACCCAAGTAAAATAGTTCCTTCTGTAAGAAAATACACTTCTGAGGATTTAACTTTAGATTAACTTTACGTAATCTATCAAAAATGGATTGTAAATTCTTAATATGACTAGGTAAGTCTCTACTAAAACAAATTAAATCGTCTTGGTACACTAAACATTTTTCGTATGTTAACCCTGTCATTGCCATAGTCATCATGCGCGAAAATGAACTAGGACTGGTCTTTAAGCCCATAGGCATTCTAGTCATCTGAAACTGTCCGGAAAAAAAAGCCGTATACTTGCGACTGTCTGGGTCTAAACTTACATTATAGTAACCTTGATGTAAATCTAAATGAGAAAAATACATGCAACCAGATAACGAATCTAAAATTTCTGTTATATTTGGAAGAGGAAATTTGTCATCATGTATACTTTTATTAAGTTTTCTGTAATCTATGACCAAAACGCCATTTTTTGTTTCCATTTTGGTCACTTTTCTTTGGCACCAACAAGATTGGACTGGACCATTCGCTTTGACATGGTTCAATAATATTTTCTTTCAACATTTGATCAATTTGGTTTTTAATTTCATTTTTTAAAGCATGAGGCAATCGATAAGGTTTTGAAAAAATTGGTTGTATATTCGGTTCTATTTTAATTGAGTGTTGATAAATATCAGTGGTTGATAACTTGTCCCCTTCCAAATAAAAGATATCGGGATATTTCGCACATAAACTTTCTATATTAATCCTTTCCTCTTTATTTAAATTATTTAACTTTAATTTTGACAAGAGTGTTTTAACTCGCGATGCACTTTTCTCAATCTTATTAAAGTTACAAATATTATATTCCTTTAAATTTTCTATATTAAGTTTAATTTCAGACAAAGTTATATCTTTTGAGGTGGTATTCAAAATTCGGACTGGTATTTTGCCATTATTTCAATATACTAACGTACTCGCTATAAATACTCCCTCACATACTTCTTTTGTACATACCACACATTCCTCTGTTAAACTGGTATTAATATAGTGAATTGATTCTGATCTGGCAGGTAACGACAATAAATGACTACACGAGTCTATTAATTGCAAAGATATTTGTTTAGATTCACTGATCCATAAAGACAGACTATTATATTTCATATCAATCACCGCTCCATACTTTCCTAAAAAGTCTTGTCCTAAAATACCATGCGACTTACAAGGTAACGTGTCAAATACATAAAACTTATGACTAATATACTGCCCGTGTACTGTCAACTGTAAACATACGTATCCGATAGCCTGTACCTTTCCACCTATCCCGTTTATGGTTATGTTTTCTTTGTTAATTGGAATGTTGAAATCTAAAACATGTTTATGATTTATAGCTGAAATTGAGGCTCCTGTATCTATGAGCCAATTAAACGCGTATCTGTCTTTGTAAAATAATTTTATGAAGTAACTACTATCGCTGGCTAGAATACTATATGTTGAAGGCACGAAAAAATCATTTTCAGGTTCCGAATACTGAGTGGATGAACTCGATTGAGGCTGTGACTCAGTTTTTATTGTCCGAATCTGTCCTTTGAATGGTCTATGACCCCTAGAATAATAATTATTAAAAGTTCTACCTCGATATGGCGCTCCCCGTGGCTGAGATTGTGGCTGCTGGACCCATTGTCTAGCCCTGGTATGCGACTGTCGCCCGTTGTAGCTAGGGTTGCCTCGGTAACGGTCAGTCTTGTACGTACCTCTTGGAATGCTCTGATGAGAAGGCGGACTGGAATTGTTTTTAAAGAAACGATTATTATTATGCCTTGCTAGTGTAAACACTTCAGCAGTTGAACTTGAACCTGAGATGTCCTCATCGGATTGCGGCCTGAATCGCGTCTTTCAAATTTTCAAATTTCTGAGCCGTAATAATAGTGCCAATCCTACGATTTCTCAATCCGTCGCTAAATTGACGAATTGCCTATTTCTCGTTAATAGATTTTAAAATATTAAATTTTTCAACATTTCCCTCAGATTGAGAAATTGTAAGATCAACGAATAATTCGGATAAGGTTTTTCCGAAATCATCTATAGATGCATCATTTTGCCTGCAATTAAAAAACTGTTTTTGTAAGGCATTTGTAGATTTTTTGGTAAAAGTAACCTTTTCATATCATTTAAGAGATCAGGTACAGTGTCGTATTTCGTTGCTAATTTTAGCTTGGCAGACTGCGACAATCTGCTTTTCAAAATAAAAGATATTAAATACGTCTGTGACTCAGTATTGAGAACCGAACTATAATACTCAATACCATCGATAAGTTGTCGTAAATTAGAAAGCTCATCATTCATCACTGGCAATAAACTCAAAGCTACCTTCAGGTCGAATTTATCCATTGTTGAAAAAATACTAGAACCGTCTGAAATTCGACACAACTCAGTAATTTCATAAAACAATTTTTTAATATCCGTACGATATTTTTCAAAAATAAGAAGCTCGTCCTTTTCAATGCTTTTCAGTTTAATACTTTCTATATAAATATTATATTGTGCAATAATACATTTAGCTTCGTCTAACTTAGTCAGCAATATTTTACCTTGTCATCTAGCGGGTCCTATTTTAATTAAATACTGTCTCACTACTAATAAATCTTCATATAATTTCTTTAAAAATTTTGCCATAGAGTTTAAAAATACTTAATATGCATAATAGAATATTAACATACCTGTTTTAAACCCTGGATCCACCGCATATTATTAAGAATTGTAACATTTATAAATACACGACTATACATTGTATATTTAGTTACATACATTTAGTTATACATATTTAATTAATCTAAGTTAATATATTTAGATAATATTTTTAAGTAATTAGTTTTTGTTTTTTTTTTAATATATATTTTATTATAACAATATTGATTATACTTTGGTAAATAAGATTACAGTCCACTAAATAATTTCCATAAACATATTTAAAAGAAAAGAAAATAAGTACACATATTGATGTAACCGCACTTCACCTCATACCACATACGCTCTTTAACACTTTTACACTTTGCTATCATCGATCTTCAAATCGGGGTAACCCTGGCGCCGTCGAAAGGAGAGTTGTCGCACCCTGCTGCCACTCACGTTCAAATCAAATTCCACCACGCATAACAGGACGCTCGACGTTTTCATATGAAATCGGAACTCCTCGATTGGTGCATCATTTGTGCCCCCGGCTGCATTTTGTGCTATTACGATGTTCTCTTCTTTAGACTGCTGTTTCCCCATTTTCGAAGCCCACTTTTACCACACTAGCGTCGCTGTCGTAAGTTTTAATAGTTTTTAAAACTGTTTTTAAAAGTTTTAATAGAATTCGTTTTATTATCCGACGAGTGCATTGTGACGAGAAGACGTTGTTTATAAATCACTGTCCATATATGTAAAATCGGTCGGCGACGCGGCGGCGGACGGTGTCAGAATACTCGCGCGCGTGATTCTACTTAAGGCAGGGTCGCCATGTAATGTGGTGCCCTGAGAGAGGAATGAAAGCCGAGACTGTTGAATAGATACTGTCTTTATTACTAATCGATCGTACATTAAATAGGTACAAAATTAGCTTACGTAGTATATAATGGTTAATAAGTATGTTTAGTTACTATAATCTATTCACTACATCTCACTACTGATGACTACGATGACTGATGACTACTGATGACTGGTAACGAATGGAGATGACGACTTGATGACTACTGACTGTTCGACTCACAGCGGCCGTATTTTATATACGTTGCGCGCGCGCACCTAGTACCGCTGTGAGCCAGCGCGGATGCCCCGCCCCCCGCCAAGTGACCCTACCGCCGTTCGTTTATTGGTCAATACATTTATCTTAAGTTTGACAATAGTATACTGCGCTCTTGCAAGAGACGCTCATTAGGGATTTTTACACGTGTTGCGCACCTGCAAGAGTCGCTTTCCTCTTATTAATTATACAATACAAATATTAGCCTAATTCCTTATTTCTTACATTTCTTATCTCTTAAATCTATTATTAACTAAACATCAGTTGCGTCGCCGACATACCCTATAACCTTCTTCGATAAATGGATTATCTAACAGAAAAATATTTTTCCAATTTGAACCAGTATTTATATAATTAGTATATATATAATAAATAATTTGTTACAGAGACGAGCTGACCCCTCTCAGATTCTACTTCGTAATTTGGAACATATTTCTGAACTTTTATTTGACACATTGGGAGAAATACAACACCGGTGTTATGTTCCTACCTTGGGGCTACGACTTTACTATGCTCGTGAGTTAAAATACATGTTATGTTACATTCAAATCGTCCTGTATAAAAAATTTTAAATGTCCACCTAGTACGGAAGAGTGAATTATTTGATTGGGACCAGTAAACGGTGGCCGTGTAAGTCTACCGGCACAAATTGCCACTGTTAGCAGAGAAATTTCAGTCTTATTGCTTTATTATAAAGTTGCTTTTAGTTTTAAACGCATTTGCAAATATAAAGATGTGCTCCTCTCGCACGTACATACGCTTGGTTGGTTACTAAGCTAGGAAAGTATTTCAAAAATAAAGAAAATTGTCATTAGACTGAATTCAACTTCCCTTTCACAATTATTAAATTAACATATCCTTTGACTTGTTCTTTTAAAGTTAAAACTTTAGAAATAAACATTACTTATGGCAAAAATTTAAGTCTGTATATAATATTCAAATAATTAGTTCCCATTTAATGCGTATATATATGTATGTTTATCTGTCTGTTTGTTCCGCTGAATTTCTGATATGACTAGACAGATTTTAATGGGACTTCAACCGACAGACAGCTGACTACTTTTGTTCTAGATTTTTTTTATTTTTGTTAGTAAAAATAGTGAAAACTAACTAAACCGCACTACTGAAGTTTCAGACTCAGGTAGCATATTTATAAAAAGAAACCTAAATCATACATCATGTATATATATACAAGCATTAAAACCGTTATTTTTATTTTTTTATGTTTGAACAAAATGAGCGCGTCTCACCGTCAAGCATAATAGCTTGGTGAGAACAAAAAAAAATGTAAACCATTATTAATACTCAGACATATGTAAATAAATTTAAAAAAATTAGTTTAGATATAATATATTTCTAGTACAGTGTGTATTAACCCTTACAGGGCTCGTGTATCCTGCTATTGGTGACGTCACTCATAGGCCCTTCAGCGTGGCACGTCACACTACCGGGTGGTTTAACGCCAGGCGTGGTGTTCGAGATCGTGTTATACTTCTCCGCCATCATAACTAGCCAGACGGTCATATTGTGGAACATTTATAAGTACGTCGGCTTAATTAATTTGTTTATTAACCCGGTTCAGTTTTCTGTGTTAGGCTTTTTGGTCGTTTCGATTTATGTATGATAAATTTAATCGACATACGATTTGTATTGATTTTGCTATTTGATTGATTTCTACTTGTCCTATAATATTTTATTATGTATATTTTCCAGATCGTATCGAGATGGCACTGGTAAAATGCGTCCATTCATAGAAGCCGTCCGACCTTTGTTCCCGCTGGCCATCTTCTTTATTCTGAGCACAGCGTGGGCACTTTTCTCTCCTAATGACGTAATCAACAAAGGCCCAAGACTGTTTTACATCTTGACGGGAACCATTTTTTCGAATATCAACGTAAGTAATGTTTTATACAGGTTTTGTGTATGATATCCGATGCTAATAAGTGGCCACTGGTTCAAAGGTAACAAGAAAATTACTTTGAATTAATTCATTGCAATTTACCTTTTGTGAATTATATATAAGAAAGTATCCACTAAAATTCTTGACCTAAAGACCTTTCCAGATAAACACCCACAAAACATAGCGCGAAACTAAAATTTGACTTAAAGGGACTACAATCTCTGAGGTAGCTTAAGCTTGTAGGAACCCATAGCACCGTCATATAGGTGATGATGTACGCCGGGGTTTTAGTGGGTTCGAATCCCACACACAACTCTCACTGTCTGTCAGTCTGAGTTTCCCCCTATAAAAAAGGGGGACTACAGTCTAACTTAAACATGAACGGCAAAACATGGAAGCCGACCTTGCCTTAACTGCAAGAGGCGCAAAATTTCCTCCCTTTTTTTTTCTTTAGAAAAGTAGAACTCCACCTAAAGGTTGTATACAAGGCAAATAGTTCTAGTATAGATAAATAATGACAGTAAATTTGGATAGAGATTGACTAAGTTTTTCATCCAATTCTCAATTTTCAGAGTGTTTCTTTAAAATACACAACTGTTTCCATTTACACGTAGTGACGATCCTCAAACTTTAGCGGTTAAGAGCGGCAAAGCTCATTGAGGCAAAGACTCGGTAGAAATCTTGGTATCATTGCAAAAATATTTGTGAGCACTTGTATCCAATGATTTATAAATTAAAATATCTGACTAAGAATTTCAATAAATAAAGAAGCATAAAAGAATGAAGCTGTTAATGTATTTGTATGCGTAGACTGCACACCACTAGTGGGCCCAACAACCTAAACTAAGTCAAATAAATTGAAGTGAATGAATAATCTCATTCACTCTTCAATTCTAATGAATGAATTAATGTTTTACAGTGTCGCCTGATCGTGTCTCAAATGAGTGACACATGCTGCGAGTCCTTCAATGATCTCCTAATACCGTACGCGGCTACTGTCTTCGCTTGTCTGTACGGTGTCTCAGAGATTATGGAAATGTTGTTGCTATCGCTACTCACAGCTGTGGTGTCTATAGCGCACATCTACTATGGAACAAGAGTGGTGAGTTACTACTATATGCATAATACTCTTAATTCAAAACACATTAAGAGGTTAAAAAAAAACGGATTTTTTCGGGCATTTTTCGAATAGATGTAATTTTGATAAAATAAGGTCACATAGGACTAAATAAATAAAAAGCAATCAGAACGTACTAGTTCCTAGTGATGTTGAATAAAAATAATTACGTTATTCTATTGAATATCAAGAATGAAAAATAATGAACTTTTTTTGCTCTCATTGAGCTATCTGATTATAAGCATTATAATATATATATCTGAGCATTATAATTGAGCTGTCTGACTTTGAATAACAATAATAAATTATCTAATGTTCTCATATTTCTATTCGCTTTGTCCAATAAGAATGTGAAAAAAAAGTAAATAAATAGGTAATACATACTTTTTCTAATTTTCAAAGATTTTTCTTTAGTCTTACATTTTTACACAAGTATATATTTAAAATAATACTTTATAAATAAAGTGTCAATAAAACCCTGATAATAGACATAAATTATTTATATACAATCAATCATCACCTCATGTAAATGAATTGTATGAATTTTGAGTTTTTTCTTTTTTTCTTAGCATAGCATTTTTCTTAGCATATTATATCAATTTAAGTGGATGACTTATTGTAAAATTCTTATAATTATGATTATCGTATGATTAAAAGTTTTTATTTGGTAAACATAAATTTTATACTATATGGCTAACGTTACTAAGACGTGTAGGTTACATTATGGCAACATTATAATATGTAATTAATTTAAATATTCCGTTTAATTTTCAGGTACAAGAAATGTGCGAACATTTTAAAATTTCCTGTTTTAAAATTAAGTCAAAATCAAATTAGGTTTTTTTATATATATTATGCAATTAACCTGGTCATAGTTTACTATTATTATTATTTTTGTTTTGTAATGTATGATCTGAGTTTATCTCGATTTGAAATTGTTTTAAGTAATTTTAGCTTATGATAGGTAAATTTTTTTAGGCCATTGCCATAGGGGCTTTTTAATATTATTCTATACACCAAATAGATATTGTATACAGAAGTATCCTAAACTTATTTACATATGTTTCGATCTTTTATTTTGTTGTTAATAAAAATTTAGGGAAGATTCATGAATTGAGTGTATGGATTTATCTTCAAAAATATTTTTTGTATATTATGTACGATTACTTAGATCTTTGATGTGTCATAGTTTACAAAAAATCTCTTACCCAAAAAAAATAATCTTTCCTATTAAGATTATATGGGTAATTTGTATTATGATAATTTTTAACGGTTTTTAAAGATTTTTTTATTCTTTTTTTATTAGGAATACGCTTCAGGTAGTTTAATTCCTATTATATGATTTCATTTCTCCTAAAATTGTTATTATAATTAATGGGCTTTTTTTTACATTTTATTGTAATAACAACAGTGAATGCATATCATAACTAATAATTAATTATGGTTACCTTAAAGTTGGGTTAAATAGAAAAAGTGCTTATATATTTTTAGATTAGTAGAAGAATATAACGAAATTCTCATAGCTTAGATAAAATTTAAAATGACAACATTTTAGAGTTGTCAAAATGTTGGTCAAAATGGCCGTTAAAATTTTAGGTCAATTTTGCTTCATTGTTTAATATATCTTTAATATCCTGTAGGTTTCTTGATATAATTAAATTTGTAGAAGTAGATCTGTTGTGACGTCCTTCGCAGCAGATTGGATGAATATTTGTGGAAATTCATCGCATATAAACACGACATACGTGAATTTTCAGTTATATGATCTTTTATTTGAAATTGTATAACGTTACGAAGGCATAAGTTCTTAACTTTCAATTTCAAGGAAAATATACCAAAAATTTATTATTTAAAGTATTAATGTCATTATCTGAATAACCACTGCTAAATTCAACCCAAAGAAACAATGTAATTTGGACCTTAATTACGTTATGTTATATACTAAAATAGTGCATTTTTATATTTTAAAAGGAAACCAATTACTATTACATATATCAAATAATGAAACCTTTTCCATTTATGAAAGTCAATTTAAAGTAGTATATAACACTAACATTATTAACTTTTGATGTCTAAATGTTGTGTACCATTTCGAGTCCTTATAGAAAAATTGTCGAAAATATAATTGTTCTATAAAATGTATGTATTATCTCAATTTTTTATGTAAATTGAAACCGAAATCGAACCTGATTACAGATCTGAATGATATGTCAATTACTTTTTTTGGTTGAAAAATTGCCATTACATATGTATGTATGGCAATGTATAATATGTATATGTAAATTTAATTTAAAATTACTATCAACTAGTGTATGTTGTGTAGAGCACAACACAACCATTTTAGTCCAATACCAAAAATTTTGTATGTATAATATTTATACATAGTTTTTTTTTACTTACAGTGTCTTAACACTTTAAAATGTATATTGATAATTTTTTTAATCTCCAAAATTGCCAAAAATTCCAAATAAATTGAAAATTTCAAATCCATTAAGTTTTATATATAATTCTAACACGGTTTTTGTGGATGTAACATGTATTCCATATTTAGATCTTATATTGTATAATGAAATACATAAAGAAAAACTATTACAAGATAATTAAATTGATATAATTTATACTAATGTGTATGTTCCTATTTTGCTCTTTCCTTTAATGAACTTTTATATACATTTACAACTACTGTATTTGTTTCCTATTAAAAGATCTGATGTAACCATGGATATTGTCAATATTGTATAATATTTTTGTCTAGTTCTTCTGAATCTATCTAACTGGAGACACTTGGTTTTTTTGTGGTAACTAATAATGTTTTTTTATAGATTAATTTACAATAACATTTAATATGTTGTGCTCAAATGTTATTTGTACCTGTTTATTTTTTAAGTGTTTTATTTCATACTTACATAGTTAAAAGTCAACTATAAATTATGCTACTATTCTACTCATGGTAATAAAGAATTAAATGTATGTGTGGTCTTATTTAAATACCCTAATTTATTAACAATGATGGTCTCTAAGAAACTAATGAAGAAATTAGGTTTAATATAAATAATACTGAATCGAAACTTGAGATACTTTATTAAATATAACATATAAGGGATACATTTTGTTTCCTAACAAAGTGAGCTTACTGTTTCATTAATTTCATCTCCTAGTGACAAAAGCTTTCGCCACATATCAGGAGTCAAACTTATACCTTTTTTACCCGGCAGTAGTTCACCATTCTTTTCATAAAATTCTCTTATATCTATAAAGACTCTACCTTTAAATTCGCGAACTTTTACCAGTTTCTTTCCTTCCAGCACCCAAGTTGGCTCTTTATCATCTGTTCTACTGCCCATTTTGGCTTTTTTTTCAGGCGGTGGATTCCTCTGACAAAAATTAAGTAATATATAACCACATCGACTAATCATTGTCAAACTAGATAGTATACCGGCACAAATTTCACTAACGAAATATTATTAACATATAAAGTAGGATAGCGTTTTTTCAGCCATATACGCAATATGGTTAAAAACTTTGTAAAAATTATAAATCTCTCCGTTTTTCTTTAAAGAATAAATGCTACTTACATCTACAGGACCATCACTATCACTGCTGGAACTTTCTTCCTTTTTCTTATTTTTGGGCATTTTTATAATGTATTAATAGTACAAAAGTAACTAATTATTTTTCCGTATCTGATTGTTTCTAATTTGTTTGTTCTAAATAACTAACAAGAAACGTGTCTAAGAACGAATTAGAATAATATCACACTTGCCGCCAACTTCACTTGGCAAACGTTTTTGCACACTGTTCGGAAACAGCAACTATTCAGGAGTTGCTTTCTGCCTAACTTTTGATTCGTTGCGATATTACGAACAATATATTAAAAGACGTCTATCAGGTCAATTAAATATTGGATCGTAAAATATAATATCTCTCAAGTTTATTTCATTATTTTTTTTATTTTATAGGCAAATAAAGTTGAATATCAGAATTCAGAACAATGATAATAAGTAAAATTATATAACATGTATATTAAATATTTTAAAAAAAAAGTAAATCATTGTCACTTATTCCCTATCCTACTAAACATTTTTCTTATCATTTTAAATCTGAAAATTAAATATTCATGTGAGCGACAAAACAAATATAATTTATAAATATAAAAGTGTTTTAAGAACAGAATGCCTACAATTTCATAAGTAGTATTTAATTTTACGTTTATTTTATTGTTTATAGATAAGCACACCACAATAAATTTTAATCTTCAAGTAAGAGGCAGAATGAATAATTGAAAAACATATATTTGAGAATGTTTGACTTTGTTGTCTTTACTCACTGTCTAGGTATTTTCTATTTTCCTGTTGATGTTTGCTAATGTCAAATCAATTCGTCTCATTTCTGTTGTCAGTCCTGTTTCAATATAATAGTCTCGTTGAATTTGTTAATTCCATTTATTAAAAACGTATTTTCAATATATTGTCTTAGGCACAATTATAAAATGGAAAGTAAAGATTAGTGATACTTTGCGTTGGAGGTTTGAAAGTTATAATGTAATGCAAGAAAATATTTTATTGGAAAGTGTTATGGAACATAACAGTCATGAAATACTTTTGTATAATTATTTTTATCGTGTTTGGGGAATGTCAGTCATTGGTTATCAATAAAACCGAACCTATTTTTGCACCTAAATTTAATTCAACCACAAAACAGAAAGTATGGAATATCAAACTAGATATTTATTTTACAAAACCTCTTCCAACAATTATTAAAAAAGCACCTAACAGTGATGTCCGACTTAAATGTGAAGCTATGATGAATTTTACCAAAGTAGAGAAGTATACTAAAAATGAAGAAGGTGTAGAGACATCTTTGAAAGAATTTCCTCCAGATTACATACAACAGACCTTAATGAAAAATGTTAAAGTGTATTGGTTAAAAGATAATAGTATTCTATTGAATTCTACAAAAATAAGGGTTACAACAAAAGAAGATAGAAGTAACGGTACTATCGGTGCATTTCTTAAAATAAAAGATATAAATAAATCTGATGAAGGAAATTATACTTGTGTGATTAAACAAAATTATGAGAAAAAGATGACAACAAGACTCGTAATAGATGTTTCAAATAAGATTAATGACTTGGAAATGTCTTACACATCTATGTTCCCCGAGGGTGATAATGAAATGTTTATGAATATAAAAACAACTCCCAATCTTATATCTGAAGGTATGACAGTACAGAAAACTAGCGATGGGCACCATAATGAGACGGTTAACCAAAAGTTGGAACCAATATGTCAGGAATATATAGGCCAAGTTTGCAGTTCACATCTTAAAGGTCATTTTGTATACATTCCATATGACACCTCTCAGGCAGCCCTAGAAGACAAACTCATGAAAGCCTTCCAAGTTACCAAGTATTCAAATGATATTAGCTCTCATTGTGAACAATATGCCCTGCCGAGTCTCTGCTACTCAACATTTCCTATATGCAGGAATCCACATGCAACAAATGAATACTTTTTTAAACAAGCAAAAGAAATATTAGATACATATTCTGGAATTAATAATGTTGATGAAAGGCAAATCCCGAAAACAATATTTGAGAACCTGCACCAAGGATTACAATTACAATTAAAGGAAAACAAAAATATCACATTGGATTTGTTGAATTTTCGCTACAACTCCACAGTATTGAGGCGTGTTTGCAAACAGGATTGTGAAATATTAGAAAACGAACTTTGTCAGACTGAATATGCTATTGCTAAACGACATCCTCATATTGGCCAGCAGTTGACTTTAGAGGAATGTCAAGATTTACCTGAAGATGACATGGATTGTCTCAAGATTGGTATAGGAACCTTAATAGTTTCAGATGATGAATGCTATTGGGAAGATGGAAGTGGTTATCTTGGTAGGGTTAATATAGCAAGCAATGGACGACCATGCATTGAATGGTCAAAACAGTTGTATTTGAAAGTTTCCGATTATCCTGAACTTGCAGGAAGACACAGTTATTGTAGGAATCCTGGCGGAGTAAAGTCTCAGCCCTGGTGCTTTGTAGATCATGATGGAAAAACTGATCAACTCTGTGATATACCTAAATGTGCTCACAAAATTTGGATATACATTGTTTTGACATTCTTAATACTAACTTTTTTGATAGCTTGTTTCTTAACCTGTCTTTTCTTTAAACATATAAAAAAAGGAAATGCTGCTACAATTCGAGACATTAATCTTCCTAGTGCTGATAAAAATATTTATGGTAATTCAAGACTCAATTCACCCATAGAAATGAATGAATTATTAACTAATCAAAATAGTGGAAGTCAGCCTCATTTGACCAGCAATACAAGGGGAAATGGTGTTCTTCGTATACCACAATACTCTTTGTCCCAAATAAAATTTTTGGAAGAACTAGGTGAAGGTGCATTTGGAAAAGTTTACAAAGGAGCACTAAAGAAGAACGGTGAAACTCAATATGTAGCAGTGAAAGCATTGAAAGAGAATGCATCCGCTAAAACTAAGGCTGATTTTAGAAGAGAAATAGATTTGATATCAGAATTAACCCATGACAATATTGTTTGTATTGTAGGTGTTGCTCTTAGGGAAGAGCCACTTTGTATGTTATTTGAATTCATGGCGCGTGGGGACTTACATGAATTTCTAATGGGACGAGCTCCTCCGTCCGGTAAAGGTTTACCTTCCATGAGATTGTTAAACATTGCCCATAACATTGCATCTGGTATGCAATATCTTGCCTCTCACCATTATGTTCACAGAGATTTGGCTGCAAGAAACTGTCTTGTGTCTGATGATTTTGTAGTAAAGATATCAGATTTTGGACTCTCAAGGGACATTTATAGTTCTGATTATTATAGAGTGAGTTAAACTAAAATACATCATGAAATATAAGAAAACTGTTCTTTAAAAATGATTCTATTTTAGGTACAATCTAAAAGTCTATTACCAGTCAGATGGATGCCACCAGAATCAATTCTCTATGGGAAATTCACTACTGAAAGTGATATCTGGTCTTATGGTGTTGTGCTATGGGAGATTTATAGTTATGGATTGCAACCATACTATGGGTAAAGCATGATTAAACAGTACTTAAATATGAATGTGTTTTCAATAAAAATGTCTAATTAAATAAGTAAAAAAAATGCTTCTATTGGATCTAACAATTGTTTTGTCAAATTAGTTTATATTACATTGAAGGTATTATCAATTAGTTCCTACTTAATTTTAATTAGACAAACTTTGACAAACCATATATTTGGCGGTATGGTTGTTGGATCACATCCCTTGTAGATCATACCCTTTTGATGTAGTCTAAAATTCAACTGCTTTGTCCAAGTTTATATGAAATCTCGTTAATGTCTAATTATTATCCCTATTTTTGTTCAGGTATAGTAATCAGGAGGTAATATCGATGGTTCGTGGTGGTGAGCTGCTGGCGCCGCCGGCCGCCTGTCCAGCACCGCTGTACAGCCTCATGAGGGACTGTTGGAGACACGCGCCGCAACGAAGACCTGCCTTCGAGGATATTGTTACCAGGTGACACACAGAACTGCTAGAAAGAGATAGACATAGATGTTTTTCTCGTAAGAGAAAACGAGACGGATATAATGTGGTGTCTAATATATAGTTACACAAATGAAAAGCTCAGCTTAAGTCTAACGACTTAAGCTGAGCTTTGCATTTGTGTGAGTGAAAGTACAAGTAGAGTTACACAAAAAACTTTTAGAATTAAATTTTATTATACATATTTGAAATAGATACATAACATAAGTGCTATAAAATAAGCAAAACTTGTAAAAGGCCAGATGGAAATATTATGAATATTATGGAAAAAAATTAAAGATTAATAAAAATTTTGAAAAAACTATACAAATTCTTATTCACTTGACATTTCGTTTTTAACATTTGATTTTGCTATCAGTACAAAAGATGAAGTGCGGAAGGTGAGAGGCGGAGTAAAAGCAGTATAAACCGGTTCAAAACTAGAAACGAACGTGGCGTTCAAAAATTTGACATCACACCTACACTATCCGCGTGCACTCACACAAATGCAAAGCTCAGCTTAAATCAAACGCACTATAACTCATATGTGTAACCAAAGAGATATTTGTGCTTTGTCAGATTTCAACGAAATATTTGGTTTTTATTTTTTACTTTTTTTTATTTATTATGTTCTGTACTGTATCCATAAAAATCCGTTTTGCTTGATTTTCGATTTGCTTCATAACGTTTTACCCAGGTGTTCCTTAAGACTCTGTGTATTTGCCTATTATTTTGTTGCTTAATATGTATGTATCATACATATAATATTACGTCTCTGAAATGGTATGGTATAAATCTGAAGTGGTATGTAGAAGAATAAAACATGTTTCTGCATCGTATACATATTAATATAAAGTATAGTTTCGACCCCACAATATTTTTCTCATTTATTGTACTTATACCTGATCTAGTATTCCGCGGTAAGAAGATATACACCATACAACAATTTTATAGATAATTGTCTGGAATGATATGCGTATATACCTGAACGACAAATATAAAATTATTTTTTTAAGCCACTAAGTAGACCTAGCTAGTATAGTTTCATATTAAATACTAATATTATAAATGCGAAAGTAACTCTGTCTGTCTGTCTGTGTGTTACGCTTTCACGCCTAAATCACTGAACTGATTTTAAAGAAATTTAGTACAGAGATAGAGTCGACCTTGAGAAAGAACATAGGATAATTTTTATCCCAGACTTGAAAGGTTCTCTCGAAAACGTGATATTTTTTTTTTTTTTTTTTTTTTTTTTTTTTTTTTTTTTATGTTAAAGGTGGCAAACGAGCAGACGGCCCACTTGTTGGAAGGTGGTTACCGTCACCCATGGAAATCCGCAACATCTTTGTTACGGATGCGTTGCCAACCTTGTTTTTTTTAGGGATAGGGAGGGGTGGGAAAAAGGAAAGGTAGGAAAGGGTGGGAATAAGGAAAGGGCAACCGGCTCTCTCACTCATCGGACGAAACGCAGCCATTAAAGGCCACTTCACGCCGATCTTCTGTGAGAGGGTGGTACTTCCCCGGTCGAGCCAGCCCATGTTCGAGCTGTAGTAACTAGACCACAGCTGGGCTCTACCACCTACAATAACCGAACTCCACGCGAGCGAAGATGCTGGCGGAAAATTAGTATTAAACATATTTGTTCTAAATTCCAGGATAGGAGATTGGATACAAATGGGCGGTTGTCCTGAAACTGCGCCATCTGAGTCGGGGAGCAGCTGCGGTCATCGACCCACGACCTCCACAAAGGATCTGCAGGAGAGAGTTCCACTATTACCACCGCACTGCTCTACATCCAATGGCTCACTGGCTACCAGTAGCTTAAAAAAATTCAGTACAGCTGGCTCAAGCAGGGCTGCCGATGATAATTTCTCTACATGCAGTGAAGTGCCACCCCTGGCACCCAAAACAAAAAAATATAGCTCCGGTTCACTCATAGATACAGACAAAATAGGAACCAAGGAGACGGTTGTTAGAATACCCAACAAGAATTGTGGTAATGATATATAGTAGCATTCAAGATATCAGTATAGGATCAAGTAAGTAATATTAAGTAAATTATTGGCGTCGCTATGTAGAATATGTTAGGCTTTACTCACTCCGCCTCACGTTTAGAATTTTTTTATTTATTTAGAAACTATTTTATTTAAAGACTATGAATTTATTTTAGTTTTAAGTAACGTATTATTTACTGCAGCTAAAATAAATAATAACTTGTTTGTATGGATCAGTGATTTGCTCAAAATAATTGTTACATAGAAATACATCGACAATGACACATTTAAAGAAAATTAAGCTTTAAAATACTTGAAATAATCATAATAAAATTAATAAAAATGAATCCAATAATGCCCATTTGATAATTATATAAAACTTATACAGTATTATTTTGTTTAAACTTGTAACAATTATTTATTTATGTTACTCCTACAGTTCCTTTAATGCAATTTATGCAACAAACACTCTTTATTATTGTATGTTATAATACTAGGGTTTTGCGATTAAGTAAAAAATAATTAGTAAAATGGATTGATGTTGGGATACCTAAATAAACAAAGTAATGCCAAGTTGCCGACGGAATTAAAAGGACTTATTAAAATTATCGCATTTACATTGCAATTAATATTTAATATAATCTTTATAATAAACTTCCCATCTTGCCACGGTTAATTAACCAAAAGACTTCCTTAGACATTAAAAAGCAATCATTTTGTATGATTATTTCGTAACATTATATTTTTTATTAAAAGTCCATATCAATGTTGTTCATTTACAAAATTAATTTTATAACCCAGTTTTGATACAGGATAGGTATTGCTATAGAAAATATGAATTAAGCATTATTTAGAAGCGAATATTATGAGTGCCCATAAAAGTTTACAAAATCAATATTGTTTTTTTCAACTGACGTTACATTATTTTTTTTTTATAATAGTAATTGAGACTTAATCCTAAAATTCGCTTCTAAAGTAATTCAATTTACAATGTTTTCTATGATGCTAGTTAAAATTAAATGTAAGTTATGTATATGGTAAGGTAAATATTGTTTAGATTTGTTACCTTTTGATATCAGAGCACTTGTGCCACTTTTTTCTTATAAAATTATATGGTACGTAATTTTCAGTACTTGCCAAAGACTCTTTTTTTTATATGTGATACATTTATTTAGTTTTTTTTTACCTAGGAGTAAACTGTATTTCTATAATAAATAATTTACAAAATAATCTGGTCATAGTTTTATTTTTCAAAATATTATCATGTTTAGTCTGTACACCGCTAACTTTTTAATTAACCTATTAATTCCCAAGGATAAAAATATATGCAAATTTAATGTTTTTAATGTTTATTACGTTTATAAATACATGAAAAAAGAAAAATATATACATAAAAAATATTGATTAATTAGTTTAAATGTTGCGTTAAGGAACTTAAATATCACTAGCAAATCTATTATCGTTACAGTATTGGCGTGAGTGAAACGTTTTAAAACAATCAATATGAAGATGTACTTGACATTTTTTACATATATAAATTGTTGTACTTCTACATTGTCGACATCTTCTTCGACGCTTATTTTCGTGCTCCTCTATGACATGACCAATATTATCGAAGCAAATATTGGAAGGTAAAGCATTTTTAGATGATCTGTCTAAATTTGTATTCGAATTACCCAAAAAAATATTAATTATCTGCAATTTGGGCTTCTTCTGTTTTCATGAAAACTGCAGCATTCACTTTTATTATTTAGGTATATCGACTTTTAGGAATTACTATGTGACCTACGCGGGTTAGCTCGACGTTCTATAACCGATTTACTAATAAAACAAAAGAGTTTCTACTCTTTGAATAGCGAGAACTTATTGTTAATTGAACGATTAATTTCTAACATCAATTGCAAGCTCTGTAGTAATAACAACTGACCACTATACTTCCAGTCTAAGATAAACAACAAAGGGTTTATATCATGAGTAAGATATTCCTAACTTCCTTTACACAGTGTAAAAAGTATAGCTTTATTTCAATTAATATTTTTATCTTGTGATGACTCAATTAGCAGTTTTTGAAAGATTAATATAATATGTATTTGTATTCAAAAACCTATTAAAACAAAACATTAAAGTTCTAATTCTCGAGACTGGTTTACATTTCATAAATTTATTTCCTTATTTTTAAAACAAAAAATCAAATTTGAAATGTTGATGGGTAAAAATGGGTTAATAACAGAAAATATTCAAGATTGAACTAAAAGGAGCATCATCTGTAAAATAATTTTTATATAAGCATGTTTTTACGATGTACATGTTTAAATTATAATATGTATACAGTATTTAAATCATAATTATCAAGCAACATCATCAGTTTTTCTTCTTTCTATCAAGTACTCTCCGTGAACTCTCATGTGCACCTTTAAGTTGTGGTTGCTAGTGAAACCTCGACAACAAACCCGACACACGTACGGCTTTTCACCTAAAAAACATTATAAGTATTAACAAACAAACATTTAATAGTTCCCAATATCTCAATTCACCAAAAGAAAATATATTTGTTCTCTAATTATTCATAACAGGTAAGTACATATAGTCTTTTTCGCTTCATGTAAATTTGTATCATCTAAATGAATTTTTTTTAAACATTCTTGAATATTAGTGGAAAAAAACTGAAAATTTAGACGACGCTTTAAAATTATGAAAATTAATAAGTATAAAAACAGTATAAGTTTTAGCATTACTATCATGTTATTATTTTAAAATCACAGTTCTCTATTAATTACGTAATTTGACGTACACACCAGTATGTATTCTTCTGTGTTTTATAAGAACTGATCCCGAGAAGAACTTAGCGTTGCAATATTCACACTGTTTAGTCCGCACCCCGTCGTGTATGAGGTTATGTGTCGCTAGTGAGCTCTTCGACTTATAAACTTTTGGACATCGCTCGCATTTGTATTTTCCCGCGCTATCGTGACTTTCCATATGGCGTCCTAACTGTTCCCGGGACATTTAATATATTTGAAATGTTAGCTATTTAATTGATATTATCTAAGCTTGCAACGAATATTGGGATAGAATTTGGTGTTCGCCGTTTTCGTTTGCTTAATTATATTCAGAAGAATACCGAATACTTTGGTAAAATATATTGTTGTGGGGATATAATTGTAGATGTATTTGAATTATTGTCGTTAACGAAATTTAGGAGGGGAAAGTTTTTATTTCTCTTATGATCATTTAAGCAGTCGACGATATATAAAAGAGGTAGGTATTCATCTTTTATATTACAAAAGTTTGGAATTTTTCCATGCATTTGAAATATTTTAAATATTAAAATTTAGTAGGGAAAGGTTATGGTTTGGCAAGACTATTTTATTGCTTTTTTAGGAAAGCAGTTTACTTCTTATTTGAGTAAACATTTTTGAAAGACTACATTAGAAGAGAGAGAGAGAGAGCGAAACACTCACGTCTCTACAAGGTTTGGCGCTAAAATCCGCCCGAATACTTTTGCCCACTAATTGGGGTGGGGGACTCGCCAAATATTCGGCATTCGTTAAATTGCCGAATATACTATTCGTTGCAAGCCATATATTATATTAATGACTCACCAATTTGTGCGTCTTAACAGTTTTACCGCACACCGGACATATAGTACCTTTTTCTGAACATTTGTGACTGTCCAACTTTTCCTTATCACAGAAAACACGTGAACATTTCTTGCAATATGCCTTTTGTGGTGTATGTCGTCTTAACTTATGAATCTGAAACAAATCTTTATTTTTGTTTTTAAAATTCTACATGAAGCTTCTTTGCCTCATGATATTTTTTTTAATACAAAGAATTAATTAATAAATATTGTTTACTTGTAAATTACTGTGATACTTGCAGGTATAGTCACACAAACCGCAACTTAAATTTTTATTGTCCATATGAATAGGCATATGCGATTTAATGGCACTTTTATTTTTAAATCTGTAAAAGGAACACAATGTCACTGCTTATATAAATATTTAAAAAATACATAACGTAGCAATCTAGTTTAAGAATATGGACTTGAAGTGTCTTGCAAGTTGGTTAGCAATGTTCAATTGTTTTTTAATTATAATACAATAATAAATCCTTAACATATATAGTAGCCGATTGTATAAGATGGTTTTAAACCGAAGTAAACGAGCTATTTGACTCTCCAGTAATAATATTATTAGGACTTAGATACAAGAATGGTGGCAGTGCGTTTACACTATCTTTGTGGATTTTTTTTTGTCTAAAGTTTACGTAAAACGATTACACCAATGCTGTGGTCTACTCACTAATACCTTTTCCCATACAATATTTTCATATATATTCCATGTTACCACGACCACTTTAAACAATTTTGCTAATAATAGCCCTACACAGACATCACATTTATACTACTTATTACAAAAATGGTCTAGGTCTTCAACAAACAAAGAACGAATGATGAAATTAAAGTAAAACAAACATATTCTTCATAGAACTAGTAACTAGTCAACATTGTGTTAAAATTATTTTCTTTGCTGTATTATCTACTAAACACCGTCTAGAAGATTCTATGGATGATTATTATGTTAATTTGATGTTTATATTTTCTTTTTCTGAAACCTTAAATAAGAATTCACTTAATACATAAGGAAATACTAACATTTTAGGACAATGATCACAGTAGAACTTCCTGTTAGAATGGCAGGCCCACATGTGTTTCTGTAATCTCTTTGGCGTTGTAAAGGTGTGACTGCATTCTGAACATTTTACAGTGTAAGCCTGGAATATTAATTTATCTAATTTATATTAAATAATTTGCACTCTTGAATATCCATTAAATATATTTTATAAAAACTGACTTTGTCTTCTGTGTGAAACTTTTTGTAATGGTATTCTAGATATTCAGGTTTGTAACATTTTTTTAAACATATGTGACAATGTTTTTGTTTGTTCGTCAAGTGTTCCAATCGGTGGGCATATAATGCCGGCCACTCAGTGAAATTTCGAGAACATATTTTGCATGAATTACTGTTTTTATGACATGTCAAATGAAGTGTTAGTAGATCGGCTTCAGTAAATGTTTTGATGCAGAGACCTGGAAACAGAAATAGCAAATAATTATATAGCTGTATATATATTTATAACTTTAACAAAACATCTTTTAACTAAAATAAGTTTGATGTAGTTCTGCCTTTTAGTAAAGGCCATTTGCAGCTAAAATTTTTAGTAAATAAAGGGTTTTAAAATATAAAAATAAATAAAAAAAAGGGTTTTTCTCCTTACAGCTTCTATCTAGTCTTAAGTCAATCTTAGATAGTGATGATCTGATAATAGTTTGCCTGTTTAGGATGTTTAAGTTCTTCAGAACAGTGTTTTATAAGCAAAGAGTATCAGTTGCTCTCAAAGTTGAGTCCACCAATTTTAAATATTGGTTAAAATATTTTATAACATGCAAATAAAATTCTTTTATATGTTTTATCTTATAGAGCATATCAAGTAAAAAATTTAACATTAACAGATATTTATAAATAGTACTGTAATCAAATATAACAACAATATAATATAAGTTGTACATGATCCAAAGGATTTTATCATTATGACAGAAACTCTTTCAAATTATTTTTGTTAAGCATTTTGCTTAACACTTCCATTAGTAACTTTCTCAGCAGGTAAAATATAATAAATAAGAAAAAAACTTATTTTAACTGGTAAAAAAGGACTTACCACAAGAGAGAAGTGTTTTCTTTCTTTTTATGTTAGAGGGTCTTGTTAGCTTTTCACTGATATCTGGAATATTAATGATAATAATTAATATATAACATCTTTAAAGTTATTTGATTTAAGTATTTATGAAAACAAAAGAAAATGTGTAAGAGAAAACTTTAAGTTTTTGAAAACATTCCATATCAACTTTTTCTTAAAATAATTAAAAAGATTTTTTTACAAAATATCAAGGAATAGAACTGTAACATTGTTATCAACAAATAAATTAGCACAATAAAATAGTAAATGGCAGACATTTATAAAAAATAATTATTATTTTTATATATATAATTACCTTCATTGTCTTCTGCTTTAATAATAACATTATTAAATAAATCATAATCTGTTTCTTCATTATCAATCAAATCTCCTTCTAATATCTCATCAGTACAGTCTTCTTTTACTTCACTTTTTCCCTCCAAGAAAGTACTCTCTATTTCTATCTTGATATTCTGTTTAACGAAAGTTTAAACATATTATACATGTTTTACCAGATTATATTTAAAACGGTAATTCTACTTACGTCTTCTTTGATGGATTCTGTTAAAATATAATTAGACAATAAACATTTATCTCGAAATTCAATAAAGGACTTGATTTTATCTAAACAACATGAACAAAAATGTTGCGGTAGTTTATCAAACATATTGATCTGGAAAAAAAAAACGTCAGTTGAACATTTAAACACGATAATAAAATAAATAACAATTCTTATTCTTACATTTATATCAGTAAGTAAATTAAAGTAATAAATGTCTTTGTCATTAAATGGCACCAAATAGCCATCATCTTTTAGACACGCTCGACATTGCAACATTTCTTATTTAATCCGAAAATTTAAGTTTTTACACTGATTATTAGAAAAGTAATATTAATTTTGTTTAATAACAATGTTTTGAAATTCACATGACGTTTTAATGTTTTGACATTAATCATGTCTAAACAATGTATGAATGCATTCATTTTTTAAGATCTAACTGAATCTTCCCATTGTAATTTCAAAGAATAAGCATTTCATTCTTAAAAAAGTAAATTCGGTTCTTACAATTTTATTTGTCTATTTGCATATTTAATTAAAGGAATCGTTAGAACGGTTAGACCAATTTGGACTCTTATTATCAATCGCAAATAGGTAATGTAATAGCAGTAAATTTGAATATTTTTATGCACTTCGCAAAAGTGGAATTTTCAATTTGATTAAATGTTTTGTTGCCCTATTACTGCTATAATTAAAGACATTTCCAATGTAACCAAGTCAGGTTCTGATTCGAGGATCTTCGAGAAGTAAAACGAAACTTTATAATGATGGTGACGTGTACCTTAAAAGAAGTTACTATGCTGCTAAAGCAAGTACAAAAAGCTATTCACAATGTTAGATTTAATTAAATACAAAGATGAAACATAATATAAAAATATTTTATTTTTAATATGTACTTTTATATAACAAAATACATATCACGTGTACCTCGTGGTAAGGAAAAATATTGTAAGAATTACAAAACTATTGTTAGAAATCTTATTAAACTTTAAATACACGCGCAATCTAGTCAACTCAAAATGTAATTTCCATTGATTTGTCAATTGTCAGTCGTCAATGTCGTTATTGTTGTACGATCAGCTGTGATTGTTTTGTTCTGAAAAAATGTGTAATGTAGAACAATTTGCTGATTGTGGTGATATTCTAACGATAGGAAGGGCTTTGTTTATATCTGAAAAAGAAGGTAAGTTATTTGAGTGTAATCCCCACGTTTATTTCTTTTTATATGGAAACAAATAAATCTATTGTTAATTTTAGATCCAACTTGGCTTTCCACATGTTCAGTGTCGCTTTCGTCTTGTGGTAACTTGCTAGCAGTTGGTTATAAAAAACGTATTTGTCTTCTAACTGCCCAATGGATTAGTTCTACAGAAAGCAATACATATCTAATAAGTTGGAGTGGTACCCTTCCTTCTGAAATTACTTCTTGTTTAGCTCTATCTATATGTCCTTCACAGCATTCCTCACAGGTTAGTTCCTTGTTAGTGAAATGATCTATGAAGATTAATACTTTCTTCTTTTAATTAATAGGAACTTTTTAATTACAGAATGGACCAGATTGGTTCTGTATAGTAGTCGGGTTTCAAAATGGCAGTATTGGCTTCTACACTAATACTGGTCACTTATTATTGTTAGAGAAGTTAGATGATAAACCAGTTCTAAAGATATCTTGCCACACTGGAACATATGGTACATTACCCGATGATATTCATATACTTTTTCAAAGCGGTGTTTGTGTGCTCTCGGGATCCAGTTTATTTCAAACATTAAGGAATGCTAAAGCTCAGATTGCTAAAGGTATTTTCACATATTCTTCCATGTAATGATTTTGCTGTAGTATCCAATAATAATATCAATAATAACTATACTATTTTCACTTATTTACAGTTCAAGCTGGGATTGTCGACAATTATGCTGTAGATAGCAGGAGTATTCCTATAAGGAAGTGGAACTTCTCAGATCAAGAACAAATAAATGATGCTGCTGTTGTAGGTCTTGAATTGAAAAATACTTTTGACCATTTCCTTGCAGCTTCTACATATGGAGGATATGATATATGGTTATTATCTTGCTTATAAAATACCATATAATTATATTTATTAAGGATAGGATTTCTAATATCAAAGCATAATTTTTATTCAATGTTTTTTTAAAGAATAAAATACTCATATTCTCTCAGTTATGAGTATGGCTATGGTCAGTGAAGTTCTTACAGTGCCAAATTAAGAAATCATTTTACACAAAATACAAGACTTGTATTAACATATGTTTGGGCTTTGAAAGTCACTAGTTCATTCATAAAACAGCATTAAATCATTTAGTCTTTTTTTACCTTAATTCAATTACGTCAAAATGTTAACCACCAAATATTTTGATATGATATCTCGTATTTGCTACTCTAATGGTTTGAAAACAAGAAATTAAGCTAAATTAAAGTTATTAAACCTAAAGTATAAAATCTTCAGAAATTCTTAATTTAATAGGATAATTATTAAATGTAATTATGTATATTTAATATTGTAGGTACCGTTCCATACCTCCAGTGAATTCACTAATCCTGACATCTGGTGTGACACCATATGTCGGATTTCATTATGCTTTAGAAGGCGGAACCACTCCACCACTTCAAGATGTAGCACGAGCTGTTGCTAATAAAATAAAATCGGCCTTGCCGTAAGTATAATGTTATTTTAATACTTTCTTATAGTGTTATTTTATACTATATTTAAAAAGGTCAATTAATCACAAGTTTTGTTTTATTGGCACTCAAAAACATATTGCCTAAAGGTTTGATTATATTGCTAATTAGTAATTAGTAATTATTATATACAGAAATAACAGCAAATTACTGATGTTTTATTTATTTTTAAATAAAAAAAATGATATCTCATTGCAAATAAGTAACATTTTTGAGAGTATTGAATTATATTATTATTTATGATTTCTTTACTTTCAGGGGTTGGTTAGGAGGTTCTACTGAGACTGCTCCTATGAATTCCGAACCACTAATAAAAGCGGAATCTTTATCAATGAGAAATGGTTTATATGATGCACAACGCTCTGGGACTTACGTCTCAATATCTCCTGATAGAAGGCTAGCTGCCTTCACCGACAGTCTAGGGAGAGTCTCTGTACTTGATATTAGCAAAGGTTATATTATCAGACTATTTAAAGGCTGTAGAGATGCTCAATGTGCATTTATTCAGGTACAATTTTATAGTAATATTATCATTTCTCTTCTATTTACAATAAATATATTGTATGTAAACTTTTTAATCGTGCACTGTTTATATTTAGTAAATGTTATGTCCACTTGTCATTAACATACATATCTGATGTTATAATATAGTCACTTTAACTGTAAATATTCAATATGTATGTTGTAAGTATGCTTGTTGTAAATAAATAAATAAATATATCAAGTGTCTGATTTTTAGATGTTCGATGCTGATAATAAGAAGCCTCAGTTGTCTGTTGTTAAAGAAATAAGGAGGGCTATGTTTTTGATAATTTACAATCCAAAAAAAGGTCTGATTGATATAAGACTTATGCAAAGAGGCAGCAGAGTCGCTGTTTTTACGGCCACCAAGAATGGAAAACTTTTGTACAACACGTGTGGGTTGGTTGGTGCTGAGAAATCTTATAACCATAAGAAACTCAACTTACCTGAGTTGCAATGCGTTCTTATAGATCCAGATGGTAAATTAAAGAAATTCAACATTCCCTTCTATTATTCATTGGAAGGTGAACATTTAGAGCGTTCCAAAGATTTACACATCATCAGATCCATAAGAGACATTTTGAAGAAGACAGCAGATTTTAATGATGAAATAAAATCAGAGATCCTTGAGAGTGCTGAAAAATTGAGGACATTACAGATTAAGAAACATTGTATAGAAATGATTGTTAAGAATTGTGATATATCCACGGGCATACTAGTTGCATGTTTGGAATTATTCTGGGACAGCCTTTCCGATGACGCGAATGAGCAAGTAAAGAAGCTCAAAATTTATTTCGGCAATCTTGTACTAGTTACACTTTTCTTCCGTTTCATAAATAACGAAAATACTGATGATATGACGAACTTGGTTGAAAAAGTATATGAAGTCTTTGATATAGAAAAAATATATGATGGAGAAGATGTGTCGTCTATAACACCTGAATTCCAGCTCTTGGAAGATGATAATTGCATATTAGAGAGACTTCTTATCCTAGCACAAGAAAGTGACTTCAAAGGACAGCAGAATAAAGTATCTTTCGCTGATAATCGAACGAGTTGTTACAAAGATTTCATATCATGTTTTGTGTTAGAAGAAAGAAATCCATTCATAATGCTAAAACGAGACATAACTTCAGAAAAGCTTAATAGCTTATCAGGCGATATCTTCAAATCGATAATAAAAGTCAAGGATTTCACTAAAATCTCGAAGTTTATACGTGACAGTCAGATAGATCCCAAAGAGATAGTAAAACTTGTTATAATGCATTTAATGGATATGTCATTGGAAGAAATAAATATTAATTTGATTGAAAAGATTATAGCTCTTCTTTATTATATCTGCAGCGTCTCGGATGAAGCTTCAAATATCACATACAATGAACTGTCGCCCTGGTGGGAAGATATACGTTCTTTGTTAGTAGATCTACCATGTCCTTTGAGAAGTATGATTCTTGCGATGGCTTGTAAAGCTGTGTCCAAAATGTTCGAAGAGTCATCAGAAAAAGATGAAGCTTGGGAAACTTTGACCAAGGAAAATGCAAAATGGGGAATTCTTATCGGAAAGTTGGAAGACATATCTATTTTGAGTATAATTCTAATGTTTAAGGCTAATTTTGTTGGTAAAACAATGCCTAAACTGCAATTAGACGAAGTTAATGTGAATTTGAAGTACATTTATACGAGGGGTAAGGGCTCAGTAACCGAGTTAATAGCGAAGTGGCTTTGTAGTATGGGAATACCTCCCGAGGCAGTTGTGGCCAATGAGTTGATGGAGGTGTATGATGCCACTAACACAGAATTAAATAGCTCAGTGGATGATGAATCTTTATTTGTATTTATGGAAAATAATCGATATCATGTTGATGAGAACCCCCAAATATTCAAGTGGTTATCTCTCCTACGACGACAATTCCCTCTCAGTACAGCAGCTAACTACCTCACCGCGAATATGTGTTGGGAATACGCTATGGAATGGCAAAAGCATATGTCGAAGACTGAGTTTTTGGAGGCTGTGGTACATTGTTTAGAAAACATCACTGATCTGTATCTACGTCTGGGTCTTTTCTCCATCATTTGGTCCACTTATATACGACATATTTTTGAAGCCAGCTGCCGTTTAGTGAACAAAGTGGGAAAATTACCCAAGGACCACTTGTGTTTACAGGATTTAGGTTTCAACGGCGAATGTTTAGTAAGTTTTCTAAAAACAACTAGAAATTACTTGGATAAATTTTACACGTGTTCTATGATGCCATTTGTAAAGGACAAAACGGAAATACAATTTGAAAAAATATGGGATGAGAGTCTTCCGTCGTTAGTTGAAGTTGCACAGGATACGAGACATGTCAATGTTGATATATTGAATTTAAATTATCAAATCTCGTGCACGCTCTTCTACCAATGCCATTTCAATCTTAAATATTCAAAGCCATTGGACACTCTGTATGATATCGATTATCAATACATATTGGAAGCTCTCGGTGGAAACGTAGCGCAGAGAAATATAAGCATGACCTGTTCAGAAAAATTAATGACGCCAAGAATGAAATATCTAACAAAGCTTATAAGAACAGCTATTGAGATTATAAGTTGTGTTGACCATGAGAAGTCCAAGGCTTATAACAATGAGGAATGCTTACATTGGATCGAAAACATTGGAGTTCTAGCGGATCTGTGGGGCATAGACACTAATTTTGTGAGACGACAGCACGTAAGTTTTTTTTATCGCCTTATACGACTTAATCCGACAAAAAATGTAAATAAATCTTTATTACCAGGTCATCGGATTGTACCACGTGGGATATGACGAATTGGCTGAGAACATTCTGAGTTCCGTTACCGAACCAGAAGTTCTCTTATCACCTCTGCTAGCGATCACAATACAAAGACTGAAGCGAAGTTTGGAGAACTGTAAGAATCAACCTGAATGGATCGTGTCTATGCCACCGCAGCTATACAAGCGTATGCAAAATACGGTGAGGCCTTAATACAAGCGATCTTGATAATACTACTGCAATATATCTCTAATGAGATTATAAGTTAATACATTAGTTAAATCTCCACAAAAGATGTACACAAGTAAAAGACCTTTTATAGCTTTCGTGGACACACTTAAAACAATTCCATAGTGAAATCTGAAGAGAATTAAATATGTAAATATGAACTACTAAAAATTCTTAGTCTATATAAGAACAGTTAATAATATAGGCAATATTTTTATTTGTTATATATGCTGATATGTTTTTTGCAGCCACTGGACACAACGATTCCCGCCAACCCTTCTCTCCCCACTACTATTCTAGTGTTGCAAAAACTGGTTTCACAGGTTACGAAAAAAACATCGGATGCTGAAAGTATACAAAACGTTAAATTGGCTGAACTTATCATTGAGAGCTGCGGACTATTGATAAGACATAAATTATAAATATTTTATATATTTTTAATATAGCAATAAAAAAATGATACCACACATACATTATATGTGTGTATTTATAAATGTATTATGTAGTACTCGTTTTGTTTGTCAACTTAGAATTAAAGAAAATTTTAATCAATAATTTCAATAGTGAAGAGGTAGTTTTAATTGATCCTTTCGACCTTTATCCATTTATATTAAACTTTTTATGTATGTTTGTTAATGGTGGGTGTGAAGATAAACATTAATGAATATTTTATATTTGTAAAAAATGTAAAAAACGACTTAAGTATGATTTTTCTATGAAACGGTTAATAGATTCACCATCACTTCTTGTAAGCAATTCAGCAATGTATTAATTCATACAAAGAATGATAAAGATGTAAAATTTATTTAAGTATAAAAAAAGTGAGAATCTACAAATTAAATAAAAAAAGAGGTAATAAGTATTCTTGCACTCGTCATGAATGTTTGAAAAAGTTTTAAACTAACAAAATGAATCGGTTGAATTAATATTTCCAACGCTAAGTACAATAAGATTATCTTTTAATCGTTATCATATATCAGATTAACATATAAATGAATGTTATCTAAGACTAACAAAAGCCAGAATAATAATAATTCAATTCTAATAATAAATATTAAAATAATAATAATTCTGTGGTCAAAATGGAAATTATAACATACATAGAATGGTCCACTTTAAAGTTTATTGTTATAAATGCTTAGGATCTGAAGTTATATTGCCGATAGAGGGTACTCACACTTGAATGCGTTCTCAACATGGCCTAATTAAGTAAAAATTTTACTAACCGTTATAAAAAAAAAATGCCCTTTTCCAGTAAGACTGTGTGAATTTAGAGTCCGAAAGAATACCCACCCCACGGCTAATATTTCATATAAATTTTAAGAACTGTTCATGATAATCAAGTGTAGTCAAGACAACAGCTTCTAATCAGTATAAAAGGCAATTAATGACAAGAATTTAAATCGCCTCATTTTTCTTTACAAGTGCATTTGCCTATATCAACAGCAAAATACAGGGTGACTGGTGAAATACTATCAATATTTAAGGAGAATACTCGGTACATGATTCTCATTCGAATTATGTAAAAAAAATAGGTACTTAATTTTTGACCAAATTTCCGTATAAATAAATAAATTGTGGACACGTTCCAAGTGTTCCAAGTGTGGACGCGAGTGGCGGCGTGCTGATACAACACCACGCCGCCGCGAGCGAGTGTATGTGTGTGTGTATACCTAATCTGTAGGGTGTTCACACGATGCGTAATTAATTACATAACTTTTGGTGAACTTTACTCAGAAGTTTATTAATATTTATGTTATATTAATTTTTATTTTGTCATATATGATCGTCGAATATCACGTCCTCAAATATCGATAGTAATTCACCAGTCATCCTGTATAATAACCTACAGTTTGTGAAAAAGTTATGTAGGCCTGAAAAGAGGCATTACAACGATAAACTTCTTCATACCACAAATATGAATGAATCAGCAATTAATGTGAAACTAGTTTGTAATGTGATCATTATAGTCCTGATTTTTAAGGACTACTTATAATTATATTACTTTTTACTTGTGTATAAAAATATTACTTTCTAAAGAAGGGACTGTCTGAAAACCAGCGTTTCCTAGGGCCACGGTCCAGAGAAACATGCAGCTGAGACAGCTCCCATTGTCTGAGGAAGCATATTATGTATTATGTTTTCTTTATTCTATCCCTATGTATTTCAATGGTTACTATGTTTCTGACAATAAACGGATTTTATTATTAAGTTATAGGTACATTCAAATATTTTTTTAATAAATAACATATTGAATAAGCTTGAGTTTTTTAAAAAGTTTACGAATTTGAAATCCAAATATCTTTAAAAGATAAACGACATTCATAATTCCTATTATAGTCAACACTTTATATTATACTATGAATGTTGGAAGCTGTACATGTAAAACCTTTGCCTATGTACAATAAAGAAACACGGGAAAATTAAATGACATTTGACAGAAAATACAATTCGATGCTTTTTGTTTACAACTAATTATTAAAAAAAAAAAATAAACCAAATATAATGTTAGAAATCATAATAAATCGGTAATAATTTCAAAATTTTGTTGTTAAATCAAATACAATAAACTTGGTACAGTTGTATTTGAGTCAAAATTTTGGACCTACAATTTTATCAAATGCCTCTCTTTATCTTTTTCTTTTCAATATTTTAACTTCATCAACAAAATAATGGGTTGCCTTCAGAGTAAAAAAGAAATATCTGATCTACATCCAAATGTTTTTCGTGTTGTGAATATTGATGAAAACGGTGTAGACTTGTGCTCTGGACAGCTGGAAATCACGGAATCTGATATTATTTTATACAGAGAGGGCAGGGATTCAACTATCTGGCCTCTTCATTCACTTCGGAGATATGGTTTTGAAGGAGAAATATTCAGTTTTGAATCAGGTTAGAAACTTTTAGTTATAATTAATTATATTAATATTTTAAACTAATAGTTTTCGTTTATGTTTTAATCTATGATTTGTGTTGTTTTAAGGTAGGAGATGTGAAACCGGTGAAGGTATTTATGGATTCAGATGTCGCCGAGCATCCCTATTATTTCAAACATTGCAACAACAAATACAGTTAAGAAATGTTGTTCATGATTCTGTGCCCTATCCAGTCTCTCGTTTAACGCCATCTCCTCAAGGCAGACAGACATTACAAGCCACTGTTATCCATCGATCCTCTGTCGACAACGGGCAACCGGACAATGCTGGAACAGGATTCAATAACAACATCACCACAATAAATAGTACAGTGCCACCAGCAATTATACCATCTCCCCATTCTCCATCGAGCGCTGACATATTAGAAGTGATGCCACTGTATCCAAGATCTCAATCATCAAGCAACCATGTGACCAATGTTTATCAAGTGAGGGATTTTAAACGTGAACATAACAATAACCAGGCCGATGTCAACAATGATACAAGACATGTTTATACAAATGATTTTAATAGAGACCTAGCTATGCTTCGGAAAACATTGAAACAAGAAATCGCTTTAAATACAATCAGGGATATAGAAGACGAAACAAGATTCTTAGAAAGGAGACACATCAATGAGATGAAAACAGATTCTGGAAACCACCCTCTGTCACCTACAATAAGTTGCTCAAGTGAACATTATGCTCAACTTAGTACTGAACAACAAGAAACATCTAGAATGTATGTGAATATTGCACCGAGTACTAACAACTCGGCTACAGACATTAAAGCTGACCCAGTCCCAACAACACCTCTTACACCAAAACAAGTAGAATATTGTAATCTGACTGTCGGCTTAAAACCAGAGATAAATACATACGCAAATGTTATGTTGGGAGATTTCTCAGATAGTGCAAAAGGTTCAAGAACAATTCACAATTCAGAACACAACCAAAAATTCTCCGAGTCGGATACTTTTACATCAATGTCGCCGGTTGAGGAAATGGAAGTCAATTACGCAGTTCTTGATATAGACACTAACAAAGAGAATATTAAGGTAGCAAGAGAGCTTGCTTCCCCGGAAAGTCAGTCATACAACAGTTCCAAAAACGAAAGCTCGGCTTCGCACACATCTCAACCTAGAGCGAGAGTCGTGTCACAGTCTAGCATCGACAGAACCACTTCCAATCCAATAAACCCACCATCTAGTATTGGTTATACAACAATTGATTTTGATAAAACTGTTGCACTGACATCAGTAGCTGCTGGGGCGGAGAGCAATATGGATGGTCCTAGAAAAAATCGCCACAACTCTTGCAGTATATTAAGTGGAAGTCCGGGCAGTAGTGAAAAATGTAGAGGAAATAACTGAAATCAGGTTCTCTTTAAGTTCAAGTGGGATAGGACTAGAATGAGCGGAAAAAGACTATCGCTTTATTAATGACAAGAAAATATATTCAATATCTAAGATTGTATTCAAAACCAAAACTTATAACATCAACAGCCAAAGGAAATTATTTATTAAGCCAAAGTTAAGTAAAATATTATTTATTATGGTATTTTTAGGTATTTGATGTAACTTGAGATTATGGCTTTATGATATGAAATGAAATTATTATAATTAAACAAAACATGAGCCGTCACAATTGTAACAAAATGTAATCTATGGCACAACAATATTGCAGCTATGTTTGTATTCCATCCTTATATTTTACAATTATCATTAAAGTAGGTTTTATATTTGCCAAATATAGAATAAAGTGTCTATGAAAATAATTGATTAGTACATGGAGGCTTTAATTGCTTTTAAAGTGAACTACTTTTGTTGCAGTTATACATATAATTAATTAATATTATTAATTAATTATAGAAAAATATATGACATGAAATTTGTTACAAAGCATAAGTACATTGGTAGCTTAGACCAGCTGATATTAAATAAAAATAATATTAAGAACAAAGTTTCTGTTGTTGTAATAATAATTTTAAATGTGAAAATATTTTTGTAATGCTATTTTATATAATATACATAGTGATTAAATTAAATGTAATATCAGTTTAGTAGAATAAGAAAATTTACAACTTATTATCCGAAGTTGTACATTAAATATTAATTTTAAAAGCTTTTCACATCGAATCGAGAATTGTGGTATTTGGTATATTGTATTAAACAAGTAATTTATTGTTAAAAATGCTGTCAAATCATTATATATAAACCCAGCAACTATTTAATAAGTGTATGATAAATGTTAAGTAGTTTCATATTCTATTGAAGTAAATGTATGTAGCATTAACTGATGATGGGGCTACCACTTTTTACAGTAACATTTTTGTCTTAATTTCTATTCATATCTTAGTACTTGCAATCTAATACAAGAAGTGTTGAGGATTTTATTTGGGATGGTCAGCAAAACATTTACGTGATCAATTCAATTTTTTTTGTCCATAATGGTTTTTCTTTTTGCCTGCATACATGGAAGTTAAATCTGTTACTATTTGTATGTTCAGGGAATGTCTTATAAATACGGTTTGAGGTGGCTGCCCCTTTGTGACAGACGTCATTATGTTTCGGCCTGAGAAGAATATTGCTTTTAAAAAGTTCCTAAATTTATTCCGTATTGTTTATAGACGAATAACAAAATAGTAGGAATTTGTACAACCAATATTTGTAAGTTTAATTTAAGAATATGCCAAATAACTTTTTATAGTTTTATTATAATCCAATAAATTAATTATTTTTTAAATTTATAATTTAAGTATTTTACAATTTTAGTGAAGACTGTATGTTGTCGTTATTTTATTTTTTAATGAAAACACGATTCAAACCAGGTTAAGGTAATCTGGAAGTATTGAATATTCTCTTATTGTGTATCTTTTAATTTCATAAAATGCTTCAAAATGCCGCCAATTTTAATCTACTTGTCATAAGTTCTAGTTTTTCAAATTCAAATGTGAAATGTTTCAACTATAAACGCCATAATTTGTTGCCAGTTACACAATAAAAAGCCAACTATAAAAATTTACTAAAATAAGATAAATCGATGTCATATTAGAATAATGGTTATTATAATATTGTTTTATGATAAATATAATTAAAATTTTGTTTAAACTCACCATACCAATGTTGTGTACCTAAATAGAAGTTATTTTCGTCTTAAGTTTAAAAAAATGACGTAGTGATGTTCATTGTCAATAAGCAAATGCATAAATTAAAAGTGTAAATGAAATTTACATAATTATATATGGAGATATTTGTGAATGTATTATTTACCCTTTCCCAAACCTTCAATCATTAATTCTTCAAGAATTCATCAAGAATGAAAATATTGTGTTTTTAATATTTATATATCTATGAGCTACAAAGTGGGTATCAGAAGTTACGTAATAGGCCAAATTCAATCCATGAAGCATAATAGAAAAAGTATATAATAATAAGTGAGTTATCAGTTAATTTTCAATAAGTTTTAATATTTTTACTGCATCTATTTAACTGGTTACGAAACATTTGTTTCATCAAAATAACACTGATCAATTAAATGTTTATGAAATTTTTGTATAAGAATATAAACGAAAGGAAAATCTAAAAATTGTCGATGTACAGTTTCACAATATAAATCTGTGTAAAAGGCATGGAATTGTACAATATTTGAATGAGACGGATCAATATAAGGACATACACTTGAAACAAATAAAACACTTCAAAATAAAAAAATAAAAGTACTGATAAATAAATTAAAAATAGTATAAAAACATATATTTATTTATTAGTATCACAAGGAAGGTTTAATTTAAAGATAGGCTGATAAAGAGTGTAGCGATGACTAGAAGAGCACACGACGCCAAGGCAAAACCGGCGTCACCTGTAATAAGTATGAAAACTTTAATTATATTCCTATAATACTTACTAATTTAAAAAATATAAGGGGAACTTCTTACAATAACGTGCTTATTTTATTATCACTACCTGCCAATATTATTAAAAATGAATTCTATTTAAACAAACAATAAAATTAAAAAGACGAATAATTGTTTAACGGTAGAACGGTCATAGATAAACAAATTTAGTAAATATTTATTCAAAATTAAATAAATCTGTATTAGATATTGAATGTGAAAACTTTTATATGTATGTGAATATGTAAAGTCTAACATTGTTGTATTTTTTTAGGTTTTATATGCAGAATTTTAACTTTGTCCTTTAAAATAAGTGTTTTTTCAAACTAAATCGTCTATCTAATAGGATTTTCACATTTTTTATGGAAGAAAACTTCACTTAACCTTATAATATGTATAAGTGTTTACATTAAAATATTTTTGTTTCATATAGTTATTTGACGCAAAGAAAGCTTTCATGTGATGTGTTAAAAATATTTAGGTCATGTGCTGAAATACAATTAGTTTGTTTATTTACTCACAAATAACTGTAGGTAAAGTTTATCTTGCACATGTGTTATAAAATATGTGTGTGAAAGCTGCGAAATACGCGTGTATATTAAAAATGTTTAGTTATGGTAGCACCTAGATACTTGTATTATGTATTTATTTGTTGTTATAACGATATTGTGTACGAAAATAAGAGGTTTAAATTTAATTTTTTTATAAATAAATTATAATATAATTAATTATATGTTTTTTCATATAATAGTAAAGGAAATATTCATTTCGGGGTCATTGGACTTACGAGTGTTTATTAAGATATCTGAAGTCTCTGTTGTGAAGTCCTCGACGATCTCCGTGGTAGTCAGCACTGCCATAACCATCGCACGTTAGTAAAGACAAGCAGTACTATTTGCCTAGTACGAGTTTGCTTCATTAACCTAAACACCCATAGTATAGAGGTTTTTTTAATTTGGTGTTTAAATTAAAAATGCATAATCGTACCTACTTGGCACACAAAACTATTTTCATACAGGCGATCATGATTAATGAGGTAAAGGTTGTATTCCGTCGTGTTAGGAAGTAAAATAACGAGGAAAAACAAATGATTTAAATATTTCCCATGAAGAAAATATGTGCTTTGATGATTGGATTGTGTTATTTTGCGTAAATTGAATACATGCATGATGCAAGATCCATTTTCTTTGGCCAATAACGATTAAAATACTAAATTGTAATGTTTCAATTCAATATATAAAGTGTAAGTAAAACCGTTGCACAATATAAGTCTTAATCACACTTCGACGGTGCCGTATCGAAAAACAGATTAAGTAGGTGAACACTTAATTGTAGTAATTTTGTTAAATACCTTAGTATACTAAAGAGGTAAGTAGCAAAATGACTACTAAGGAAAAATATAAGTTTGCTTTTCAAAACTGTTAATGGACATGAGACGGATTTAGTTTTCTCAGCAATTACATTTGCAAGATAGAAAACGAAAATTATTGTTACTATCTACAAATTTCTGACTCTCTATTCGTAATCTTTTTGACAATTAAATTCATTACGAGAGGTTTGTATATAAAATATCGTTTACGTTGGGAGTTCCTTGTAGAAGAATAGAACGTACCGTGATTTACCTAATCTGCTTTTATGATATACATATCAAAGAAGATGCTTCTGGGTATAAAAATATAGTGCAACTAATAGATTCATTTTTTGTTTCCATGTTGAGTGAGCTAATTTTCTTTTGTTTTAATCATATACCTATTTGGTATTTAAATGTTACATGTTTATATTAAATGGAGCCCATAAAAGTAAAGAAGATAACAAAATTATTAATTTTAATAATATTTTGAAGTGTAAAGGCTAGGCTGATCAAAATTTTTCTAGGTTTCGTTTCGACTATCGCAGGTCATGTCATTGACTTTTGCTTAAGTCATAAGTTCTCAAGCAAATTTAACAAGTAAAATTTAATAATTTGCCTCTAACTTTTTCTTAGGTAGATTTTGTATTACAATATCAAAAAAATAAGTCGAATGTTAATAATATTTTATTAATCACTTATATCTTTTACCTGATTCGTCGCTGTGGTACGTAATGGTTTCGGAATAATGTGGATGTTCAGTGCTGTTCATTTCTCTGTAGAACATTTGACAGGAGACTTCAACGCCCTCTATTTTGCTTTTACTGACGTTCGCTGAACTTGTTATATCATATAGATTCTCTTCAGGCCCGGACAGCAATTCTTCTGAATCCAGATACTCCCTTAAATTAATATTTTATTATATTTCACTAAAATATTATATTAAAAATATGGATTTTAAAATATTTTGCTTATTGATTGATACGATTGAAAAATCAAGTACAAATAAAACTTGGACTATTTTATGACGACCTCGATTGAAGATATCGTAAATTACAAAACATATATATTTTTTCTTATTGTCTGCTTTATAATAGATATGTAATAATCCAATAAAAAAACATTTAATATACACTTCATCTATTTGACATACGGTATAATATATTTAATATTGTTATTACCCATCTACGGTAATATACATGTAGGGATAAGGAGAAACATCACTAGCGCTGCAAGTTATGAGAGCATCCTCTTCTTCATCATCATCTGATCCGTCTTCTATTAAAGTTATGTTCAGAGACGGACCACTGCCCTTAGCTGAAATAAAATAATATATTTAAATGTTGCCAGATATAAAAAAAAAGTATTATAAAAGTACATTTCACTTTGATCCTTACTATAAACAAGAAGACTACTATGTCTTCTAACTTCGTCTATATTTGAAACTTCACATTCATATTCGCCCGAATCAGCCGGAGTTACATTCAATAGTAAAATATCGTCATTTTCATCTAGTTCTGAAATACAAACAATCTTTTGTGCATATTTTCATTTAATTTTAAAGTTGAGTTAATTTTGATATTCATTTAATAATATTAATTCGTGAAATACTATTATAATAGATTAAAGATCTCACTGATATCATGATGTATGGCAGCGGCTTCGTGGCCAGCAATCCTCTGGTACATTTGGCTACGTTGGTCACTTGAACCATTTTTTGGTGTAAACCACCATTTCACAAACAACGCCTTATCATTCTCTGTAGGGGCCAATTTATATCTACATTTCAATCGGACGTCCTCGCCTACTTCTATTACATTTGGTACTGAGAATTCTGTTATGGACAATTGACGAGTTCCTGGGGATAAAAGAGAAGGGAATATCTGTTTCTCTACATTTAATGGTGTCACAAGTAAATAAAATAAAGCTATGAAAGACAGCATAACGTGTCTAATAAATATAGAAATATGGTTTCTAGACTTTACTTCAAATTAACGTTTATTTAATATCCCATTATTTTTATTCTTCTTAAAAATTAATTCCACGTAGTATTGATTGATAATGTTTAGTGATTAAAATATTTTAAGTTGGATATCTTTTATAACCAATGGTTTTAACCATCTGGATTTCGATACTTAAATCATTAATAAAGTAATAAGTAATTAAATGATAACCTTTTCATCTTCTTATTTTATAAATACTGACATTATATTTTAAACGTTAGCGTCTTATGAAGGATTGAAAATGACAGATATCTACTAATCGAGATTACTTTAGTGAAATTCGTTCCAAGTCGTTGTATTTACAAATTTTATGTCCCTTTATTGGCCTTCTAGTCAAATTCATACAAAAATTGAGGAAGGCGTAGTTTGTACTTATTTAATTTTCAAAATAGATTTGACGTTCCGGTTCCCATGGAATTATTCTATTAATCTTTTTGATTTACAAAATTGTTTTGTCCACCCACGAAGTTCTAAATCAAGCAAAATAGCTGTACCTACGAATGAGATGGGGTGCTATAAAGACTTCACATTTAAATCATTAGGTAGTAAAATAGTCGAGGTACCTATATTTTAATAAAACTTGAACTGTAAGCATTGAACTTGCTCTAGGCGGATTTCGTTAATTAGTTTAACATCAGGAAAACCATAAAATTTTGTGCACGGCATTAATCTCAGATCAATAAAATTTCAGCGTTAGGGAATCTATTTATAAGTTTTATAGAAAATTAGGTCATATCCCAATGAATAAGCGACTATCTTAAGCAACCTTGAGTTGGTCCGGGAATGTTAAAAATACCTCCGCGATCCGCTGCGACCTCAAGTGTGGCTCGTGCACAGTTTAATAGAATTATTCGATAACTAGACATCTCACTATTATTATCTAATCGGCTGTATAGCATCATTCAGTGCTGACTACAATGAATGGACATATACATATATTTGCCTTTGATATGTTTCTTACATATGAATGTAATCGTCATTAATGTAGAATGGAATATTTTATAGATTATACACATTCTATCGCTAATAATAAACTGGATTAGTGCCGAAAACAGAACAGACAGCGGTTTTCAATGTATTTGTGTTTATTTACCGACTGATTCTATCGACAAACTTTACGCTCAGTATAATAAAAAAACATACTATTTTTTGTGCTTTCTTTTAGTGAAGGAATGTTTTATAACTTTAAAATCGGTTATATCATGAATGTATATAGTAAGAGAAATATTTTCCGTATATTTCGAAGTCATAATACTATGGATAAATTAGACTATGTTAGCGTCTAGAACAATACCAAAATCCATTAATTTTTTTGGTGATGAAATCGCAACGGTTAAATTTGTTTATCGGTCAAGAAAGTTTATTACAAAAATTTCTGTGCAGTTATATATATCATTATTTATTCGGTGAGTTTCTTACTAAAAAAAACATGACTTTTAAGTGCATCTACGTTCTAAAACATTTATTTATTTATCACATTCACACTAAATACAAGTGATTTAAAAAATAATATGTCGTTTATGTTTTTAAGGACAGATTATAATTTAGCAAGGCTAGACAGTATTTTGCTGGTATATTAGTTAGCACTTACCTGTTACGAGGCAGAGGAGCAACGCAATGCCCCACATCGTTCCGAGCGAATCGTGCGACTGTGATTTCGCAGCCCTATCGCTACTAATTTGATTCTGAGTAAAATTTTAAACTATTCTCTGACCGCACTGCTTTATCTTAACTGAATGCCAGCGTTATTGTTGTGAGAGCACGATTTTTGTTGTCAGCGTCGTAGGGGACTGTACTTACACTGAGATATTCCTGCCTGAGTAATACGCCATAAACCTTGAATTACATTCGGCCACTGTACGTACGTACTAACTCTGAAGATTGTGCTTGGATAATTGTTTCGTTCAAATTTCGAATAGAATTCTTATTAGATTAAGGTACGATCAGTGAAAGACTTCATAAAAATGTATTTATTTATTTCATATAATCTATATATTAAAGATATATATAATATTGAACAAGCTTATAACTATAACAATATATCTCCAGTTGGTAATAAATGTATATAAAACAATTACATATAAATTTTATTATAACTTTAATTTATACTAAAAGTTTTGTTGTTAAATATTCATTAGCATGCAATTGATTTATTGCTTAACATAATTGAAATAAATAAATTATCTTATCGAGTAGATAAAAAAACAAATTCCTATAAATATTTTTTTGGATTTTTAGGTGTCTTTTATACTGTGACCAATTCCATCGTTATAATATCCTCAAATCGAATATTGTTGGCGATTCCAGCAGACAATACTTCTAAAAGGCAAACCTTTACATTTATGATGTGAAGGTAGACAGATAACACAAGCCAATCCATAAAGAAACGATAATTTGTTGAACTGTAAGTGCAATCATTCTAGCCTCTTCAAATTCATAAAATTGAATGAAACCAATATATAAGAGCCAACATACAAGTGCAACCATTCTATACTTTTCACATACATAAAATAAAATTATACGCATAACGTAACGCCCAAAAATATAAATGCAATTATTCTGTCTTCCTCACACTCATAGAATCAAATAAAATATATGATATAAGGTGCTAAGAATAGAAGTAATAATTAAATAATTGTCCTTTTCGTTTTCAAAAGTAGAATGTGATAGGTCAGTGAGGGCCTGATGATATAAGTTCAGTCAATTTATTTGTTGTCCTGCTCACACTCATAAAGTGAAATGAGACAGATGATGTAAGGCGTAAAATATAGTATCTAGTAATAAAACCATCTTTTTATTTTAAAAGTAGAATGAGGCAGGACACCGAGGATCTACGGATAAGTTGAGTCAAGTTATTTGTTTTTCTACTCACACTCATAGAATCAAATGAGACAGATGATATAAGGCGCCAAGAATAATAGTAATAAATAATAATGTCCTCTTTATTTTCAAAAGTAGAATGAGGCAGGTCGCCGAGCGCCCGCGGATATATGATCAGTCAAGTTATTTGACGCCCCACTCACACTCATTGAATAAAATGAGACAGATGATATAAGTTGCCAAGAATAGTAGTATTAAGGTTCTCTTCATTCAAAAGTGGAACGAGACAGGTCGCCGAGCGTCCGCGGATATAAGATCAGTCAAGTTATTTGCTGTCCCGCTCACACTCATAAAGTGAAGTGAGACAGCAGACGGTCGTTGAAGGTGATGTCCTTGAAGAGCTGTGTGATGGCGGGGTGTGGCGGGGCGCGGGGCGGCTGGCGCGCGGCCCGCACGTGTGTCACTGTGTCCCGCACGTGCGAGCGAGGCACGTCTCCCCGTAGAGCTAACAGACGGACCATCTGCTCCTCGGACATGGACGGACACTTCTCCAACAGACTGTGCAGGTCTAGTGAGAGCATCTCGATGTCTTGACAACGTAGTACCTGGGTTGAAAATGTTATCTAAAATTTTTTGTTCCATTTTTAAAACGATACATGCTGAAATATATCATACGGCATGCATTACTTTCGTTCCATTTTTGAATGTCAAAAATGTCTACGAAAGGTGATAACAGTTTATAATTTAATGGTAAAGAAACTTATGAATATTTCAAAGTAGAACTTACTTCGGCCAGCAAACTGATAACTTCGAACGGCCAGTCCACATTGATGCCTTCAGCATTCAACGCTATTTTTCTGAAGAACGACCGCAATTGATTCGCCTCTTTGACAATTTTCACAGCCGCCTGCTGAGCCTCTTCTGACGTTTTGAAAGTTATTTTCTTGGAGAGCATCGCGGTTATATATTTCCTGTACACGAGGTTCTGGGCCTCATTTATGACGTATTCGAAGTTCTTCTCTCTCAAGTGGTTGTAATCCTGGAAGTAGTCCTCTAAAGTGACGCAGATCGTATCTACTGGTATGGTCGAAGCTAGCCACTTAACGGTGAAAAGGTCGTCAAAATGCTCTTCCAAATCCAAAAAAGCTTCCTCCAGTAAGAACTTTGCTGCTTCATCTCTCAGATTCTGAAGAAGAATGTATTAGATGTATTTAATTAGTTCATGCATAAATATACATACATAGTCCATGTGTGTGTGGTAGTGTATGTGTGTGTGTTAGTGTACATATGTGTGTGTGTGTGTGTTCATTCTCCTCACCTGGAAGGTCGTCAACAGTTTATCGAAGCTCCTCTCAGCGGGCGGATGGTGCTTGGCGGGCGGCCAGCGTCGGCTCTGCGTCTGCTGAGCGAGCCTCACCATTTGCTCGCTGTTGTTAACTATAGTTATCATGTGGTGCGTGAAGTACGCCATGCGGGAACGATCCGAGAAATGAGTGTTCTGTGAATTATAGTTATACTTTTACTTAGCCGTTTATAACAGGTTTTGGAATTTTATGGGCGATAGTATATAGATACAGTTCCAAAAAATCTAGTTAATATGTAACCATGACCTAAGGTAACAAATTTAGATAAGTACTAACAGGTTCTTTGTAAATATTGAAATTTTCAGTTTATGCATAAAACTGTATGTTTGTTGAAAGCTCTCGCAAAAAAAATCGGTTTCGGGGTGATCAGGCTGAATGTCGTTTAGAAAGCGCTTTTATTGTAAAATAATAATAGTTTTACTAATGTAGGCTTTTTAATATAACAGTTAACTATCAATGAAGTCATGATAAATCAATTCAAGGCCCAAGGAACAAATATAACGGGCATAATTGTTTTAATTATTAAATTAGGAAAATCGACTTATATTTGTTAGTTACTTGTCACTACATTTTTCTTTACTCTTTAAGGTAAAGTAGTGTTTTAAAAGAAAAAATCAAAAGGGTTAATTAATATGAAGACATTCACTTAATTAAATAAATATAATTACTTTATTGGATATTATATTTATTTATTTTAATTTTTTCTAATGATAATATAACGAAAAGTACTTGCCTTGAACTGTATAACGCCCTCTCTGTACATGTTACCGAAACGAGTAACTTGGTCGATACTCAGCAACAACGCCTTGAAAGTAATATCCTTGCTGATAGTCTCGGTAACCTTAAAAAAATAATATTTTAATATAATAATTATAAAGTATTAATATTAAACATTAATTACAGAATTCTTATATCTTATTATCATTAGCAATATTGTTTGAATCGTATTTGTTACTGTGTTGCAAACAGTTCATGGTGTATCTACTTTCGTAGTACTTTTAGAGCATTTGAATGAAGAATGAGTTTAGGTTACAAGCTTGAATTAAAATTTAAATTGAAAAGTGAAAATTCCAATATTTTTCCATTTAAATTTTATAAAGGCGTATTGTGGATTTAAATCTGCAACATTCGCATAATAACGAATTCTAGTTTCCTTTTCAACTAAGCTATCATTTTGATATTGGGACAGAAGAGGCCTTGATATAAAAGCTTTTCGACTTTTCATTACGATAGAAACATTTTTATAAAGCCATTATCGACACCTTCTTCCTACAATTCTGTTTATAATATTAAAATAATTAGCCAAGACATCGGAATCACTAATTTCCTCTAAGTTCGAATCTTGTTAGTGTAAATATAGTAATTTAAGGGACTAATAAACATTTGAATAATACATACAAATGTAGAAATTTTTGATAAAATATATTTACAAATGGTTTAACATATAAAAATTAATATTACAGATGCTATCCCCAATTTTATATATAGTTTTAATTTTAACGTTAAAATAATTTCCACCTGCAAGTTCTGATCGATCATCTGGAATATAATGAGCGGCGCGTGTGTGTGGAACGCGTTTGTGTGGGGCTCCACATCCGGCGGGCGCTCCGCTGACCAGCCCGCTCGCTCCGTGGACAACGCCTTTTCCATCCACTCCATATAATTGGCCTCCATTTTCTGAATATAAACAAAGTTTTATGAGTAATGACGTCATATTTAGTATTTTTTACTTAGGCTGTGATCATATTATATATTATTCCGATATTAATATATAAAAATTATTTTTGTATACTATAAATTTTCCAATGTTTTTAACTGGCAATACCAAACATATGGTAAGTTAGAGACTCAAAAGGACTCTTATACAGAGCCGTAAAAACATTTACAAAAAAATATATATGTGTAAAGTTAACTTACTTGTAAATATTCATCTTGTAATTTCTGCATGATGTCATCGCTGAGTAATGGTGGTAAAGTTGACACATCAATGGCAACCTCTGGACTCCCCATCAATTCCGTGCCAGCATACGTGTTTAGAATCCAAGACAAGAGTGTAACATATTCATTACCTTCTAAACCATTCTGTACTATATCTTGCAACTGAAAAAATACATAATATATTTTAATACTCATGTAAAAATCTAAAAAATAACACTTCCCACAAATAAGGTTTTATATGTCTTAAAGTCTTACATGTACGATGTATATATATAATATATAAACTTACACTAGATGACAAACAAGTGTGATACATATTCACATATTTATTGACAATGTCATAGTGCGGAGGGAAACATGGTACACATAATGTTTTAACTACTCTCAAATCTTCTAATATAAGTTGTCTTGTTAACTCCAAGTATCTTATCAGCCATAGTTTATTATCTTCCCTTTCATCTACACGGGTGCCTTCAACGCGTTGAGCGACGGCACATTCTAGAACTTCGAAAGCTTTGGTCCGCCAATTCTTAGGTCTACCCGGAGGCATGAAACCAGATTGATCCTGTTGCTGTAATGAAGATAGAAAACCTTATACATATATAATTTATTCTTAAAACCTTAAATAATAATTATAAGAAAGGTTTTTAATAAGTCTAAAAAATAGCACTAACCTTTTGTTGCCATATAAAATTATGCGAAAAATATAGAAACATATTTTTTTACATAAGTTATTCATTTAAACAATTGCATAAGTTATTCGACTGAATTCGAAAATAACGTAAGTAACGCCGAAATTATATTATTATTATACAAACACCGTTCATGAAAACACATGACCTCAATATACAGGGTGACTGGTGAATTACTATCGATACTTGAGGACGTGATATTTGACGATCATATATGACAAAATAAAAAATTAATATAACATAAATATTAATAAACTTCTGAGTAAAGTTAACCAAAAGTTATGTAATTAATTACGCATCGTGTGAACACCCTACAGATTAGGTATACACACACACACGCGTGGGCACAAACTTGAATTAAACAGTTTATATTCCCTACTGTTTGAAGGTTGCCTTTAGATTTCATTGTAAGAATCTCGAAAAAGATATTCTAACACAAAATATTCTATTCACATACATATATACTTTATAAAACATAATATTCATAAGTATTAAAACTTTTTTTTTCAAGTGAAGATTCTCCGCCCTCATATATGTATTATATTATCATTTAATTACCTGTAATGCCATTTGATCTCTTTTTTCTTCTCTCTCAATTATTCTTAGAGCTGTCACAATGACCGTTGGTTCCTTCCTAACTGTGTTTAAAGTTCTGGCTAAAATTAATTTTATCTGTTTCTCAAGCAAATTCGATACCATTTCCACGTCTTCAAAATATGCTTTAAGCATGATCTTATCATGTGACGACTGATTCGGTAACCTGTGTAGCTCATACAGTAGATCATCTCTTGAATTTTCCAAGTCACTTAAACACTAGAAAGTCATAACATTCATATAATTATATATATCATTTAAGTCATCATTACATTAATATTAGATTTAAGAATAGTATTTAATAAAATTCAAATAGTTTTTAGTTAAAGAGAGAAATTCATTATATTTTAATTATATAATAATTGTGAATTTTTTTGGGGAAAACTTAATACATAAAAAAAAATTGTTTAGCTATAGTTTTATATAATAAAATTTTGTTAAGAAGAACCTGTTTTTTTCAATGGATGAATCAAATATAAATAAAATATCCCAACTTATAAGTGTATAACATACATGCACAAACCTTATTTAAATAAACTGGCAATAATTAATATAAATATATGTTTTTTATGTACCTGATGAGCATGCAATAGCTTTCCCTCTCCAATCCATTGTTTTGTTTTAGCCACACTCTCTGGAACTGTAAATATATGTTTTAAGCTATCCATTGCTGTCACATACTGTGAGTGACGTGAATCCTCTTCTCTCACTGCTTGTAACGACGCCACTAACGGTGGTACACCTTTCAAGAGATCTTCTAGTTCATCCATTCTGTAATTAGCGAAAATATTTTTATATACCATAGTTATAGTAACTAAAGAAAGGAAAAGTAAAGATTTAATGCAGTTATAATTTAACTAAGAAAAGTTAAACTAATTTTCTTTTATTTGTCATCATTTATAATGTAAAAATCATGTTCAATATTACTTGTTACTTATTAAATGAATATCATCCAAACACTCTTGTAATTGTTTTAATCCAACGCTAACCCCATCTAGTTTTCCTTGAACTGCTGACTTCAGTTGTGCTTCAATAGAGGCTTTCTTGTGAGTAATTCTTTTTTTATATTGCTCTACCTAAAAATGCAAAAATCAAATTTACATTGGTGACCGCCCACTTTGAGAACAATTAAAATAAATTATTTATTTCGGTTCTTATATATGTTAATATAATACTGAACCTTCTCAAGCTGTCCGGGTCTTTGCATCATATTCATGACCATTTTCTCTGCTGCTGCTTTCGACTCTTCTTCAATTTCTTCCATAGTACTCATTGTATGATTTTATAATTATTACTACCACAAGTCACAAGGTAATTTTATAAATAAAATTAGTAATTTAAATATTTTATTCTAATAAAACGAAGTCACTGAGAAATACATATTTTTTAAACTCAAAAGGTAAATACCTGCTTACTAGTTACTACTAAGTGTCATCAGCTGTCAACACTATCAATTTTTCAACAATGACGTACCTATCATCATTTGATAGATCTTAGATTAAACCTTTAAACATTTTTTATTTTGACGTGCTTTAAAATAAACTAAAGAATAATATTAAATTGCTCGAAGTTGAATATTCGAAAAATCACCAAATTATATATTTGTTTTGTTCACATTCAGGTATTTTTTTTTTATTTCGAACACTTATTGTCGATGCTATATTGACAATTTTGACATTTTGACAGTGCTAGGTAGTTGTTATTTGTTTTGACATATTATTGTGATAGTCGGCAAAAGTTAACAATTGTTCTCATATCAGTTATGTCCTATCAATATAGTATAACTCGGTGAAATCGTGGCACCTTATGATTTTAAAGGCGTTATGTTAAAATCTATAATACTAAAAAAAATAGGGATCTGCGATTTTATAAATAACTTTAGGTAGCAAAATGTGGTCAATAATAATTTTAATAATATTCTGTGTTATTGCCTATTTTATCACTGACGAATTAATACCAAAGTTAAAGCATTTATTTATTAATGCTGGTTTATACGGCATAGATTTATGCAAAGTGTCACAGGAGAAAATGTAAGTACATATTATAAGATATTTAAATAGTTTATCATCATAATATTTAACAATCTCTTGTGTTACAGTCCAGAAGCCCTTGGTGTTGTGTCGGGATGTATATTTTTGGTTACAATATTCTTATTTATACCAATAGCTTTCGGAAATGACTTGATGGATAGAGGAAGCTTTCCACATAATGAGGTTAGTTTTTAGGATATTTTTAAAAAATGTTTCTCCCATAAGGTGAGAGACGAAACCTCTCAGCATTCCATGGATTCGCCTTGCAGGTTCTGGGTCCATCACTTTGCTGCGAGAGGACCTTCAATATTGACTATCTAACATGCGTTAAACACTCACTTCTACTGTCCAAGCTCCTCTCTCTATATATCGAAATGTACAACTAACCTATTCTCATTGGGTTTATTAGTGCTCATGATACATGCTGACCTTGAATTATTTCATTACAGTTTGCAGAACTACTAGCAGCTTTACTATCTATATGTTGTATGTTGCTACTGGGCTTTGCTGATGATGTATTGAACCTCAAGTGGAGATACAAACTTCTCCTGCCGACAGTCGCTTCACTACCATTGTTGGTTGTCTATTATGTTAATTTCAACTCAACAACTTTTGTTGTGCCACTCCCATTGAGGCAATTCTTTGGAGTTTCTGTGAATATTGGTAAGCTTTTTATCATATTAACTTATTTGAATTGTTTCAATTGTATATTAATTAAGATTTTGTAACAATTTCAGGTTTTCTGTATTATATATATATGGGAATGTTGGCAGTTTTCTGCACAAATGCAATTAATATTTTAGCTGGAATAAATGGCCTTGAAGTGGGCCAGTCACTAGTTATAGCTTTGTCCATAATAGTTTTTAATTTATTTGAGCTAAAAGGAGATCAATTCAAAGCTCACTACTTTTCATTGCACATTATGATACCTTACCTTTCTACTACATTGGCTTTATTCAAGCATAATTGGTTAGTATGAAGTGTTATAAAAAAATATATATATTTTGTTACATATACTTAATTAAGAATTTTTTCAGGTTCCCATCAAGAGTTTTTGTTGGAGATACCTTCTGTTATGTGTCAGGGATGACATTTGCTGTAGTAGGCATACTTAGCCACTTTAGTAAGACTGTCCTTTTGTTCTTCCTACCCCAAATAATTAACTTTTTGTACTCAGTACCACAACTATTCCATATTATCCCCTGTCCAAGACACAGATTACCTAAGTATAGTGCAGAAACAAATTTACTTCAAGCAAGCAGGACAGTTATTGCAAAAAAAGATCAGAAATATCTCAGCAAGAAAATTGTTGAGGTACTATCGTTCTTTAGATTACTTGATAAATTTGAAGATGATACATCTATAGTAATGAATAATATGACTTTGATTAATCTGTTTTTAATTAAGTTTGGGCCAATGTCTGAGGTCAGGTTGACTGTAATGTTATTAATATTTCAAGTGTTATGTACATGTGTAGCATTCATTATAAGGTATCCTTTGGCTTCATATTTTTATGATGTTTAACAAATTGTGATAACTTAATAGATTAATATAAGGAGTAAGAATAATAATTTTATGTGGAGTATATGGTTTTATGTAAGAAAATTCGTTTCAGCCTTATATGTATAAGTATAAAAGTGGATAAATTAATAGCTTTTTTACTTTGTCTATTTACTTGTTTAACACAAGGAAACCTTTTTATTTATTGACTATGTCTAATGAGTTTGTGTCCGATTACTGACACTGTGAATGTAGTGTTTGCAACTTATAACAAAAATTATTATTCTGTGAAATTTCATTTAGATTGTTTTAATGACAATAGATAAAGTATCACATACATATATGTTGTGTTATACATTTTATGTTACTGTTATTTTTGTTCTTAAACATTTATTTTAATAAAGTTGCCCTAAACTTTTTTTTTGTATAATTAAAAATTTCCATAGAATTTTTATATTTCTTGCAAATGTTTTCGTCCACAAACCTTCTTAATAATTCACTTTCCTACACTAGTAATTAAAAACTTTATTAAATGCGACTTACACAAATATAGCATTCGCTTCAGCAAAACATATACAAATATATGTTCAGCAAAAAAAAACTTGCATTAAAAGCATGCACCATAATATATTTAACATATTTATTAATTGTATGCAACCTATAAATAATAGAAATATTACTTTATTTACAAACAATCCTTTTAAAATATATCACACAAACTTTTATAGTAAATACCTAATATTTGAGATTATGCTAGTATAAATTATAATCTAAGGAATGTAACATTTCATATGCAATCTGGTCAACATAACAAACTTTCTCAGTCTATATAATAGCTCAAATTATTCTTCAGGGGTATTAATTAGCAAGCATTAAGGGTGTGAATTAAAGAAATCTTTGGCCATAGAATGTGACATTTAGAATAATATCTGAAGTCTTAACAGTTGTTTTCATATATTTTTCAAAATAATTATGGACAAATACAAAGCAATGTGCCCTTAACCTATGAATTTAATGTAACCAAATATCATATAAAATATTATCCTCAGGATCATTTTCATTGATAACTCTTAATGTTTTGAGGGTTTGTAAATAAAATGTTAATTCAGAAGTCACAACACCGTGCTGGGGGCTACCGTTCGCAACTATGTTCATTTTGCTTAATTGTTCTCGTAATTTGTCTTTAAAATTGTCGTGTACTTTCATGTAAATATTGCGTATTTGTTCTAATGGTAAAATATCTATGAGAGCTTCATGCAGTTTGACCAAGTGTTTAGAAATGTTACGGAATGTCTGTGATGGAACTGGTGGCTTAGCTTCCCAGCCACCTAATTGAGAATTCAACATGTTGCTCACTATAAAACAGATTTTGCTCTCGATTTCCTTCTTATGACCAGTTATATCACTCTCGATGCTGGTAAAGCCACCGAGGGACAAATCTTTGGAGCTATTCTTTTCTAATAATTTTTTTATTAACGGTAGAAGCCAAAGTATTACTTGAAGTGATCTAGACACTAACGCTAAATTTGATGTAGAAATTGTTTTTAATCCAGCACTCTGTATAGCTCCCGCACCCAAAACCAACTGGCAGCATCGAGAATTAAACAATCTCATCAATTCTAACATACAATGTACTAAATATTGAACAATATCCGGAGACTGTTTTATTGCGTCACAGTACTCAAGTAGAATTTTTATCAAAAGCTGCACTGTCGCAACGACAGCATAGCTCTCCTTATCTATAATTAAATATTTACCATCAGCCTTGCCACTTTCATAATTAAGTGTTGAAGGTATTTCCCCAATTTCACATATTTTGCTTATTACGCTCTGTAATTCATATGGTACATCAGCAATCTTCCATCTCTCACTATTAAGAGCTGTGGTCAGTTGTACCCGTCTATCGGAATGCAAATTTTGAATATATTTCATAGCAAAACTTCGTAACGCCAATTTCATCGAATTACTGTAGTGCCCTGTTATATTTTCACAGTCCTTTGAAAAGTTTTCTATCAGCTTTGATAATTTTGATAGTTGTGTTAGATCTGTGAATACATAGTCTCTATCGGTCTTAGTTACAATGAGATTGGCACATTTTTCGTTGCTGTAGTCAGAGAGTGAGATAATAAGTTTTTTAATTTTATCCTCAATTAATAAAAGCTCATCCTGTGTCCATATATCTTCACTATCATTTCCTGTGATGTCACTCATTTGACTGACATCCAATATTAAATTACATAAAGATAAGATTCTTCTAAATAAATTAACTATATTCGGAGTGACTTTCTGAAGAAAGATAATACCTTCGTTACAAAGCAACCATGTGTCCGTATTAGATCCCCTTAATACAATTTCTGTACTACCATCTCTATCTGAAATTATTTCTATGACACATTGTTTTATAGTAGTTTGAATTGAAGTCATTGCTTCCATTTTGAATATGTCTAGAAAATCAAATTCTTTCAAACGGAGTATACCTGATACAATCGACACAATCTTATCTCTTTCTGGTAAATCGGTGGTATCTTTTAGAGGTCTGTTTATGTCAGCAATAATAAATCTTTGAAATTCATTGCTTAACATCTTGTGTATCAATCTTTTCATTTCCGTCAGCTGTGGTGATAAATGTCTGAAGGCTTGTATTCCAGATAATCTTGTTGATAGAACTCGTTGTGTAGAGCTTATTAAGTCAAGAGCAGCAACATAGTCTGAAGTACTTAAAAGAAGTTGAATCATAGGTTGGGTTTGTTGCACCGTTCCCATTAACTTCAAGAGTTCATGAACATTGTTGAGGTTTTTGTTGATTCTAGTGAGGCTTATTAATTTTAAAGGGCTGTCAGTTAAATTCTCTTTAACATCTTTTATATCCTTCCTTGTATTTTGAACCGTTTTAACAGCTCTCGCCATCTGTTCCATGATAGTGTCATGAGAAAGCATAGCATGGAAAAAGGCATCAGATTTCTGCGCTACCTGTTTTGATATCTTCATTTCGATTATATCAAGGTATGTGCTCAATGTTTCTTGTAGTGATCTTATGGTGCTGTTTATGTCCTGTGTGTTTGATAACCCAGGAAAAACTTTACTGAAGTTTTGAGGGTCATTAAGAGCTAGAGATTGCTCATAAAAGATGCTAGGAATTTCACAAACTGTTTCCACAACGGGTGTTTTACTTTTAACTGGTAGAGTCTCTTTAAGTTGTCGATGCCTTCTAAATCTTTTTGATATTTTTTTACAGTATGCTTCAAAGTGAGCCAGAGTTATTACTGGCAAATATGGACTAGGATATATATCTACCTTATCAGTAAAGCTGTCACCCCATGTTTTAGTAAAAAAATTGTTCTGCTTTCCTCTGTTTGGGTCATTCAATACTGCAGGCAAGTTTTGTGATGAGGAGTAGAATGTCCAGTCATCATTTATACTATTTTTATATAGGTGGTGTTGTCTGATGTGGTACTTAAATCCTGCCTTTCGTAAATCACCAAATTGCAATGCTGAACAAATGCCGTTCTGCCCATATTGACAGAGTACGATGGAGCCCTCTTTAATACTGTGTTTTTCGTGTATATGCCTGGAATAAAATATTTTTTTCAATAAATGTCTCATACAATTATAAATTAAAGGGATTTGTATATGTAATATATAATTGTTATTTATTTAGTTATAAAATACGTATAATAATACTAATTAAATGAAAAATATAACAATTACCTTTCGAATTCCGTGGCAGAGTTGAACAGAAGGTTTGGGCAATGAACACAGTTTTGCCATGCTGGCGTCTTATTTGTGGTATTCTTGTCCTCCATAACATCTTTATTTAAATATTTAGATTATATTTTATAATATAATTTTAGATATCATCTGAATATTAAATTAAAGTAGGAGACGAAAGAATTCATGGTATTGATAAAAAGTACATAGGCCGTCAATGTGACTTTAATATTGTCCATAATTGACATTTGACAACTACACGTCACAATATGCTTACGATCGCGAGACACGGAATCTTGTTTTTTCTTTAATAACTTAAAGTTATGAGTTTAATCGATAGTTGCGACTTGTGAAATTTTAAATATAAAAAAAAATCAGCAAATTTATTCTCAACACTCAAAATTACATCGTTTGCGTTGTTTGATATCATAACAATATTTTCGTCTGTAAAATGACTGAATATTTATTTCTATTAGAAAAAGGCTAAATTAAAATTTCTATAGTTGTGTATGAAATAAAACATACCCGTATTATTCCTTTAATGAACCAAGTGTACAAAATAATTATTAATTCTATCCTGAAATTTTATGCTCATAAAACTCCTGTCATTGTGTATCTATATATCAAAATATAATAATTTTAATTTAATGTATTAAAGAATTCTTCTCCTACAGAATGTAGTGACATAAAATGTTTACATTAACATCAAGATAGTTTTTTTTTATTTTATAGTTTTACATTCAAATTCATATGACGTGAGGCAAAACTTTATCTTACAAAATTGCACATAAATTAAGTCATAAATATCAAACTCCAAAACAGCAATCGTTAGTGTTTTTACTTACTAATTAGTAATTACATGAAAAAATTTGTCAATGGCTTTTTACTTTTTAGCTTTATCAATAATTTTAAGCTTTTTGCTAAAAGTATTAAAATTATATTTTTTAACACATTATTATAATATGTTATCCATATTTATAATTAGTTCACAATAAAACAAATAAAATAATAAACATTGCTTGTTACCTATTATATTGAAATTATTTAATTGATATTGATATTATTTATCCTTCTTTTAAATACATATAACCACATGTATGCTTTTTTAATTAAAAAATTCAAAGGATAATTGTTTAAGTATGTATATTCTTATTAAAAGTTTTAATTACAAAATTTTTCATCATATTTTGTTAATAACGCATCTTCTTTTCATAAAAGTTAATTTTTATGGGAAAATGCTTATTTAGTATTATCTCTTTAATTTTTAATTACATAATTTATATTCGTTTTATTGTTTTATTTATAACTTTTGATATAGGTATGTGGATAAGAAATAAATAGGATATAGTTATCGGATATGTTTTATTTCTCCAGATAATTTATTTACAAAAATGCAAGTTACATTTTATAATACTACCTTAAATATTTGCGACCAATGCATTTTGACAAATACTAAATTTAATATATAAGCATTACATATTTTAAAGTATTTATTCTTTTTGACAATGGTAGCAGGCACAGGTAACAGCGGATTTAAATACTAAATTTCTCTCTCCGTCCAAGCATAGCACCTTCACTGGTATCTGAAACGCGAAAGAATTTTCAATGAAATTTATAAAACTTATGAGAAAAACATTACGAGAAGTAATTGAAATTGTCTCTTATTTGTCGGAAATATTTCATTTTATTAAGTTACAATTATAAAAATAGATTCTGTAATTAATTTGACGTTAGAAATACTTACGTCTTCCGATTCCATAATATTGCAGCATTGTCCCAATGAAGTAACGGGATGTCTCTTGAAGCCTAACATAATGCTCGGCAGTGACCACGATTCGCAATAACCACGGCAGGCGTTTGTTGTTATTTTGAATTCGACACAATCCGGGATACTGATGCTTCTTGTATGACCTTATAAAATTAAATTAAATAAACTTTTTACACAAGATTTACTTTTTAGGTACCTCGCTCCTTATCTCATAATAAAACAAAAATATTTTAAAAGTAGTCTTGCAAAAACATTACAAATGTAACGAACAAACACACTAATAGAAAGTAAAATTTTAATTATACGTTCATTCTATAAATGAAATATGAAATTTATTACACCATGTTTAAGAAATACGAACCCTGTCTGTGGCAACCAGGTTTTTTATAAGTTTGTGCAACGAGTATATGACTAAGGGTTAAAAGTAAAATAAAACTTCTAAGAAACATCTTAGTAATATTCGACTTCTGATTTGTGAATGAAACAACGATGAAGATGTTGCCTTTTTATTCGTCCAAAAGAAAGCTTATACAGTGGTTACAAACATTTTTTTTTAATTTAGTTGTTTTTTTGGGAAGATCTAATGCGTACTGAATATCCTTGAGCTATATTAGAGTCTTTATAATATTAGTTGACTAAATTATTTAAATAAAAATGATAGGCATTAATAATAAAACGAGTTTTTAATTAGTAGATAGTAGATACTATTAGTATGTCGATGTATGTAATTCTTATTATTATATGTTCTTTAACATTGGAAATTATATTTAAAAAACCAAAACTTGCTGATATGAAGGAAACTGTTGATTAACTCTGATATATTCCGAAAAAATTTAATATTTTTTCAGCACATTAAATTGAAGCTAAAGTGTTCTGACCTGAAAGCTTTAAATGGACTGTTAGTAATGAATGTTCTTTAGTTACATTGTCAGACTCCTTCGGAATATTTCAAGTTAGAATTAAATTACTTAACTCAAGAGCAGTTATTTTTTTATATAATTTACAGTATTAATTTAATAAATTGTATTAGGTAAATAGCTGTTCATTATTTAAGGGTAGTCGAATACATATCTTATTTCAATTAGAATTTAAATGACTCCTTAGATGTCGAAAAAATAAAGTACTTATTCTAAAATAATTATTCAATATAAAAGTAATATATGTAGTACTTTTCGTTATTGGATTTATAGTACTTTTCGTTATTAGATTTATAGTACTTTTCGTTTTTAGATGTATGATGTATTTTACATGTACGAGGCGCGATAAAATAGTTTAATATTTGAATTATCATTAAACGAAATACACAATACTTTAGTTAAGTTCTTGTTTAAATTAAGGAAAGATATAACAATCGATCCGTTGCTTAGCAACGAATACAAAACATACATTAGCAAGTGCACCTAAACCTGACTTTGTGATTAGAATATTAATGATGGCTAAACATATGGAGTACAAAATCTTAAATCTTTACAAAACTAGACAATATGATAAATGTCTTAAATTATGCGACATAGCCCTGCAAGAGAAGACTGATAGAATGTTAGAGTACATACGAATGCGTGCTATGACTATTCAGGCGAAAATAGCTGGTAATGGGTATGAAGAAGTGAATTACTATCCTCAACAGAACGAACTCACGTCTACCACAGTTGCCAAAACACCAAGACCGGGGACATCATTTCAGAGAAATATTAAAACTGCTCAAGGTGATGCTAACCTAGTGAGTAAAGCTAGCTAATATCAAAAGAAAAAAAGTGTCGTCCAAATATATTATTTGTAATAAAAAAATCCAATTCATTTCATATTAAATTAAACACAAATAAACTCTGGTAGAACTACGTGTCTCCGAGGAAAGAGGTTTTTGTCCCTTTTTAATGGATTTAAAGTTGAAAAAAATTTTACCTACCAAAAACTGGAAGTTTTGAAATAAATTATTACATAAAATATTAGCGTGACTAGTACCTAATACAGACAGTACAGGGTGATGAGTAGGATTTTTTTTATTTTAAGCGGAATAATTATATGATTTTATTTAAATGGTTTGGTTGTTTTGTGTCAGAATCCAAGGACATATACCCAAAGAGCTACAGTAAATACATCCCGAACTCGAACAGCCCGATCAGTTCTTAATACTGCATCAAGGGCTTCTAGAGCTGCTACGGCAATTGCTGGAGGAACTACGTTCACATTAGATGCTCCTGTCACTCTAAGATTTCTTAACAAGGATGACAAATTGTTTCTATCCGCTGCTAAGACTTTATTTGAATATATTTATTATTGTGAAGGGGACGTGAGAAAGGTTTGTTATTATTTTGTATTTTGGTAAAGAGTCGTAGATTGAACTTATAGTTTTAAATTAAATTATTATATTTAAAGAGAACTGCTGAACAATACAATAGAGTAGCAGACGTGGAAACACAAATTATGACGAATAGGTATTGTTTGTAGTTATCTTTCCTTTAGTCATTATTTTTCTTGAGAGAATAAATTCTCTCATAGTTTATATATACTATACACTATGAGAGAATTTATTCTATATACTCATAGTGTAAACATTAAGATTTGTTTTACTCTCCCCAAAGTAGTGGAAGGCAATGGCTCCGTAATTTTAACAATTTTCATGAAATTCTTTCCCGTTTCTATATTTAAATATTAGACCATTTTAAAACCTTTTCAATATGAAGATTGATTCTTGTACTTCCTCATTTCTTCTTCATGTATTCTATGCGCTTATTGAATACATCAAAGTAAAATTTATAGGCCATGGAGGTTGCATTTCAAGCGCAAAAAATGGATGATACAAATGATTGGTGGTGGAAGTTTTCTCTTGCCCGCTGTTATGAGACACTTGGGATGTATAGGAACGTGGAAGAATGTTTAAGATTGGCGTTGAAACAGATAAAACATATTTCAATATATCTAAGATTGATTGCTATGTACGTTGGTCTCCAACAACCACTTTCAGCTCTTGACGTTTGCAAACAGGGCTTATCCGTGTTTCACGAGTATACTCCACTCTTACTGGAACAAGCACGAATACATGAGAACATGGGCAATAGTGCTGTAGCTGTCAAGTACTACAGAATAGTTGCAACGGAAGACCCCACTAACATGGAGGCAATAGCTAATATCGCTATGTACAATTTTTATAATGACCAGCCCGAAATTGCTTTAAGATATTACAGGTAAAAATATGTGCAATTGCTTAAAGTACATAATTGCAAATTATTATTTGTATACCATCTTTTAGGAGACTACTAGCAACAACACCAGTTGGTCCCGAAATTTACAATAATCTTGGGCTGTGTTGTCTATACTGCAATCAGTGGGATCTGATAATACCTTGTTTTAGACAGGCTTTATATTATTTTACTAATCCAGAGTCCCGATCTAGTATATGGTTTAATCTGGCCCACGTTGCTTTGGTAAGTTAGACTTAATTTATCCATTTAAGTATATATTTAATACAAGTATTGTTGGATTGAGGCGGTTGTGAAAGAAAGAAGCAAAAATTCTACATTTATATAAACTTTTAATATTCACACAACTCGAGTACGTGTTATTAATATTGTGACACAGACAGTTATTACGACTTATGTGAAAATTATTTAGGAATGTTATTAAAATGTTGGCTTCGAAATCAAAATGTTAAGCAAATATTAGTAGGGCTCGTACAAATGTATCTTTTAACCGGAAATAATTGTTAACGAAAGATATTTTGCTTTTAGTCTACTGGGGACTTGACTCTCGCTCGACGATGTCTGCTGGCCAGTCTCGCTATATCGGAACATGGAGCTTCTAGGAGAGCTCTGTGTGCCTTAGATAAGCGAATCAGAGCATTAAAATCCAGAGTAGACTAAGTGATTCGGGTTCGCGGAATCTTAATGTGTGTATTGGTGTTACAAATCTGTGTATAGACGTGAACGAAAGGCGAGTCAAACGTAACTAGTGTTTTCTTGTTTTGTATATCATGATATATTTAAGTCCTAAAGATATGTATATACTTATTTTTAGATTATTGAGTTTCACCTTATTATTATTATATATATTCGATATAGATGTGTGGTGACTTTGTTATGTATAATTAATAGACCTTGTGCAATTCCTATTACAGAGTAATTTTGACGTAATATATTATTACCACAAACTTAAAAAACAAACAAAACTGTAAGAAGGCTTATACGCTTTTAATACATGTTGTATCATCAGAATATTACAGCAATATTTTCAATTTTGTAGAATGTGATAGATGAGTGACAATTTTCATTTACTTTATTCTTAATTATTATCTTCAGGTAAAAAGGATTCTAAATGACGAGGCCATAACGTGTTTCATTTATTTTTTCAGTTTTTTTACATTAGTGTTGAATTATAAAACTGGTGTCTATAAAATAATTTAGTTTAAAATAATCTATAATATATAAATTAAGTCACTGGTGGCTTATTGGTTAAAAGCCCGACTCTCACGTATGAGGGCGCGGGTTCGATCCTGGCAAGTACTAATGTAATTTTTTCGAGTCATATGTACTCTCTGACAGTATTTAGACACCACTGACAGATGGCGAAGGAAAACATAGTGAGAAAACCTGGACTTATAGTTAAACAATTATAAGATTGAAATTACAATTCAAGCAGGCGGCCAGTCGTAAAAACAATTAGACAAAACTATTTACAAACATGTAAAGCAGACCCTGGCTAAAGACAAGGCTAAAGACTAAAGACAAAGCTGGAAAATTGGCAGGAAGAAGAAGATCTATAATATATAACTTAAAGTACATAAAATATAGTATTGTTATAGGTTTTCTTTAAGCAACTTTTCATCATAACAAGATACATGGTTTTCAATTTGTTACTTTTAAATGTTATATTTAAATTGAGAAAATAAAAAAAATATTTTACTTAAAAGAAAAATAAAATGGTTTCAATATTTGTACTTCGCAGAAGTTTTTTTCACCGTATTGAAAATTCTTGAAACTACTGAAACTTGCCTTAGAATTTTTCTTTGTGTTCATTCATTAAAAAAAGGATTAAATAAAAGTAATCGTTTTAAGATTTAAATGTATAAGTTATTAACAAACACACATTTAAATAGCCAATAGGATATAACATATATTATATATCTAGACCTAGAGAATAAAAAAAGCATAAATTATATACATATATACTAAGATGTGATATCATATAATAAATGAAACTCTTTACTGTGGTTAAAATAATGTAATCAAAATACAAAAAGAAAAACAATACTTTTGGTCTAATTACCTATATTCAAGTAATAATAACATGAAGCTTGATTTAAGATATTTTAATACTATTTAAAAAATCAATGGAAGATTGTTGAAAATAAAAACAATTATTAATTATCTAAATAATTTTTAATGTATTTTTTAAAAAAGCAGTTAAACTCATTAGCACCTTAAATCTAAAACAGTCTATGTCTAAAGAAGCAGTCTGTTGTGTCTAAATACTTCTGAAATTTATTCGGTTTTAAAAAGCAATTTCTAAAAATAACAAGCTTCAAGTGAATTAGAATACTGAATAATTAATATACGATAATGAGTACGTCTAGCATCGTCTGTTAATGTAAAGTGTAAACATTAAAACGGTAACTTAATATTAATGTTTTTAAATATATAACATTGTAAAACCTTTTAACTACTCTGTTATCAAAATTTTACGAGCATTTACACAACCAAACTCCTAATTGACGTTGTAGTGTTGATCATCGAGTTTTTTTTAAATACTTTCACCGGTTTTCATAGACAAAAAGTTTTTATTTATGCAAACCAGTGAGATGTGATCAGTCTCATTAGGTGGTCCGAATTGGACCTGTTATTAAATATTGGTCTGAAGGCCTAATGGGAAGTAAGTAGTAACGTCCGTTCTGTGGATTTTTTATTTATTAAACAGGTGACAAACGAGCAGACAGTCTACTTGATGGGCAGTAGTCACTATAACTCATGGACATCCGCAACATAGTTTTCCTTATGCGTTATCATCCTTGATTGGGGAAGAGAGAGGGGAAAGGGTGGGTAAAAGAAAATGCAGTCATTTAAGGCTACTTCGCGCAAATCTTCTCTGAGAGAGTGGTACTTCCCTGGTCAAGCCAGCGTATGTTCAAGTGTAGTAACTGATCACAGCTAAGCTCTATCGCCTACAAAACTTGCTTGTAGATACCAAACTAAGAATACCTATACTAGTATACCTATACTAGTACCTACCTAATATATACATACATATTAGGTTAACTTATTTGCTCATTATTGTTTGTCAGCAGTCAGCACCTTAATTAATTAACATTAAATATTCGTTTAGAGCCGGATCAAAATGTTCCATATTACGGAGCTCGTCGTATTTTAGAGTCGCGAGCGAGTCCAGGATAGGCTCTGGATGGCTGCGTTGTAACGGCTTAATTTCTTGATTAATTTCCGTTTCAGGAGTAATACGGGATATATGACGCTGTTTTATCTGAAAGGTATTAAGAATTTATATAAATTAGTATTAGAAGAAACATTGTTTTTAAATATTGTTTTACTTGGTCCAGTGTAGATTGAGGAATTCCTATGGATTCCCAAGTGTCCTGGCCCTTAGGGATGCTTAAGGGCTTAGTATAATTTGTATTTTTTTCTTTCATTGAAACTCCATTTCCAAATCCCATGTTAAAAAACAATTCTTTCGCTCGTCGTACCAATTGCGATTCTTTTGAAGAATAGAACAATAAATTTCCGTTGGATATGAGTGCAAAACTTCTCATTGTCGTACTGATAATCTTCTTAATTTCATTGTCTGTAAATTAATAACAAAATTTTCTTTAAATTTTTTCAAATTTCATGTTTTATATGAAAAAAATCTCTTTACAATAAAATTATATAGAGATATCTATTTATAAGTTATAATATCAGTTACCATAATTTTTGAAAATATCATATTTTCCTCCGATTATTACTAACTCGGGATGATAATTTGAATCATTATAGTTTCCTTTCATCGCTTGATAACAAGTTTCTAACACATTCCATATGGCTTTAATCTTGCTTAAGTCCACCATTATGCAGAAATATAACTTTCCTTTAATAGGAACCGATATTAGGACTTTTTGCAACATTTGTAATTTACCACCATACTCCCAAACGTGACAAATTGTCTTATCTATGCCAGGCTTCTGAGACGACTTTCTGCCAAAAGAATATTCCAATACTAAAGTCTCTCGTGGAGTGTCAGATTTTTCCAGAAAACTGTACAATAGGTGTGACTTGCCCTAAAATTCATAATCACTAACAAAATTGATGGTCTTATAGAATATATGTATTAACACCAAATGATCAAAGACACAATAATACTCAGTTTAGTTACTTATATTAAAATTTTAAATATAAAACATAGAATTAATATTTGTAAATTGTAAGTTAATTTTGTTAAAGTAAATCGAAAGAATGTTATAATTTATCTATAAGTAAAAGAATGCATAAGTTTATAGCATTTTTTAAAGTATTTTTCCACAATTCGATACTCACTGCAGACTTACTACCAACCAAAATTATAGTGCGTGCAGTATCTTCATTCGCCTCTTTTAAAGTTTTGTTAACTATTTCCACAGCTAAATCTGGTATAGACATAATTTAAGTTGCAATTACCGACAAGATAATAAAAACGCTTCAATTTAATTAGCTTTGTATTTGTGACAGTGATAATGTTTTGCATTGGTTGCATAGCAACGAAGTGTTTATAAATATAGGATATTATATAAACTTTTCATTAGATCTGTGTTTCGTATTGCAATGCCTTTGTGTTGGAACGTTTTCTATTTTATATGCTATTTTGTTTGTACAAATAAGTATAATGTAGAAAATAATACTTTATTAGTAGATACATGAAATCAATAAGTATTGCAATTTTCATTACATTGACCGTAACTGTAGATACATTTGAATGTTCGTTTTTGTAATAGACTAAATATGTTATGACGATATAAATTTATGCTGTAAGTTGTAATTGTTCATGGCATTAAGAACTACATGTCAACTTTAATTGTCGGCGTAAAAACTGAAATCAAATATCTATGCGGCAACAATTACTAAACGTATGATTCGAAGGACTGTCTTTGAAATGAATCTAATGTATTAAACTATTTGTGTTTTGTAGAAAAATAATGTTTCATGATTCGAAACATTTTCATAAAAGAAGCAAGTACAGGCGATAAAAATAATAAGTAGGTAGTTGAAATTACTGCAACGATTTTTAAAATTTTGACATAGAGCATAGACAAGAAATAGATTTTTCGTCGAACATATATGTAGTTTAATTTTTATTTACTTTACCTTTATTAAAAAACGATGTACATACTTGTCAGATATGGTAACCTCACCTATGGGCAACTATTATGGTCTTGATATTTCGAAACTTTTAGGGGCAAGAAAATAGGTTCATACATGATTTTATTAGCAATATCAATTCAGACCAGTTTTCAAATCCCGAATGTATTATGTCCACACTTTTTGCAAATAGTGCTATTATGAAAAATACCATTTACAAAAAAAAAAATGTAATAAATAATTTTTGTCTACTGTTAATTTAAATTTGAAGGAAAATAAAAAAAAAGAAAAAATTTCGAATGAATATTAATTGGTAATTTTTTTGAATTAATCACTTTAATCAATCAGACTTCAGACAAGATGTCATAAGAAATATGCATGTTTATATAAATAAAAATCATATCAATTAAATACATTTAATCAACTACAACTACCGTTAAAGAGGATAATGTTACAATTTATTTTGGCATCTGGAATATTAAGGAATATATAATAACATTGTAATGGTAACTTTAAAAACAATAATTAAATAATTATTATAGTTAATTGTAAAAATTATTTTAAATGAGATCGTAATCTGTTGTATTCAACTTCTTTAGTTATAATCTCCTTGTTTAGAGTTTTCAGAATATCTTGGAACCGTTGCCTTAATGCCATGTTCTCCATACCAGCTATTTCTAGTTGTGTCCTTTGCCGTCTCTGTTTGAGTTCTTCTAGTTCAGTGAAAAGCTCTTGCATTTTGAAACTAGAAGTATTCGGATAACTGCTCGAAGATTCTCCAGTTTGCTTGCTATCATACTTAGTTGACTGATTTCTATTTGCCGATGACGTTTTTGGTGGAGATTCAAACATTTCAGACTTGAATTGTGTAGCAAAACTAGATCCCTTAGTATTTTCACCAGCATTTATAGAATTGTTTTCGGACAAGGGTTCCTCATAGAATGACAACCTGCTGTCTTCTACATCAACACTGATGTTTTCTTCCTCAACATCACTGTCACTTAAAGCATCACCAAAAATATCCTCAACTTTAGATGGCTGATTCGTTTTGGGTGTGGTGTGTGTATCTTTCTTGCTCTTGCCTTTCTCCACTTTAGGCAATGTAGCCTCGTTTTTAGAAACTTTAGGAGTTTCATCTTCTTCTTTTATTACTTCCCAAGTAAAACTAACAGCTTCATTATCAGCTCTTAATAGTCTTTTAACTTCTTTTTCTATCTCAGGTCCTTCTGTACATTTCTTTCTTAGTGTTTTCCTGAATCGCCTTTTTCGAACATTTTTAGTTGGTGGAGTTATCCCATGAGCCCAAAGAAATTTCTTGTCTACTTTCAATGGATCTTTCTTTTTATTTTTTGTTGGTGACTCTTCTTCAGTGCAAGAATCTGCTTCTTCTTTACATATCATCAATTGACAGAGGTCAGCAGTTTTATATAGGCTTTTCCTATCAATGGTCTTCCAGGACTCTACTATGGTAGGTAAATCTACAATTTTAGCATGTAGTACCCAATGGTCAAATCTTACTTCTCCATGTCTCATATCGTTTTCTATTTGAATGGTAAGTCTATTCTTAAAGTTTTCTCCTGATTTTATTAATTCACTCAAAGCCTTTCCGGGCGTTTCAGGCATTCTCATAATGAATTGAGTTTCTAATTCTACAGGGTAATCGGGATCTCGTTTTTCACGATTCATCTTTTGTAAATAAATAGGTTCATGAAATTATATTTTTTTTTCAATAAAAGAAGTTCTATCTAAATGTTCACTTATTAATTTATTTATACCTACAACACCTTACTCATAAATCGCAGACTGTACCCTGTGACTGCGAGTTTCGACTACCAAATTCATAAAACTCCTTTATTGACGTTTATGCAACTGCCGGCTGCAAAATATGATTTATTTATTTTGAGGTTGCCATTTTTATTAGGCTATTTAAAAAAGTTGGAATGAGTTTTAAAAATGAGTATATAACCGAGATATTAATTAAAATAAAAATCTATGTATTTACACATTCTTATGTTTCGAAACGAAACGACGTGAAATAATGTTTTTGTTATTACAAAGTTGAGTATTTTACATAATCTGTGGTTTTTGCAATCAACTATTTCCAAACCATTCTGTGGTCAGGTTGATGAAGAGGAGTGATACGAGAAATTGAGATATTAGTACCTTTTTCGTTTAGTGTAAATAAATTGTGTTGAATTCCAAAGAAATAATTGTAAAACATTGTCATATATTTTTTAATTCTATATTAGGTGATTAAGTGAATTTCAGTATTCTTCAGCGTTATGGTTCATTGAGTGTAAGTGGGAGACATTGTCAAATTCACTTTTCTTTATTTTCCATTCGCTATTTTGTTTTCGTTGTTTCGTGATCCCATAATAGTTTTACATATGAACACTGATATGACTATGTGAGTCATTAAAATATTCTATACCGTTATTTAGATGCAACAAAAAGAGAAAGGTGCATTCTGTACCATAATAAATTGACTCAGTAACCTACATAATAACTGTAATTGTTTTCACTCTTTGCGATATTCTAAATTTATTAATCTACCAAAAATTTTGTGTCTAATAATTCTTACTGACTATGCTACGTAGTTGGATGTCATAGATATGTATACACATATATATGAAACATAATATTCTTAAAAATATTTATGGTCAATAGCCAATAGCTCAATAAAATAAATTAATGACAATTAAATGTTATAACTGGTTGTTTTTACTTCATTAATAGACATTAATGATAAAGATGATGAGGTTTCCTGAATCAACTGAAATGTATGTTTTTGTTTAATAGAATTTGTTAAGATATTTTTTTTTATATTGTTTACATGATACCAAAAATATAATGATTGTTATTTAAATATATTATTTGCTCCACAATATTAGTTGAAATCACATCTTGCTATTCTTAATTGTATTGATGTATTAAAAACATCAGTAATATTGTATTTTTTTTTATGAGAAAATAATATTTTTATTTTTTTAATGTTTATTACCTTTTGTTTCAGGTAAGCCATAACACCAAGGTAAATTAAGATTCATGTTTAAGTGTTTATTGTCTAAATTAGAGATGAGAAATAAGTAAATATATTGTTTTTAGATGGCTGAAGTGGATCCGGAGACATTGCTAGAATGGCTGCTCACTGGCCAGGGGGATGAAAGAGATATGCAGCTGATTGCCCTTGAGCAACTATGCATGCTGTTGCTCATGTCCGATAATGTTGATAGATGCTTTGAGAGGTATATTACTAGTCAATTAAAATATTAATATAGTTCTTATTTTTTCTTTATGGGGAAAAGGGGGCAACCACATAAATGGCCTACCTGATTGAGGTAGTATTGTCACCAGTGGACATCCGCTATGTAGATTTTGCGGATGTATTGCCGCCCTTGATTGGGAAAAGGTGGGAGAGGGAGGGAAAGGAAACGGCAAGAAAAGTTGGGATAAGGAAAAGGGCAACCGCCTCTCTCATTCACCAGACAAAATGCAGCCATTAAAGAATACTTCTCACAGATTTTCTGTGAGAGGGTGGTACTTCCCCGGTCAAGCCAACCCATATTCGAGCTGTAGTAACTTGACCACAGCTAGGTTCTACCACCTCACTAAGTTAACACAAAAGTTTGACATAAATCTTATGGCTATAAATATATTATCAATGATTAATTTTTTTACAGTTGTCCACCCAGAACATTTTTGCCCGCCCTCTGCAAAATATTCCTTGATGAATGTGCTCCAGATAATGTGCTCGAAGTTACAGCCAGAGCAATAACATATTACCTAGATGTTTCAGGTATAAATTTTATCAAAACTAAAATGTTATCAGTTTATTGATAACCTACTTTGTTATTGTTGTGGTTTTAAATACTGTATCAATATTTTTAATCAGATAATTTATAAATGATGGTTTTTCTAGCAAAATAATGATAATATATTTATTATTGTCCGTATATTGATAAATATATATAAAAATATTACAGCTGAGTGCACCAGAAGGATTGTAGCTATTGAAGGTGCTGTAAAGGCAATTTGCAGCAGATTACTTACAGTTGATCCTAATAATAGAACTAGCAAAGATCTTGCAGAACAATGCATTAAAGTAAGTATTACATTCTGAATCACTATTAGGAGGTAATTAACATGATAAACATTTGCTGAAAATATATAACATATACTAAAATAATTGGTTGTTTATAGTCAAAATTATGTGTGTAAGACTGAATATATTTAATTATAGAATGTCTGTAACCTCATTTACAATGATTTTAATTTGGACGAGATTTGTGTCATTGTAAATTAAGTTTCACAAGTGTAATTGTAGAATTATTTTATGGTCCAAATACATTTTGAATAATTTACTCATGTGTTACTTAATAGTCTGCAATATCTTATGTTATATTGTAGGTATTAGAATTGGTGTGCACTCGTGAAGCTGGTGCAGTTTGGGAAGGTGGAGGTTTACCTTCTGTGCTGCATTTCATAACACATCATGGAACTTCAGTGCACAAGGACACTCTTCATTCTGCAATGGCAGTTGTATCAAGGTACATCTTCATAATCGCTATAGACTTCAGACTTACATTTAAAATATATATTGTTATTATAAACAATATATTAAAATTAATTTTACAGAGAAGTTAATAACTAAATGTTTGTGAAAAAATACCTGACCTTCACCATGTTCATTAAAAATCATTTAAATGTATTATATATTTACTGCATAATTATGATTATACAATTAACAAGTTTATTCTATTTGCATGATGTAATACTGCCAATTAATTTTATATATGTAGCTGATTTACCAGGATGAATTGAAAGATAGCACTGAGAAAGAAAGAACCCATATTATAAACTAGTAGAAATGTTTAGATCCTAGGATACAGTTTTTTATTTATAGCTTCTAAAATATTTTATAAACTTATTGTGTTATATATCTAAGGTATTACCATAATAAAGAGAAGTATTGATACTGCAAGTTGTACCAAAGCTTGTATATGATGTTCTTCTTCCTGGCAATTTCCCAGCTTTAGCCAGGGTCTGCCTAAGTATGATATGATTGTGTTTTCTCTGTTATATACAGGGTGTGCGGTAAGATGGAGCCGGGGGACGCCCGTGTGGGAGATGCTGTGTCATCTTTATCTTCATTACTGCGTCATTCAGACGCTCGTGTGTCGGATGCTGCGCTGCGCTGCTTCGCTTCACTGGCCGATCGGTTTGCTCGTGCACACGCTGACCCAGCACCACTCGCACAACATGGCTAGTATTATGAATATATTATATCAGTTAAACATAATTATTATGTATATGATAGCATTATGAAGGACATGTTTTAATTTTTAAAAAACAATTGGATTAAAATGAATTGGAAAGATGCTGTCAGAGTCTCAGGTTTCAGTGACGCAGTCAAATTATTTGACATGATTGTTGATAATGATTCTTTTATGATTGATTTCTTGTTGTTTTTTAGATTAAATTACAAATTTTTGTTACTAAGTTATTCTTTGATGGCAGTATTTTGACGATTTTGATGTTTGTATAAATTTTGCAGGCTTAATTGAAGAACTAGTTCGCCGTTTGGGTACAACAGAGAGCTCAGATGACAAATGTCTCATGCCTTCAGTGTCTACAACTGTCAGCTTGCTATCTACACTCTGCAGGGGATCAGAACAGATCACACATGTAAATATCAAATTTATTTATATGTATAGAAGTATACTACGGTAACCTACCACTGGCGCCATCTATAGTTAAATACAGTGGCGGCTGGTGGGTTATCGAACTGGTGGTGCACTTTACTAAAATATTAAAATTAGAAAATGCAACAAAACAGTAATTGACTCAAAATACGTCTATTTTTTATACATTAAATCAATGCGACGACATTTTTCTGAAGCGAAATGTACAATCACTTTTTTATTACAATCGGGTATTGTTTGTATATATTTTTTTCAATACCAAGCACAGTAAGTCCATTTAGCAAGTACATGGTATTTCGGAGAAAAGTTTTGATTCTTTCCAATTCCAATTCGTCTTACATCGGGTGCTCTCGGTAATCTTCGGCCGCTCGTGCGGCGCTCGAGAACCGACTCATTACTCGGTATATTTCTATGAACTATCTTTTGTTACACGCGTTAGGCATATTAATTCGTTTCTCATACAAGATGTATTAGTCCTCGTGCACTCGCCGAAGCACACGAGATATTAGTTTGGTAAAGCGCTCAAACTTTTTGACTATAATTAGAAATTTAATTTTTTATATGTTTGTGTACGTTCAGAAAATAAATATTAAAATGGTTATTAAAAAAAAAGATGAAGTAATATTTTGTAATTTTTAAATCTTTTGAATTGGTGGTTCAGCGCACGAGTGCACTTAAGGTACAGCCGCCACTAGCCAATATATTAATCTCTCGTCTAAACTACACTATGATAATTTCGCTACAATCTGTTCAGTAGTTATTATGTGTAAGAGTAACAAACATACATCCATATATGCATGCATATATTAGTTTAATATATTGTTTATTTATTTACATGCATGTTTCTATATATTTCAGGATTTAGTTCGTCTTGATCTATGTTCCGCTATAGAGACAGCTGTCCAAGCCGATGAACGCTGGTGTTTGGAGTGCATGCGCCTCGTAGATTTACTTCTCGTTCTGCTGTGTGAAGGAAGACACGCTATACAGACGTCAGTAATGTATTAAATTTGTAATTTTAAGTACTTATATACATACTTATATTAGTTAATCTATCATCATGGTTATGCGACTACGACATGTATACATTATGTAATACTATATAATGTATATTTGTCAATCTTTACTCAAATATGACTAATTTGCCTTGGACGATTCTTTTTTAAATTACATATTTTAAAAGCAATATCTCTGCATATAGATAACAAAATAATTTTTTTCAGTAATTGAATTTATCAATAGAAAACTTTGAATTCATTTATACGTGTTTATTACTTTTACCTTCGCTTGTATGTTAATATTTTTAATGCACAAATTAATATATACTGTATATAGCAGTTCAAATCGCATGGGTTCCGCGTCGACCAGCGGGGCGGGAGGAGAGGGTTCCAGTAACGCCACAGCCACCGGGAGTCGCGGAGATAAATCTCACAGGCAGTTAATAGACTGTATAAGGGGCAAAGATACTGACGCTCTGATAACAGCTGTGACCAGCGGCTCTGTGGACGTGAACTTCACAGATGATGTGGGACAGACATTACTTAACTGGGCAGCGGCATTCGGTACTAGGGAGATGGTGGAGTTTCTGTGCGAGAAAGGTATGTAATATATAAACACATATATATATATATATATATATATATATATATATAGTTTTTGTAGACAAATTAGTCAGTGGTGGCCTAGTGTTAAAGGCCCGCTTCATACGCACGAGGGCCGGTGTGCGATCCTGGCCCTGGCAAGTACGAATGTGATTTTTCCGAGTCATATGTACTTTCTAAGAATAATTAGACATCACTGATTCAGAAAGAGGGTTGATGTCAGGCAGGCGGCCGGTCGTAAAAACAAATAGCCAAAACTATTCACAACATGTAAGGCAGACCCTGGCTGTAGCTAGGAAAATGTCAGGTAGAAGAAGTTTTTGTAGATAAATTAGTGAAATTCTAGTCGATGGACTTTAGCAAAGTAATGGAATCCAAAAGAAACATTATTACAATGTTAATCTTTCACTAAGAGGACTTTTATTGGTGGAATTTTTGTGTTTGTTAATCCGATATATGTGTAAACCAATTTAGACCTTATTTTTTATCGTGGTAGTTTTAAAAAATGTTTTATTTCAATTAGGTATGTACTTGAAAAAAATAATAGAAAATAATTTAAAAACATTTAACTCACGCTCAGTTGGTACAAAATATAGACATTTCATTCATATTATATAATATTGTAATAATATCTATGAAACGATTCCAGGTGCTGATGTTAATCGTGGTCAGCGTAGTTCATCTCTTCATTACGCTGCCTGTTTCGGTAGACCGGCTATAGCTAAAGTGCTGCTACGGTATGGAGCCAATGCTGATCTGCGTGACGAAGACGGCAAGACACCGCTGGATAAAGCAAGGGAACGACATGATCAAGGTATTATAACTAGCACAAACACAGGATATTTGAATGTTATATATATGTATAAGGACCTTGGCATATATATTTTTATTAAAATTATATTGAAATATTGAAATGGACTATACTAAAATTTATTTCCAGACCAGGTTTGATAGATATTATTTGAAGTTATAATATGTTCTATTCAGTTTTATATTCGTTTTCCTTGAAAATCTTGATGCCTATGCCTTTTAGATTTATTTTAATTTACACAATAATATACTTTAAGGCCACAGAGAAGTAGCAGCTATATTGCAGTGTCCAGGGGAATGGTTGGTTGTGAGTAACCAAGACTCGCCAGCGTCATCCAACGATGAAGACTTCCCGGAAACTGGTGATAAAGAAATGGCAGCCATATATTTAGAGTGAGTTTATAATCTGTATTAAAGTTAATTAAATTTCTTAGCTCTATTAGTGTTCTCGCATAGATAAATATTGATTTTAGCCCAAATGGAATGTAGAGTAGTCCATTTTTATTTAAAACTATTTTGTACTCATAGGTTACTCATCTAATAAAACATGTTATGATAATTTTGTATAAGAAACATTGTTTTCCACAATGAATATTTTTAAACTCAGTCAATTTGGTACAAAATTTAATGAGTCATACTAACTTATAAAAATAATAATTTATGAAACAAAATATCATATATAATTATTTCCAGTTATAGAACAGGTGCAAGTATAGATCAAAAGCAGTAAAGATACATATTATATGATAAATTATAGGGCCTAATCCTAAAAAGTAAACGTATTTGTTAAATTTCCAAATCAATAACTAAAGGTATCTCCACACAGGCGTCTGATTCCCGTGTTCTGCGCTCGTTACATCGGCGCGGGCGGTGCGGGCGTTCGTCGAGCGTGTTTATCGCTCGTACGCAAGATGGTGCACTACGCTCCGGCCGCGCGTCTGCGAGCGTTGTCCACGCCGCGGGCAGCCTCCCTTCTGACACGACTTTTGGCTCACGTGCTCGATACTCAGGTGATTTGTTATATTGAATATCATCGTAGATGAAAATATATGAAGCTCCTATATAGTTATTCCATTTTTAAAATTTATGTTTGAAAGCTATTCTCATATTACTATTCATACGGGATCATCGTGCACGATTTTTACAGTTTTTATTACAGATTGCGCTAAATAAGATACACTGTTGTTGATCTAAGTAATTTGAATTACTCGGCGTACATGAAGTATTCTACACTGCTAAAAGTCGTGCAGGATGTCACAATGCGTGTGTTAGTGTAAGCGAGTTAGTTATACGCGTGTAGTATTATGAGTGGTAAGTGCGGATGGTTGCACAGGTTGAGTCCCCGCGTCGGTCGTCGCGTGTTCTCCGAAGCCGCTATATCCGTCCGCCTGCGGTAATGTTCCGATGGTGTGATTGCGTTCAATTCCATCCCCACCCCATTCCGTTCCCATTGACACCGCACCTGGCTCTAGATTATTGAATTTACCCATAGAATTTTGTCAGTATTCCTAAGATTTAATATTTAACGAATGTACAAGATAAATAACGCTTATATATTATTTTCTATTAAGCTTTCAAAAGTTTTTCTTCTTCTTCTACCTGGCAATTTCCCAGCTATAGCCAGGGTCTACCTTACATGTTGTGAAAAGTTTTTGGCTTATTGTTTTTACGACCGGCCGCCTGTCTGAGATCAACCCTCTTTTGGGAAACAACATTAATCAGTGATGTCTAAATACTCTTAGAAAGTACTTATGAGTCGGAAAAATCACATTGGTACTTGCCCGGGCCAGGATCGAACCCGCGCCCTCGGCGACGAGAGGCGGGCCCATTAACCACTGAGCCACCACTGACTAAAAGTTTTTATCAGTAATTAACTGTATTATATACAGAGATAAATTATTTATCTTTATATTATATTTATCTTTATAATTTATCAATCACTAGCTTCCCGCCCGCAGTTTCGCCCGCGTGTAGTTCGGTTATATCGCGTTTCCAAAAGAACCTTTAAAAAATTTGGGATAAAATCTATCCTATATTCTTTCTCAAGGTCAACTCTATCTCTGTACCAAATTTCATTAAAATCAGTTCAGTGGTTGAGACGTGAAAGCGTAACAAACAGACAGACAGAGTTACTTTCGCATTTATAATATTAGTAGCGATGAATATTAAATCTATATATTATTCTCTTATAGACCAAAAATATATTAAAAATTTTAGTTAAATATTATAATAGTTCAAAATTTTAGAGCCATATTGAATGTAAATTAAATTCTTCTATGTTAATAGTGTCTTGCTGTGAATAAATAATAACGAAAAATTCTATTTTCTAAACACATTGTATATATGGTCATTAAATTCTTGAGAAATGCTGTAATTCATATACGTATATATGTTCATCTTAATTAATTGCCGACATTTATTTTATATGTACAAAATTTCCTGTTTTTCCTTAAAGCTTAGCTCTTATAGCAATTCTCGAATCTTCTGTGTCTAACTAATTTCATACAATTTTAATATTCCAATACTAATAAGCATTTTGGCAAATAAATTTATTAGTATGACCATGTGATCTTATAGAAAAACAGCTTATCTTATAAAATCACACCATCGAAATTTACCTGCATAAGCTGTCCCGTTTGTTTATCCATATTAATATATTTATGATTAATTATATATGTATGTATATAAAAGTTTTTACGTTTCATATAATAGTGTTTCACTTAATAGTAACGTTTTTTTTACTTTATTAGGACGATGATGATGGTCATTTAACAGTTCTGGGTATAGCCGAAGAATTGATGGTGAAGGCTGCTGATATATACTTGGAACAGTTTGCACGTTTGGGAGTGTTTAGTAAAGTGGAAGCTTTGGCCGCCGCGCCTGCTAATGAGATGAACGCTGACGGGGAGACAGTCATAACTACTGGTAAGTTAAATTTTATATAATATGTTATACATATTATATCGTAGACGAAACTTCTTAGTATTAAATAGATACATCGTGCGGGTCCATCGCGTTGAAGAGAGAGGAGCTTCAACAGTGCCTGGGACTTGCGACTCAGGTGTAGGTTTAAAAGTCCCCTATCTGAGGCGCGTTACACGCTCACCTTCACTGCCCAAGCTCCTCTCCCTACCTAACCAAATTTGAAAAGAATCTACTAGGGCTGCCTTCGACGTACGTTCCAAGAATGAACTGGTGTTCTGGACAGGCCCTGTCCTTTAGTAGCTTGTAGAGAGATTTAGCTGTTATACCTCTTGCTCCTACTACTACTACTACCGCGAACAAATTTATGCCGAACCTATTAAATATTTTCCTAAAGTCCGTAACTAAGGAACTTATTACAAAATTTTCGAACGCAGCAGGATTGCAATGGTATTTTTAATAATAAGTTGAGAAGGAGGTTGAGAAGGAACAAAATAACCATGTTATTTTAGAATCTATTAAATGATTGCTTTGGGTGAGAAAACTAATTTTTTGTGGTCAACAGATGTGTTAACAGTTAAATTTGATGTACGTTTTTTAATATACAACAAACACAAATTTGCAACTGTCATAGAATAGAAGGAAAGAATGGAAATTTGTAGCTTGAATGGGATAAAATATCAGCTTTTTTTTAAGGTTAATGGCTTTGTTAAGAGAATTTGTTTGTTTTCCAGGTGTGAGTGAAGACGCTACCAGTCTTTCCAGTGGCTGTGCCTATTGGTGGGGAGAGTGGTCTCTATGTCGTGGTAGGGATGCCCTCTACTGTTGGAGCGACGCCGCCGCCCTCGAGCTCAGCACCGGTTCAAATGGATGGTTTAGATTCTTATTGGATGGAAAACTTGCCACCATGTACTCAAGCGGCAGCCCTGAACATCAGACAGATAACACCGGTTGGTTAATAATGATTGTATTGCAACATAGTCAGTGGTGGCCTAGTGGTTAAAGAGTCCGCCTCTTGTTGCCGAGGGCGCGGGTTCAAACCTGGCAAGTACCAATGTGATTTATCGGAGTCATATGTACTTTCTGAAAGTATTTAGACACCACTGACATACGGTGAAGGAAAACATCGTGAGGAAACCTGGACTTATAGTTTCACAATTATAAGTTTGAAATCACCAACCCGTCTTGAGCAAGCATGGTGATTAATGCTCAAACCTTCTCCATGTGAGAAAGAGGCCTTTGCTCAGCAGTGGGCGTTGATAGGCTGATGACGACGTATTGCAACATAAATATTCCTATTATGAATGATAATAGGATTGATTAAAATTACAAGTATGGTCAATACGAATTATTTATGCTTTTATTCTTAAGTGTATGTTAAAACAATTCAGAACATAATATAATTTTAATAACCTTTGTAAATTATATACGTAATGATATTCAAATGAAAAGCTACATTTTTAAAGTTGAACATTGGCACCAACTTTTAAATGAAAACAAAATACCAATATCCCTAAATTTCAGAAAATCGTGGGGAATTCATCGACAAACTCCAGAGAGCGAGAGCGTCTGTCAAAAATTGCGTACCTCAAAGTATATTGTCTAAACCGGGTCCTACAAAATTGGTACTCGGCAATTGGGTTATTTCATGCAAAAAGTGAGTAGAATTTTATAACATTACAAATAATATTTTATTGAAAATAACTTATTTTAATGTGTTTATTAGGGAGAAGGAGCTTCATATCCATAATACAGATGGTCAACAGCAGACAACTATATTGAGAGAAGACTTACCCGGATTTATCTTTGAATCAAACAGGGGAACAAAACACTCATTTACGGCAGAAACTTTCTTAGGTATATGTGCATGGTTTTTTTTTAAATTTTAAACACAAACTTTTTTGTCTTTATATTAATTACCAAATAATATCCAATGAGTTTCATTATAAGAAATGACAAATGTCTAAAATATTATGTTATATAATATTCCACTATACAAATTAAGTCAGTGGTTTCCTAGTGGCTAAAAGGCCCGCCTCTCATGCATGAGGGCGCGGGTTCGATCCTGGCAAGTACCAATATGATCTTTCCGAATCATATGTACTTTCTAAGAGTATTAAGACATTATTGATTAATGCATTCCCAAAGAGGGTTGATGTCAGGCAGGCGGCCGGTCGTAAAAACAATTAGCCAAAACTATTCACAACTTGTTAGACAGACCCTGGTTATAGCTGGGAAATTGACAGGTAGAAGAAGATTCCACTATACAAATTGTTTTTCATATAAATCAATGTGAACAAATTGTTTTTCATATAAATTAATGTGAACAAATATGAACAATATTTTTTCTTTCAGGTCCAGAGTTAGCCAGCGGTTGGGCAGATCGCAGGCCGGTGGTATCTAACGGTCAAAGTCACAGTCGTAGTCGACTTTCCGCTAAGAGCGAGGCTCAGAAGGCGCAAGTATCAGAGCGAGCCCGCGCCTTGTACACGAGACACCTCGCCAGCGCGGCCGGCAGACAGCCGCGCGCGCCAGTCGCCAGGCTAAGAGCGCTTTTATCTAAACTGCAGACACTCGCAACACATCCTAATGGTAAAACTGATATTAGTTTATAGTAATTAAAGTCCAGTGCTTCCCAAACTTATTTTGTTTACTGCTTATTTCGAGAATATATTATTTTCTAGCGTCCTCTTTTATCACATAATGAATATTAAAAGTATCCTAGGCAAATGATGTCACCAACAATTGTATGTCACCAGTGGCGGCTGGTGGGTTATCGAACTGGTGGTGCACTTTACTAAAATATTAAAATTAGAAAATACAACAAAAAAACAATTGACATAAAATATGTTTATTTTTTATACATTAATTAATGCAACGACATTTTCTCGAAGCGAAATGTTCAATCACCTATTTATTAAAATCGGGTATTGTTTGTATATTTTTTTATTCAATACTAAGCACAGAAAGTGCATTTAGCAAGTGCAAGGTATTTCGGAGAAAAGTTTTGATTCTTTTCAATTCCAATTCGTCATACATCGGGTGCTCTCGGTAATCTTCGGCCGCTCGTGCGGCGCTCTAAAACCGACTCATTACTCGGTACATTTCTATGAACTATCTTTTGTTTCACGCGTCAGGCGTATTATTTCCTATCCCAAACAAAATGTATTAGCAGTCCTAGTGCACTCGCCGAAGTGCACGAGATATTAGTCTAGTAAAGCGCTCAAACTTTTTGACTATAATTAAAAATTTAATTTTTTATACGTTTTTGTATGTTTAGAAAATAAATATTAAAATGGTAATTTATAAATAAAGATGAAGTAATATTTTGTTATTATTAATTCTTTTGAATTGGTGGTTCAGCGCACGAGTGCACTTAAGGTACAGGCGCCACTGTATGTCACCCTCAGACCTCTACATAACTTTTTTTTTTGGGTCTCTTACCGCCCCACTTTTGGAAGGTTGAATTAGACTAATGCATCATGTTGATAAAAATAATAATATCATCAATATAGTATTAATTAATAATTTACATAAGACATTCGTTTTAGTGTTTTATGTAATATTTATAGTTTTTTTTATTTTCTTTTTAATTTATGGATACTGAAATGTATTTGTCACAAATCAAATGACTTGATTCGCGATCAAGAAATCAAATATCACAGTAACTCATACTAACAATTTTATAGGTTAGTGATTGATTATATTCTATTAGACAAGGAAGACTAGTAGACTCAAGACAATGACATTTGGTTCCAACCATATGGTATTAATATATGTAACACTCTTATAATTTCAATAACGCAGGTGATTGGCATCAAGAATTGAAATCTTCTCTGGAGCAGCTGACTGAACTACTGTGTGGGGAGGAGTTACTATCTGCTTATGAATTGCAGTCCTCAGGCTTGGCTCCGGCTTTGCTGCAAGTACTCTCACCGCAGCCGAATGGTAAGATAAAAGTATATAAGTTTATTTCATACTCTATCTTCTTTAACCTACAGTTTTGTTCATATTTGTCTTTATATCCTCTCAATGGTAATTTTAATCCTTTCATTACGGAACTAGTCTATGTTTTTGGATTTAACTCGTGTATTCTGTGAGTGACTATAATTTTCAGATAAGCCAGGCCAGTTATCAGAGCGGGAGAGCGTGGTCCGCGGGTGGGCGTGGTCTGGTGATCCAGCGGGTTCATGTGGCGCGGCTCTAGCTGGTCGGCTGGTTGCGGTTTTGGAGAGTGTGGAGCGTCTGCCTGTACTAGCACCTGCACCTGACGCGCCGCCTCACCAACCACCTACATTACATCACCTCACCAAACGGATCAGGTATTAATAGATTAGATTAGTTATAGACTCACATACCTACATATACAGGGTGACTGGTGAATTACTATCAATATTTAAGGAGAATACTCGGTACATGATTCTCATTCGAATTATGTAAAAAAAATAGGTACTTAATTTTTGACAAAATTTCCGTATAAATAAATAAAGTGTTGACACGTTCCAAGTGTTCCAAGCGTGGACGTGTGCGGCGGCGTGCTGATACAACACTACGCCGCCGCCGCGTCTGTGTGAGTGTATGTGTATACCTAATCTGTAGGGTGTTCATACGATGCGTAATTAATTACATAACTTTTGGTTAACTTTACTTAGAAGTTTATTAATATTTATGTTATATTAATTTTTATTTTGTCATATATGATCGTCAAATATCACGTCCTCAAGTATCGATAGTAATTCACCAGTCACGCTGTATAGAAAGAGGCTAAATCTATGACAAATTTATGCATGATTATGTACATGTTATATGCAAATTATAATTTAGGTATCTGTTCGTTAACATTTCTTGTATTGAAAAAATTGCGAATTGTAATTCATGGCAAATAAAAGAAATTTGTGTTATTAATTTTGAATAATTAAAAATATATAAGATGACTGCAATTGTTGAACCGTTATATCCTTTCAGGTTGCGAGTGGAACGTGCTAACGAAGAGACGTCAGAAGAATCTGCTGCCAATAATAATGCAGGGCGCAGTCTGAAAGTGGAAGCTTTGACTACTGTTCGTCAACTGGAGAGATTCCTCGCTAAGTCTGTGGCCCGGCAGTGGTACGACATGGACCGGACAACTTTCCATTTCGTACAGAAGATTAAGTCTGAAGCACCAATGACGTTCACTTATGACGTAAGATACATACATTAAGTTCATAAAATAAAACTAATCTTTAATAAACCATGGGAGAATATAACATTAAATTCATCAGTTATAGATTTATAACTAATTTTCTATAATATTTTTTACTTTTTTCAGCACGATTTCGACGAAAACGGCGTGTTATATTTCATCGGCAGTAACGGCGGTACATGTGAATGGGTTAACCCGGGTGCTCACGGTCTCGTGAGTGTGTGGAGTTCAGACGGGAAACAGTTGCCTTACGGTCGCGCTGAGGACGCACTGTCTAGATCCCCGGAGCCGCTTAATGTTCATACTAATGATGATAGACGTGCCTTTATAGCTGTCGATCTAGGATTACATCTGGTACCGTCAGCATACACCTTGAGGCATGCTAGAGGTTATGGAAGATCTGCGCTTCGTAATTGGCTGTTTCAAGTGAGTTAAATTATATTTTTTGTAATAATATATTTATATAATTTATCCGTTTACATGTTTACTATAAACCCTGACGTCTACACTAGGCTAGGCCGGTACAGTGAACATTTATGATTTAGTTAATTATTACTATGCTTATAATAAAAGAATCATACAGATATTGGTATTGTATGTTAAGGTTATTACGATTTTAAACAAGTTTTATGATATTATGGTATTGCAAGAGCTAAAATTTTAACTATAAATATTTCAAATAATTGTATGTAAACTTCCTCAGATGTCTATGGACGGTGTTAGTTGGACTACATTAGTGGCGCACTGCGATGAGCAAGCGTTACAGGAGCCCGGTAGTACGGCCACGTGGCGGGTGCGGGTAGACGCACACTACCGCTACCTGCGGATACAACAGAATGGAAAGAACGCCAGCGGACAGAGCCACTACCTGTCGTTGTCCGGTCTGGAGGTATACGGGAAGGTAATGATTGTTCTATAAGACAGCATTCAATAAACTTCTCATCTGATTTAAACTAATTCATAGACCGATATATTACCGAATTAGTTTAACGTGTAAAGTATCCATTACATATGTAATGGATACTTTACACGTCCTGACTTCTTGATAGATACTTGTTTTAACTAATATTATAGAATAAAAGCATATGAGTATGTATGGATGTTTGTTGCTCTTTGACTCACAAACTATTTATGTTCAAGACTAGTCATCAGAATAAGACATAGTCTATTATTTATCTCGGAATCTTGTGTATTTACCTCAAAATTAAAGCATAACAAATGTACAAGTCTAGAAAAACTGTGACAAAAGAGTTCGTTTCTTTAAAAGAATATGCTATCTGGCCCACTTAGCTTAATAATATAGCGATGAACATTATTTAAATACATAGAAAGACTAATTAACGTAAATAGCTAATTTCTTTTTTTTAATATCGTCTGTTTTTGTTTTGCCTAATAATAATAATAATTAATTAACTATCTCAGCAACAGCGCAATCACTCGTAAACGTTTCACACTAATATACTTACTTTTCTATCTGTAGGTGGTGAGTGTAGTCGAGACTCCGCCTCGTCAAGTCGGCAGTACAAGTACATCTAGCTCGTGTTCGGGGGCGCGCGCTCGCCGTTGGTCGCGAGGAGCCCGGGGGCTGTGTGCGGGGGCAAGGGTCATGAGAGGCGTGGACTGGAAGTGGCGCGACCAAGACGGACCTCACCCCTCGGTGGGAACTGTGACCTCTGACCTGCATAATGGATGGGTCGATGTCAGGTATGAACTGAGCAATGTTTATTTGTATTATTGTTATCTTAGTGTATGTAATTTAAATTAATTTCTAACTATCGTTAATGTTATTTGTATCAACAACTAGGTAATTGAATATAATTTATATGTTCCTATTTATTCATTAGTCCTAAATTGTACCCAAATAATGTAGCACCTAACAAGAATATTGTTTTTGTAACAATTATGCCGTGTACACATACTTAGGAATATAATCAAGCTAAAAATAATTTTAGACTGTAACTCATATGTAATCCGGATTAAATTCCTTTTGTGTGCCTTAATAAATAAATAAAATGAATAAATAAATAACGGCTGACAATATGAGTTAAATGTTAGTATAGTGCGTTTGATTTAAGTTGAGCTTTGCATTTGTGAGAGTGCACACGGATAGTGTAGGTGTGATATCAAATTTTTGAATGCCACATTCTTTTCTAGTTTTGAACCGGTTTATTCTGCATTTACCCCGCCCCTCACCGTCCGCACTTTATCTTTTGTACTGATAGCAAAATCAAATGTTGAAAACGCAATGTCAAGTGAAGAAGAATTTGTATAGTTTTTTTAATTTTTTTTTTTAATTAATATTTTCTTTTCCATAATATTCATAATATTTCCATCTGGCCTTTTACAAAATTTGCTTATTTTATAGCACTTATGTTATTTATCTATTTAAAATACAGGGTGTTCTAAAAACTGTGTCAATCCTTGAAGGCATGTATACATATAAGTATAAGCTTATTATAAAAAATAGTATAATTTAAAAAATATCAAGCACTGACCTCCAGTTACAATGCATAGGCTAAACAAGTTTTAAATTGACATCATTTGAAAAAATGTTCCAAACATCTGACCCATACAAGGTCAAGGCACCGTATAGTCGTGACGGCGCATGCGTGGCCATTGCCCGCAGGCGCCGGGCCGCCGGTGTTATTATTACTATTTTGTTAGTTTTTCGAATAGAGATTTGGAAGTTTAAAAATTTGGTGTATCGATAAATATTCTATCCATATTTTCAATATTGCTATAAATAGTTGTGCTTTTCACATTTAACTAATTTCATTTAAAATAACTTTTATAAATAATAAATATTTTTAATCAATATTATAATTTGGAACTTTTTCAGGTAAATTAACTATGTTGTACATATTATTAGGATAAATCGTTAATCTATTTCTGTTAAAAATGGTGTTTTACAGTCAAAAATAATACTAATGTTTGATATATCAAAATAAGTATCGAGATAATATGAATATTAAATATTTATTTATTGTTATGATTTTTTAAATATCGATATTTTCAATAATGTGAAAGTAACTTCGAGTTCGTCACTACTGGCGCAGCAGGTGTGATGACGCCATTGAGTGTCATCGTGTTATACCAGGGCTTACAAGCTCAGCTTAAGTCTAACGGACTATATTGGGTGATAATGGGAAAATGATAGACGATATTGACTAACCGTTGGTAAAAATGGCTGACTCGAGACTTAGTAATTTGAGGTTTACTTGGTGCTAGAAATGATAGTTTCGTTACATATTACACACTTAAAATATATTTTTAATTTTGTCAGACACTTTTCACAGCCATCCATTGTGCATAATGAATTGCTGTGGAATTAAAATTATTATTAAATGTTCCATCAGATACTCTACAATGAGGAACAGTTAATTAAGATTTAATATTAAATACCCTGATTTGAGCAGGTGGGATCACGGCGGTCGGAACTCATACCGTATGGGGGCAGAGGGCAAGTTTGACCTTAAGGTCGTTGGAGGGGGCGCGACCGGCGCCTGCGGGGGGGAGGGGGCGCGCGCCTCCAGGAAGAGTCACTCAACACCCAGCCTACCAGATGCAACGGGAACAGAGCAACAGGTGAGAGAATATATATGAATTGCATACAAACTCATTAATATACAGGGTGACTGGTGAATTACTATCGATACTTGAGGACGTGATATTTGACGATTATATATGACAAAATAAAAATTAATATAACATAAATATTAATAAACTTCTAAGTAAAGTTAACCAAAAGTTATGTAATTAATTACGCATCGTGTGAACACCCTACAGATTAGGTATACACACACACACACACACACACACACACACACACACACACACACACACACACACACACACACACACACGCGTGGGGCGGCGTGGTGTTGTATCAGCACGCCGCCGCACGCGTCCACACTTGGAACACTTGGAACGTGTCCACATTTTATTTATTAATACGGAAATTTGGTCAAAAATTAAGTACCTATTTTTTTTACATAATTCGAATGAGAATCATGTACCGAGTATTCTCCTTAAATATTGATAGTAATTCACCAGTCACCCTGTATATTTCGTTTAGACAAAAAACTACTTTACGGAGTAATTTTATTGGTTTATTTCAGAACTCATACGTATAGTACACTAAAGCGCAATAAACATTCTCCATTATGTGTCAATATATACTAGGATTTTTTTTTAAATTATTTAATTGTTTAAAGTCAGTAATAAGTCATAGAAGTTTATTGTTGTTTCGCGAAACAAAACGATCAGATTATACACGTTTTATGGATAGCATGATAATTATCTACAACAGATTTAAATGGAAATTATCGTTCCATATTGGTAATATTTTCCTTACACCATTAATATACAAAGTTTAACTTCTAATGAATATATTCGTATAACGTATATTTTTCCAGGTTTCCGTGGCTTCTACGGAGCAGGCGTCGTCTGCGGATAATATATCGTCGGAGGTTGGCGGTAACATGGCTCGACCGAGAGGTAACGCAGCCGACCTGTCCGCTATCAACACATCCACACATCATATAAACACAGGTACATATTAATATGATTGGAGTTATATTGGTATAGAATAAAGTACCTATAAAGAACAAACGACCTGGAACGGTTTTGACCAAGTTTTTATTTAACCTTTTTTTTGTATGTAATTTATATATATTATATTATTTAGTTCGGAAAAATAATTAATTGTTTTTTTATGATTTTATTTTTCATGTGTTATCTTTTTACGTTATTATAAATTGGAAATTTCTCATTAAATAAATGTAACCTATAATACCTGTAATACCTAACCTGTAACGATGAATACTTTTTACCTAATTTGTTTGTGTTTTAATTTGATATATAAAAAAAGTGAGAACAATAACAAAATACAGAAGCGTACAGTTTTATTTGTAAACTTCATATTTTAGATCTTGCGACAATCGTAGAATCCCTCACACTGGGCGCAGAAAGCAACAACTGTATGTCGGATCTCGGCAACACGTCCTTCACCAATATGGAGATGGGACCGACCAGCATCACTGACATCACTAAACCGTATCCTGCTAAAGAACCCCTACCAGATTCTACGTCCCAAGAGGTCAGTATAAAATGGACAGATCTTACTCTTCGTAGTAAGTTAATATGGTTGATCATTAATATATTTTTAACACCCGTATTAACTCTTCTAAAGTTTCCATCACTAACAAACCCTTAAACCTGACTTAGATGCTAGTTGTTGTAATATACACCGTGTTAGCTACATCCCCTTTGTGTGTGAGGTGTGATGACTCCTACGGTATTACCAGTTTAATTGTACAAATAATATTATGACGAAGATAACAATATATTTCATTCTATTACGAGAAATAATAATATTTTACCCACTATGGTATCTAAGTTCCAAAATGTAACAAATATAACGTCAATATTACGGATATAAAATTTCTATAAACATTCTTTGTCATGATGCGTCAATACTCAATATCTTGAGAGAATTTTTGTAATAATTCCTTGTTAGTGACTTGTAAAGTATTAGAATTCGTTAAAAACTGGTAATACCATGGAGTGCGTGTGTCAGATGGGTTCGTTGCGCTGCGATGGTGAGGCGATGCGCAACAGCGCCAACGCGCTGCTGTCCAGCGAGCTGCTAGCGCTGCCCGCCTCGCTGCTGCATACGCTGCGCAACAACGCTAACAGGCTGCACATACAGGTGAATAAACATGATACCAGCTTTGTAAGAGGAACATGTCCAACGAGAGAAGATAAAAATTGTAAACATTTTTCATCTAACGGGATATGATGCTTGGTGTTATGGATCCTTATTATAAAAATCCTCAATTTACCCCGAATTTGTTTTTGTTTTTTTAACTGTAATACGATCTAAAATCTATTGATTGCCAGTGTAGCGGTAGTTGATGTTTGAATTTTAAAACCACAAAAAAAATATTTTGCAAAAACAAATAAATGCAAATATAACAGAAATATCTACGTTTGAAGAACAATTGTAAATCTTAATAAATTATATGTAATTAATTCTATTTATAGTTCTTAGTCACTTGTAGTTATACATATAAAGGTAAGTAAAAACCCGTTGTATATAACTTCATACAATAAAATTTTATATATTTAAGTCTTCCTTCTTGGCAGCATCTTGTTCAGTAAATTCTGGTGTTGTCACGTGGGAAAACTAGATTTATCATTTTGTATTATAAGTAGCATTAAGTAGCAAAAAACATTCCTTACTCTCCTATCCACATGTATTATATAAAATTTTTTCGTGGATACTTATTATATTTGAAATATAACTTGGAAATGCAATTGGAAAATTTCAAAACTTCAATGTTAATTTTAAACGCTCTTTAATATCACTTAGAGTGAAGAATAGTTACGAACACTTGTATAAATTTGGGTACTAACACTACTTACAAAACAATTTAATTTTTTCATTCCTTAGGTTAACTAATGAAAAATTTAATACGATCCGTGTGTCAAAGAATTTTATTCATATTTAATGTTCTACTTTATTAATTTGATAAATGTTTTAACATTTTTCTTTAAAAAGATCGCTATATGTAATTAATATGGTTCTACAAACACTTCTATACCATTGCTTATAGGTATATTCAATATAGCTTTTATTTACCGCCCCATATTTTAAATAATCACAGAATTAGTACCAGCTTATATTCCGTTACATAATTGTTGTTTTATATTGATTTAAAGATTTATTTAATCTAATTTCTCCAGTGCGAGGAGAATGAGGGCGGTGAAGCTCAGTTTGGTGAACACAAGAAGGATAGCCAGGCGGCCGCCGGTGCTATGAGTGCTAGCGAACCTGATTTAACACAACAGGTGATATAAACAATTATATGGATAAAAAATATTATTAAATCTAAGATAGTCCATTAAAAAGTTGAAGTTACACAGATAAGATATAGATGAAGGTCACAGATTATAGACATATACGTCTGGGAGTCGCTGCGCGTCAGCCGTCGAAGGCGGACGTGCCGTTCGATCGCGTCCGTGACTAATGTTCGTAACATTCAAGGTTATCTGTCGTGTCGTGTTTTAAAAACGCTCTGACTGTGTTTGTGTTATATGCCCAAGGTCAACTGACTTTAGACTTTGATGTCTGTGACAGGCGGAGTTGATGTGGTGACTGAGATGGACAGTGATGGGGCTTCACCCGCAAAGATTGTGGGTGGCTCCATGTTGGACAAAGGCTATGGAATAAAGGATTACCGAGTACGTGTGCCGAGGTTGTCGGATTCGGAAATGTCTGACTGTAGCGTGCGGACAGCGGAGTCACTTTCGGACAGTCGGCTGTGGAGGAAAAGGTCCGCCGGGAGTGCGCTCAACTCTCCCGAGACGGCGGAAGAGACGGCCACTGAGGCGAGCGTCGCTCCAATCAAAGGAGCGGCGCACAAATCAAAAAGAGGGCGGGGAAGGCCTCCTTCTACTGGCCAATACGTTGGCTTACACCGTGCCAAAGTAGAGCTGGCCAGGGCCCAAGAGAAAGAGGCGAGACTCCAAGCAGTGGCCTGCTCCACGCGAGGAAGCGGAAAGCGGGATGAGGAGATCAAGCTCTTGCGAGAAGAGAACGCTGAGCTACGCAAGCGTCTGGAGGAGATGGACGCAACGATTGCCCAACTTGTTCAAAGCGTTAAAGCTTCTACTCAGGAGTTCGATGAAGACAGAGTTGTCCGTAAGGTTGTGGAAGCATTGGGCCGTGCGAATGTGCCAGAGCTCCGGCTCAGGCCTCCGCTAGCTAGTGATGGAAGAAGGACGGCGGTGACGGCCACTACCTCGACGGCTCCTGGACCTCTGGCTCCAGCACTGCCGGCTGTAGCGGGGGAAAAGGGCCATTCAAAGAAGGTCCGCAAGAAGGCATCTATGGCCGCAACTGAGGCTGCACTGGGATCATCGCTAAAGCCCGTAGACGCGTCTCCGTCAACAGAAGCCCCGGAGAAGAATAAAGCTCCGTCTTGGAGCCAGGTGGTTAGAAAGAAGAGCGCCCCAAAACCAAAAACGGCGCCACCACCCCCCAAGAAGAAGACGGTGAAGATCAAACCGCCGAAGACTGCGGCGGTCGCTATCACCATCCTCCCGGAGGCAGGAGAAAACGCCACCTATGAGGCGGTGCTGAGGGAGGCACGCCAACGCGTAGATGTCCAGGCGCTGGGTCTTGGGCCCTTAAAATGGAGGAAAGCGCAGACCGGGGCTCGGATATTTGAGATCGGTGGGGAGGGCTCTGCTGCGAAGGCAGACCTCTTCGCTGAAAAGCTCAGGGAGGTAGTGAATCCCGAGGCAGTGAAGATCCACCGCCCAGTGATGCGCACTTCAATCCGAGACGCTGGTCTGGACGAGTCCGTTACTCAGGCTGAGGTAGTGGCAACGGTTGCTCAGGTGGGCGGCTGCCCCGCCGAGCTTATCGTTGCAGGTTCCCTCTCAGCGTCGGGCGCTATCCTGCTGGGAGTCCCAGCGGCAGCCGCCAAAAAAGTGGTTGACGCGGGCCGGATCATCGTTGGATGGAGTTCCGCTCGCATTTCAGCAATGGCACCGGTGGCTCGGAAATGTTTCCGGTGCCTGGCGACCGGACACTTAGCGGCCATGTGCAAGGTCGCTCAGGGAGTTCCCCGGGGCCACTGCTATCGCTGCGGACAGCCGGGTCATTTCGCACGGGATTGCAAAAACGATCCGAACTGTGCGGCGTGTACCGCACTAGAAAAACCAGCCACACACGTGGCCGGATCCGAAGGGTGCTGCCTCAAAGCCCAGACAGCGAAAAAGGGCAGTGGGGGGGCAAGGCTCCCTAAGCCCTCCAGCAGAGGAGACATGGATACATCCTAATCCATGGATCTAGAAATACTGCAAGCGAACGTAAACCACTGCGCCAGGGCCCAGGATCTTTTTGTCCAGACCATGGCGGAGTGGCAAACACAGATCGCAGTGGTCGCTGAGCCATACGTCGTGCCCCCTCGGGATGACTGGGTTGGGGATACGGAGGGACTAGTGGCCATCGTCGCATCGCGAGTCAACGGAGCCCCTCCTCTGATATTTACAGCCAGGGGCCGAGGTTATGTGATGGTTAGCGTGGGCGGCACTGCAGTAGTGGGGGTGTACTGCTCCCCTAACGAGGGCTTTACTGCTTTTCAGCAAGTTCTTGTTGAGGTGGGAGCTCTAGTCAACAGAGTGCACCCTTGCCCCGTGCTAGTCGCCGGGGATTTCAACGCCAAATCTCGAGCGTGGGGATCTGCGGTGACGAACGCACGGGGAAATTTACTGGAGGAGTGGGCTATAAGCCTCGGTTTGGAGGTCCTCAACAGGGGAAGCGAGTTGACGTGTGTACGTCACAATGGAGGGTCGGTGGTTGACGTCACATTCGCCTCTGCCCCCCTGGCGCGCCGTATCGCAGATTGGACAGTGGTGGTTGACGCTGAAACCCTGTCGGATCACCGCTATATCCGATTCAGGGTGGCCGCGTCTTCTACGTCACAAGTCGGAGCTTCCCCTACTGGAGATGGAAGAAAATGGGTGCTGGGAAAACTGGACATTTCCCTGGCCAAAGAAGCGGCCATCGTGGAAGAGTGGTCCAGGAGGTTATCGTCCGACAACCTGGATCACGAAGTTGACGTGTTCTGCGGTGCGCTGGTCCGTATATGCGAAGCCTCGATGCCGAAAGCGCGTCCGGTCACCCCACGGCACCGGGTGTACTGGTGGCGAGACGAACTCCGCGATTTGCGTCGAGCGTGTGTCACCGCCCGCCGTCGCCATGCCCGCGCCAGGCGTAGGAGCGTACGGGACGTTCAGAGAGAGGACGTCCTATACGAGGAGTACCGGGTTGCACGCAAGGCTCTGCGGATGGGGATCAGCGCTGCCAAGGAGGCGGCCTGGAACGAGTGGCTAGAGTCACTGGATCGGGATCCGTGGGGGCGGCCCTACAAGGTCATCAGGGCCAAATCCAGGCCTTGGACCCAGCCGATCACGACCACTCTTCAGCCACAGTTCCTGGAGGAGGTGGTGGAGGCGTTGTTTCCTCGAAGGGAGCCTTGGACGCCTCCAGCTATGGCTGATAACTCGCCAAACGAGTCCGGTAGTCCGGCGGTATCCGAGGAGGAACTGTGTCGTGCGCGTGCAAAGCTGCCGATCAAGAGGACCGCCCCGGGCTTGGACGGAGTTCCCGGTCGGGTGGTGAACATAGCGTCTGAGGCAATGGAGGCATGGATACGTGAGGTGTTCTCCATGTGCCTGGACCGAGGCCGGTTTCCGGCTTGTTGGAAGGTGGGGAAACTGGTCCTACTACGGAAACCAGGCCGGGACGAGGGCCTACCGTCGGCATATCGGCCGATTGTGCTCCTGGACGAGGCGGGTAAGCTCTTTGAGCGAGTGCTCGCGGCTCGTCTCGTCCAGTCGATGAGCAGAAGTCTGCACGAGACCCAGTTCGGCTTCAGAGAGGGCCGGTCGACGGTCGACGCAATCCTGCGTGTCAGGTCGCTCGCTGAGGAGGCTGTGTCTCAGGGTGGGGTGTTGCTAGCGGTATCGCTAGACATCTCCAACGCCTTCAACACACTTCCCTGGGAGACAATACTTGCAGGCCTGAGGTGGCACGGGGTGCCCGAGTACCTGCAGGTCGTAGTGGCGGACTATTTTGTGGGCCGCAAAATAGTATACCCCACGCAGGGGGGCCGTTGGGTCTATAAGGCGATGTCATGCGGTGTTCCACAGGGGTCTGTCCTAGGCCCCCTCTTGTGGAACATCGGCTACGACTGGGTGTTACGGGGAGCTAATGTTCCCGGTGTCTGCGTGACTTGTTACGCAGACGACACCCTGGTCACGGCTTACGGTTCATCTTATCGAGAGGCGTCAATCGTCGCAACAGCGGGTGTGGCTCAAGTCGTGCGACGGATTCGTACCCTGGGATTGGAGGTGGCTCTTGACAAGTGCGAGGCCATTTCCTTCCACGGTCCTCGGAGGGGACCGCCGAGGGGAGCGTGTATTGTGGTCGGAGGAACTTTTATCTCTGTTCAGCCCTGGCTGAAGTACCTAGGGCTGGTCCTCGACAGTCGATGGACGTTCGGCGAGCATTTCCGGCGACTGGAGCCCAAGTTGGTCGCGGCGGCTGGCGCGTTGGGGCGCCTGCTTCCGAACGTCGGTGGTCCCAGTGTGGCATGTCGTAGACTCTACACTGGGGTCGTTAGATCGATGGCACTGTACGGTGCGCCTGTATGGGCCCGGTCTCTCGGCCCGCGAACGACAGCCTACCTCCGCCGTCCGCAGCGTATCTTGGCGCGACGCGTGGCGCGGGCGTACCGTACAGTGTCTTTTGAGGGGGCCTGCGTGCTGGCCAGCACGCCAACGTGGTACCTGGAGGCCGATGCGTTGTCGGCTGTCTATCACCGGCGCGCGGAGGCTCGCAGCCATGACGGAGGAGTTGCGTCCGGGTCGGTCGCCGAATGGAGAAGGGATGCGGCGGCCAACGTTCTACGTAGATGGGGTGAGCGACTGGCTTCTCCGACGGCCAGTTATGAACTGGCCACCGCTGTCAGGCCTGTTCTTTGCGAGTGGGTGGGTCGCACGTTTGGCCCACTGACCTACCGCCTGTCACAGTTGCTGTCGGGACACGGATGTTTCGGCAGGTATCTGTGGCGGGTGGTGGGCAGGGAAGAAAGCCCCGCCTGCCATCACTGCGGGGGTGGCGTGGAGGACTCGGCGCAGCATACTCGCGAGTCATGCCCAGCGTGGGACAGCCTTCGCGCTGCTTTGACTACGGTCATAGGGAGGGACCTCTCGTTGCCGGCTATAATCTCGGCTATGGTCGGCAGCGAGGAGGCATGGGAGGCGGTGGCCGCTTTTGCCGAAGCGGTCATCAGCGCGAAGGAGGCAGCGGAGCGGGCCAGGGAGAGCAACCCGGAGGCCCTTGCCCTCCGTCGTCGGCGAATTGGTCGCCGGCGCCGAGCCTATCTGGCCTCTTTACAGCCATAGGTTAAGCGCCGGGCGACGTGATCCTGGGTGGCAGACGGGGACTTCTGTCGCCCGTTGATAGGATTAGTGCGGTGCTAGCCCCTCTTGTTCCGGGGGCGGCTCGCGGTGGTGGTCTGCGGGGGGATTTGTCCCCCCTAGTTCGAGGTCCGGAGTGGACAAGCGCCGGCAGGGTCGCGAGGCAAGCTCGTGATATACCGTGGCCCTGCCTAGGTGGCGTGGTTGAGGAACACCCAGGGGTTTTAGTGGGTCGAAACCCCACATAACCCGGTCAAGTCCCCGCTTGGCCGGGTATCTGTGAACAGATTTCCCCTGGGAAAACAAAAAAAAAAAAAAAAAAAAAAAAAGACATATACGTCTTTGTCAAAAAAAAATTATGATCTAGGACCAGTAAAGTATTAAAAATGTTATAATTATTTATATATATCCTTTCACAATTGACTTTGCGTATTTTCCCATCAAATTTCGGTACCCGTGACCACTGCCAGACGATATAATTTTTTTTCCCAATAAGCCTTGTTCTTTGGCAGTCGCTAACATTTTTTATTTGTTTGTCGTACTTCCGCTGTGTAATAATTATTTATTATACCGTGAGTTGCAGGGCGCGGCTCGTTTGTTGGAGTCTCTCGGCGTGGGTCGCGGCGCGGGCGCGGGGAGGGGCGCTGCTACACAACGCAGCTCACGTTCCAACCACTCTGCTCTGTTATTCCCAAGGTATATACATAGATAGATCAGTTATTGTTTTGGTGGAATTATTGATACGACATTTTATACGTTGCGATATTGGATCATAAAATTTATAGTTTTTACATTGAGATAAAACTAAATACTAATATTATTTGGATTTAGTACGTGTTTATAATTATATGTTTTTACAATATTAGTTTTATTTCAATGAATACAAGAAAAAATATTATTTCTGATTTGATTTTATATTTAAATAAAACTAATATTTTTCGGATGTAATATGTTGCTTAACTTAGTTTCCTGTACTAGTGTCGTGGTAAAATAAATTTTAATATGATGACTACGCCTCGTCTTATATTTACCTGTAGATACCTAAAATTCATGTGAACATCAATATTAAAATGCATATTAATTTCTAGTTTAGTGCGTCTCGCTCTATCAAGCAATTTCCCCGGTGGTCTGCTGTCTGCCGCTCAGAGTTATCCGTCGTTGGCACCCAACGCTCAAAATGCACTCACTCTATCACTCACATCGACATCCAGTGAAAGTGAACAGGTAAAATTAATTCTTATAATAATATCTCACACGTTTGTACTCAGTCAGTTCTACTATAATTACGACTTCACCCAGTTCAAGAATTTATAAAGAAGTCAACAATCAATTAATAAATCATTCATCCAAAATCCGCATATAAATTAAAATTAATATTAGGAATAAATATTTCCCCTTTTCTTATGAGAAAAAAAGTTATATATGTCAATATGCTGTTATAAATTATGTTTTTAGGTATCTTTGGAAGATTTCTTAGAATCATGTAGAGCGCCGGCGTTATTAACGGAATTGGAGGACGATGATGAAGGAGACGATGCCTTGGACAGTGATAAAGAAAACGAACCGACTTACCAGGATGTTGTGAGTTTTATAATATGTACACTGACGCACACACACACACTAACGCATAGACACACACACACACACTCACCGAAACATATAAAACATACCTACACGCATGCTAGATATCGGAAAAAGAATTCTATTAAAAATATCGTTTCAAAGTATGTAATAAATTTCTTACTTAGTATCACTTAATTTAAAGTCTTCATGTTATGTTGTATAAACCTTTCTCCTTAAATATTCCACATACAACAGAATAGGCCCAAAATTGTAGACAAAAATTAATGTTTTATAAATAGATAATATCTAATCTTAAATACGTCACGTTCAGGTGTCTCGTAACTTGTTATCCCTTATGGAGGAAGAGGCTTTGGAAGCGGTCCGTGGAGCGGGCGGTGGGTCCGGGGGCGTAGGCGCGGGGGGCGCACGCTCACGGAAGCCCTGGGACGACGACTTTGTACTCAAGAGACAGTTCTCAGCTCTCATACCCGCCTTCGATCCAAGACCCGGACGGACAAACCTCAATCAGACCGTCGGTATGTATATAGTGTGATTATTCCAATAGTTTTGTACATTGTAGTACAAATTGGAAGCATAAGCAATGGAAATAGGATTCGAACTTGCGACTTTGGTTAATATCCTGTCAAAAGTCTCTGTTTCAACACCCTGAAAGTAGTTTGTTCAGAATCGGATACTGGATCGATTTTGATAGTTTTTTATGTAGGTCATTTTTTTTCTCAAATTTAGATAGAACTAAGTAAATTAAAGTCACCCTACACACAGTTATCTAAACACTTCATAGAAACGAAAATTAATGGAAACGAAAATGGATCGTAAGTCAGGGTATTAAGATTTTTAAAATGAAATATTAAATTAGTAATCATCATTCAATTAAAGAAAACTGATACTTATTTCAAGGCTAAAATAGTATTTAAAAATACCTACGCACGCAACACCATAGCGACAACCGGCACACAGCAAGGTCACTACAGTGCATAAAAGAAAGCCACGTAATACAAAAATTATTACTTTCTCCTTCTTTCTTCGGCTTAATAACATTACAATAGAGCGAGACGGCAGGCTAATCCCGGCAATCAGAGTAATAATAACTAAACATCGAAGTCAACAAAATGTGTTTTGGGTAAGTCAGTCACGCCGCGTCCACCTTATCGAAAAGAGGTCAAGTGTAAAGTGCAAATAAAATCTTAGTCGCGCATTTCGCTATGTCGTTTCGGTACACTAACATTCAATACATCAAATACCTACGCACGTGTCCATTGACCTCCTAGATCAGCTGATTTGACGCGACTCGACTTTTTTTTGTGGGGGCGAATTAAATCGCTAGTTTATAACACAGGGACAACAATTGTCGAGGAACTAAAAAATAAGATAATTACCGCCTTTGTAAAAGTGAAAAGTGACACTGCAGTATTATCTAAAATAAAACCACAATTGCGAAAACGGTCATTAAAGTGCATTGAACAAGGCGGTGGACATTTTGAAAATGTTTTAAAACGACAACGCCGTGCGAGTGCAAATTAAACTGTAAGTTTGTTTATGATCTTTAAATTATTGTAAATCTTTTGATTCACACCATTTAAACACGCCGACTGTGTTTAACTTTGTCGTAGGTATTGTGGTGTCTAATCAAATCACGCGTTATCAGCTGTTTAATAATTCCTAGTTACAAATTTAATTTAACAAATCAGTAATTATAAAATATTGGCTTCACATTAAAAAGAAAATTCAATGTCAACAATCTAAAGCTTGAAAAGTGTGATGGAAAGTCCTAAATCATAAATCCTACATCATAATGTATGTAGTTATTTCGTGTTCTTATTATTACCTACTTCTTATTATTGTCGGACGACACTCGGAGAGAGCGGCGCGGGCGCGGCGAGTACATTGTGTCTGTCTATGTGTGCGTGTGCAGCGGAGTGTTGGTGAATAGCTGACTATATTATTTGCACGAAATTGATAACTAAATTCACAAATAAAAAATGGAAACACACATATAAATAATATTTGGTGTATATATTATTATATTCTAATTGGGGTGTTTGAGGGTGTGCGTTAATTATGTTACACGTTGTATAGTAACAACTTATTCGTTAGCGATCAGAAAAGGAATCAAAATGAAATAGCAAAAAGTTTCTACGTTAAACTGGCCTAAATAAATTTAATCCCTTTGGAATCAATGTTACACAGTCTTGATGCCTATTATGTACGACTAGTGCACTGCACTGGGTAAATATCGCAAAGAAACACGTGTGCATAATTCCACCCGATCGCTACATAAATATCGTGACGTATATTTCCGTTGTTAAGGCAGCAAACAATAATTAATTACTCCTGAATTCATGAGTGTAGAAGGCTTTCTAGAGGACTGTATGTTTTTGTTTAAATAAAAATGTGCTTATTAAGCTTGCAAGAATAAATTTAATCACAGCCTCGTAAAATTCTATATAATTATCATAATGTTATTTACTATAATTTCAGATCTCGATATACCACTAAACGATGATTCCGACTCTGAAAGCACGGAAGCAACGACCAGCAACGAGAAGAACGGCAACGTGCCAGAGAGCAACGGCAACGTGATAGCCACCAAGCTGCCGGCGCTACGGCTGGTGCTGTCCGCGGGCGGGCTCGCTCTACCGCTGGAGAAACCTTCGTGGACCTTATATAGAGCTGTGCTGGCTCTCAACTCACGGCTACCAGCACACGATACTCATAGAGATACTACATACACGTGAGTTATATTGACATTATAAAAATTATAATTGTTACGTGCTAGTGCATGTAGTGGATTTTGTCTAAAAAAGCATTACAACAGATAGTATATAATGTTTCATAGAAAATTAGTATTTTTTGCATATGATCTTGGGTTTATAATGATTTAACGAATGTAAGGCAAATTTTAATCAAGACATGTGTATATATATTTGGTAATTTGAAATGTATGTTTGTTATAGATTAACATACAAAGAGATAGAAGGTGTCGAAACATTCTCCAGTTCTTGTGACAGCGACGAAGATGAACCGGGAGATCCAGGTATGGAATGAGTCAAAACTATTTAACATCGAGATCGTTAAAAAAGTGCCTATAGAAAATAGCTAAAATGTAACCATTTGTGACATTTTTGTTCAATTTATGGTTCACTTATAGTGTAGTTTTAAGTAATTGTAGTAGTTTAATTATATTACCTAAATAAGTTGTCAATCTGTGCACAAGACGACTGGTTCAACAAAACTCGAATGACTTTATAATAATACGTTTAATAATGTGTTATTGTTGTATTAATTTATTTATGGGAAAATATATGTACACCTTATACAACACAGTATTTTGGTAAGGTAAAAACAATTTTCCAAAACGGTTTTCACAGTTATTTTGACATGGATTGTATTATGTCTTACATTAGATTGAATATACAGGGTGACTGGTGAATTACTATCGATACTTGAGGACGTGATATTTGACGATCATATATGACAAAATAAAAATTAATATAACATAAATATTAATAAACTTCTAAGTAAAGTTAACCAAAAGTTATGTAATTAATTACGCATCGTGTGAACACCCTACAGATTAGGTATACACACACACACACACTCTCACACACACACACACACACACTCTCACACACACACACACACACACACACACAAAATCAGTTTTCTTATAAAGCCAGTACTTTTAAATAACAATAAAACTTTAACTAGAGCAAACTAATTATTATTTTAAGCCAAAACACATTAAATGAGTTAAATTCTATTTACAATAATACAAGTCGTGTTCACAACATACTTGCCCCCGTTAAAAGAGAACCAGCCAAGCGTCATAGCTTTAATATCACTTCGGATGCGTTCGGGAATTTAAAGGTTCGGTTCGAATAAAAAGTGTGTTTCCTAAATATATAATATAGTATTTTGTTCATCAGATACAAGCAGCGTGTATTCTGAAGGCGGTTCCAGCGAGGGTATGGTGACGTGGTGCGTGAGAGCGCTCCGCCGCCTGAGGTCCGTAGCGCCGGGCCTGCCGCCCGCCTCCTTCCTGTCCACTAAACTGACCAACAAGTTACATCATCAGCTGCAGGATCCTCTCACACTGGCAGCCGCAGCCACACCTCGATGGTCAGTGACATATATAAATAGATCTAAGAATTTCGCTAGTATTCATTTAAATGAAACTTTACGCGTTAATTTATCACAGGCAGACTAGATCTCATTAGTCTCGAAAAAAAACGAGGTCTCGTCTGTCCGTATCACGGTTGCTGAAGAGTAACCGAAACGTTGAGAGTATGTAGTTTAAAATAATAAAATAACGCGTAGTAATCTGAAAATATTAGTTTTATTTATGTAAATGTTTTCATTTATACCTTATAAAAATAATAATATTTAGAATCTGCTCATACATACGTTAAGGTATATAAATAAATTGTTTTCTGTGATATAAATAATTTTAACGTCTATTAGGTTACGAGGAAATAGATTTTCATTGAAAGGTTTAAATCTATATATAAATTTATTACAGGTGTCAACAGTTGAACGACTGGTGTCCGTTCCTGTTCCCACTGGAGACGAGGCAGATGTTCTTCGCTTGTACCGCCTTCGGTACCTCACGTACTATTGTATGGCTTCAAGCTCAGAGAGATCGCGCTTTAGATAGGCAAAGGTTTATATTATTTTATTTAGTTTTTTCATATATACAGGGTGACTGGTGAATTACTATCGATACTTGAGGACGTGATATTTGACGATCATATATGACAAAATAAAAATTATAACATAAATATAACATAAATATTAATAAACTTCTAAGTAAAGTTAACCAAAAGTTATTTAATTAATTACGCATCGTGTGAACACCCTGCAGATTAGGTATACACACACACACACAAACACGCGTGCGGCGGCGTGGTGTTGTATCAGCACGCCGCCGTCCACACTTGGAACACTTGGAACGTGTCCACATTTTATTTATTAATACGGAAATTTGGTCAAAAATTAAGTACCTATTTTTTTACATAATTCGAATGAGAATCATGTACCGAGTATTCTCCTTAAATATTGATAGTAATTCACCAGTCACCCTGTATATAGATATGAATATTTGCAGTCCTATGCAGGACAAAATCTATTTATCGAGTTAAGTATAAAGTCTTAGCTTGGAAATATTAAAATAAATAAGCACAACTAAAATGTATTAACGAATAAATGTATTATGTTTAATATCCAAGTGTTGCAATTTACGTTAAATCATTATTATGTATGTATATTTTAGGACTGGTAACACTGTATCCCCTCGCCGCGCTGAGCTTGAAGCGACCGAGTTCAGAATGGGCCGCTTGAGACACGAGCGAGTCCGCATACCACGACATCCTAATCTGTTACGATCAGCGATGCAGGTGTGTATTGACAATAATTATATGGTTTTTGATGCTTAAAATGACTGAAAAGACAATTTATAATATTGTTACATAGAAAAAATGGTTATTAGAATCTATAATAGAGCTGTTCTGTTTAAGTGTCAAATATTATAAGTATCTTTTGTGGCACATCAAAATATTTAGTGTCCCTACAGTCGAAAAATCTCTGAAGCTAGAGTATATTCAAAAATGAAACAGTATGCAATTGTAATCGGTTACTTTTCTTGCTTAAGATCATAACTTTAGACCAAAATTATATACTAGTATTATAAGAACAATTTTCTATAAGAAAGTGGTGTTGGTCTTTTTAGTGTAAGAATTTTGTGATATTGAATAAAATATCAAATGAGAATAGTTTATAGTATAACTAGCTGCGCCCCGCAGTGTTACCCGCGGATTTCCGGGATCTCCGGGATGTAAAGTAGCCTATATGTTATTCCTGGACGTCAGCTTCCTGTATACAAAATTTTATCAAAATCGGTTCAGCCGTTTGAGCGTGAAGAAGTAACAAACACACACACACACTCACAAAATTTCGCAATTATAATATTAGTAGGATGTATATTAATTTTAATTACAGGTGATGAAAGTCCACGCGGGTCGCAAGTCCGTTTTGGAAGTGGAGTTCGCTGGTGAAGAAGGCACGGGTTTGGGACCTACGCTGGAGTTCTACGCTCTAGTGGCCGCCGAGCTACAGAGAGCTGATCTGTACATGTGGCTGAGCGACTCGCCCGCGCCGACGTTAGATGCTGAGTTCGCACCACTACCACTCACGTTGCCTGACGGTATATATAAATTACGAGGACATTCAAACACAAATAACTTTATTCAATATAGAAGCATTACACTTTCTCATTGATGGTCACTTGATACACTACCACCGGTTCGGAAAAGAAAATACCCTGACCTGAGAAGAACCGGCGAAAGAAACTCAGCGGGATTTTTTTTATATATTTGTCTCATATTATATAAACAATTTAATATGAGATGAAATAGCTAGGAGGCGATAATTCTAATTGTATTATCGCCCATGGACATCGGTAACATATATGTTGCGGATACGTTGCTAACCTTGGTTGGTTGGTTGTTAAGAGAAGGGAGTGGTAGGATTAGGTCTAGGAAATGACAGAAAAAGGTAGGAACAGGGAAATAGCAACCGGCTCTCACTCATCGGACGAAACACAGCCATTAAAGGCTACTTCACGCCGTTTTTATGTGAGAGGGTGGTATTTTCCTGGTCGAGCCAGCCCATGTTCTAGCTGTAGTAACTGACCACACCAAGGCTCTATCACCTCAAAAACTATACTTACTACTATAATATACTACTTGTACCATAATAATATTCTAACACTCAATAGCACTCGAATGGTAGTATGTATATAATAAAGTTATTACAAAAATGTGTAATTTTTTGGACATGTGTAATAGATTTATTATTATTCCATTAAAAATATCTACAATAAATAAGAAAATTACTAGCCATAAGAAAAGTATACAATAGTTTTATAGAATTGTACAATATAATAAAGTGTTTGTGTTCATCTTTTAGAAAAGCCACCAGGTTACTACGTCACACGCGCCGGCGGTCTGTTCCCCGCGCCTCTCCCACAAAACTCACCTATCTGTGATAAAGTTTGCAAATATTTCTGGTTCCTTGGAGTATTTTTAGCTAAGGTAAAATTATACATAGATATACAGTATTATAAGATTTTTGTCATTGTATTGTTAGCTCAAGTTAATGTGTTTATGATACAGGTGCTGCAAGACGGCCGGCTGGTCGATCTTCCTTTATCCGAGCCATTCTTACGTATTATGTGCGGCGAGGAATTGACTAACGCTGATTTGGAGGAAATAGATCCCATAAGGCATAGGTAAGTTCACTTAGATTTTATATTTTCGTCTATAAAACCTTACATGTTAGGATATTAATATTATCGTAACAGTCGATACTCGACTTAAATTAATTATTTATTTGGAGCACAATCTTCTATCTTCTTCTATATATATAAAAATGGATTGCTGTTCCTTAGTCTCGCTAAAACTCGAGAACGGCTGAACCGATTTGGCTAATTTTAGTCTTGAAATACTCCTGAAAGTCCAGGTAAGGTTTAAAAGGTGAGAAAATTGGAATAATTGTCGGGAAACCCTAAAAACAGCCCTTTTCTATTTCCCATACAAACGATTTTTTGACATTAGACTTGACAACTAACTAATATGTCAATCATTTTGTTATATTGAAACAGTAGAAATTTAATAAATACCAATACCGGGTTATTGAAGACGGAATAGAGTTTGCTCGGTCAGCTATACCTACATTACTAATGACGAAATTAGTAGTAGAATATAAATGTCATTATGTTTTACATTTAGTGACCACACACAGATACATTGAGGAATCTTTAAGTGTTATCATCAAATTTTAAAGAATCATTTTATTTTTAGTAATTTTATATAATTGACAAAATACAAATTACAATTAATTAGTAATTTGTGCACTTTTTCTCTTTATAAACTTTGACTGTATTAAATTACACGTTCATTCGTTTTTGCAATTCTCTTTGGAGAGTTTATCCTTCACTTATGTTAAGTCCGTGAAAATTAAAATGGTAGTGAAAATATTGCTTTATTTAAATAACATTTACTTGTATATTATGTACAATTACCAAGTAAGAATTTTTCTCGCTTAGATGTTTTAACGACTTTTATTATGTGAATATTTCAGATAAATCTCTAGTAGAAGCCACTTACTTACATTTTTAATGCAAACAATTTTAATATGACTTTACATGAATATGTAACGATTAGAGTTATGGATACCTTATTTTAAGACAAAAACTATTTTAGGTTCCTAGCTAGCGTCCTAGCAGCCGCAGAACAGTATGAAGCTCTAACACAAGATGCGTCTCTGTCTGAGAGTGAAGTGCAAGAGCGCGCGTCGCAGTTGACGGTAGATGGCGCTACTTTTGAAGAGCTCTCCTTGACTATGACGCATGTGGGAGGACACGATGCGTATCCGCTATGTGACGGAGGGGAACATATAGAGGTAGGGTTCCTTTGAGTCAAATAATTTAATTAATAAAAAACTAAAGTGACAAATTTAGAGCATTTCTCTTTCAAAGTTTTGAGCAACAACGTCGAACATCTTTTAATAAATGTATGATAGAAGTGCATCATATCCTGCTGAACAAAATATATATTTGATTGTCTTACATTTTAAAAAGGAGAGTTTGTGATGATATCTGATATTTGTTGCTCTTTCAATTTAATAATACTGAAAGGATTTTAAACGAATACGTAAAGGATACGTAAAGGTTTTAATTTTTCCCTTCATTTCATGCAGTTTTAATGGGAACACATCTTAAAAGTACGGAATATGACAGTTTATTAACATGTTAAATATTAAGAGCACATGACTCATTTCTCTCTGACCACAATAGGAACGCAAAAACAAAATATCTCATTACGCGATGTCAGTATACTATAAATATAATATTCAAAACCAGGTGGGGCCATCAAACGCGCGTTTATACGCGGAGACCAGCGCCAGGTATATGGTGAGGGACGGAGTCATCAATCAGACCGAGGCTTTCCGACGAGGCTTCGCAGGAGTGTTCCCTCCCAGGAGACTGAGAGCCTTCACACCGCCCGAACTGAGGCTGCTATTATGTGGGGAGAGAGGACCCGCTTGGACCAGGGAACATCTGCTCCAATATACTGAACCGAAACTAGGATACACAAGAGATAGGTATGTAGAGGAAATGATAGGAAAATTTTCTATATCTTAGGAATTATTAGTCTGGAAATAAATACAGAAATGTTTAAATTTTAATGATGTGTTATGTAGATACAATTTTATTAAGATTTATATTTTTCATGTATAATGTATCCAAACATAAAACCAAAAAAACATTGAAAAAAGAGGCAGAGAAAATCAAAACATATTTATTAAACTACATATATACCAAGATCATCTTTAGTACTAGTAGTAAATTTATTTAGTACTCAATCATGTGTATATTATTCCAGCCCTGGTTTCCTCCGCTTGGTGGATGTGTTGGTGGAGATGTCTATCAGAGAGCGGAAAGCCTTCCTACAGTTCGCCACGGGCTGCAGCAGTCTACCGCCCGGCGGGCTGGCTAACTTACATCCTAGACTCACTGTTGTGAGAAAGGTAAGAAATTAATATTATACACATGTAACAAAACCATTTTTCTCTTTAATTATTCTATGGGTGCATTCGAAATTTCCAAGTTTTTTATAATTTGTTAAGATAATCAATATACATATACAGGGTGACTGGTGAATTACTATCGATATTTGAGGACGTGATATTTGACGATCATATATGACAAAATAAAAATTAATATAACATAAATATTAATAAACTTCTAAGTAAAGTTAACCAAAAGTTATGTAATTAATTACGCATCGTATGAACACCCTACAGATTAGGTAAACTCACACACACATACGCGCGCGGCGGCGTGTTGTTGTATCAGCACGCCGCCACACGCGTCCACACTTGGAACACTTGGAACGTGTCCACACTTTATTTATTTATACGGAAATTTGGTCAAAAATTAAGTACCTATTTTTTTTTACATAATTCGAATGAGAATCATGTACCGAGTATGCTCCTTAAATATTGATAGTAATTCACCAGTCACCCTGTATATTTTATCTTTCTATAAAGCTTTTAGATAATACTTAATCTGGTGTCAGGTTGACTGTGTTATAACCATATCAACATATTATAGATTTTCTCAGTGTGATAATCATTATACACTAATATATGTTTTCAAATTAATGGTCTCAGTCCAAGTTCACACTATACACGGAGAGTTAACAGTTTTTCATTCATAAATCTAAGCACTTAGTATTCATAAACGTTAAACATAAATTGGTAAACGTTATGATGCAAAATTGAACATACATACATGTATGCTGTTTTATTTTCTGTCAATAATGCCTTAATAAACTCTACAATTCTTTACCTGCACAGGTCGACGCTGGCGACGGTTCATATCCATCAGTGAATACTTGTGTGCATTATCTCAAACTGCCGGAATATTCGTGCAAGGAGGTGTTGAGGGAAAGACTTCTGGCTGCGACAAACGAGCGAGGGTTCCATCTCAATTAAATAGATACAAATGTTTAATAAAATTAACGCATTAATCGATAACACCGCTGAGCTTACAAGTGCTATGATTAATCCCATATAAAACTATGTTTCATTTATGTACTTCTAAACTTTTATCAGCGATGTAAGCTCTCATATAAAATGCTTCATGTTATTCATGCATACATAATGAATGCTTACCAAATAATGATCATCTCAAACAGTAAATAAAATGTTTGCTATGTAAATATTTTTGTCACTCAGAAATATAAAAAACTAATATTTATATTTGAATGAATATGAAACTTATAAGTAGGCTAAAGTGTTAAAGCTATTGTATTTTTTGAACGAATCTTTCAAATGGTGTTGTGTTAATCTCGTGTCCGGTTTTTGCAATATAAAGAGGCTATTATAATTTTCTTTTAATCATTCTTTTTTTCAATATTCATACTCCATTAGAAATTTTGCTACTTGATATCTCAAACATTTAAAAAAATTCTATATATTGCAATAAATATTTTGTATAATGACAAGAAAAATTTTTATTTATATATGTACGCTTTAGATTATAGTTGTAATATTGTTATAAAAATATGTTTATATCGACTAACTAACATGTATGAATTATTTTATTAAATAGCCGTTTTTATTTTCAATAACCCAATAAGTTTATAGATTTACCGATACTAATGCTAGTTAATCAAAATTAATACATTTTACAATACCAACGAGATACAATGGAATCAGGTTATAGTGTTTGATACTTATGCTATATGATATAAGGACTGAAATGTATTTCTTTTTATTATTTTGTTGGTGTGTAACACATGTGTGTGGAATGATTTAGCAGTATGTTCCTTTAGTTAAATAATTTTGTCAACTTAAAGTTGGTATTGTGATTTATGATATAAAAAAATATATATGAATGAAAAAATATTTAGTTTGAATTTAATAGGGTTCTAGATTATAAAAGGTTAGTATATTGTAGCGTGTAATTCATTTTGTTGAGGATTGTATTAATAAAGTAAGGAAAATTAAATGAAGTTTTATTTATAAATAGATTCCTAACATACAAAATGTCAATCTTGACTGATATTAAAAAGTAATTATGTAATAACTATGTAATATGCATTATTTTTTATTTAAATCAAAGTAAAATATTTTAAAATTACTAATATTTTTTTATAAACATTCACTGAAAAATATATAGCGATGATAATATACATCTTATCTATGTATAAAGTGTATATTATACACTGTTATATATGTGTATAACATAGTAGTTCATTCAGTGAACATTAGTGCACGATTGACTGAGTTCTAAGAAGAGCTTCGTGAATCGACTTCAGTAAGTAATTCCTTATTCAAACAGCAGTTAAGTCGAACGAGTTAAAACATAAATCCAGATCGATGAAGCGTCGTGTGGCATGAACATGTTACAAAAAATAAAATGTACGTCTAAAGTATATGAGGAGATGCTTCAAATTATTTCAAGAAAAACAAAGAATTATTCGTTTTCGAGTCATGTATTGATGATCAATGTAATTGAGCCTTGTAGGTGACATGTTTGGATAGAACAAAGTTACGTAACACGCATTTAAATCGATGACAGCTATTAAGTTACTAATCGAGTTTATTAAGGTTTATCTAATTAAGATTTGAAAGCAAACATCAGCATAACTAAATGAAATGAATTTACGACGTCTAGCTTTACGTAGATGTTATTGACTGGAAGCAAATTTTGCTACGGTCTAGAAAATCTGTGGGAGTATGTTAGAGATTTTAAAAATAATGTTTTGTTTTTTAAATATTTAAAATATTTTTATGTATTCTTAATCTAACTTCGATATTAAGATTAACGAACCGATTAAATTAATCATTGATTAAAATTTTGTTTGAACTTACTCGTAAATATCGTTGTAGACTAGGTTGTCTATTTTTAAAATTAAGATAATAGGCATAAATCTTTTGTTTTTTATTACTTTTATTTATTTATAAATTTTATTAATTTATGAAATATTATTTATTTATAAAGAATCCAGATTATAAGAGGTAGAATTAGAGGTTTTATTAAAAACTAGCTTTCCGCCCGCAGCTTCGCCGCGTGGAGTTCGGTTATATCGCGTTTCCAAGAGAACCTTTCAAAAGTCTGGGATAAAAACTATCCTATGTTCTTTCTCAAGGTCAACTCTATCTCTGTACCGAATTTCATTAAAATCAGTTCAGTGGTTTAGGCGTGAAAGCGTAGCAGACAGACAGACAGACAGACAGACAGACAGAGTTACTTTCGCATTTATAATATTAGTAGGGATTAGTAGGGAAGATTATTATTTCATTTATTACATTAAAATGAAAGTTATTATTTAAAACTAAGTACTCGTATTTTTTTTCAGACAAGGAATGTGTAATAAATATTTCTTTATTATTTGATTATTACATGTAGAGTAATATTTTAATAGAAAATTACACTGAAATTCCTTAGGAGATAGGAAATACTGTTGACTTAGAATTATTTTTAGTTTGAGAATATTATGGGAAATTTACTAAATGATACCTCTTCAATCGTCGAACTAGTGTAGGTAAATCTGACAAAAAGAAATATCCTCTGTATTTTAGAAAGTTGGCAAATGGTTATGAATTAAAAGCGGTAGACACATATGATTCAGGAGTCAGTTATAAGTATTAGGTATGTTTAGACACGAATATTCTCAGTATTTCTTGGATTCACCGTACGGGTTTCGGATCCATCGCGTTGTAGGAAGAAGAGCTTCAACAGTGCCTGGGACTTGCAATCAGGTGTAGATTTAAGGGGCCCCTTATCTAACGCGTATTAAACGCTCACCTCCTCCGTCCAAGCTCATGTTTTCTATGACAATTCTTAAGAATTGAATTAAAGAATGACTAAAATATTATTAATCTTAAAAAATATACCGTAAAAGCTGCATATGTAATAAAACAAAAATTTATAAGGTTATGTTATCCATCTCTCTTATTATGCTAAAAAGTATACTTGTATGTTTTTCATATGTTGTGTATGTCTTTAGTATGAAAGCTCTAAGGCCTACGCTCTAAGACGGTTATAATAATGTTTATTTTTTTTGGGATAAATTCACTATTTTTGAAGTAAATACGTTTATACATTACTTCAATAAACATTTAAGAGAATACTTTGTGACCTTTAGATATATTAAGACAAACTCTGATTCCATGTATTTGGATAAACACGTTATTAAAATAATATTATTTTCGTAGTTATAATTATTTTTTTTCGAATAATAATAGGTAATTTATTTGTTATATTTATAGGTTTTATCACATACATATATCAAATTTTAATGAAGCTTACCAAGATTCCGCGTAAAGCTTACAAAGTAATAATATATAAACCAATCATTAAATGAATTAAACAAAATATATGACCAATAATTTCCCTATGTAATTAAAAATATTATATATTAAAACCAACACTTCGCAAAATTCACATGGATCGTAGTTGTATAGAATTAAACTTTGTATATACCTATACATATTTATCTTATGTATGATAAGATAGTCTTAAAGATATTATTAAGAAAATATGGGAGTAATACTTAAATAAGTTCTGGCCAAAACATTTATTTCATTATCTTTTTTTAAGAAGTTTTCACAACAGAAATGTTGGGTAGTTTCTGCGACAATGTAGTAACCTGCGCTATCTTTGCAACCTTGTCGCTTTGAGTTACCCAAGTTGTAACTAAAGAAATTATTCAGTATAAAATCGGTGCTACCATCGGTCAATTTATCAGTCACCTACTCAGTTCCAACTGAATACAGTGGAAACATGAGGAGCTTACTACTATTTTGTATAGTTTCCGCGGCTTTAGCTTATGTAAGCTGCCGGGATTTGGTGAGAGAAAAACGGGATGCCGATTTAGAAGTCGCAGCAAGTGGGCACGGAGGAAAATGGGACAAAGGAGGTGGCAAGGAGCACCATGAACATCATCACCACGACCACGGTGAGAAAGGACACAAGGGTTACAAGGGGCACCACCACGAAGAACATGGCAAAAAGGGCCACCACCATCACGAGGGTCATAAAGGACACCATGATGAACATGGTGGTCACAAGAAACATCATCACCACGACGACGGTCACCATCACGAACACCATCACGGTGAGAAAGGACATAAAGGACATGGCCATCATGAAGAAGGACACTATCATAAGGGACATTCAACCAAGGGCCATCACGGAGTCCACAAACATGATGAATTCAAGAAGGAAAAGCATTTCCACGATCATCATCACGACGGCGGTCACCATGAACACCACGGAGGTCATCACGAAGAACATGGTCACAAGAAGGGCGGTGGATTCCACAAAGGTCACAAACATGGTGGTCATCATCATCACGAACATGGCAAGAAAGGTCATCATGAGAAGGGAGGACACCACCACGACCACAAGGGACATCACGATGAAGGAGGTCATCATGAGCATCATCATCATCACCATGATCATGGCAAGAAGGGAGGTCATGAGGACCACAAGCACTGGGGTTACAAGAAGGGACACAAATAAACCCTTCTAAATAATGACTGATTTATACAAAAATTAAGCCATTACTTTATTTAGTTGTTGTTTTTCATGTTATTGTTGATTGTAATTTTTTTAATAAAAATTTAATTGAATAAACCTCTATTATTCAAAAGAAAATTTAATATATATCTTTTAAAATACATCTGAGTCTGGTTACATAAATAGTATATACCCTGAAACATGTTTCCGTTTTGGATAATGGACTCCCCATTTTAATAATTATGCTTTCATTTTAAAAAGAAAATTTTATATGATATTTACACTACATTGTTTTCAAAGACTGAGCAACAAAGTGACTAGAACTTGGTTTCAACAGCAATGTTACATAAAATAGTTGACCGTGGTTCGCAAGCATTTCCGAGATCAAAACAATAAAAAATGTGGATCGATGGCCGACATCGGCCTACATTTCAGCTTAGTGTAAATTAGTTTAAGTTGCAATGAACCGTTTCTATAGAAAACATTTGCTTTCAAACTGAAATTGATTATATTTCTCAATAATTTCGTACGTTTCTGTACTAATATCGGCTAATAGAAAAATCTGAATTTCCAATACTTGTACGTAGGAAACTAATACGGACTTCAAACTGTTACAACATAATGAATTTTTAACTTATATTAATTGATTATTCTCTTCCCCTTGATGACACTACAACGTTTTTGTTTTTAATTAAAAAAAAAATACTATAAAATTATTATGTATTATTTTATATTAAGTTTTACACCAAAATAGAAAATACTTATAAAGGAAATAAGACGATCGCTGTATCTTCTTATGTCTGTGGAGTTATATTCTCTCTATACTTACTTATGAGACGAAAGTTTCTTTGCTATTTCAATTTCTTGTACAAAGTGCCCCTTTGTATATAAATATTATTCTTCTATATAAGGTAGAAATATTTCTCAAAAGTATTGAAATAAGAAATATATTCCGTTTCAGATCTTTTATATTTAAATATTTTCTTTTAGATATTAAATATATTAAACATTCTTAAGTCCTCCGTAATAATTCAGTCATGAACAAAGTAAAATTATAATAGCTTGTGGTTTCCGTAAAGTTGTTATTTCATGCATATGACATCTAATTTAAGAAGTAACTTTGCCAAATTTAGTTAAGATTAAAAAAATACCGTAACGGTAATAAAATAAATGTATATAATAATTTTTTTATATCCATTCAGCGATGTGATATTCTTGAATGTGTAAAAGTTGTTAATTATTAGGTTCATTAGCAACAGTTGTTTACGTCGTTACTTTTTCAAAGCAAAGTTTTAACTTGAACAGTTGCTTTGAAAAACTTTCCGTAGTTCTAGTTCTTTAACTACTAGTATGTCTAATAAAGTTAAAAGATTATGTAACGTGAATTTTCAGAGAATTTTTTATTTCGAATGTGAACAACTTTCTATAATCTTGTTATACATCTTATTATATCTCATAAGAAAATGTTAATACGTACCTAAACTGCATTTATTTATAAGCAATTTGCATCTAAGCTTACCGTTATTTTTGAAAATGTTCGAATCTTTTACGACAGCCAGAATAATAATCGTTTGATACACAGTATGAGATTATGTAACTACAGAATCACAGATAAATAGACATCTATTATATTTTGTAGTTCAAAGTAGGTCAGTGCGCCATGCGGTCAGCATGTAGTAAAGTAAAGAGTTTTCTCTAAAGTGTCCTTCACAACGAATCAGAACATCTTCAGAAATCGTTTATTCAACTATTTATTTGTATAGCTCAGTATTTATTGTGAATTAAATTGTACATTATTGTTGGTCTAGGTCACTTATTGACATTGCCAAATTAGAAACTTCATTTAATTAAGGACATTGAAAGCAAAAATAATTATGTTTTTAAGTGGAAATTACTAGAAGGGTGAATTAATTTGATTCGTTGTTATATCATCCAAGATATATAAGTCTAAAAGTACTATTTATGTCATGATTTATATATTTTCTCATTTCTTTTAAGTTACATTACTAATAGCTTATGCGTACTTTCAGAATATCTTAAGTGCATGCATCAAAATAATTCTAAGTGACAATATTATTAAATTATAAAACGAAATTAAACAATTCGCAATTTATTTTTATTTCATTTGTCGTTAGTTTAAATACTACATAATGATAACAATGAAAAAATATATATCAGCCTACTTTTGTCGAATATACGTCATTTAAATATTAAAATAATGTCATTTTATATCAATTGGTACTTAAGTACTTTAATTTCATAAAATTGTCACTACGCTTTCCGCTTTAAAACGTTCTAGAAATTTAATATTCTTACGACACTGAAGATGAGTGCGCTAAGTATCAAAGGTAATTAGAAAATTATAGCTAAAGACATTTACACGGCGAAGTTGAGTGTCTACGTTGAAAATTATTAATTAAAATATTTTATTTTATACATATAAATGCTTTCGTTGTTACTGATCCTAATGCGACGTTGGTTTGTTGGTTCTCTTGCATCAATAAACCGCCGAGATTGTCTATCGGCGACGCCTCACTTGTCAGGATTACACAATTTCTTATATAAAACTGCTGCGCCATAAGGAACGTTACCAATTTGAAATAATAACTTACAGACATCTGGGTGGAACAGTAAACAAGCAATATGCGTTTAGTACTAGTTTTAGGTGTTCTAGCGTTAATAGCCGCTGTACATGCTAGGAGGATTCCATCAAAATTTAAAGAAGCTGCAAAAGATGAACAAGCTGTCGATCAAAAAGTAGAGGCTACGGAACACAAAAAGGAAAAAGGTGACAAGAACCAAGAATACAAAAAGGGTGGTGGCAAGGAACATCATGCCCATCACTTAGATGAACATGGAGAGAAGGGTCACAAGGGATACAAAGGTCATCATCATCATGAAGAAGGTAAAAAGGGTCACCATGATAAGGAACATCACAAAGGCGAATACGATGATCATGGTGGTAAAAAGAAAGAGCATCATCATGAAGACGGCCATTACGACGAGCATCACAAGGGCGAAAAAGGAGAGAAAGGTCATAAGTATGAGGAAAAAGGTCACTATAATAAAGGACATTCCACGAAAGGACACCATGAAGTTCATAAGCTTGACGAATTTAAGAAAGAGAAACACTTCTTTGATGAAGATGGCGATTCCGGCCATGAAGAGAAGCATGGTGGTTTCCATGAGGAACACGGTCATAAGAAAGGAGGTCACTTCAAGAAAGGTCATCATCATGGCGGTCATCACGAGAAAGAACACGGAGAAAAAGGACATCACGAAAAAGGAGGACATCATCACACTCACAAAGGACATAAAGAATCCGCCGGTCATGATGAACATCATCATCATCACCATGATCACGGAAAGAAAGGCGGTCATGAGCATCATAAGAAATTCGGCTATAAGAAAGGTCACTAAGGAATTTACCACAGATAACGTAATTATGGCATCGTCTAATTTAAATCCGCTATCAATTGCATGGTTTCTGTTCAACTGTTATTTATTTTTATACTTAAGTGAAACAAAAGTTTATAATAAGTAATTTTAATTTACTTTTTTACCTATTTTCATTGTTTAAGTATTTAAAATTTTATAATAATAAAAAATATATTTTAATTTATATTTTTTTATAAGTATGCAGTTTTAATATTTTTATTAAGACTGATTCGGTGTTGAAATAAAACGTAAAATATAAATCTTTGATATTCGTTATGTTATTTTTAATTAAAAGGTTTCCTGGAATATTTTTATATATTTTACTTTTATATATACATATAAATAAACTATTAGTTTGTTTTAAAGCTCCATTTTGCTCGGGGGATCTATAAAAGTACTACTTCGAATATGTCTGAAATGCTTGCAGGAAAATATCTCTTGTTTTCAGCTGAGTATGCGTTGCATTGTGGTAGAACAAAAGTCGCTCCAAGACCGGTCTTATCTACGTCCTGGCTACGACACTTAAGATAAAGCCTTTCTTACATGTAAATTTTTGGGTAAATTTTTTTCAGAGTAACATGTTTTGATGAATGTGATAACTAACATATATAAGAAATACTGAATCTTTTGACAATTAATAAGTATAAAATATACGAAAGTAATATATTTAAATTTTACTGTACTTCTACAAGTTTATTGCCTTTTTTATAATTCAGTACTTTACTATAACATTCAGTAATAACTTCAAATTTCACAGACAGATAATTAAATTCTATTTGCAGTACAAATAAACCTTTATCTTTTGAAATAAAATATTGTGTTGTAATATGAATAATACTAAAATACTTTAAATGAAAATAATAAATACTATTCTTAAATTAAAATAATAAGGTATATTTATTTTCATTTAAGTTAAAAAAATTATAAAAGAAATCTTAAAGTAGAAGATACTTATTGTTTGGCAATATACATATACCTAATAGATATTAGAGGTACGAGTACCAACCGAAATTAGTAATGAAATTAGTAATGCTTTTATATGTACCAAGATGAAATCCATTGATAAAGCTTTTACACTAATTAACGCGAGAGTAGGGGCTTAGCAATGTCACACCTCACACTAGATTTATGGCTTTATGTGATGTCACATTAAATCCTTCACCCAGAGCTAATGTCACATAAAGCCGAGGGGTATTTTCACTAATTATCTTATCAGATAGTCGAACCTTTTATTTCAACATATTAGAAGATACGTTTTATGTTTCTCTATATATATTAGGCTAAGTATTGAAAAAATCATAGAATCAAGTGTAAAAATGGTTTTATTCTAATATTTTCGTAAAAATAATGTCGTAAAATAATAAAAACAAATAACAAACTTAATGACCCTTTTTGAAGCCCCAATGCTTGTGATCTTCGTGACCACCCTTCTTTCCGTGGCCGCTGTGGTGGTGATCATGCTCATGATGGCTGCCTTCATCATGCCATCCCTTATGGTCATGGTGATGTCCACCCTTCTCATGGTGTCCTTTCTCACCATGTTCATGTTCATGATGACCGCCGTGTTTATGACCCTTATGGAAGTGACCACCTTTCTTATGGCCATGTTCGTCATGGTGACCGCCATAACCCTCTTCAAAACCAGATTCTCCATGTTTTTCGTGGAAGTGTTTATCTTTTTTGAACTCATCTACTTTGTGAACACCATGATGTCCTTTGGTCGAGTGTCCCTTATGGAAATGTCCCTTTTCTTCAAATCCATGTCCCTTTTCACCCTTTTCACCGTGGTGGTGCTTGTGGTGGTGGCCATCTTCGTGGTGGTGGTGCTTCTTATGTCCTCCGTGGTGTTCATGATGTCCCTTATCCCCTGCTTCATGGTGATGTCCTTTCTTGCCATGTTCGTGTTCATGATGTCCTTTGTATCCTTTGTGTCCTTTGTGGCCGTGTTCGTGATGATGATGAGCATGATGTTCCTTACCTCCTCCATGCTCGTGGTGCTTAGATGCCGCTACTTCGAGATCAGCATCACGCTTCTCCCTAATATCCCTAGCGATGGTCAGCGCTATTAAAGCGGCCAGACAGCCTAATGCCAGCGACACCTTCATTCCGTTTGTTTCCGTTGCTGTAACCTGTTAGTCTACGTAAATTATTATTGTCACCAACGTTTTATAATACCGCCAATCAATTTTCTCAGTGCAGAAATGAGGCAATAGTTGCGGTTGCCAGTACTTGCATACTGTACTGTCAAGGTCAACCAATTAATTGAATATTGTAAAACTGAAAATTCTCCTTTTTTCTGTTCCATTGTAATTGAACATTTACTTTATAACAATTAAAAAATAAATAAAGATCATTGAAATGCTATCACCAGGTTTTAAAAGAATTTTAATTTAAAAATTTCAATATGCAGAAACTTTGACATATAATCCATGCAATATCACTGTCCTTTTAAATTTTTAAAGTTCTATTTGCTCATGAAAGAAGTAAAGTTTTAGTCATTGCGGGGTTATCGAGATGAAGTAACGAAATTATTAGTAATAATTTAAGAAATTGTGGTCCTCAAATTTTTGTTTATTTTTTATAAATATCTCTATGATATATCCACGAAAAATATGTTAAATATTTATAGTATAAATAATTATGTAAGAAACTTTTTTTGATTAATTATTTAAAAATATACTGTATATTAAAAGTATAAGTATGTAAATTTAATGGTGAGAATTTCTATTAAAACTGGAATGTAATCCCTGATGTAAGCTCAGAGTAATGCCTTTCTAATTTGTTAAAAAAATCATTTCAACCTTTGCTTATTTTTCTGCAGAATTATATGAAAATTCAAGCTAGAAATAAATTTAAGTATGTATTTAACTTTATTTTATATTGTATCTTCGCTAAAACAACATAATTTTGGAGGAGTAATTATTAGTAATTTTAGGTATGTGATAATTTTGGGTATTAGATACTGCGTCGAACCCTGCAGCAACATACACTAATCCTAACAATGCCGTGGTTTTGTGGTAAAACGTACGTCAAGTGAACAGTCAGTACACTATGTTGAATATATGAGGTAGGATTTAAAGCATAGCGTTCTTAGGATGAAGTAGCTATATTCTATGTACGCTTTGATTGTTATTTGAGATTACTTTCGTAAATATGCACATACAATATACATTAAACATAATTATATGCATATAAGTAATATTGGTAAGCATCAAGAACATAGTTAATATTATCGAAATATTATCATCAAAGACCACAGTGTATTCTATAAAAACAAATATCGTGTTACATGCATGGTATATATTAAGTCTCTGAGCATCTTCAAATAGGCGTCTGACGGCGTGATCTGATATAGGAAGTGATTTTCGGAGAATTCACGAAATATTCAATAATATTGCATGCAGAAATAAGCTGCATATTATTCTCGGTTCTATATCAGTATTAGTTTCCATACAACGGTAGAAATTGAATATGGTTCCCATTTTCCTATAATTTAAATACTTCGATGTAATATTGCTAAATCAAAAATATATCTCAGTTTGTAATATATAAAATTAATCTTTCTAACGTTATTTTCAAAGACCTGGCTGTTACAAAAATAAATCATATAATCTTTTATTCATTTCCTATTTACTAAATCGCTGCTATATATGGATTTGAAAATACGTAAGATTCTGTGAATCTTTTGTGTAAAAACTTAATTGAAAGAGAAGTTATGAAAATCTTGCAACCTTTTTTAAATTTTTATGACATTTTCGACATTCGGATCCCTTTATACTTCTTTTTTTAAAGTATTCTAAACTTATAATTTTAATGAGTTTTAACGGAAATCACATCAAAGGTTCAAGTTTTATAAATCTTCGACAACAAAATTGATCCGCTTATTTTTAGTTTTCATTACTGCAATATTTAGATACAAACAAATTGCAATTTAGGAGCAGAGAAATCATATTGCTTCATGTTCAATGAGCTCATTTTTTTTTTCTTTTATTGAAAGAAAATCAAATAAATTTATTAACAATAGTTTCTGATTTATTTATATAGAAATACAAATGTTCATTCTCAATCTTTTTTTGAGTTATAATATCTATTGGTCTAATATATTTCATATTGTGTACTGTAATTGAATTTTTACTTTTTATTTCTAAAGTAGTCTTATAACAGTTTATTGTATTTTATATTAAAAATAATCAGGTATTTTTATTAAAAAGTTTTATTTGTTCTAAAAAAATATAACAAAAACATGTGTAATAATTCAACAACAATTAATAACTTGTTTGTTTCTCCCCATATCTTAGTGACCGGATTTGTGTCCCCAGTGCTTATGGTCTTCGTGGCCTCCCTTCTTGCCGTGGTCGTGGTGATGGTGCCAGTGCTCGTGGTGGCCGCCCTCTCCGTGGTGACCTTTGTGGTGATGATGGTGTCCACCATCTTCATGATGACCCTTCTTACCGTGGTGGTGCTCGTGGTGTCCACCATGTTTGTGTCCCTTGTGGAAATGACCGCCTTTCTTGTAATCACCCTCATGATGATGACCTCCGTGATGGGAATGATGACCTTTCTCTCCGTGATGGTGGTGGAAGTGTTTGTCCTTCTTGAATTCATCATGTTTGTCAATACCATGGTGTCCTTTGGTGTCGTGACCCTTGTGGAAATGTCCATGTTCTTCGTGACCATGTCCATGTTCACCCTTTTCTCCATGTTCGTGGTGATGATGATACCCATCGTCATGGTGATGATGTTTCTTATGGCCACCATGTTCGCCATGATGTCCTTTGTGTCCTTCGTGATGATGGTGACCCTTCTTTCCATGGTGGTGTTCATGATGTCCCTTATGGCCTTTGCTGTCATGATCGCCATGCTCGTGGTGATGATGACCATGATGTTCATGGCCGCCACCTTTGTCCCAATGATGACCAGAGGCTGCAACTGCGAGATCGGCTTCTTGTTTTTCCCCGATTTCCCTCGATGAGACCGCAGCCACCAGGGCCACTAGGCCACATAACACCAGAAGACTTCTCATGGTTGGTAAGACAAGATACTGTTGAATGATGTCTGAGTTGGTAACTATCATATTTTATACTAGTTAGCAGCTACGGTTAAGAAATTTTTCGTTCGATATTGTCAAGGTTGCGAGGTTGAAAGATTTCTACTTCCAGGTTATAAACAATGATGGTTAATTCTTTTTACTAAACTTGTAAAACCAGTTTTATTAAAACTTTCTTTTAAAAAAAGACATTGATATGATATATCCTCCGTTTTATTAAAATATTATATTTATTCTTATAATTTAATCAATACATAAAAAGAAATAAAGAAGATTAAAGTGTATAATTAGTTTAAAATTCGAATATTGTGTAAATATAAATTATTTTCCCAATTATCAATAAATGTTTTCTGAATGAATCAATGCAAAGCCCAGTATCAGAATGCATAGTCCGTCCGAGTTGGTATCATCATTCTTGATACGGACTATTAACAATTTTTCATTCATAAATTTTGGCATGTTATAGATTAAACGTATTTTGTATACAGTAAGAATAAGAAAAGATTCGTGTGTGGTGTGACGATGCAAACTCGGACTTATAATTTCAGGAATTATTTACTTTATATTTACTATATATTTCACAAAAACTTTCATCCAAGAATGAACATGAATGAAAATCCAATCTAATGCATATAATAAAATAATTTAATAAGTAAAATAACTTATATGAAAACGGCTGGAAACCGGATAGTCGTTTAAAAAAGAAAAAGAAATTGTAACTTCTAGTGAGTAAATATTTAGAACGCGGGTTTCTTTTAATCTTCAATCCTGGAACTTTGCCATTTTCTTGCTATCGTAGACACTTAAAAACAGGAATTAAAGGATTTTCTTACTTCAGTGCTGAATTAATTCTGTACCTGTTCTATTTGATTACTGGCAGTTGGTTAACTTTAAAATTTAATTTAGATTGAAATTCTTGGTTTATCTCGAAAAGTTATAAGGAAATCCATTAAACGACTTATGAAATATTAAAAAAAAAACCGAGATGGGTTGGTAAGTTCTTTTATAATTTTATCTTTTACGGCGGTATATGAGCAGTTGGTCATTTCTACTCATAGAAATTAGTTATGTTGAAAGATGTTTTGAAAAATATTAGTACAAAAAATAAATCTTTATGATATTAACAAATATGTTTTAACGATGTCACTCACATGTTTAAAGTACTATATCGATAATCATTATATCATAGGATAAAAATGGCTTCCATAATTTTGGTATATATATATATATATATATATATATATATATATATATATATATATATATATATATATATATATATATATATATATATATAATATGTATATATAAATATAAGGTTAATAAATAAAAAGAAAGCTTTACTTAGTTAAAATGGTTGAAAACCGTCACATTAAAAAGTAGTTTATACGAGTCGTTCCGAAATCAGAAAATTTTCCGGATAGTAAAAATCAAAATCATATATTATAAAAAGTTTATTCTTGAAAGTATTTAAAAACGATCTAAACACATTTACGCACAATCAGTTTTGTGTCTCATATTTTCAATTTCATTGAAAAATGAAGTATTTTGTTTTATATTTTTTGTAGCATTGCTTAAGAACGTTGTATGAGATTATATTTATTTAACGGATTTTATAAAAGAATATGATGTGAAAATAATACAGGCTTTGTATAAATTAAAATTCTTTAATATAGTATCACAAAGTAGTCAACAGTAACAAAAATGTATTTTGTCAATTTTATTTCAAATTTCAGTAGCCTTTAAAGCCCCAGTCTTTGTGTTCTTCATGACCACCTTTACTTCCGTGGCCTTCATCATGTGCCCAGTATTCGTCATTGGCCCCTTCATCATGATAGCCCTTTTGGTCGTCGTGATGGTCTCCCTTTTCGAAATGTCCCTTTTCACCATGGTCGTTTTCATAAAATTCACCTTCCTTATGACCTTTATGGAATTCTCCACCCTTTTTATAGCCACCTTCATCATGATGACCGCCATAACTTTCTTCGAACCCAGAATCGCCATGCTTGTCATGGAAATGTTTATCCTTTTTGAATTCATCTAACTTGTGAATTCCATGATGGCCTTTAATCGAGTGCCCTTTTTCAAAGTGTCCGCTTTCCTCGAAACTCTGTACCTTCTCACCTTTTTCTCCTGAACTGTGCTCATTAAAGTATCCGTCGTCGTGATGATGTCCCTTTTTGTGTCCACCGCTTTCGTCAAAGTGGCCCTTAAATCCTTCATGTAGGGAATGTCCCTTCTTGCCTTCTTCATGGCCGTGGTAGCCCTTGTACCCCTTTTCACCTACATCGCCGTATCGTTCATTATGTTCTCCATGATGTTCAGCTCCACCACCATGTTCCCAACCAGCTTCTCGCTTCTGACGGACATTCCTAGCGCTGACGACTGCTACCAATGCCAGTACAGTGAAGAAAATCGAATTTCTCATCTTCCTGATCTTGATTTCCTATTATCCTGTGTGTGATACTGTTTCCAAATGATACCTGTTGCTTATTTGATTCAGTTTATATAGTATTTGGCAATAACTCATTGAATTGTCTTTAATGTCAGGGTAACTTAAAAATGACGGTCACAAGGCAAGTGACCCAAATTTTATTTTATTAATAATTTAATTTCATTGTATTGTGTCTATAACAATAACTTGAAAAAAGAATTTCAGTCGTTCATTTATCTCACCTGAATGTAAAAATATTATAGACTTTCAATGTTTTTATTCTATCTTATCCGTTTATAACTAGAATGTATACTAAAATTCAGATGATTATATTTTATCATTTTAAGTACGCACATTTTATGAGGTGAGGATTATAGTGTTAATTATTGTTACACTATAACGCAGAAATTACAGGAGGGATTTTGAAGTATAAATGTATATTGTCATTTATATAAATTTTTTTCCGTTTTATTAAAACTTAAATATACTTATTTTATAATTAATATACTTATTACGTAATAAATACATAAAAAGAAACTAAGAAAATATGTAATTTGTTCGAAAGTTGAATATTGTGTAAAATTCTAAATTATTTTCACAATTACCAATAAAATTTTATACAAAGTCCGATGTATCAAAACAACCCATAATTTATCCTTAAATTTTGTGTAATACCCGGGTTAACGAAATTAAAGTTAAGTTAAAGTTAATTGGGACACACTCTAGATAAATGCCAGGTGATTAACATATTATACACCATATTTAAACAGTCTTTATTTATTTCTATTCTAATTATTAAAATTCATAATTGATTCATAGTCCTGGAAGTTATGTCGCGGACAGAAGTATTTGGTGTAAATTGTAAAGTACTATGTGTACTATGTGTGTTTGTGTGTGGGTAGTGTATCAAATTACATAGGTAAAACTGTTTATCCTACAATGATTCTTTTTAATGTCTCATAAAAATTCCTTTAACCATTTCGTATGTCTGATTGAACTTAAGATCTAAATAATCAGAGTAATTATTATAGTTATATAAAACTAGAGCTGTGTAAATAAAGTGACTAACTATTGGCAAGAAGTGATGTACACATCGATTACGAGTTCAAATTTATATTATGTATCGAAATAATAAGTTTTACTAAGATAGATAAAACATTTGATTCTTCCATTCTCAAATGAAAGTGATATACATATGTAACAAATTAATAAATTTTCTTATGAGTGGGCTTTGAAAAGCAATATGTTATTGTTGTTTCAAGTTGTTTCTTAAAATTGACAAAGTTCTACGGGGGTTGGTAGTTGAATACCCTTTGGAAGGATGGCACCGTGCGGCGGTCGTTTTCACTGAAGTCAAGGTTATTCCATGTCAAGGTGAAGTTGTGAAGGCGTCGCTCTCATTGCTTTTTTGTTTTGTTTGAGTAAAATTCATTTGATTGATTCCTTGCGTCACTCTTAACGGTAGAGCGAACACGACAAAATGATTCGAGCAATTTTCTGTCGCGAAACGATGAGGTCTATTTAATTAATATATATTATATTTTATAAGATATTTCAGGTAAAAAAATGTATGTAGATATATCGTTTTTGTTCCAGTTTTAGTGTTTGGCTGCATTAATGTAGAATTAGTTGAGATTGTTCACTGATTAGTTAACATTAACAAAAAAAGAAACATTATATATGTACATCACTATGAAAAAAAGGTTAAACATTTGTTAGGATGTTTAATAAAGGTAGTATTTTAAAATAATAGTTACTAAATGTATGTGTTCATTATATTTAAATACATTTTCTATCGCTTTTAAACTTAAAAGTTATTATTGAAAGGCGAGGGCAAGATAAAAACTTCTGCATCGTCAATAACGTGTCAAATAAGTGTCTAGTATACTGATATATTGAAATCTGCTTTCAAATATATTTCAACAATAGAATTGCATTTATTTCCTTGTGTTATATTAAAGAAAAAAGTTTGTAAATCTTACTCGCATTATTCGATAAGTAATCATTAAGTATATAAACGATTAACATATTTAAATACAATAAATATATTCTATAAATACTATATAAGCTCATAACAGTGTTCTAACACATCAATTTAAAGTTTCATTGGATTAAAAAATTGTTGTGACAAAAATCGTACTGTAAAATTGCAGATGACAGAAATTTTTAAGCGATTATTTCATATTCCAACCAGTATGTCATACATTTTTATTTTCCTATGAGAATTGTATTCTAGTGGTGGTAATTCATGTCAGTTGATAAATTTTGCTGATTCGGCTACATGTTATTAATTTTAGCGGTCAGCTTAAAACCACGGGCTGCAATATAAATTTGTTAAAAATTTATTTTGGAGACAAAAATCATTTTTATCTTTTGAATTCAACCTCGTCAACTCTTAATGTGATAAAGGTAGTCGAAATGTATATATAATAATAATTTTAACATTTGTTGTTTGTACAGTTCGTCAAAATTAACATTTTTATATATTATGTACTCTTTAATTTATTAATTTACCCGCTTTGTTGAACACCATATAATTTATAGAAAAATAAAAGGAACAAACAAAACAGATATAAAGGATGTTATATGCCAAATGTCAATCCGTTGTAGACAACTTGAGTAAGGAGAATATTGCTGTGAAATATAGATGGTGATGGTGGTATTACTTTAAAAATAATAAATATAAATGCAACTAAGTATAAAACAAATAAATATTGATACATATTTCTTTTTATTTGAACGGCACATCGACAGTACATACTAACTACCTGATGTATATACCAATTATAGATGTTCATAGCACTGCTAAAAATTACTGTTTAGCTTACAAAAATATTATAAAAAAACAAGTTAACAAAGGAAATTTAATAACAAAACTATTACGAAAAAAATACAAATGAAGAAGAAAGAATATTAAACAACAATCAAAATAAACTTACTAAACTTACTACAGCTAACTACTACTACTTCTACTTATACTAACAAGACTTGACAAAACATCATTAAACAATCAACAACATAATTAAACAATGCATTAGACAAATTCTTATTTATATATAACACACACTGTTGAAGACATTTTTGTATAAATATTCAACTTTTTATATAATAAAATTCATAAACACTTCAATTAAAATGTATGATTAATTTTATTTCCTAAAAATTTTAGCAAAATAACTTTTTTATTAGAAAATTATTTAATCGATATTCGACTATTATCTTTAGCAAATATTTTAAAAAGAATTATTTGACATTAGTACACACACTATGTACATACGAATCGTTAAAAGCTTTTCATTCATAAATACTTACAAATAATTGTACGTAGGTTATAGAATGATCAATAGGAAACGCCTTGATTTCATTGTGACTCTGTAAACCACAGGCTAAGCATACTGTCCATACATATAGATAAACATTTTATAAAAAAATGCATTAATACCAAAAGTATAAAAACAATCAGAATCTAAACCGACGATAGAGTTCAATTATGTTAAATGGCTCATACGAGTGCCATGTTTTAATGTACATCGAGCAACATAATTAATGCGCCCAATTAAGTCCAGTATTGCACCTAATTGCCGGGACTGTATGTGTGGGTTCCAATATTGATAGTAATTGCACCTGTAATTATTTAGCATAGATATATTATGTTCGTCGTACAATTAAGTTTATCAAGTAATCAGACGGTTAAATCTGTTGCTCAAAATTAATGCTATAATTTATGTATGCACAGTGCACACCCAGTGCTCCTGATATAAATTATCCGCGTGATAGATCAAACTTTTACGTATCTAACATACGAATCAATTATATTATGCGGTTCTGAGTCAGTGAGCTGAGAAATGCAAATCCTTGATCCAAACAGCTGATGTTTCTAGAGAGAATCTGTATATATAGCTCCTATAGAACTTTTCTGCAGTACTCTCAATTAAAGATTGTAGATTATTCAATAATACAATTATCGACTTAAATGTAAAACTTCTAATTAGAAATTCTACTTCTAAATATATTTTATGAAAATTTTAATATAATTTTTAAATTTATTTTCACATCAAAAGTAATAAAAATATTTTTTTAAACCCAGTTTTATTTGGGTTTTGCATTTAAATTAAGCTTTTTCCATAAATTGATTATAATATATATCAGATTTATTACAAATTCGTGGTTTTAAAAGAGAGAGACGCCAGCCTCGCTGCCGTTACAAATGTCACTTCTTCTAGAGCGTTGCATGATATTTTAAAATGAAACTGCAATTGTTCTTAATGCTCCTGTATTTCTAGAAGGTTCCTCACAATCACATACTTCAATGATACGCACTCACTGAACTCTGAATTACCAATGCTGAATTCTCAATTCTGGAGTCCGCCGTCGTGAGTCCAGACGTCATATTTTTGATTTAAACATAATTCTATTCTCTTTTGATTTCGTTTTACTTTTAACAATAATCATAAATACTAATGAGGTTTAATAAGAATTGATGGAAGCCTCTAATTATTTTCAAGTCGCATCCGTTATTAAAGCTGGTAGCGCCGATACGGCCATTCTGACAGGCGGTGCGTGCTCTGCACCTGCCTGGTTATGTGTTCTCTCTTGGTTGGTTTTCGTTATGTGCTTGGACCAGTCGCGCGTCTCGTAAAGTAGATGGGACAGGATCAAGATTTGATGCTTCATCTTCCGAAGTCATGCCGATACGGTCATACTGATGTTTGCTCTGTGATAAAAGATAAATGCTTTTGTAGTCTAGGTACTTCCACAGTACACCTAGATAACTTTATATTGTTACAATTATGAATATCAAAAAAATTTTTTTTTTTTAATCGTATGGGTAACGTTGTTTACTACAACACAACTTTGAGATGGTCATAATATCACGTCCAATTAACTAAGCTTCATGGCTTTGGGGGCATCACACGAACATTCATAACATATTTGTCATAGGACGTCTCCGCCCGCCTACAACATTTTTTTTTTTTATTTATTTGTCATAGGAC